ATATATAGGATAAAATTTAAAAGACCTTTTGTAAGAAGAATTTTAAAAACTAATAAAATTTCAATATAATTATTACTATGCTAAATAGATAACAGGTAAATTTCAATTATAAAAGTGATAACAGGGATATTAGTACATATTAACATATATAAATAAATATTATAGTATACTTAAATTTTGATGAATCAAACCAGATTTATTCTTTTTCAAAATATAACTTGTGCTTAATTGTGAAAATAATAATAATTTTAGAAGCTACAAATCAATAAGTTTAGAGAAGAGTTATTGAATTATTATCTTAACTAAAATGAGGTTATCTGATATTAAATTATTCCTTATTCAATTTAGATATAATCTTCAAAATTATAATTAAGATAAATATAATCATAGGCAATATAATTAGATATGATATGATTTATAAAGATTATTTCCTAATCATTTGAATCATAAAATAGAACTTATTTCACAATCACGCACATTATTTAAAATATTAATTCTAACAAAAATGTTTAATTTATACTTTAATATTTATTTAAAAATAAAATCCATCTCATTTTATCTCCAAATGCAGTTTAATTATTTACTTGAATAGTTTCACTATTATTTACAATCTAATTCTTATAAAGATCTTACTTATTTTTGTAATTACAAATAATTAAATGATATAATAAAAAATGAACACAGTTACTTCATTTTTGAGACCCCTTTTAAAAGAATCTTAGATAATTGTCGTTCTTATTTATATATATCAATAAATTATAATCTAATATTAAATTAAAAAACATCTAAGAATACAATAAAAGTAATTAAATATGATAAAATCAAATTTGGTTTTGTATTTGGATGATCTTGTTTAGTTTTTCTTCTTCTAATTATTATATTAATATTAATTAATCTTCATTTTGAACCTAATCTCTAATTTTTTAGATTCTTAAGTTGAAATATGCAACAATTTTTTAAATTTGTTTAGCTTCTTAATCCACTTGCAGGCTATTTCTTCTTTAAGCAATTCTAGTATTAATTGAGTCTGTCTATTTATTAATTTATTCTTTTATGAATTGTGATTGCTATTGGTGATTAAGTTCTTATTATTTAATAAAGGATTTCACTTATTCCCTTTCCAACTATAAGGAATTATATAATTAATTCTGCTTATTTTCTTTTCTTTATTGATGGTATGATTAACTGTATTAATACATTTTATTTAATAAATAATTTTTATCAAATTAACCATTCTATTCAAAGTGCATAAATTTTCATGTTAAGAAATGAGTTACATTCAATAATTAATGCTTCAAAAGAAATAATAATAAAATGTTATAATTCATGATGAATTTCAAGTTTTATCTTGAAATTTGCTTGCTTTTTCGTGCATTCCTTCTAAAATGGAATTAAGCTTTGCGCCAATCTAATTGTATTTAACTTCTGCTTACTTAATTAGTTGATTCAATTAAAATTTAGAATGAAGAATCAAGATCCTTTAAACTTTGACTCAGCTCAGGATCGAATTAAGCAGATACTTCCTGCCCAGTTTTCAATTCATTTGGATCATCTTGAATTTGAACATAAAATTACTTTTTTTATTTGATTCTGAATTGCCCATTTGTCACAAGAATTAAAAAGTAAAAATATTAATTTATGAGAGGAAACATATGATTGATGCTTCTAATAAATATTTGAAAATGAAAACTAAACTCATTGTTGAAATATTTGCTGATTCTTGTTCGAATAATTGAGATTATTATTTAATTTCTTAGGATCCAAATATTCAAAAGGATTGTCAAGACATTATTTAATAAATATATCCCAATTTTCTGATCTGATCTATTTTTACTCTGCTTATCGCCACAATAAGGACACGGGGATTTTTTAAGCAGGACTATTTGATGGATATCCCAATTTTAAATTCAATACCTTAGAATAAAAACAACGTTATGCAAAGGTTTTTGAATTGTCATGCTCTTATTTTTTATCAGGAGATTACTCACTAATATTGGTTAACAAGATATCTCCTTTTTTTAATTAAGATATCAATCCCTACTATTAATTTCCACTTTCTGATGAGAATCTAGTCATGATCGTCATTCTATTCTCAGAACTTTAACCTTAACTAAGTCTATGCCCTGAAAATACAATTTCTGACTGTTCAACTTAGTTAGGAAATAAATTATATAAATTGACATTACTGGGAGTTTATATTGAACCTGACGATACCTTAGATAGTTTTGAATTAAATGCAGTACTAGTTTAAGGATAAAAGTTTTATTAAGATTGAGATGGTCTGATCACTTTAGAGTTTAATGAATTTTAAATGATTGATATTCTTTGTATGACGAGAGAGTGTAATCTTTCTAAATATAATGATAAGTTCAATGATTGAATAGGTTCTTTACTCATTGTAGTAAGTTCCTATTCAAATTGTATCAATGATGCTTCTTCTACACACCCTATACTATTAATTTATGTAACCAGTTCACAAATTCTACACAATCTTTAAGAGTGTTCTGGATATTTATTTTATAATATTTTTTCCAATTTTTTCAATTTGAAATCATTTTCTTCAAAGTAGTAGGAAGAGACAGCAAATTTGAGTACTTTATTGGAAACCTAAGTACACATTTACGCATGAAGATCTATTCGATCAACATTAATGAATTCTTCACAATTAACACAGAGAGCGAGAATACTGCTCTTTTCCTTAGTCCTTGGAGGAATTGTCTAACTCTTTTTAAATTTCTACATTAATTATAATAATGAATGAATTATATTAAAATAAATGTTATTTGCGAATACTCAGTGAATTCAGGTATTGAAATTTAATATACAGGGAACTCAAATTGCCTCCAAAAGTAACAAATTTAAAAAAGGACTGCCAGCAAACAACTTAAATAATAGATTTATTAAGAAAACCTACAAGTCATCGTAAAATGTTGAGTGAACATTGTCCAAAAGTACCTCAACTTAAAATAGAATATACTTATAGTAAAAACAATTCGCCCAGATTCCGTATTAATAAGAATATCTCGCCTACAAATACTGCTAGAAGTTCTAGACCTACTACTCATAAAACCATAAGGGCCTATCTTACTTAAACGAAAGTCGGAAAGTTTAAAACTTTACCGCAGATCCAATAATCTCAATAGGCAATTGAAGAACCTCCCTAATTGGAAATATCTTCATGTTAACAACCTAGTGCTTTGTAGTCTCCCAAAGAAACTGTTATATCGGAATTTCAATCTCCTCGTATTATGTAACGTTTCGACTTCGATCATTAATTTGTGAAAGCAAAGATTGAACCGCCGAAACGTTCAAAAAAATAATTGAGAATGATTCTTTTGAGAGCAATCAATAAACTTAAAGCGATGAATATCGACCCATAATATATGATTGAGAATAAAGTATTCTCTAAAAAACCTTATTAACGAAAAATGTCAAACGAATTTATTCATGCAGTAAAGTTGAATTAAATGGATAGAGTTATTGAATTGTTAGAATATAACAGATATCTTGTATTTGATTTCGATTTCTACAACATGACTGCCTTGCATTGGGCTTGCAAGAAAGGATTGGTGGAGATGGTTGAATTACTAATAAAGAATCACGCAGACGTAGATGCAGTAGACATATTACATCGAACTCCTCTTTATTTGGCAATACAGGGCAATCACCTTGTCATTGTAGAAGTATGAATTTCGTCTATGCTTCCCTTTAGACTTTACTTAAGAACAAAGCTTACCCTTGGTCAACTTACTACACAGATTTGGCTGAAGTCGTGCAAGACAATAGAAAAGTGTAGAAGCTTTTGACTCTAGTAAGAAGAGTAAGAATTTCAAATTACTTTAGATTGACATCATTAATACTTGGGGTGATAAGAAGGTTGAAGAAGATTGTATTTGAATATAGCTTGATAATTATATTTTCTTTATTGTTAAAGCAATCAACTTAATTATTTTACTTTATTAAATGGATTAGCAAGATTAAGACTCATTATTGGAAATCTCTGATTCTGATCGACTAACCAGCATGCTCCTCTCCAACAATTTAACTGACATCTTTTTGAATGATTATTATAGCAAATTTAAGAATAGCTAAAACATCCTTGAGCCATCAATGACCATGTCAAGAGTATCTCAATTGGATAAAATGTCAGAAGACAATTCTAATGTTACGCATATGAAAGTGGTTCATGCATCAGAAAGACTTGTGATTGAAATGTAAAAAAATTAAGTATGTCAGTCTAATTTATATAGTTATTAGAGAATAAGTTGTTTTAATAGGCAAAATTGATTTAAGATTTATAGGAATAAATAGACTCAAAGGAATTGCAACTACAAGAAAGTATTTAATTGTGTGAGCAACTTTAATCACAAGTAGAAAAATCAGAAAAAATAAACAAATAAAAATCCAAAGAAATATCAGAACTTAAATTTGTTATCAAGTATTTAACTATCTATTCTAGCTCCCTTTCTAAAAGATTGAATTTCACCAATCTAAAACAAGAAACACTTCAATCCTCAATGGAGTGCCTCTCTTTTCGACCCTCATCACAACCAAGAGGAAAGAAGACACATAATAATCATCATTCATATTCATCATCTAGAGCATATTTCCAAAAGATTCTCACAGAAGACACACCAAACATTTCAAACGACAAAATTGTTAAGGATAAAGTCTTGTCCTTTTTGAATACTAAACTTAAGGATACAAAATAAACTGAAAAAAATGATATCAAAAAAGAAAAGTATTATAGATCATAATCCAATTTTTGGTCCAGTCTGACTACATCTCCAAATCCAAGTAAAAGCAATCATACATAAAACAGTATTTCAGTTGGTAAATCACAATTATCTGATAAGAAAATTGAAAATACTCTCACTCTATTAAAAGCTATTAAGATATAATGCAATCAATTTTAGAACCACAAAAAACTATACTGATACTTATAGATATTTGTATTTAAATTTAATAATTAATTTTCCACTTCTCTACTAAATATAAAATATTTATTTATTTCATTAATTATGGGTAATGATGGTGGCAGTTTTGCTGAAAGAGCAGAGTTGGTTAAATTAAAAAAACCAGAAAAAAGGGTTGAGAGTCTATTGGTTGCAAAAGTAAAATCCTATTGTAATTATAGTAAAGAGCTTAATTTTGTTCCTTGACAAAAGAAAGATTGAGAAAACCCATTGCCTGTTGTAGGATTGGATATCTATACAACTATGATTCCTTACTTAAGGCCTTCATGGACAAGAAAATTCCTTAAGAGTTTAAGCATTTATAAAATGTAAATTTTCAAACTTATTTCAGCTTAAAAAAATCAAAAAACTCAATATTACAGAAAATCCAGATCAAAATAATGAATTCCCTTTCGTTTGTCCCATTAGTTAAAAATCATTAAATGGAAAAGAAAAGTATGTATTTATTTTAAATAGATTCTAAGCATTATGGACTTGTGGTTGTGTTTTTTATGAAAAATTGATAAAAGATCTTAAGATCAAAGAGTTAAAATGCCCAATTTGCACTAAGCCCTACACAGAGAAAGACATAGTTCAGTAATCGAAACAATTTATTATTATTGTAGATTATGTCCAACTAATGAAGAAGCAGAGATTAAAAAGGCATAGTTATATAAAGAAATTGAATTGAAAGAGAAATAAAAGGAAGATCAAAAAAAATAGTTGAAAGTCTCCGATACAGTTGATAATCTAGAATAATAATAAAAAAAAAAAGTATGCACAGAAGAACAGAAATTCAAGGGATAAACTATGGAGAACAATAAACTCTAAAATCACACTTAAGATCTAAAACATAATGAAAGTAAATATATATTATTACCTAAGTTTACTAATCCTTATTTCATCAATAACACAAACTAGAAGATAATCTATTTACTCGAAATGTGAGATTCGGAAATAGATGATTTTATGATTTATAATTTACAAAATATATTCTTAGTTGTTCATGTGTTAATCAAATTTATTATATCTTAAATACATTATACATTCAAATATGATTATTAAGTAATTGATTGATTTGTTACCGATATTGATTGTTTTCATCTAGATATATAAAATGGTGAGAGGCCTAAATTAGTAATAATATCTTACACTCAAATAGCTTTGTGCAGAAATATAATTAAGAGATGGAAATAATCTAGTTATTTCTCTGAAGATATCTTCAACGGAAGAACTTTCATCAGAAAATAGAAAACTATCACAAAAGTTTTAATTTAGTTTTATTACATCTTTTACATTTTTAAAAAAAGTTTAAATATCTCTACTCCTTTTATAAATATCTAACCAATAAGTTAATGTTTTATTTTCCTATATTAACAACAGGCTTATCGTCTTAATCTAACTAACATCAAAAAAACTTTTCATTCTGAGTTCTTTAACAATCTAAATTTACAATTCCTACTACTTTTTTCGAAATTACACTCTTGATAAAAGTAAGTACCCTATCTGAGGATGACAGGCTTTTCCATAAATTTCAATAGTATGTTCTTCTGCCAAATCCACATTGGCTAAGGCTTAAGTGAAATTAAGTTAATTTAAATGGCATTCAGCTAAGATCAAATAGATGTTGATATAAAATATATGATTTATTATTTTTTGTTACTAGGAAAGGATTTAAAAAAACTCTAAACTTTTTTCTGCAGATAATTGAATTAAGAATAACACTTCCTCTTTCGCTGGTTTTTTAGCAAACTTTTAGTAAACTATTTGTTTGAATGTTAACTTTGCTAATTACTAATTATAAGCTATAACTTCCTATTAAGTATGTTAATGTCTAAAAGACTGGTAGCAATTTATTAAAAGTTTCCTTTCTCTTATGGTTTCTTTTGCTTCATTCATAATTTGTTGATCGTATTGAACTATTGATTATTTTTCTAAACTCATGTTCTCTAAGAATATTAGAGATAGCAGTTTATACAGATATGCTATTTAATAATAGTTCTTTATTTTATCCAATAAATTTAGTACTTAGAAAAAAGAGAACTTAAATTAGTTAATATTAGTCAGAATTTCAATATGATTCAAAAGGATTTCAGAGATAAATTCATCATCAATTAAATGACAATAATATACATCATTTGATTATTAATAAATCTAAGTTTTGCGTACTTAATCTTTTGGGAGAAAATTCGATAAAATCTCTTGAAATTTAGACAGTCTTTTGCTATGCTTAATCTAAAAGTCTCCCCCTAAAGTTATTTACTTACTATTTTCATAAGCATAAAAAAATTGAAGTACTTAGTAGGAATATTGCAAAGCAACATGATATTCTTTTTAATTTAAATAAATTCGAATCAGAATGTGCTTATTAATGGCTGCTATTAGTGTATTATTATCATCCTAAATTTATGAGTGAATACTTAATATGAAGTCTTGTGCTTTTTCTTGTTTTATAATACCCAAAGAAACTTTAATGTATATTAAAAAGTTCTCATATAATTACTTCAAGTGCGTTAATTCTCTATTATTTTCAATTTAATTTAAATTATCTTCGAAATATTCAACGACTTCATAATAATTTTATATATAAAAGAAATGATGTATGAGATGTCTTGTATAAATATTTATGTCATCATAAAATATAACACTGTGAGATCTTTAGTATAGTGCATCATAGGGAGCAATGAAATTTAAATCTATTTTCTTGTTTGGAATATATAATGCCATAATGTTTAAATCATTCTCAAAGTTTTCATGCATTTATGCAAACAAACCTGATTTTGTTGAGATGGATTTCTAACAAAATTATATCAAAAATTCCATTTGATCATATTACTATGACTAAAGCAATATTTGTAATATCATTAATATAATAATGGAGGGTTGGATGTTAATAGCCTATTCTCTCAATATTATATTCATTGTTTGGACTAAATCTTAATTTTGATGGATTTTTAAAAGCAAATAGGAATACAAAATTTAAAATAATTATGATTTTTTTAGATTTACATCAATTAGAAGGAGTGCATCTTCTAATAGAATTTATTAAATTTTCATCAAAATATCTCTATTGTCCTTTTATAGATTTAATATACTCACTGCATTTCTTGCTATTTCCCTTAAAGAGTTCTCATTGTTTTCTAAATTCTCTATATTTTTTGGAGAAAATGCAAAAAATATGCTTTAAATGTGATACAATCTGAATTGCAACAAACCATTGCTATGAAACCATGAATCAAAAGGAATTGTAAGTGAATGATGAAGACTTTGCAATTATGCTATATATGAATTACTATATATATCTCTATCTGTTTGGTCTACCTAATACCTTAATTGAGAGATCCTATAATTCAATGGAAAATAACAATCCAAATGCAAAATCTATTAAATAATTCTTATTAGATAAAGCTAAACTTTTAAGTCTTTTGGGCTAATTTTTAATTCTTCATGCAATATCTATTTATTATGTATATTTTAATTAAGATTACTATAAGTCATGACTTATTTCCACATATACTAAAAGTCAGTAGACAATATGTATTCTGATTAATAGGAATATGTTTATTCTATCCATTTTTATAGTTTTACACACTCGAATTTACCGATTTCACATTCTTATTCATTTCGAATATATTATATAGGTATTTCATCGAATGTAATGCTTTTAAGGTAACTGCAAAAATACTCAAAGGTAGGTGAATTCTCAATTCCCATTAATAAGAAACTTTTCGCTTTTCTTTCATAAATATCATTTTCAGAGTCATGCCATATCTCTATTTATAGAAAATAGTAATAAAGTAGTTGATGAAAATAAGTTGGATCATCTTGACAAAACTAACTCATAGAAAAATTGATTTGAAATGTGAAGGCGTCTATTTTATTTTCTTTAGGAGACATTTAATTATAATTATAAAGATCAGGACTTAAGTCTTTTAATTCCTTGGTTAATTCCAATTAATTTTTAGATCTAATTAATTCCATCTAAATTTCAATGCAATCATCTATTTTTTTAGCTGCAATTGGCATTTCCATTTTAAAATAATGTGCTAAACAAATGAGTGCATTAAATTAATTTTAAAACCTACGAATAGTTTTACGAAATTGAAATAAGTTTTCAATAAGTTTTTTATTTAATCTTAATTGATTAATAAGTTGAATTCTTTCAAGATGTTTTAATTTGATTACATTTCCAGCCTAATTCTTAGTGATTCCAAATAATGCTTGAGCTTCTTATTTTGTTATCTATTCTAAGTTGATATTAATTTACAATTAAATTAGAACCAGATCTAGATTCTTAATTAGGTCTCCTAAACAATTCTAAATTAAATCAAATTACTAATTCAATAGATTTCCATGTTTAACATTTTCCTAATTATTGTTGATGTTGTATGTAGAATGATTATAACGTCTAACCCTAACTTGCATTTAAATACAAAATTTAATATAAAAAACCATAGTGACTTAAATTATTTCTTCCATGTCATGATGATCAATAGTATATTTCATGAAATTGTTATTCACATATCCTTGAAAGGCTTCTAAAGCATTATTTCCACATTTATAGATTTGTCTATGCAATACCTATTCAAATTAGTGTATGTAAAGTAATCCTTTTTCATACTACTTCATCCTCAATGAGAAGTTCCCTCTATGCAGAGTCAACTGTAAGTATTCAGAGAAATCACACTGTTGATTTTCAATTATTTCTTATCTCTCTACAATGAAACTCTCTTCGAACTTCTCTTAATACTTTACAAATGATAAAAGTTCACTTATATTGCTACTCCCATTGAGCATTTTAACTATTACATCATAGAGATCATGCTTCTCCATATCACCTAATGAATTTAATGAATTCTTAGATGATGTCAAGGTAATCATAGAGATAAGCACTTTGGCTAAACAAAATAAATCGTTATCTGCTTCTGGTTTAACTGCACTTCCTAAATAATAACCCCGGTTGTCTAACAGATAATTTTTAGTTGAAATATCACCATGTTATTCTCTAAGTAGTAAGAGTAAGCTATCGTAAAAGAATGACAATATTTCATCTTAACTGTAATGTATATGATATTTTTTTCTATATTTAATTACATTCTCTAATGTAGTAATTGGAGATTACTCATAGACGATTACGCAATATCCTTTGACATAGAAATCATCAATCTTATCAATGTGATTAGATAATCTAGTATAACACTCACCCTAAATATAACTAATACCTCTATCATTATTGATCGACTGCAAGTACTTTAGTTTTTATCCATGTTTCAATTATAGAAATTATATTAACTACGGTTATTTCTTTTCATTTATATTAGCTAGCCACATTGTGTCATTTAATTGTTTTACAAAGTTGATTTCAGGCATAGCAAACATTTCCTCCTCGAAATATTCCATCATTACAGATTACAATATTAATTTTTGAGTGTCAAATACATAAGTATCTCTAACCTTTTCTATTACATCTTTAAAAGTACTTGACTTTTTATAGGATGCAGAATAATACTTTAGATTAGTGTATCCTGCTGATAATGGAATCATTTTAACATTACTAAAATACTCAAAATTATTACTTTTAAGAATATTATTGACTAAAATTGATAATATTTAGTAAAGAAACCTCCTTGAATTCAAAACCTTTATTATTTTTTTCAAAATGTTAAAAGTTTGTTTCTTCCCCTGGAAATTACTTGGCCAATAATCTTTTTTAAAAGACATTAACTAAAATTTTTGAATTCAACCTAATAGTAGTCTTTCTGAATCGATTGAACCATACAGCTTTCTTAATTTTTATGAATATAAATTTCTATGCATTTAACCATTTGTGTTTATTGTAATATTTTCTCATCTTCTCATAGATTCCTTCCAACTCTAGAATATCATGTTCTTCTTTAGAATCTTTTAATTTTGTAATTTTTTTTCTATAAAACTTTTAAATAAACAACTTTGCTTGAGTTTTTTATGTCTGTAAACTTCTTTATATAATATTATATCTTAGGATGTCAAAGTTCTTTATAAACTATTTTTTTCTTGGGATATAGTAATTCCTTTAAATTATTCTTAGATCAGTCCATGATTTGTGATAAGTAAGCAATAGGTTAACTTTATGAAACACTCTTTAAATATTCTCTTCATTTTTAGCTTTCTTCTTTTTTGGAATCATAAATTTTTCGTAAAAACTAGAAGATCTTACAAAGATAGGAGTTTTTCTCTCTCTTACTTTCAACTTCGGCTTTGAGACCGTATTGTCTTCATCAATGAGAATTGGCTCTTCCATATCATCCTATCTTATATAGTATTTATCTAAATCACTATCAGAACTCATCGTTTCAAATTCTTCTGTTTGTTCTTAGAGTTTGGAACCATAAAATTTATAGATTGGCATTCTTTTCAGGTTTTAATTATCCACAAAATTAATAGTTTTATTCTTCTTTTTGAATTTCTCAAGTGTCGACTTTACTAGGTATTTTTATCGTAAATTTAATTTCTATAAATAGGAAGGCGTTTCTGAATACCATACTTAGTATACAAAATTCATGGTGTAACTGAGGAGCATAAATGAAACGAATACAAATATTTAGCTTTTGTCCTAAAAAACAAGAGAATTCGATAATCCATAACTTGTTATTATTACACTAGAGAATATTATATATTAAAGAATGTTATTCCAAACTTTAACAAAGCAATCTATTTATGGCCAAGGTCTTTGATAATAATAGAGATATTGTGCCTTATCTGCATAAATCTAAACTACAAACAAGAGCCATTGCATAAAGTACGTGATTGGATAGATGTATGCGAAATATGTTAAAATAGTCAGTTCCACCATATTTTACTATAAGTTCTCTTCTATACAATTAAAGTATTGATCTTTTATATTAGAGGGCTTCTTAGATTAAACTTCAATGTACTCGTTGATATCATGCTATTGGAATTTATAAATAAACAAAGGTTATCTTCTTAAGGAATAAAAATTAAATAGAAAAACACACAATTTTTCAACGCTCTTTATTATTATATAAGTAAGAAAGTAATATCCAATGTACTATTCACAAGAATCAGATTAGCAGACCAACTAAAATGAGTGATTAAAGAATCTTAAAATCAAAAGAGGCCCCAATTATTAGATTATCGAAAAAGAATAGAGTTTTAAATTGTAACTCAATTTTACAGCCTAAATCGTTCGTTGCTGTTCAAAATCAACTAGCTATTAAATGGTTTTTTAGGCATGAAATGTGTATAGCTTATTTAGACCTAGATGTAAGATAGCAATAATTATAATTTCAGAATTATCAATAGCAGTGGTCTATTTGAATAGAGACTGAAACCATGTACATAAGAAATAAAGAGCTATGAATATGATTGAGTATAGTAATTGAAGCAATATAAAAATTAACATGGAAACACATTCCCTAAATATTTAATCTAATTCATTGATTGAAGGTACATTCATTTAATCATTTATGAGGGATCTTTTAGGTTCTCCAATTTATTTGTTTGAAGTAGTATCTATATCCTCTTGACTATTGATGCCAAAAGATTAATTGAATATTTTTAATTATTATTCCCATTTGGAAGTGTAAAGTGATGTTATTTATAATTAGCAAACGAGGTAAATAATTTCTAAGACACTTAAATACGATTGCAAATTGGATGGTATTTAAATCAAGTAGTAGAGTAGGCCTAAGCAATTTTGATACAGCAACATTTAAGAGAAAAAACAAAGAAAATAAAAGTATGTTCCTACAGACTCTCCAAAATATTAGCATAACAAATCGAATTTCATTTTCATTGGATTTAGTAAATGGAATTTCAATTGGGTTGCAATATCAAATAATTTTTCTTAATAAAATTATTCTCTATTTCGAGATAAATTCTCATAGGATGAATAGTAAATGCCATAAAGTTCAAAGTTATCATGCAAGCAAAATAGTTATTTGATTAGACCTTTTTGAGTAAGTAAAGAAATGTTAAAGTTTTAATAAATATTTAGGTAAGCTAATCTCAATCTTTCTGAAGATTAAAATATTGTTACCTTCTCTCCTTAGTTCAATTAGTACTTTTTCCAACACATCAACTGACAATGTTTATGATGCAATGATCTGTCTGGTTAAGGATTAGAGTACTTAGTCTTCATATTTAAAGGCTGATCTAAATAAACTAAATCCCATAGGCATTTTAGATATTTTTTTTCGTTATTTGCTACTTTAAGAGATTCCTTGAATATTTCCAAATATTTCTTAGCTAATTACTCCTTTTTTAACACCTTTATTAGTTTTGTATAAGGAGCAGTAGTTAAATTAAAAATATTCCTATATTCTTCTACAACACTACTGGCCTCCTTTTTAAGTTAATCAATATTATTATTCTTAATTTCTTCAAGATCTTAATAGTAAGTATTACTTTATTATTATGTTTTTGTTTTCACACAATTTTCTGATTGCAATCTTCTTAAGTATAATTCTAATGGAGTTATCTATTTATTGATTAAGGCTGCAATATCATTACTTATTTTAAAGCTCGATCTTGTAGCAATAATTTACTAATGTAAATGAGTCAAAAAGAAATAGTAGGCTGCCCATTCTTGATCAGAAGGACAATCCTAATCATCATACATATCAAATCCATAATTAAATAGTTTCTAATTAATTCCACTTTAATTAACTTCTCTAGCTATTCTTTTGAAATCTATCTCTTAAATCAACTCAACTAGAATTGGTCTAAAGTACAAAAACATAGAAGAGAGATTTTTATAATTCTGAGGCTTCCACAATCTGTTATTTAGTCTGAGGGGTCTATAACTCTTATCAAGAGGCTCGAAAGAGAATAGATCTATAAACTATATGTTTAAAAGTTTAAAAAGTCCCTAGGATTCTGCTTAAATTTTCAAGCTTTCTTCTGTTGCAAACAAAGAACAAAATATATACTTTCCATTTTTCGATAAAAATTATTGAGTAAAGTACCCTTGTCTGCATAGAATCAAGCAGATCAAGTTTCTCACCAAAGTTGAAAAATCTTTTGTATCTCTTTTTGTTCTATGCCATTCATTTTCATACTTAACAAGATAACCACCTTTATTTACTTTTTTGTTTGGTAAGTATTTCAACAATTTGTAATCTATTTCGAAAGCTTCATTTATTTAATTCTGATCGGAATCAAACTACCAACTTCCAGTCAACTTATTACTGAGTTTTAAAACAAGCTAATCCTTTAACTTTTCTTTCTCATCCATCTCATTAATTGTTGCACTAGTTTCTAATCGTTTTGACTCCTCTGTATTTTCAAATTGAATAAATTAATTCTCTCTTCTCACCTTCTATCTAAATAATTTCCTACGACTATGCTTTGAACTTTCCTTTGAATCATCCAAAATTTATAATACACCTTCACATGCCTTTAATAATATTTTCTCCTCCATACTACCTTTATTAAATTTCACCAAAGTCTTTACTAATTCAAACCCCTCAGTTACTGAAATTGAATGAGAACTTGATTATCCATAATCAGGATTTGGAAATCTATATATATAATAATTATTTCACTTTATTATCGCATCGGGAAGTTAAGTTTCTTAGGTTTCCATACTAAAATTACCCCACATCTATTGAAGTATGTCAATTTAGTGTTTGTTTAAATCTATTCCCAATAAAAAGTATAAAAAAATTGAGTATTTTTCGCAAATATTCTAAATTGCTTTTACTTTCCGCTTTAAATAACAAGCCTCTAACTTTTCCATGTTTTAAGGATTATCTGTTTTCTCTTGCATGGATGCATCCTTTATATAAGATTAAGAAGGAGTGTCCTCAGAAATAGTATCCATTACTTTATTGAGAGAACCTTGAGTTAATTATTTTATAATAAATTATTCCATTTTATAATGACAAATTTTATAACTTAGTAGCAATTCTTAGAATTTTAACATATAAATTTTATTCATTTAAATATTTCAAATTATTTTGGTGCTTACAATAACAATATGATAATTTTATTAGTTTTCCTAATAATAAAATTGATCCTAAATTATCATAACATATAACGTCTTATTTTTAAGATTAATATCAAATGAAGTAGAATAACAATATAAACTTTGTTTATGTTCATTTATAAAAATTATCAAAACAATTCTTATGGAGTAAATAGATATAAGACAATTTGATATTCTGAAATTTACAAAATATATTAAAGGATCATATAAATTTAGATGAGTTGTTATTTTTTTTAGATTATCCCATGTATTTACTTACGTTTTGATTACTTTAACTTTGATTGGAATTCATTGAAACTTTATTTAGTTGAGCTAGAAGTGAGGGATTCTTTAATTTTATTAGAGATGTTATATCATTTAATCTAAAAAATTCTTAACAAAAATACCTGTTTTGGACAAACTGAAGCTTAGCTTTCATAAAATTATATCTAAATGATATGTTTTATCTTATAGTCTCTTCAGTTGCACTGCTGAATTCCAGTGATAACATTTCCATAAATTTATATTCTAAATTTTCTATAAAATCTAGTTTAGCAGCCCCATCCTATTGCATAAAAAATACACAAAAGAAGCTAATCTGTTTTTATTTATTTATACTGATTAGGTTCTTTATGACTTGAACTTAATAGTTTTATTAACATTTGTAAGAATTATGGGTACTCTATAGTTAATTTCTATTCTTCTTTTATTTTTTTAAAGTTTTCTTTATCAATACTAATTTACAAGAGTAAAAATACATAGATATATAATTAAAAAATAGATCTGTTTCGCTAGTCAATTCAATTTTTAGATTCTCAAATGCTTATTGATCTCCCTAAAGTTATTGATAAGAAATTACCTAAACCAGTATTTTCACTTAGATCTATTCAAGAGTTCCTATTTCTTAAGGCCCAGTGTTCGCATTTTATATTCTAACAATTAAATTTTAGATAATCAACCTTGTTTCTATATTAATTTCCTTATTAAATTAAATTTTAAATCCGCCATCTAAACTTGGATCAATATCTTCCAACACTCCTAAATCTTATTGAGACTCGTCCATTTAATATTATATTTAATTTTTATTTATATTGATAAATAAGTTAGTAAAATAATTGTTTTATTTGAAAGTCATTAAAAGTACAATGTAGTATATAATTTAATTCTCTCATTCAATATTTATAAAGCTTCTTACGTAGATATAAATACCTTGAACTATATATAAATAATAAAATTGAGTTACTGTTTATAAGCTAAACTATTATCCAATAATTTTAGATATAATAATTTCGAAGTTACAACTATTTATAGGATTACCAAAATGAATTATAAAACCTTATTCTTCAAAATATAGTTAGTAGCTTAAGGGATTTATAAGAAAAAAGTTTTATTTTCATACTCATTATTCATATAATTCATAAATTTAAGAAGTTTTATTAAAATAGGATTAATATCATATTGAATATCATTTAAATTCTAAAATTAATAATTTCCATTCATTCTTTCTCCTATATTAAGAACCTTTTAGTTTCATTTTCCTTACTGACTAACCTATTCCTTAAAGTTATTGATGGACTCAGGATAGACTAAAAATTTCTAATTGAATTAATCAGATATTTTACTTTTATTCAGATTAAGGTTTTGATACATTAAATAAATATTACTTGAGTTTTGAGAAATTCTTTTATAGCTATACTTCCTTATCTTTCCATTCTACCAATTACTAATTTAAATAATTATGAAAATATGAATTTGGCTTTATAAATTTCATTATCTTTATTAATTAATTAAGATATTTTATCTTATATTTTTTATAGTAAACCCTGAAAATATCATATATAAAAGGGTAGCAAAGCTTAATACATAGAATAGATATAAGGATTTAAAGTAAAACTTGTTAGGCTTAATTCTCTTATTATTCACTAACATATTTAACTGCAGCCAAAAATATAGTTATTGAACAAATTTGATCAGTAGATATATCAAGTAAGTTTAAGCTTTTAATAATATATGGTTTGATTTTGAAAGCCAATAATTAATAAAAAAGCAAACATAAGCCAATGAGGGTAGCCTTTAAAAATATATTGGATTCAAAATATGTTAGAATACCAATTAGAATTGTTTTTTTCCAAATTTTAACAAATTCCCAAAAGAAACTTTCATCATTATATTCATTAAACATATAACATATATGTCTTCTAATTTTAATTACATCCAGCTTTTTTCTCATTAAAAACATTAAAAAAAACAAAATAAATGGTATAAAACATCCTATAAAAGTTAATCCAGGCAAAATAAAAAAATATATCCAGAGATAATGTGATTATGTATTAAACTCAAGAGAGACATTTCCTTGAATATACTCCATATTTGAGATTGTCCTTTTGGATAATAACGAAAAGAATCTAAAAATTACATAATAAATTACTGTTTAATTATTGCTGCAAAATTTGAAAGGTAAAGATATAAAGCTGTGTTTGATAAAATACTATTATTAAATTTAGTTTTAGTTGCTATAGAGTGAACTTAGAAGCCTCCAAAAATTATTAGTTACTGAATAAATATTAGAATAAATTAAGTTATAATTCTTGAATAATTAACTTCAGTGTTATATATTTGTATTAAATAACAATCTAAACTGTTTGCCATAAAAAATGAAGTATTGCAAGTTTGATCAACGAAATCAAAAGAGAAAGAGAAAGTAATATTAAAAGAAAAAATAATGGAAAAGATCCATAAATAATTAAGTAACATTTTAATAAGAATGCTTTCATGATCTAAATATATATTATTATTATTACCTTAATTGAGCTTAAAGAGTATCTTTCCAAACTTTTACTTTAATTTTAATGATGAAAATAATTGATTCGTTCTATCTATGCTTCTTAATGTCAATAAAATCTACAAAATACCCCTAGTATAATTAAAGCAAATACCATACTGAGGACAGAAGAAAAGGTAGTAAACCAGATAAAAAATAAAAGCATTGTGAACATGATGTACTCTACAAAATTCTAAAATAGGGTCCATTTCCTTGAATATTGTAATTGTCACACTCCTCACATAAACCACCTATGTGGCCTATTGCACAAAGGCTGTTTCCTACTCTCCAACCACCTAAACAGCAATTTTTACATTATACGCATTGTTCGGTTTGGTCTGACAAAATATTTGGTCTCCAAAACCCTTCCAGCAATTAAATTTTATTAGATGTGATATTTTAAAACTTTGTCTTATCGAATATTGAGCATTTAGTAGCATTATAAGTGACTGAGTAAAAACCTTGAGTTGGTTGGCATACTTAACAACCATTACTAACGTAAAATTCTCCTAATTGACATTTGTAGGTTTTTGCTGTAAAAATGTATTTCAGTACATTTAATTAAGTTGAACAATTTATTGATACTAAAAGAAGTTCATCAGCATTCTAATAAGGATCAAATGTAAAAGATAGTAATTTCAAATCATAAGAATTTATGTTTAAATCATAGGGCAATACTTATATGGGTAGAGGATCTGATATTTTTTTATTACTTTATGTCTATGTCATCGTTTATAAGTTACAAGTGAAGTTCTAAAAATTAGTTACTTTTTCATTTATACTGTTTTAAAACTCCAATGAAAATTCATAAAAATATGACAAAAATCCTTACTAATTCTAATTAAATAATTTAAAGCTTAGAATCTGTTGATTACTAGGTAAATAAAGCTAGTTAGTTTTCAATAACTAGCCCTACTCTATAGTTTTATATGAATTTAATTAAAGAACATTTGTTGTCTGATTTTCAATTCTTTCTTGGGAAGAAAGCATTTCAAAAGAATTAATTATTAAGGCTAAATGATGTGGTTGTTCTACAATGTTATCTGTAAATTTCTCAGCTATATTTAATTTAATTAATGAATCATTAATATTATTTTTATTGATTTGATTAATTCCGTTAAAATATATTCCCCCTCCTTCTTTAGCATAATTGTCTAAAATTAGGCAATGAATAATTCTAAAATTATTACTGCAATTTTCAAAATATATTGCACCGCCTTGTTCTCTTGCAATATTCTATAAGAATTAACAGTGTTTAATGAAAATTATAACTTATTTTGCATATATGGCAGAACCATACATGCCGCTATTGAGTATAAATTTAGAATTCATTAGCTAAATTTTATTTTCTAAGTTTTTATTTGCAATAAAATTGAGACATCCAAACGAATCTATTTTGTTTTAAATACAATTAACTTCGACAATTTTCAAAATTTAGAATCCAGAGATATCAAAATAAATTAATCCGTTAAGTTTTCTTGAATAATTGTTCTTAATTAGAGAAAAGACTCTAAGAATTATTGAATTTTCATTTGAGATGCTCTAAATATAAATTAACGACCCTTATGAAGATATATTGTAATTTAAATATTACAAAATGGACTAAAATGATTCAGATGAGGAAGTTTAAGTTAAAGAACTACTTCTTAATATAGAGCATTTTTCAACATTAAATTTAATCTGAAAATTTTCGAATAAGGGGCTGCTCTCATCTTTTAATTAAAGTATTGTAACATTTTTAATTTCGACATCTTCTAAAAATAAAGAATTTCTTACGATTTTTGTTTAGCCTAAATAAAAAATGTTAAATGAATAAAATGTTTAAATAGAATTTATTTTACAATTTTTAATTTATACACTTTAAGAATCCACAATTTTTAAAATAGGAGAAATAAATATTCCTTCTGATATTAATCTATTTATAAGAAGTTAGCATCCATTTAAATTAATAAGAGCATTGTCAACTACAACTTTGTTGATTTCGCTTAAACTAATTGGATTAAGTTTATTGAAGTATTCTTTCCAATGTTAATAATTTTATGAAATAAGTAAATTTTAGATTGTTACTAAGTTTTGATCCTGCTTTTATAATGAAAATTCAATTTTCATGAATTGATTATTTAATGAGAGACAATTTTCTAATATCACGTCGTTAATATCTATTTTATTATATTTTTGTGATGGTATAATGGAAAAGATTGAAGAACTTTATCTATTAAAGACATTATAAAATTGTACATTTTTAATCTGTAAATTTAACTGACTATTTTTAGAGTATATACTAATACAACCTTATGTTTCAGTTGTTGATACTAGATCAACTTCAGCTTAATTAATGTAGAGTTAATTTAACTGAACAATGCCCAACCCTTAAGTTTTAATATCAAAGATTGAACTACTTTAAGAAGTTACCTAAGTGAATTAACCCAAGGCAATATTGATGTTGGAAGAAGTTAATGACATTGCCCCTCCTTTGCTTTAAATTGTATATAAAGAGGATATTATTAAATTGATTTCTTCTTGATTGTTTTAACTTGAGGGGGGAATAGTATAATATTTTTCCCAAATTTAGTAGTTTAAATTGTTATGATTCTTTATAGTAATATATTAAATCTAAACAGATATTGAGTTGATAAAAATAAAAGAATTTGAAGAGTTAGTTAAAGCATTTGATAAGCAAGTTATATTGTTTATAAAAACCGAACTTTATTAGGAATTTATGAATAATAATCCGGCTGAAGTTTAAGATGGATCATCAATTTATTCGTTAAAAAAATTTTCTTCAAAAGTGATATTTTCTACTCGGATTTCTTATGACTTTTCTGAATATATCAATAGTGAGGAAAAAATACTCCCTAAATGCTATTTTAATAATATATTTCCTTGAAATACAACATCTTTGATTTCAATTATTTCTTAAACATGAGGTTAATACAAAATGTTTGAAATAATGTGCACAAATGAATAATCGATGGTAAATTAACTTTAAATGAAAATTTTCTGTATTACAAGTTTGTAAAATCCTGAAATATAAATTAATTATGAATATTTATCTTCACTATTATCACATTCAATTGAGAGTGGTACTTATTTAGATTGTACTTCATTTAAGTAATTCATGTTCTCAATCATAATTGATTATGTGTCATATAATTTAAAATGCTGCATATTTTTTGAGGCTGCTATAACACAATCTTAAATCACTATTTAGGAACAAGTCAAAATAAATAGATATAATTACTCAGAGTTCAAGTTTCTGATGTTTTTGTATAATTCCAAATTACTCATAGTAACTTACACATTATCGTTAATATCAATTGATTGCAAATTAATTACGGATGAATTTGTAAATTCATTAATTAAGATTTTTAAAGTTTGAATTTAAATATCTTTTAATTTTCTCTGTTAAGAATGATAAAATAAAAATGACGAATCAATAAGCTTGTTAAAGTCGAATAAAGTATTTTAGATTAGTAAATTGTTTGTTAAAATTAACACTCTTGAATTATATACCTTATTTTAAGAGAATAATATATTTCTAATGGAAATCGATGATTAATATGTATTTTAGACAAATGTTGTAAAATTGATTTCATTATTTATAAGACTAACCTAATCAATATAAATATTAATTTAATCGTCAGTACTAGATTAAAAATTGAAAATTGTGGAATTATAAAATTTGCAATCAACAAAATATATAAATTTGAATCTAATGTCCTGTTAAGAATCTACAAATTAAAATAATACTGAGTTATGAAATACACTATTTAATATTACAATATTAGTAAATTAAATTTAATTCTTATAATTTCCTTTAGCATGTTGATATAGTAGGGAATTATTAAGATTTAAATACATAAAGTTGACATTGTTAAAAATACAATCACCACTTTTTGTTGATTTCATCTCATATTTTGCAATTAAATCAATATTTCCATAAAAAGTTGTATTAGTTATTATTAAATCAATTGGATCTTAATAATTTTCAAAAGATAAATATGTATATATATATTCGTCTGTTGAAGTAAAAATGCTCATGTTTAAGATTTAAACAATGTCAAAATTTTATATTACCAATCTATTGGTAAATGCCTTATTTGATTAATCATTTCCTATTAATTTCACTTGTACTTTTTAAAGGGAAAAGATTTTCTATTTAAATGAATTTTCTAATATACTCTCTGTTGAAAGTTAGCAAAACCATTCAGATATCAATAAAAAATTAAACACTATTGTTAATTTACTTCCACCCAATTAATTAATATAATCAAGTTAAATTTATGTGCCATAATATTCCGGAAATTATTGTTAGAGAATAAATTAACTGTTGTCACAATCGATATTGAACTAGGATCATAACTAATGATTACTTCATATTAAATATCGGATGTACAAATAGAATTTTCACAATACTTAGCAATACTACTATAAGGATCAATTACTATATTATTATCTGGAGCTTTTTGAAGACATTTATAAGTATATTTAGTTAATTCATCTGTCACAATAAAATAGGGGTTGATATTCTATAATTTAATATAATTATACCTTGATTTCTTATTCTGTTCTCGATTGACATAACTAACATAATTATGGACACTACATACAATTACCTGATTCTGATGAAATTATTGGTAACTTATAATAATTCAAAGGGCATTAAACACAATAAAAGAAATATGGAAATTCCTGAGTCTACGCGCATTGCAAACAATCAGGATCGCAATATTTGATACAATCACCCGAGTAATTAGGCTTATAGTTTGGATAGCATTCAAATGCAAATTAGATTCTTAGAAGATCCATTTCTGGCTTTGGATATAGATACTGGTTAGGCAAGAATTGCATTAAAAAGCTTTAAATTAATTATACCCATTCATCTTTTAGATGGTAATCCCCTTCAATACATATTTTAGCATGTTCAATAGAACATTTATCACACTATCCTGTGGATACTGAAGTTGAATAACCATCTTCACACAAGATACATTTGATTACTTTTGATGGAGTTTGCAGACACTATTTACAATTGAGTATATATTTATTACAATTAATAATTTCAGGAGCAACATTGAAATTATCTTCTTTTGATAGAGTGCAAATTTCTTATCCTTATAAATTGATATAGGATCTTAAGCAATTAAATATTTATGGTTTCTGATAATTACAGACACCCGTAGTAAAATCGAATATAAAACCATCTTTGCATAATGCACAGCCTATATGAAAAGAATCATCAATATTAAAGGATTAAAACTACTTATATAGAGTACATTGAGTCAAATCATTGCTTAAATACTCAAAGCAATACTGGCAATTTTCAATGCCGCATAGTATGCATTAATAAGTAGATGTTAGATAATAAGGAGATCGACAAATCTAGAAAAATGTTTACCCAGGTAAAGGTTTACCCTTACAAATTCCATCCTCAAGGTTTGTATAATAATCGCATTTGAAGCATTTGGTTTGTAATGTAGTGATCAAACAATCTATACAGCCTTTAATTGCACAATTATAACATTAACCCTTATCTTTCTAAGGAGTTTGTAAAGAATCGTCTTGAAAACAAAAGTTCCTAAATTATTTTGAGGCTAATTCAAATTCATCAATAACATCTTCATTAAGCTCTACAGAATCAGAACCATATCTTGGTATAAGGTCATCACCATCATAAATATAATTTAATTATGCAGTTTATAAATACTCTGTGACAGTCCCTTAAAGATTATTAAATGAAGAAGTTTTGCAAGAAGCATTATTTGCCCAAGTTTGAGGAAATTAATAACATTCTAAGCATGTTATAGCCTTACTGCTTATGATAGATGGACTAGAATAAAGATTTAATTTACCATTTGACGCATTTTTCCTCAAGTTAGAAATATCCTTGTAGACATTTCTAATCATTTGAATTATCCTATACAAGAAGAGCATTATAACTTTAAAAATCCTTGCATTACTAATCATCAATTGTATTGTAGGGGCAAACACAAGATTTTTGAGCAGGTTTAAAAATACGATTTGACTCTGCATAGCAAGATAAACAATTTGAACTTGTTGGACCATCGCAATCTTCACAACTATTATGGCAGTGTGCTTCAGGTAACATAAAATCCACAAAGCAATTTGAAAAGTAAGTGTTTACAAAACTTACACTTAAATAATCATTAGAATTTTATAATAAATTTCCATATTATAATTTAAATTTAAGCAAATGAAATTAATTGACTGTGGTTACAGATTTGTACTCATAATGAATAAAGTTTCCATAAAAAATTATTGATACGCTTAATTAATTATCTGATAGTATCGCTTAAACAAAATGCCAAAGTGTGAAATCGTTTGTAAGATCAAATTCTTTTTTTATTAAAAAAGGATCGTCTTAGAAATTAAGGGAGACAAGAGGAAAGGTATAACTATAAGTTGTGTAAATCAATTAAGTTTTATCTTCAGTAATCTTATAAAATAATTAGAACGCAGCCAAATTATCATCAACCAATTAAGGTATTTCAAAATTAGCAGATAACTTCATAATTTGATATAAAAAGTCCTAAGATGTCTTGTGAACATTTGTAATTTTGATCCAAGTTGTTAATGAAAATGTATTACAATTAGGATTCTATGAAGTAAATTATATCTTGTCTAATTATGTTAGTACTTAATCTTAGAGATATGTTTGCCAATTTGAAATGCAAAAGCATTAGGCTCTAAACTAAATTGTGGATATTACCAAATCGGGAGGAGTATGATTTATATCAAATGATAATGGATATAGAAGGAAAGTGCCTGGATAAAATGAAAATTGTGATATGCCATCTAAAATCTAGATCGTATTCTATGATATTATTTATAGACCTCCTCCAAAGGTCAAGATTAAATTTGTGTCTTTGTATGGATACAATATATCTTCGACAAGCTACTATAATTTAATTTAAGGGTATTGGATGATTAACAGTTCAAATCTTTTCTGCTTTGGCCACTAAGTAATTTGAAAGTAATGCCAGACATATTCAAAATTTTGATTATCTAATTATAATTCAAATTTATGCCAGTTCTCATCAATCGTGACAAATTGTATTTTTCTTACTATAGTTTATGTTTCATAGTTGAGACAATCGTAAACTATGAGATTCAAATCTTGGGTTGATTTTGAAACAGCATTATGAAGATGAAAACAATTGCTGTCTAATATTCCTATTGTTCCTATTTGAGCAATATCGCCTAAAGGAGCATATCTGCTCCACACACCATAGCCAAAGAAAGAATCTATTTCAAAATTGTCTAAGTTTATTTACAACTCCTAAGTTACTATTTAATTGTCATCATTTAGGATATAGATGTAATATGCACATATTTGAAGCGCTCTATAAATTATTAAAATTAAAGTCACTCCTCTCATTTTTAATAATAAATTAATAAAATACCCAATTTCGTATTACATATGAAATTGGACCTGAAATTGAAATCCTATTAAACTCAATTATTTTAGAAAATTTACAAAAATGCTAATATTTTTTATATACTTTCTTGATTAATATTTAAATAATTTCTTCTCATTATTAGGTAAAATAGATAATAAAATTTATATTTTCAAAAAATCCGGATTAAACTCAATCATGACTATCTAAACTTTTTTTTCTATTTGATCTTTTCATATGATTGTTCATCTATTGTAGTAGAGATTTGCTTATTAGAAATTAAAGCGAATATTTCTGAGTTGTAAAAAACAAAGTAATATTTCCATCTCTATTAATTGTTTAATTTCTATCTTTAATTATGATGGATTCTTATTATTAAGTAGTATACCTTAAATATAATACATTTAAACTAGAGCCAAATTTCTTGAGTTAATTTAATTATAATCTATTATCTAGGTCAGTCTAAATAATTCATTTGATTATTTTCCTATCCTAATCATGATTACATAATATAGGAGAAAGAGAAAAAAAATTATCTCAGAATTAACTTACATAGTTGAGCAAAGCATGATGATCGTAATACTTCTCGTATTATAATTATTCCTATTGTTTTCTTGATCATAAAAAATAAAATCGCATGGCTAACAAATCTTCAAGAGACTATTTTCGCTCTGCAAAATGGTCTAAATCTTAATGGAAAAAAGAATTATCTCTTAAGAATGCTAGCTTCATTTCTGTTTATATATATTATGTAAGATTTAGGGAAAGGAAATTGGCTGATCATTTTCTAAATCACATCAATGCCATCAAAACTTACCGATAGTATTTGAAAATTTAATTTTTATTAATATTTTTAATTTCTTTAATCAACTTTGTTTTAAATTGTTATTTTGTATTATTATATTAAATCATATTCATAAAATCTTAATTGCTATAATTTTGATATCATTTAGAGGTTTATCGAAATCATCAGTTTCTACTTCACTAATCTAAACTACAATATTCATTCCTTTATACACTCTGCCAAAAATTGTATGCTAAGACATTAATATAATTTCATACTTTATCATCCAACCAAGGAGTAGGACAAACAGTTATGAAAAATTAACTTGTATTAGTATTTGGACCTGCATTAGCCATACTGACTGTGAATGGTTTGTCATGTCTTAATTCAGGATGGAATTCATCCTAAAATTCTCCTCCCCAAATGGACTCTCCTCCTGTTCCATTTCCCTTAGGACAACCAGTCTAGATCATAAACCCTTATTAAACTCGATGGAAGATCAAGCCATCATAATACCCATTTTTTGAGTGTTGAATAAAGTTTTCAACTGTTTTAGGTGTTTCATTTGGAAATAGATTGATGTAGATTTCACCAAATGTTGTTTGAATAATAGCTTAACATCCAGACAAAGTCTAATAATATAACTAAAATGTACTTTATTTTTATTATCAGACATCACACTAATGCTTTGTTAAATAAGATTCAAGGGTTCATTCAATACATCTCTAGCTACTGCCCATGGTTTATCTGCTAGATCTTCAGGGATTCTACGAGAGAACACATAAAATTTGTTTGATTTATGAGCACTTATATACAAAGATGGATCAGTTTCTTTTCTGTTTAAAGAACTATGAGACTATTCATTTTAAGTATTCTTCATTGCAGGTCCTTGATACAATGCAACTCTCATGAACCTTTAACTACTTTCCATCTTCCCCAAAAGCTTTACTAGCTCCCCTGTCTAGATGTGGATGAACTTGATTCCAATAAAAGTAGGATATATCAATATTGAATCAGTCTCATCAAAACACATAGTAATTTATTTTAACTACTCAGGTTGTTTATCTATGTCCTTCTCAATTAATAGTCTTCTTTCAAAATCTTATTATTCAACATGTAAGATGGGGTAAGTTGCTTGATCATTTTATCTACTTGTAATAGCTTCGATTGACTCATCCAATACTAGTATTATCTTACCAGTTTGAATGTTAAATACTCTTAATTTCTTGTCTGAAACATACAAGACAATTAGTTTCTGCTCATTACTCACACACAACCCAAAACATTATAATTTATGTTGCATCAATTCGTATAAATCAGTACCTACTTTGCTTGAGTAAGTGATTTTGTATTTGGGTTTTGCATATGCTTATTTTGGAAAGTCCTAAGTAATGGGATCCCAGACTTCCATTCTACCAGTTGTATCGATTGTTAACATGAATTGGAAATTACTCAAATACTTCAATTGTTTAACAGGTTGATTATGTATTTTTACCATCCTCAATATTTTACCACTCTCAGTAACATAAATATCTCCACTATTACCATCGCTGATTAATAATAACTATTATTGTACATCCGCTGTATCCACAAACTCACATCCATAAGGTTGAAACGGAAGCTTTATCATGTCTAATAAATCTTAATTCAAAATATCAAAAATCTTGATTGTTCGATCAGCAGGAGACACACTTGCCATCTTGTCATGTCCATCAGACAATGTTGCACAAGTGACTATTCCTGTGTGTGCTCTAAAATGCTTAATGAATTCAACCAATCTAAACACTTTTCTCCACATCTTAATATGTCCATCTGTAGACACAGTTATAATTATGTGGCTCTTAAATGCAGATAATACAATGTTTATGTTTTCTCTATGCATTAATGATCGCTCATATAATTCACTCTAAGGCAAGTTGTCCAAAATAATATCCAATAGTGTTTATGTTGGTTTTGCAGCATCAGGACCTACAGTATCAGAAGACTGTATAGGTACAGGTTATGTGACCTTAGGCTGTGCTATTACTTTTTTTGGCTTCTTTATTTTTTTCTTAGCTTAAACGAAATTGAATTCATCAATCTCTTCAGCGCCTTCTATTTATTAATAATTCATAATTAAATATTAAAAAATGTATCACAAATAAATAAAAATTTATTCTTTAAAATACGTTCTCAACTAGCGTGCCTTTATTTCCAGTAGATTAATTCTTCTACAAAAATTCAGTTATTTTACTAGAATAAGAAAAATCATATAAGTTTGATGATTTTTATATAAAAAACAATATTCCAATTTAATTTAGGAAAATGACATATCATTTAGGATTAGAATATTAAAATAATAGTGTTATAATTTAATTAATTGAACTCTCAGTTATCTTTTCTATCGAATTGTTCTAGAGAGAATTTTGTTGTTGTTTCAAAGCTTAAGACTAGATATTTATTCTATTAGAGTATAGAAACCACAACTTATATTTCTAAGAATCCGTAATTTCGATGACAATTTCAATTCTAAATTCCTTAAATTTAATTTAATGTCATTTAGATATAAAATAATAATTGTATGGATATCTGAAATAGGCTAAATGATTATGTGTAATTTATGAAATAATCTGAATTTATCTTTAATAATGAATCACAATCAATACTGAGTTCTTCTATATGATGATGTGACTGTTTATGAAGGTTATTGAATTCCACTTTAACGAGGTGCTTCAGAAGCTCTCAAATTCGTTGGTGTTTAATTAGTCAAATATCTTATGCATAAATCCTCAAGGTCTTGATAAGTAATTTTGCCATCTGAATTTCTATCCAAAACCCTAATTATAATATATAAATTTTGAACTTATAAAATGAATCAATGTCTCCTCTGGCAGGAGAGAAGATTCTATTGAATGACTTATAGACGTCAACGATCATTGGTACGACTTCTACATTATCAATCTATCCATTTCTGTCTCTGTCATAAGTATCAAAGAGTCTTCTGGCAACAGCCTAGTCTCAAAGAATCATAAACCTTTGCTCCTTCCACATCTGTTAACCCCAAATTGAGTGGTTTTTGATCTTGTCCACTAACTACCTAAGTTCTGACTACTGACTCGTAAGTGTTTGAGTATTGTTACATTACTTAAGATTTAAATTAATATAATAACGAGTTAATATCAAAACTTTCATTTTAGTTTTGGCAGTTCAAATGGAGAAACACTTTATTTGCTCATATTCAATGCTTTTCTTTTTGAATTAATTCCAAATCCAATCCTGGCTAAAAATCTTTGTATGTGAATGCACCCATCTCCACATCTCTTATGTACCTAAAACTCAAAAGAAAATAAATACCCTCATATAATTTTCATAATATTTTTTGAAATCTATGTAAGTAATGGCTTATGGAGATTTATTGGCAAATTGAGAAATTATCATATAGAGTTAATCTTGCCAAGGATTCTTTGGTCGATTTACGAATTATTGATATATTTTCTTCATTGCATCTTCCTTCAAATGATCTTGTATCACTTCTAATGGCTTTCCTAAATTGGCCCTTACAGCTTCTAACTCAAAATCAGCATCTGTTTGCATTTCATCTCCAAACACATGGAAATACATTTTTTGCTCTTTTTATTCTTTTGTTTCAACATCAAATTGAGTTGTCAGACCAGTCTTATTCTTTAACATATCTTCCAAAATCTTCTGGCTTGTTGTTTACCTCTATTTTTTAGCAATTGTATCTGTACTAACACTTCCATAATTCACAATATGAACATCTGAAGTTTGACTAATACTTCTGCCCTAGTTAGGCTATATGAGACTGCTTTCATTAGTATAAGAGAGCAGTACCTGACTCTTTTATCTTCCAACTAAATTCATAGGAGATTCCAAACCTTTTGGAGGTTAAGTGGTTTTCATTATAGATATTGTTGGTCTTCTATTTTATTATTCTGAATCTGTTGTTTCATTTTTCAATTATATCATAGTGGTCATCTTGCTATCATTAATAGTATTATCAATAAATTTATCCTATTTGGCCTTGGTTGTTTAATCAGCTATAACAGTAGATGCCCTTGATTTTTACCTTTAAGAGGGAGTCTTCTCATAATAGTGTATAAATTATTGCTCATTCAAAAATATTTATTCCAACTTTTTAATTTATTCCTCAGTTAATCCAAGATCAACCTACATTTTTTAGAATAGATTCCACATAAAAAAGTCATCAGTTTGAGTAAATTTTGCTGTGACTTTTTCTTCCTGAGATCGATAACTTTATCTCATCAAAGGAGTTTGGAACCCTATCTATGAACCCATCATATTAGTGTTATCTTCTTATTAGTTTATCATCGAAGCCTTGATGTATAGATTTCCAAAATTAACTTGAACCCCCCTATTTGCGACATCCTCATCAATTTCATCATAATCTACTTCTCCATATTCGACTTTGATTGAATGTCTCTACTTAATTTGTCTTACTTATTTATTTATACATTAAGCTGTAGAGTGAGATTAAATTACAGGTTTTTGACTGCTTTACTCTATTTATCCTCTGCTTATATTTGCTTATTGTCTACTAGATGATAATTACTTTTATTATTCTGTTTTAAATCTACTTGACTCTTTAGTCTATTATTAGGGATTTTACGGTTATTATTGAATGATTTGTTATTACTATTATTATGTTTAATTTTGAGTCGAAGTTTAATTAGTTAAAATTTTATTGATCTTAGTATCAGATTAGTTTTGTTTAACAGAAGATGTGTTATTTATGGTATTTCTATTACCTGAAGGTGGACTAATGACATCTTATTTTCTTGGTGAGTTTTCTTATATAATACTAGTTTCTTCATTAATTTTATTTAGAGTCTTTTTCTTAAATGCACTAATTGAATTGTTATTTTCATTAATAGTATTATTATTTATTATAATCTAAGATTCTGAATTTTCATTTGATTAATCTTCAAATTTATTCTTTGTTTTTCTAATTCCTATCACTTTTTCTGATTTTTCTGGGGATATTGATTATTCAAATTAAGAATCTGCTCTTTCTAGTATTATTTTTTTGGATTTCTGTTACTTATTTTTAACCTTTTTAGTTTTCTTTATAGAACTTGGTGAATAATCTTCATCATCACTTTACATCTCTTCAAATTTCTCTAAGACTTCTTCCAAATTTCTATTAGAATTATTATTATTTTGCATTTTTTATCTCACCGTTCTATATAATTCATTTGGTGGCATTCGTGCAATGTCATTCTCTGAATTTTCTATCAGATACTATAAAAATGTTTGTAATAATTCTATTTTCCCTTCGGCTTACAACTCACTCTAAATAATCATCATCAGAACTTCTTCAATCAATTAAGGTTATAACAAAACCTTCTGTTTATCATTTTTTGCTTATTCGTACATAGTTTATAATTCTCCTTTCATATTCTAATTCTCTTCAACAATTTCTTTCAATTGCAATTCCAATTTAAAGATCTTCGGATCACTCATACTTACTTAGATTTCAACATGACTCTATTTCTCATTTACTTTGCTAGTAGTAAAGGTATTATTTTGTTTCTCACTAGCTTTTATTTATTCCATTTGAATCATTAAATTTACTAATTTCTTCTCCTGTTCTTCAAATTTAGAAAACAGAGCTGACATCTTTGATTCTTTTTCCAAGATTTCTTCATTCTTGGTATTAATTAGATGTTCCAATTCATCTATTCTTTACATGTTCTGTGATTTTCTTTTGTGCATTTACAATCCTGAATTCTTCTTCAATTAAAATTTCTCCAATTCTTCTTTCATTTTTCTCTCTGCATATTTTAATATTCTATCTGCTGTTGATTTCTGAACCCCAACCACAACCTTATCCCTTATTTCCTATTTCATATCTCTGGATGGAAATTCAGGCTCCTAATTAGCAATTCGAATTTGCTCATTAATATATATTTCATTTCGCTAGAGTTCTCTTTCCAAAGTCTTACCTAGATCTTATAATTTAAATGGAGCATTGCTAGCATGTATTTCACTCCACAACCCTTTAAACTTAAGAAACTTCTCTATTTCTCTAAGATTCATCTCGTTCTCCTCTTTAGCTCTTTATAATTCCCTCTCTTTCTCACCTAAATATTCCGCATTTAAATATCGCATGGCATCTTCGCCTGTATCTGTTCCCTTTGATTGAACATTCTTCTTAAACTTTGGCTTGTTACTTCTGAATTCTTATTCTGCAGATATGAATTTAGACTTCTGAGAGGAAAGTATACTGAAACTTTGGATTTCTGCTCCACCGAAGATGGTTTTTGAAGTTGCATTAGTCGAATATGATCTTTAACAATACTCTAAGGGGAGTTCTGGGGGGTTCTAATGTTTTCGTTGATTAATCTCTTCCACTTTTTGGAATAAAACATTATAATGATTGCATAACTTTGAGATTACACTGGATTCATCATTCAACCCTTTCCTTTGTAAATGAAAATTAATCTCATCAAAGCACAGATTCAACCGTTCTATTATCTTTTCTAAATATTCAATCCCATACATATTTCATTGTTGTAGTTGTAGTCCCATTCCATTGCGTTAATGATTGTTTATTGAGTTCAGAAATGGCTCTCTCTCCTGTTGCTGCTATTTTTGCTAAGGCATCCATTTAATTTATATATGTATGTATATAAATAAAAATTATGAGTGATGAATTAACACTTTAGAAAGTTAAGGAAAATATATTCTGGGCTGATTACTATAAAGAATCGTATAAATTCAAGGATTTTAACATACGTAAACACGGTGTTACCATAAATAATGATTTTTTGAGTGTTCTGGCAAATAATTAATATTTGACTGCTCAACACTTTGTTTTTTTTTAAGAGATGTTTTCATATTATTTTGGAGAATTTCTAGTATATCATTTTATTTACTTATTAGGTACTTTCTTTAGACTGTCATGTATTCACTGAGTTCATTCCAGATGTTTCTAATTAAATACTTTCTAATATGATGGTCACTCAATATTAATAGAATTATACTCCAAATTAATTCTAAATGTTTGAATCCTAGTATGAATAGGAACAACTACCAACATAATAGACCCAAAGTGAAAATAATTCCATTTTCTAAAAGACTTTAAACTTTATCAAATTCTTAAACCCATTACGATTTTTTAGAAAATCCTAACCTCAAGAAGACCTCAATTTACAAGATAGTTTTTCTAATCAATTTAACTTTAGTTATTAGAATGAATTTTCCTAATAAAAAGAATTATTGTAAAAGTACAATTTCTAAGTGAAGAGTATTTCCTATGAGAAAAAAGATCAGTAAGAACCTACTTAAGGGATTGCAAAAGGAGAGTTGAAAATAAATAATGTAATCATACTAGAAAATGAAAAAGGAAAATATTAGTTTAACAAATTAAACATTCAAATTAAAAATTTAATAGAAAAATACAAATTCTCTACTTTAGTGAAAAAAAACATTTTTAGTTTATTTAAATATACATACATTCCTATTAATTTATAAAATAACCATTGGCTTTGTGCTATTGTGGATTTTAATGAAAATTAAATCTAATATTTGGATTCTAACTATTCAGTATAAAATAATATAGTTGAAGGTCTGGAAAAAATGTTAAATTATTACGGTGAATAGACCAAATGGTAAATCATAGAAGGTAGTCCAAAGCAAGAAAATAGGTATAAAATTTATTCATTTATCCAAGTTTTGACTGTGGGATATTCTGCTTAATGGCCTTGTATTAATTTTATAAAAAGGGTAAGCTTATCTCACCTAATTCATATAATCAATAAGATATTAATAGTTTTAGAAAATAATTACTCCATTTAGCAGTAATAGAGAGTCAATTTGATATTAATTAAAAATTACTTAATATTATTTTAGATTTTAAACATCCAAATTGAATATATCATAGTTAAAGTGCAAAGAACAATGAAATATTATCAAGCTATTCTTATTTAATATGATTTTTATAATTAAAATTTGATTAAGAACATATTTCAATTTGTAAAAAATAATGCAATTGAAAATAATTTATAAATTTAAATTAAATCACAAACAATCTTGTTATTTTATAATTTATATTCTCAAAGATCTCTTATCATTTCATTTTAATTATTCATTTTTCCATAATTTCACAACTACCTAAATCAATTTACTAATAATAGATTTATCAGAAGAGGATATTTAAACCCTGATATTTTATTTCTCCCACTTGAAGGAGTGATATTTATGTAATAATCGTAAACTCTATTTAATATAAGTTGTAATAAATCGAATTGAGGAGACTATATAAGAAATATTTGATCAAACTTTTAATTTTTTTATTATAAATCGGAATGAGTGATTAAGAGTACGGAGAGGATTACGAAAATGAGGAGTAACATCAATAAATTATACAAAAGATAGCAGAACGAGTAGGAGAACGAAGAGCAAAACGAAAATATGGAGTAGTCGAATAAAAACCAATCATAAGCTAATAATAATGAAGATGAGAACAATGAGCAGTAGTAAATATTTAGATATTAATCATAAAGGTAGAATGATAATGATGGAGATGATGAAAATCAGGACAATAATGAGTAGGATTAATAATAGTAAGACGATTAACAGAATGAAGAAGAGAATTAAGATAACGAGGGTGAGAAGGAGGAGGATCAATAGGCAGACTAAATGGAGAAGTCATAATAAAAAGAAGAACAACAAGAGTAGGAGGTTGAAGAAAGCTAATTTGAATAATCAATGGTAAGGTTACAAATAATTAATTAAGTAATCGGAAAAGAATGTCAATTTAGAAAGTATAGATGCTGTATCTGTAAAGATCAATAAGGAAGAAAAAGGAACTTAAAAAAAAGCAGCAAAGAAGGCAACAAAGACATCTAGTTAATAAGACATGGTCAATTAATTGATGAAGAAGCATAAGGAAAAGCAATAGAAAATGCAAAAGAGGGAAGATGAAATATATGTCCAGGAGAAAATAGAGAAGAAATAACCCAAACCCTAGCCAAAGCCAAAAGTAATTACAAAATAAAAGTTAACATTTGATAAACAAACCAAAGCACAACTTGAGGATCCATAATTAAACAATCAGCAAAAGGCTGCCATTTTAACTAAGGATTTAGGGAAGAAATTGGAGGTTCAAGTAGTAGTGAAGGACGTTCCTAAAAGTATGATTGCAATTTAATTACAATAGAAATGGAGGTAAAGAAACCAGGGAAGGGAAGTGAAGCAAAGCCAAAGAAGAATTTGTTTGATGTTAGAATTGGGGCAGGAATTAAATCGAAATTAGATATAGAGTCAGATGACAAATCTTAAAGGGATAAGGAAAAAGAACGTAATGCTTTTCTTGAGTAAAAAAAGAGAGAAAAGGAACAAGCAATAAAGTTTTAATAAGAATAAGATGAACTATTAAAAATTAAATAAAATAACATCAGAAAAGCTTAAGAAAAAGCCTTGGAGAGAGACAATAAAGTACTTCAAGTAAACACTGAGAAGCAATAAGAAATAAAATAAGTGTATGAAGCTAAAAAAAAGGAATTGATTAAAGAGAAGGAGGAGGATAACAGGGATCAAATGAAAAAGGACTTAGATATCTTGAAAGCCCTAAGAAAGGAAAACAATCTATTGACTGAAGAAGTAAAGAATTAGGAGACGAGAATTAAGGAGTTGGATAAATTGATAGAACTAGAAAGTAGGAAGGAGAATGTGATTCAAATTAATGGTGAGTATTAAAGTTTAAGAAAGATAAGACTAAAATAAGGCTTGGATGATTTTAAAACAGAATTAATTAGTGGAGAATAATCTTAAGTTTTGGGAGATGGAAATATATCAGATCCTGATATTGCCTTAACAGTAGCCAATTAGATTGCCAAGAATGATTTAAAATTGAATGATGCATACGCTTTATTAGATGAAGATAAAGATGGGGTTTTAACAATCAAGGAAATCTAGAATAACATTTGCAGACTCAAGTATGATTGATTGTATATGTAGTTTAAATATTAAGGAATAGGAAATACAGCAATTCATAAAGATGTTGGATAATAATAGTGATGGTGTTTTAACTGAATAGGAATTCATTACTTTCCTGACTCCAGGGTTGGAGAACCAAAAGTAGTACATTTAGATTATGGGAGACATTAAGGATATCTTGAATCCTATAATATTGGAGGAGAGAAGGTTGCATTTGAAATATTTACAGAAGTATTTATAAAAAGAAATTGAAGATGAAAATAAGAAAGAAAGAGAATAGAAACCAAAGTATGATAAATTGGTTAAGAAACTTAAAAAAGTAGAAAAATTGGTTGAGTCTTTGAAAGGCACAACATCTGATAAGGGGAAAGTTAAATAACAATGTGATTCATTAAGATAAGAATTAAGATCGATCCAAGATAAAAGAAATAAAGTCATAGCTGAATTGGATGATAAGAAATAGATGATCAAAGAAAATATTGAACAGTTAATTAAGGATCTTGGAGACAGATGCTAGGAAGTATTGTTGATGAAGGAGAAATTAAATTAGGTGTAAACTTAATGTCAAAGATTATAATTGAAATTGTTATCAATGGAATAAATGAAAAATAAGTATAAGAAGGAGTTGAAAATTAAAAATGAGATTGAAATTACAGGAGGATAAAAACAGAATGTTCTCTAATAATTAAGGTTGAAAGAAGAGAAGATATAATAATTGGAAGATGTCAAAAATTTATAGTATATGCACTATGTAATAATTGTATAAAAATGTACAAGAGGCTTTCTAATGAAAAAAAGATTAACTAAAAAAATACATGGTTTAAAAAGTTGTGCAAAGAGTTTAATGGCATTTATTGAAAAAAAACATAGACATTAAAAAATTTAAGCTCTTAATTTGTTAGAAGAATTTATAAAGTAACAAAAGAAATTAGAGATAGCAAGGAAAGAATAAGAACTATTGAAACTATAAGAATAACAAAAGAAAAAATTAAAGGATAAAAAAGCAAATAAAGTAGAAAGATTTATTGCTCAATAATTTGTTAGCATTAAAACTGAAGATAAGCTAAATAATTTAGAATAAACATTATCAATAATACCAAAAATAATTTTAATATAAAAGATATTCAGAAAAAATAAAAGGGGAATTCCCATGTCAAATTAAGCAATAAATGTTAGTTTTGGTTTAGGTTATAGTGAGAATTGTTAAATTTGCAAAACAGACTTGGCAGAAGTTATATGTAAGTAATGTGAAAAGCCAATCTAATGCGATAGTTGCTTTAGATTGAGTCACAAGAATTACAAAAGAAGGAATCATGAGTTTTACTTGATGATAAAAAATAAATTCAGAGGTGCTAATGGTATATCTTATTATAATATTTAGAATAATTTGAAAATAAAAATCATTAACAATAAAATGAAATGGATGAAGTATTATCAAACTAATGATAAATTATATATATAATATTCATTAAAATTACTTTTTTTAGGTCTTGTTGAGTTGATTTCTTAAAATTATTAAATAATAATAATAATAATCTATTAAGTTTTTAGAATTTAATTAAATCTTAATTATTGCTTATCAATGATTACAATATATTTATATGCATCTAAAATATAAATTCTGATCATAATAAATATTGTGTGGACTCTATTTTAAATGTATTATCAATTAAAAGCATGCTCATGCATATTAGTAAATTTCTTTTATAATTAATGTATTACTTCTGAGAAATTAGTTTATTTAATTTTTACATAACAAAAAAATAGGTTTTTATAGATAGCTTATGCAAATACTTAGAATTCTTATTATTCTGTAATTGATATAGGATCATTAATAGCCTAAGGCTGTTGATTGAATTGAAGCTTCCATTTAATTTTATCTTAAATGTAATTATATTAATTTTTATATATATATAAATTTAATGATAGCAAAAATACCGCTAAGAGTTGCCAGAACTATACTTCCTATGAACTATTCTGGATTGAGATTATACATTCCGGAATCAATAATAGAGAAAAGTAGTTATTGTAGTTAAACAAAGATCATTTATATCAACTTATTGAGAGAGGAATGATATTTGAAACTATGGTTTTGAAGAGTACACAATCAAATTCGGATTAGACAGAAATTAATGGATTTAAGGTCCAAGATTTGGAAGATGACTTGAAATTAGAATTAAGTAAAACAGTTGAAAATGTTTAAATTTTAATTTGCATTGAATGTTTGAAGAAAGAGGAATCCTTAGACGAGGAATAATAAGAAACTCAGAAATTTGCTGTATTAAATTAGACTGAAACTCTAGTTTAGAATTTCTAAACTGTTTACTTGAATCATATTCCTTTTAGTATTTATCTAACAAAGGGAAATGGAATAGTTTCTTGTTACGAGTGCTCAGCCTACAGAAGCAAGGTAAAATGTCACTCATTAAATCTATAGATTCAAATCAATATGGTCCAGATAATTGATGACATCGAGGAACACAAGCAAATCCCTAGACAGGAGAGAGGAGTGAAGGAGTATGTTGGAAGGAATCAAGTGATAGACGATACTGTAATAATCTCATAATAACTAAGTTATAAAAGGAAATGCTAAATTATCTTGAGACCTTTGGAATAGACTCTGAACTTGCATAGTTTGTGGAAAACCTACAAAGTGATCGAGAACAGGCTCTGTATCTGAAATGGTTATAAAACAAGCTCAATTCTCCATGATTGACTGTTGTAATTAACTTAAATGTAAAAATTTATAACAAAACCAAAACTTTTACATAATACCATAAAAACATATAAATTATGAGGATATTTAATAAAAATCAGGTTCTTTCATTTAAGCTAATAAAGAATTGAACAAAGTTTGTGAGAGAGTACTTAGTAGTAGAGGGCTTTAGCAATTTGATGTTACGAATAGTCATTCTTTTGGCAGGTCCATTTGCATTGCCTTATAGATTTGGAACTTGCGCAATTAAAATGGGTAATTCAACCTTAACATCATATGGAGGTTCATCTCCATCAGTGAAGGAGTCCTCAAGCTTTTGTTTTTTGGATCTGAAATCATTATTCATACACTTTTCAAGATGTTTTACATCAGGTTCATTTGGCAGAGCCTTTTTAATCTCATCTATCAAAGTAAGATACATTAAAAGAAGTAATCCCGATATTTTATCTTGCAAATCCTGAGCTCTTCTGTTTTCAATTTCAATTACTTTGTCACCTCTTATGACCGATACTTTTTCAGCAATTCTTGCAATGGCTTCTATGAATTCATAAAGATTCATTTGATAATGTTTCGGTTGAAATAGCTCATCTTTCTAAGTTATCATGCTTTATAAGTAAGCAAGGTAGCATTCTCTTTCTGTTAATTCATCACAAATGATATTTGATTATTTCAATAGATCCTTAAAGTCTTATGGCGAAACGTAATCGTATTTAAATTGCTAGGGTTTCTTGCTCAATTTACAAGTATATTTGTAGAGAATCTTGATCATGGGCATTCTTTCATGGATAAGAATATCGCATTTTTCATTCCACAACCTCATCTTCCTCCAAGCCTAAGCAGAATCAAACTTTGACAAAAACTCTCTGCATTATTATTGTAATTGTGTTAATCCTTCAATCATCGTTTGACACAATCCACTTCTGATATATTTGTCATTACAAAATCGAACCAGAACTTCCATAAATTGACATCTCACTATTCCTTTTTCATACGCCTAAGGGAAGGAGACATCCTTAGCACCTGCTGTTGAAGTAAATCCAATATCGATATCATTTGGTTTGACTCCTTCAATAACATCATTGGAAATTAGAAATTCCACATAATCGGTTGGTCCCAAACATGGGATCTACAATATTAAATAATAAAAAATACAGGAGCCGTTGGATTTCCTGATGCAAAGTACTTGTAACAATTGAAGATTTGCACATAGAATTATTTTAATATTTCTTTGACTTCCTGTAATTCAGTTTCCTTTACTAGCCTATTTATTTTTGAATTTTGATAATCGAATTCAAAGCATTCCTCTATTAATTTATCAGTATCTGGTGGGAAGTATCTGAATATCGATGTTTCAACTGACCATTTCGTGGATGCAATATTCAAATAGGGAGAAAAGTCAAATAAGGCCATCGTTTCTCTTGGTTTGGCTTACACTAAGGGAACATATCTATCAAATAAGACTTAGTTGGCAGGCGATATCAATTCATTAATCATTTGCATAGTGTTTCCATCAACTAAAATTTCATTGTTGTATAGAAATGGGATAGAAGGGAGTGGCTGATGCAAATATAACACATTCTGATCTTCTGCTATGCATTAGATTCCAAGTATTGGATTTGTAAAGAAATATTTGATTGATCTATTGGGAGGACACATTTTTACAAAGAAGAATGCCCCATTTAAGAAGGTCATTAAATAGGGTTTATAGTCATCAAAATCGAAGTGAATGAAGATTGGTTCAGATCGTAAGGTCCCTGATTTTTGATTCCATTGGAATTTGATTTCTTACCATCCTTCACATATCCAACAAACATCCAATTTATTTATCATGTTTACTTTTTATTTGTTTAGTTCAGTTGATTTCATTCTTCGACTTCTATGATAGGCAAGACACAAATCTTCATCTGTTTTCAAATTATTTGGATTTTCTAATTTTTCTTCATCCAACAATTTAAAATATTAGGGTTGCTTATTTAATAAGTCTATTTTCTATTGTTTTAATTTGAGTTCCTCCTTTCTATTAATTAGAAATCCATTTGGATTAACTATTATGTCCTAATAATTGCCTTCGAAATGGAATCCGTAGATAGTTTCATTTTTAATCAGACCTTCAGCAATGATTTGACTCTGCTGCTGATTAAACTTATTGTATCTTATGTCTATATGAACTAACTCATTGTAAGGTCGAGACAATGCCTTGGCTATAGCCTAAGCGCATTCCAAAGAAGCAATGGCATTATGAGACATGTCTAAAATCTTAATGCTGGTGTTCTTATACATGGCTTTCCAAATTTGGATGCTACCATTAATTTAGAGATTATTGAATCCTAGATATAGTTCTAAGAGTCTTTGGGATTATTTTAAGAAATTACTCAAGGCTACACTCGAAGTTTCTGTAATTCTATTATTGCAGAGATTTAAACACTACAATGTGTTATTGTTCATTAGATGTTTCATAATCATATTGCAACCTTAATCTCTGAGTAAATTCTATTCCAAGTTCAATTTCAAGATCAGATTCTTGTTAATATAACTCATCAGAGTGTCTACATGTTTGAAATTTAATTTGCAATCTTTTAATTCAAGTTCTCTTATTGTATTAGGAAAGCTAGACAATAGTTCCTTGAACTAACGTGGATCATATATGTTGCTATTCAATTACATCTTCTAGATGCCTTGGGATTGTGTAGTTGTCATAGCTTCTGCATATACTTTGCAATCGTCAATGCTCCTCAGATACCTAGATGCATTTACTTGGGTCAATTGATTTCCAGAACTAGTCACTAATCCAAAGGTTTTAGGTACAAAAATCTAAGCTAATCAATAAATGAAGAGCATAATACAGTTGTTTAACTTGAGATATATGTTCTGTGGAGATTGTTAATAAACTTTAGCATATTCGGTTAATTTTTCTTTTTATCTAACGCACTTCATAAATTCAGAGGTTGTTAAATTTGGCAACTGTTTACTAGAATATACATATTTCTCTTACTTTCCTAATTTCATTTTTTCGAGAAAGTCGTCATTATCCGGAGACTTTAAATTAATTGAGGATCTCCTTCCATCAAATTGCGAGGAATTGAATTTGTCAGTGGCCAAGGGAGATATGAAAATTTGTGAATTTTAAGATTAAATTGAACTTCTTCTGAATTTCTCTGTAGTTTCATTGAATTCTTTGATGTATTCTGCATCCTTCTACATGAATGATTTCCAATCTAAAACTTAACTAGCACCAAGATCATGTGATAGTCGCTTTTCTTAACTTCTTGAATCATTTCTTTTGTCCTTTTCTATAATCAATGGTTCCAATTTTGATAGTTTTCTTGAAAGTATCACTTATGATTTGGTTTTGAATTACGAGGGACTGGCCGTAAGAAACATGACACTTTTTGAATCAATTGATCCTAAGGTAGTGTCATCCATAATGATTGGTTAAAACTTATTATACATTTATAAAAACTATTATGTTTATTAATATCACAAGAATCAAAAATTAAACTCAATTATTATTACAATTTTCAGCTTATCTCCAATCTTAAAGTTCATTATTTTAATAGAACCATTGTATATCAGGTTAATTCTATAACTAAACTATATTATAGAATCACAATACAATTTAAAAAATAAAAACAATTATGATATAAATACAATAAAAGGAATAGACACCCTTCAAAACCTTCCAATTGCTCTAAATTCAATGTTAGGTGACTATGAAATTCTTGGCTGGAAAACTCCAAACTAAATAATAATTCCTTGGAAGGCTGATTGAAACATTTTAATTGAGATATTAAAGTGATGCAAATGATCCAGATACTCATTTTATAATAGAACTTTAAGATGACACCCAAAATTAATTCTTGTTTTATGGAGATCTAATAGCAATCAAGCATTTCAAAAGTCAATTATATATCAATGTGAATCATGATTAAAGACGAGATCAACTAGATTAATTCGACGTTTCTTTGATGGAAAAACCGGAATATTTTGTAATACAACCACCAGATGAAGATTAAAACTTATAACTCAAGTATCTCAATAAGAAAATAGTTGATCCTTTTCGATTATTGTCTTGTGATAATAGAAAATATTTAATTTCTCATTCTTTGAAAAATGAGAGTAATACTCTAGTCAAAGGCAAACAGAATTTGGATGTAAAAATAACAAATGAAGGAGTCTGGAATTTTGTATATTTTGAGTCGGATAATCATATTTTGAAGATGTTTAATAGAGTGCAAAGTCAACCAGTCTATGTTGAGAGTGGGAGTAAAATAATCATAAGGAATTGGTGGACAGGGTTCACTTTGCATTCCCATACTATTATGGTTTCATAAGGAACTAAACAAGAAGTCACCTGTTTTAGTCATCCAAGAGATAGTAAACATTTTTATAGACATTTATAGAAAATGATTATTGGTCTATTGTTAAATAACAATCCAGGAACACTTCTAAATACATTAATCGCGAAGATCAAATTCTTCTATAGCATCTATAGACTGCCCTATATCTGAATGTTTCGGATGAAGAATCCTTCTCAGAATTAGGTCATCTAGTGTTTTGCTCCTTGAAGGCTTAATTCTTCAGTCTTTAAAGTAAACTAAGCATATTAAATATAGCATTTGAAGAATTTATTTTAGAGATGAACAAACCATTTGTTATTAAATTTAATAATTATTTCTTGGCTCAAAGTCCATCTGCAGCAGAGTGCAATATTGGGAATCAGTAGGAGTGCATATTTGTTGAGGAATAAACACAAGCATGCTTATGGATTATAGAGAAAATAATTTGATATTAAATTTTAAAAGACTTTTTTAGAAATTATTTTATTTTATGTAGCAAGAAAATTTGATTTATGATTGAACTCTCATTTTGATCCCTATTCATCATCCGACTGGAATACATCAAAATTTTGAATTGGCTATTTCTCAACGATCTTAACTTACTTCGACTTCTCCTTTATTTATTTCTTCACTTATGATGATTCCTACTCAGAATCATCATCATAGTCAACAGTATTTCGATGATGAGTTGAAATCTGAACATAGTGTACTTGCAATCTCTCTGATATTTGTTTATATGAAAAGCCCAAAGAATTTAGATGTTCAACCAACAACCAAAACTCCTGCTTTTGATAAGTATAGGGCGAACTTCGTCTTCCGACAAGCTTCTATGGAGGAGGAGGATTCAGATCCTTCTCAATAAACACTCGAAATATGGCATCGATATTGGTTGACACTTTTTATTGAACAGCCTGACATCATCATATACATTCTTACTTAATCTTAAATCAATTTTTCAACCATCATTTATAACGAATTATACATCCTAAAAAAGTCAATAGGCTTGACATCATTTGTATTAACATTTTTTATGTCAAATGGGAATTCTCCATTTTCTGGTTTCGGAATGAATAAGGGGCGGGTTTATTTTTTGTACATATAAATATTTTATTATTCATTTAATTAAGATGTGGAGAATTATCATTGATCTATTATTTTATTCCATAAAACCCTATGAATCTCAATAACCAATCCAAAACTGAACCAATTTGGATGAGCTATCTTAGGCTAAATCATATTAATAAATTTATATTTATTTTATTTTTAAACCTAAGCCAAACATTATGGAAATTCCTAGTATCTCTCAAACTCGTTTGAGTTCAAAAAAGCTTAGTCAAAAAATCAGAGTCGATCGATAAGGACATCCAATTCTCAAAGGATACAAATTGCACTCAATAACTTTCATTGATGAGGTTATATCTGGATCGCATATTCATAAAGTTCATAAAGTTGATAGTTGGAAGTTGCACAACATTAATTAATATCAAAAACAAAATGACTAAAAATGCTGCCTAGTTAGTTGAAATCTAACAAGAATTGAATTTTTTTATGTTTTTACTTTAAATGTTTTTTTCATTAAAATTATGTTTAAATACTATTTTTCTATTTAAAATTATATTAAAGCGAATTAAGGAAAATTATTACCTCCATAGTTCAAGTGCCGAATAAGATTTATGAGTAAAGAAATGTACTCTAGCATATCTACTATTGAAATGAATAAACTACTATCGATCTGCTATTAAATCCACTAAGTGAATATTTCAAATTCGCTGAGTTTACTTCACTAGAGAAACAAGACTTATAATTATGAACATCTTTAAATTGTATGGTGAAATTAAGGATTCTATTTGAATAGCTGACTTTTCTTTTTGAATTCAAATAGAATTAAATGAAAAATGAGTTGAAATTTAAATGAATAATATCAATTAGTTATGTTGTCAGTGATAAATTGTAAAGATATACTGCTATGATATTCTAGAGAGTATAAAATGATTTTGGCATTGAAAAAATACAAATGAAATTAGATCATAAACAAAAACACGTAAAACTATCTAATTGAAATCCATGAAAATCTAATATTCTAAATAGAGATACTACAACTCCACTTTATAATATTTTTAAAGTTTGAAAAAAAGTTATCAAAATATAAATTCTTTATCATACCCTTTTTTATTATCTACAATCCATTTATGTTATAACATTTAATCAATTGTAATTCTGTTCTCAGGCTTTTATTACAATCCTCTTCTAACAAAATCTTTGAGTGCTGGAGAGAATGTTTGAGGAAGTTCAAATTTATTCTATTAGAATATATATAATGTGATTCAATACTTTTAATATGTTTTCCATAATTGATTCATCATCTCTTGGATATTCTGAGAAGGGAGTATTACCAGCAACCAGCTCATATGCAAGGATAGCCACTTGCCAAGCATCACATCTTTCATCATATCCTTAATCTTGAATTACTTCAGGGGCAATGTAGTCAACAGTTCCACAAAAAGTATTTCGCCTGTCCTCCTTTGATGGGATTTCTCTAACACATCCCAAATCACAAAGTTTGACATAATTCTTGAAATATTAAATACAAAAATACAAGGGACATTAGGATATTCTCAGTCTTCAAATCTCTATGCATATACCCTTATTTATGCATATATTGAATGGCTGATAATATTTGCATTATAAAAGTACTAGCATCCTTCTCATTAAATCTCTTATTGGGCTGCTTGTATTAATGTTAGAATAGTTCTCCATTATTACAAAATTCTAACATCATATAAATATGTGAATCGTCATAAGTCTATCCATACATTTTGACTATATTTGGATGTGATAATTTGGATTGGATGACAATTTCTCTAGCCAATTGTTCTTGCATTGCATGTTCAACGACTGTTTGTTTTTTAATGATTTTAAGAGCAAAGATTAATCCTGATCTTTTATCAATAGCCATATGGACATCGCTGAATTTCCCTCTTCCCAAGAATGAACTAATTTTAATATTTAGTTTTTATTCAACAGACTTATATAGATTAGATGTTGGTTTTGAGGATGAGAATTAAGATGTGACTTTTTGTTAAAGTGTAAAGGAATCTTAAGATTTACGGATGCTAGAATTATTTGTAAGTGTCATAATGCTAATATTGTTAATTGTTGCATTTTTAATTGGATTAGGTACACATTTTAAATTTGCAAAAGTGTTTTGGCTTAAACTCTTACTGAGTTCTTGTTTCGTTTGGATTTTGAACGGTGAATTGAGTTTGCAATTAATATTCACTTTTTACAACTTCAATCTGGAAGTAAGACCAGCTGCAGTTGATGTAGATTCTTTTGACAAGCGCTAATCTGGTAGTTTTTTGGTCAGATTCATACTAATGCTGTTTTTGAGTAGCACTAAGTTTTCTTGGAGTATCTTAGATTTATCAATTAACTTATTCCAATCCTTTTCCATTTATTCTCGCTATTTCTTCATATTTGGAGATGGTTAACGCAAAGGTTAATGTCGATTGCCAGGTTCTTCTATGGTGATATTGAGATCTTTGGATATTTTGCGAAACGCTGTGGTTGTTTGAGCAGATGGAACTATTTTCATTTTAGGACCATACACAATTTAAGAGGCTGGGTATTGCTTGTTTTCAGACCCATCTCTCTATTGAATGAGCTAACTAGACTACATTGAATACTTTATCTCTGGATGTTTATTATTGGGAGAAGAAGATGGCCGAGGTAGTGCCAAATGGGTTGTGATATTTTATTTGGCTTTGGTTTGGTTGAAACATAAACAAATTATATTAATTATATATTAACTCTAAATGTCCAGATAATACAATTGTAATATGTGATAGTATATAATTGATTTTAATAAATATTTAATGAAAAGACCATCCACAGCTGGGGTGCCAAAACATAGTCAATCACCAAAGGCGTTCAAGTTGAGTTCAAAATTATCGGAAGAAAATCTGCAATAGAAACAATTCCAGCTATCTAAAACATTATCCAAATTGCAATACGAATAGAGAAATCTCTAATAGCAGGTGAATTTCATTGAAGTACATTAACATATCCACAATCTAGCAAGAGAAATAGAAATCAAAAATCACATAAGATGACAAATCAGGCAATTAGAGTTGGCTGGGAATAAAACTGAAAATCTAAATTAATTAACTTAATTCGCAAATTGAAGAGAAGCAAAGTCAAATCAAATAGTTGTAAAAGAATCCTAATTACACTCGAGCCTCAGAGCAAAACATCCTTATAGAATATCTAAATTATTGCTCTTCATTATTGAAACAGGAATAAAATTTGATGCCCAATGAAGTGGAAGATCTCAAGGTGGAGATCCAGGAATTGGAAATAACCAAAAAACTATTGGAAGAACAAAGTGAAAATCTGTCAATTCAAAAGAGTTTGCTTGAAAAAAAGATTTCACAATAATATTTGGAATTAGATTAGACAAAGAATGAAATGAAGGAAAAGGAAAGAGATCTTCGGTACTTAAAAAAGGAGATGATCAAATTTGAAGAAAAACAAAAAGAAACACAACAAAATCAAAAAGTAACAATCAAGAAAAAGGAAGTTGTTGATATTGATGATAAGAAAGCAGAAATCATAGAGAAGGATTAACAAATTAGTTAGTAGGAGCAGATAATTAATTAATTGAAAGAGAAACTGCAGGAGAGAACTAATTATGAGTTGAGAAGTAAAAATGCATTGATAGATGAACTCTAAGGATTGAACCAATAAGTGTAACAGATGAGAGAAGAATTGAAGGAATTAAATGAGTATTATTTGGCAGAAATTCAACCCTTAGAAACTGAATCCTTGCCTATCATACAGGGGAACAGAGATCACACATTCACTATTTTACATGATGTCTACAATAAGCAAGAGAAGAAATTCCCAAAAGCCCCTAGAGTCAGATACGAATAGGTTTAAGACATGGGAAAGGAATTGAGTTTACGATTGTAACTCAAACAGATTACAGTAAGTGAAGCATGTGCTATCTTGATTCAAAATGCTTCAAATAATGCCATCAGTGTAGAGCAGTTACAAGAGTAATTACTCTAAGAACCATTTACAATGGCTGATCCTAATGAGGCCAAGGTGATAGCCAGATATATTGTGGAAGATGTAAATGACGAAATTGTTAGTTTGGATCCACAGGCTACAGTTAAATTACCAGTTGTGAAATCCGTTTTTAGACATCTTCTTAATTGCTATGATTTATTGACTCAAGAATAGGATAAACAATTATGGGAAGAAGTGAGCGTTATAGTAAATAAGTATGAAACTGCTCTGAGGAGTCAATTCGATTTATTAAATAAACAATAACACGGATTCATGAAGCCTAAGGATTTGTTTTATTGTCTAGATTAATTATTTTTAGATCTGACAGACGTTCAAAAGGAATATGTATTATTGAGACTCTTTGCCTACACCAATAACATAAATAAGATTATGCATATGAAGATTTTTGATGTCTTCAAAGCAGGATCCTATATCGATAGAGTTTCAAAGGATACTAGAAAGAAGAAGAAGTAAAGACAAACTGGCAAGAAAATAGAAATTCAAAAGCAGGACATTGATGACTTTGATTGATGAATATGATAATAATATAATTTTTATTAAATGGATGAAGCAGTTGTTTTGAAATAGAAAAAGTTGGCTGTGGGAATGGTTATTGCAGGCAAATATAAATTATTAGAGAAGATCGGTGCAGGTTCATTTGGAATGGTGTTTAAGTCTTAGTATTTAAAAAATGGAGATTTAGTAGCAGCAAAATTTGAAAAACGAGATGATTCCCAAAATGGAGTCAGTCTACTAATCAGAGAAATTAAGGTTCTGTCCGAAGTTAATGGATTGAAAGGTTAGATTTACTATTAAGCTATAAAAAGGTTTTCCGCAAATCAAGTTTTATGGAAGGGATGAAAATTATAATTTCTTTATGGAAACCTACTTAGGGTTAAATTTGGAACAATTACTAAGGAAATGCGGCAATAGATTCTCGCTTCCTACTACATTGAGAATAGGGATTCAGATCATCGAAAGATTGTATGTATCTCGGTTGATATAGTTAGGTAAGCCTTTCATGAGAAGAATCTCATCCATCGGGATATTAAGCCAGAAAACTTTACTATCAGCAGACAAGACGTTACTTAGATAATGGCTATTGACTTTGGCTTAGCCAAATATTATAGAGACACAGCTGGCAAACACATTCCATTTGTAAATAACAAAGGTTTGATTGGAACAGCCAGATATGCCAGCATTAATGCTTTATTAGGTTTGTTTCTTATTTGAAAAGGTAATGAGTAGAGTAGAAGAGATGATATTGAAGCCATTGCCTATGTGCTAATTTATTTTCATCTTGGTGAATTGCCTTGGCAGAATATCCAAGTGGCATCGAAAGAGGAAAAATACAAGCAGATATTGGTATTGAAGTAGAATAATGAATTGGATAAGTATTCTGACAAAATTCCCAAAGTACAACTTAGATTAATTCATAGTGTTTTATGAAAATGCTCAAAATCTCTAAGTCTTACGAGTTTAATCAAACACCTGATTATATGGGTTTGACTAAATTATTGTAGGATGAGTTGACAACTGAAGCTAAAATGGATTGGGAATCTGTATTAGAAACTAATAATGATAAAATGAGTGTTTCAATTGACATGATAGAAAATGATAACTAATTTGATGATCTACAGGATGATAAACAATAAGAAGTTCTGAATTCCATGCAAAAGATTTCTTAACAACAAACGAAGTTTATTAACGGCAGATTAAATAATAGTCGAAATAATATCATCTTTTTGAAGGTTCCAAAGAACAGCATTGTTTTAAATGATGCTTAAAGTCCAGCAGGGACAATTAAATCATTTAACACTTCTAAGGTGAATCATTATGGAGGCAGTCATATTAACTTAAACACATAAAAATAATTCAGTGATTTGAGAGTTAAGTCCTGTGAAAACTTTTAATATAATGATGAAGATAATTATGAGGCGGACTCTGACGATTAGCCTTGCATACTATTTAAAAATTTAATTGTTGGTCGTTCTTCTTCTAAAATGTGAATTGATATATATATTTATCAGATTGTGCACAATTTGCAAATTATATAAATAAATTTATAAAAATCAATAAGAATATTATATTTAAATATATTTAGACTTCATTTAAAGTGTGAATCTCTTATAGGATTTACATAAATTTCATCTAAATCTAAGTTGATTTAATATATAGTTATTACAGATACGAAATTTTAAGAGAAGCTACACCAAATGGATTTTATTTTATAAGATGACTAAAATTTATAAAATAACAGTATTTCTAGAAATTGGCATCTATAAAATATATTGATAGACATATTAAATAACAATGAATATAGATTAACATTATTTTATATATCAACAGCAACTTTTGTTTTCATCATTTTTTTTATCAGGTTTTTCTAAGGGTTGATGAAGCTTCTTAACAGTTAGATCGGTTTAATTCAGAGCAGGCAACTTGGCTTCATTATCGGCACCTCCATTAATGTGGTTCAAGAATACTAATTTTGCTGTTTCGGTGAATGCCTGATTATTTAAGCAGTGCTTACCTCTTCTACATTTTCTCTAGTTTTTGAAGAAGTTTCAAAGAAGAGATTCAGTCCATTTGTTTCCATCCAATATTTACCTTCCTCATAGGATACTTCTCGTCTATGGCTAATAATAATGAAATACTCTGATTCTCTATCATTCTGGGCACCCACTAAAACTGTAATAATGGATGGGGACGAGTGATCCTTAGCCTCCTTTAACCATGAGTCGAGTCTTTCGAGAGATTGTTTACTAGGGGATTTCAATTTGAATACGATACTTGGCAATGCTGTAGACTAGGAAAACTGCGGCAACTTTTCTATAAAAGGATCTGACAACAGACCTAAAAGACTCTTGACCAGCAGTGTCCCAGATTTACAGTTTCACTTAAGTATTTTGGTCAACTTTAACAATTTTAGATAAGAATTCTACTCCAATGGTCACATTGTACTCAGTCGTAAAGTCATCCTTCATGTATCTCATCAATAAGCACGATTTGCCAACTCCTTAAAATATTAGATTGTTTATGATTACCTGCATCTCCAATGATGATAAACTTGAACAATGGTGATTTATCAGGTGAATTCATTTATAAATTTTATTCCCAAGCAGCAAATTAAATTGAATGTTAATTAAAATTTTATATAGTGAATAGCTGGGAATTGGTTATTGCATTAAAGACGATTCAATAAATATTTTGATTCGAAGACACTGTGGTCTCAAAATCAAAGGTCATTATTTTTTAAGTTTGTTTGAGATCTACTATCTCTTAAACTACAAGGAGTGTATGGTTTGCGAATATAAAGAGGAATTGAAAGAACAGTATGATTTTGAACAGTACCACTGGATAAACGACCCTGTGGATTTTTTAAATCTCTTCAAACCAGATGTTAATAGATTGTGTGCTTATATGCATATAAGAAACATGGATCATTATTTACGACTTTAATTGCCAGTAGAGTAAATGGAGACAATAAATCAACAAATTAATAATTTACCAAGAAAGAAAATGATAGAGGATGAGCAAAAATAATAAAACAGGAATTGTGAGTATTTACTTTATAGGGTTATGAGTGATTATAAAAATAATGTGAGAGGATTGAAGTTGTCTTTGGCTCTGTTTAAAGATGGGGTGGATGAAGGGATGCTTAAAAGTGCAGATGTGATTGGTTTAATGGAAAATGGAGAATTGAAATTAATTATGTTGGAAGATATGTGATCATTGTTCTTTGATGTGATATTATGATTCCTTTTATAAGACATGCAACAGAGTTTTGAGACTCTCCACAATCTTGTTTTTGGTATGTTCAGTTTCTTGGATGGTCTTTTCTAATTCTCTCTTCTCAGTGGCTGTCCTCATGATTGTTTCTACATTATAATTATTAGATCATCTATTTGTACCATTAACTCGATCTAATCTTTCTGAGAGGATCTCCAATTCTTTCTCAATGCGTCTTCTTTCTTCCTCCTCTTCATAAATTTCAGTCTTGAGTTCCTCCTTCTTCTCTCTTAAGTCCTCCAAAGTTCCAATGAGTTCTGCAACCAAATTTTGATAATTGGACATCCAAGAATTTGAATTTATATTAAGTTATATATTAATAAATAGTTAGATATATAAATAATGTATTTTCCATTGCTATTGGTCGGAATAGTAAAAGTGATGGCTGACAATTTCGGATTCATCGTGCAATCAGGAGAGCAGCAGTGTCTCCAGGATCAATTATTGAAGGGATAGATGATGGCATTGTAGATCATTGCTAACTCGACAGAGTTCGAGTTCACAGTCGAGGTACTCACTTAATTCGCAATCCTGAAAGCAAGGCCAAAAAGACCCGCAGCAGATCGAGTCCCGTAAAAATGAGATCCTCATCAAGTACACTTTGACTATGTGGAGCAATGAATACCTGAAATATTGCTTTAGAGTCTTTGGATCGAAAAACGCTAAGTTTGACATCACTTACAAGAAAGGCGATGAAACTGTAGATCGAGAGCAGATGGCCAACAAGGAAGATCTGGATTTGATTGATGGCTATTTAAAGCAATTGGATCGAGTCTATGCTTAGATGAAGGATTTGAATAGATTCCAAAAGGGTTCACAAGAGAACAATCAAGGTCTGGGAGAAACCTTGGGATTGTAGATGACCACCTTTACGATGCTAACCTTGCTAACTCTGTGTATATCTACATATGTCATGGTTAAACAAATCAAAGTGACAATAAGAAAATAAAAAGAAAAATGATATATTTTTAAATAAGTATGCTCCTGTTATTTATTTTCTTAATCGAAATCAAAATTTGTGAGTTGGTCCAAAAATGCGATGTTTCTGAACTCTGTGAAACAATGTAACATCCCATTGATGCTCGACTGCATTTTACAATTCACTCACATTTGGAACCCTTTTAATCTTACACCTTCCATCAGTATCAAAAAGGTGTCTACAGTGAGAAGTATTCCAAGACTATTTGCGTCGATTGTCTCTACGAATAGATCATAGAATCAATGCAAAAATATTCAGATTTCACTTATGTAATAGGAGAGATTTGTTACTTTAAAGAGTTTTACGAAAGTTAAAATGAAACCCAACAAAACATCATCAAAGAATTCATTCACTAAGGCAGGATAGAAATTGTCAATGGAGGCTGGGTATAAAATGATCAAGCCAGTTCAAACTATCAGGATATCATTTTGCAATTGCAACTTGGTCATTAATGGGTTTATCACCTCTTTAATCAATCTATATAGACTGCCTGGAACATCGACTCTTTCGGACACTCATACACTCAGAGTGCTCTCAATTATCTATTCAATATGAAATAATAAATCATCGAAAGAGTTGATGTAAACGATATCATATAAAGAGTAAAGAAAGGGAGATTGGAATTCATTCAGCATATTCAACCATACGATTATCAGATCTTGACACATTTAAGATTCAAGAGACACTCTCAAATTCACATCAATTAATCCAAACTTAGTGATAACACACAATGTATTCAACTATATAATCAACTCAAAGAATTTGAATAATTAATATATTACTAAAAACAAGGTGGTCTAGGTAACATATTATTTCATTATAGCGGTGATACATTCTAATTCATTAATGAAACAAATATAGAATCTTAGAATCTTGTAATAGAATTCTATGAATTATTTCAATGCCGTCAATTAAAAATAGTATGGTCTACTCCAAGTTAATTTTTCAATGATTTGAAATCCTCATAATCTTTCACACAAATCTCACATAAATTTTCTGATTTTCTTCCGCATTTTGAAGACGGCGTCTATTTCAATGCCATGTATACAACTAATCCCCAATTCAAACTGTTTTTAAGAACAATATCGTATCAACTATAAGCTATCCATCTCTACACTATACAACATAAATTAATGTCAATATCACCTCAAAAACTAACAGAACTTATTGCTTTATCGTAACATCATGATGGAATCTCAGCAACAGCTCGATATTAAGTCTTGGAAGATTTGTAATAATAAATTGATAGCTAATTTGAAGATTTGAAATCAAAAATTAATAATTATTCACATAGTAAATTTGAATTGATTGGACAATTAAAACATACCTATAAACAAACCAAAAGAATCATCTTGGATTGTTCACAAAACTCTAAATGCGTTTTAGAGTATTTCATCAAAAACAGGAGATCAAAATCTGTGATTGTTTTGATTTACAATCCCTAACATAGCCAAACTAAAATCATAGAATTAGAAGTTCCCTCAAGGAATGTTCAAATTTTATCTCAAGATCTAATTGTTATACCCCAATAAGAAATTAAAGTAATTAATGAGACCAATATTTTGACATTCTAAACCTATCTTTATGGATATAGTGAATAACAGTTTGTTTTGAATTTTGATTGCTAAATTGAATGTGCCCCTGTTAATGAGTTTTAATTGCATTTAGATTTAAGTGAACAGATCAAATTATTAGAAAAACAATTTTCATATGGGGAACCAATTGAAACTATTAGTTGGACTGAAATTATTCAAAATGTCACTTTAGAAATATAAAGATAAGGTATTGATTATGAATTCATATTCACTCACCTCAATCATTCCTTTTCCATTAAATACAATTATTATCCTAATTCAAAATCTTAATCTGAAAAATACACTATCAAATCTCCTGGAAAATCAGTCTTAATGAGTGATTTCAACAATGGAGGACTCATATGTGAATTTGAGAAGATGTACACCTTAAAATAAAATTCCTTTTTCCAAGAGGTAATCCTTCAATGTGGTAAAATCTATGCTCTCAGTCTCCTCTTCACTCAAGATGGTATTGAACTAAGAACTTCTATGTATGCAAACACTCTCACTATGGGAGACTACACAATGATGATAACCTTTTAGAATATTACTCAGGATTCTCTTTTTTACACTGATTCAAATGGTCTGTATCCCATATAGAGAGAGCGTTTCAAAAGAGAAGATTATGAACCAATATGCTAAGAAAACGATTAAATCAACTGTAATGTGTATCCAATGACAGCCTATGCCTTATTATAATCAAATAATTTAGTGGCTTCCATCATCACTGATAGATCATAAGGAGTCTTTAATTTGAATTCTCAAACTATCGAAGTTATCATAGAACACCTAGCAGGAGATGATGGAGTAGGTGAGGCCTGTGCAAAAAGAAACAATCACTTCTTTAGACATTTCATCCAATTTAATCCTTTATGTCTTAGGTGTAAATGGAATGAATTTCTATTTACGAATGAATTTATTCGCTTAAGTAATGAATTCTCCTCCTTTTAATATAAACAAATAATCCATTCACGATAATTAAGATTACAATTTCATAGAACCAATTTTGATCAAATGTTATTGTATGCTGAAAATCTCTAAGAAATTTTTGACAATTCCACTTTACAAAATTATACAATTACCTTAAATACAACTTTAATTGAGGATATTTTATCCATTGAGAACATTACCTTGTAAGACACATACTTAAATGGAATTCCGAACTAATAAACAGAACCTTCATTGATACTTCTACCTTTGGAAATAAGAACATATATTGTGAACTAATGATATTCTATTCATGTTGTCTATAAACATTTATAAATTCAATTTACGTACACATATAAATATCAAAATTTATTTTTCTGTCATTTAGGCAACTCCTTTTATAACCTCTCCTTTTATTTTTTCTTATCCATTATAACTTTAAATAATGCTCCAACTATCAGTACAGATCCTAGAACACTTAAATATGATATATGAGCCCCTCTAAGGATGTCAAAAATATATCCATATAAGATCTATGTTTAACCTAACATCGACATTTCAGTCAAATCTCCCTTCATATATGCACGATTCAGAAAGATTTATTGCAGATAAGAAACTAAACCAAGTGAAAGTAATAACACAGCCTCAGTTAGTGATGGGTTTCTCCAAATAAGGCTGGGATCAATTATGCAGGCTATCGCTGAAATAATCAAGGAAGTAATTCCGAAATATTATGGTATAACTAATTGATTTACCTAAAAATGATAATGGAAATGAATACTTTGTTTGATAAATTGTTAATTAATACCTAAACCAGTGAAAAGAAGAAAGCAGAAATTAATAACAAAATACATCCAAATAGCTGAGTTTCAGAATTTTTAGTGATAACTACACTTTAACCCAAGATTGCTTTTAAAAAGGGAGGCTGCGTTATAAATATTATCCCTATAAAACATACTATTAAATTTGTAAATAATTTCCATGATAAAGTTTCTGTTTTTAGATAATAGATGGCGATTATAGTTGTCCAAAAAGGAGAAGTTTGTAGTAGTACTTGTGCTTCAGCAATATTCACATATTTGAGACCAGTGTAGAATAGAAGTGTGGCGAAACATCCAATTATACTTCTTTGGAATAATTTCGTGTAGACCTCCCTTGAAAATCCATAGAGATCCACTTTTGAAGCATTCGCGATAATTTGCCCTAATAAGCACATAACCATTCCTCTAACATAAACTATTTGATTAGCATTCATTCCAACTGTTTTACCAAGCAGAGAGTTTATTGAAATAAGAAATGTACCAATCAAAATATAAATGATCGGTGCTGCTCTAATCCATTTGTTTTCAATTACTTTAGCGCATTCCTAAGTTTTAAGAATAATTAATTCCATTTTTAAATACTTAATTCTGAAAAATAATAAGAGAAATTTTATAATTTTTTATGTCCATTTAATATCTTTTTATTATATTTATATCGATTTCTAAACAATATTAAAATATATCTCATCTAAAAGACAATTCTTGTAAATATTTAATTTGTTAATTCTCGTCAGGGAATAAAGTAATGTGACCAATATTTATAAAAAGGAACTATCATCAGTAATTTAATATAGATTGCAATAAAAAATACTCTTTACTTCCATTAAAGGTACTAATAATTCGAGAATTCTTTATTTTTTTACTTTATTGTAGTTTTTATAGGAACAAATATTATTATAATTAGAATTATACTTCGGTTAATTTGGAATATTTAATACCAATATTATTTATTATATTCACTTATAATTAAGTGCTTAAAACTAAAATATAACAAATTTGGCATAAAACAAGTAAGTCATCGCAATCAAAATAGTTTTGAGTAAAATCTTATGGTTGGATAATAATACACTAAACTACGAACTATTTAATTAATTAATTTATATTATATGAGCTCAGATTATGAAAGTGATTCTGAACATTAAGAGTTTGTCTAAAACTTTTTCAATCTCGTTTAGGATATTAATAAATGTAGTCTTTATTTTTCATATCAAAGATTGCCAAATTCAGGCACAGAGAAATAGAACTGCTAAATTCATAAAAAATGCTAAAGCGCGAAGAAGTAATAATTGTTAAACTCATTAATTTTAGAAGCTGGATAAATAAATTTCAAAATGCCATAGAGTCTTGATTAAAATGTGTCAGAAATAGTTTCCTTCAATAAAAACCAAGCAGAGAAATTAGTTAAGCCAATGAGAAATTAAACAAAAAATTTGGAGAATTCATAAGTCGAACCTTTTATTTGCAACGTCCATTAAATACTTAGGTAAATATTTTGTGAATTAATAAAGAGATATCAAATTGAAATAATAGATCTTAAGAAATGTTTAAAAATAAGTTTATTTGAATTTAATTGAATATCACAATAAAAAGCCATCTAAAGTGTCACTAAGAACAAGCTGCTTACATGTGTAAATTCATATCATATTATAACTCTAGATATTTAGCAGAAAAAATATATGCAGATAAAATAAAAGATGCTGCGATTAATCAAACAATCCATGAAACTCCGAATATAGTAATCCCCTTGTTCAAAAATATACTGCAAACTAGAAAAGGAAGCATGGATTGATAATAAAGTTTTGATTTACTTGTTCTTTTTAAATTAGTTTTAAGAATAAAAATAAATATGTTTAAATTGTTAAATTTAAATTTAATTAAGTAACAATATAGCATTACATATCTCAACACTCAATTTCAATCAAATACTAATCGCCTTATTCCTGAGAGTGGTCAATTAAATTAATCTATTTGTGTTTTTCTTCATTTAATTAAGAAATTCATTCCAAATTCTCCTTTTCACCTTTGAATATGTTATTATAGAATTTCTAATAACATAAAACCAGTTAATTTTTCTATAAAATTATTCTAAAATGATAAAAATCAAAAATGTTGAATAGAATTATAAATAGGTTATTGTAGTTCCTTAAATTCATTCTTCTTTATTTCTTATCTCAAATTTAGATTTTTCTCTATTTTTGAACTCGCACAATTCAATTATATATATTTCTCCATCCTCATTAATAATTACATGAAATATAAACTGATTAAAATGTAATTGATTCAAATAAAAACTTTTTCAACTTTAGTAAATATATAAAAGAGTAGGAATCTTTCTAGATACATCTGAATTGAAAGACAAATTCATACTCTGATGAATACTGTATCATTTAAATTGTAGTAGCATAGGACGGTTCTAAATATATTTACTTAATCAGCATCTATTTTTTGTATGGTTTTTTGCATCTATAACTATATTTTTTCTAGCTAATTTATTGAAATTAAGGATTAGTTTAATAATTGAACATCAATTATTTAATTTCCTAAAGAGTATTATTATTATTCTTAAAAATGTAATAATAAAACAATCTTGATGAAATAAGCTTAAAAATTAGATAAAGAAAATAAACTTTAAGTTAAATAAGAGAAGTCCTAGTTCATGATAAATATTTTGAGGATACTGTGAGTATTTCAAAGAGTGTCGATATTTTAATATCTAGAGGGAAAATAGATGTGGATATATTTCTGAAGAAAATAATAATTTTTGGAATGCTTATTAGTATAAAATCATGAAAATTAGAGCTTAATCCCTTGAAATTAGAAATAACTAAGACAAAATAAATGCCATAGGGGACTATTGTAAGATGTTGAAAGATGCAAACTTAGTGAAGTTATCACAAAAAGAAGAAATGAGGGCTTTGATTTAGCAAGGCCTACCTGATGTTCGTTTAAAGCTTTTAAATGATATGCAGTTGATATATAATGGAATGATCTTCCCCTAGAATCTTAGTTTTAAGAGTGTTACTAATAAAATATGCCTGATAATCGATATCATTTACAATTCATTTGCTGGTAAGATGATTGTTATATAAGATTCTATTTATTTGGGTCAAGATTTTCTAGATTAAATGGAGAAGAGTGATTAGATTCTGTATAATTTGGTGATTGTGCCAATTTAGAGTTATATTGAGCAACTTGTTAGTATTCAATTTGAAGAAGAAACAGTATGAAGAATGTATATTTGTTAGAAACATCTATTGAGTTTAAATGGGATTTGTGTGAACATTGACTTAGATCAATGAATGATTGATAATGATTTTATTGAAATTGTTTCCAGCAGAGTGTTGTATTTCTTTATATTTTTAATTTCTAATTAACATGTTCAATAAATAGCCATTCTATTTACATACATCAAGATTTTAAAGACAATCCCAAAGAGCTAATGTTTTGCCATCAGTGGCTTAATATTTATAGAAGGTGAGAACTCCAGAAAAAAACATTCCAAAATAAAAAGAGTCTCCATCATACAGAATCAAGAGCAATCCTAAAATAAATCAATAGCGATAGGCATCATCTTCAAGCCCAAGCAGAGAAAAACCTCAGCTTAAATACAATTCCTTTCATTCTTAATAAATTAGGCAAAAAAGAAAACTATAAGAAGTGGTTAATGATTCTTAGCCTATCTCGAGAAAACAAAAAACAGAAACAGCCTTAGAAAATTAAGTCTAAAGCCCAAAAAAAAATGTGTTATAGGAATCCTAAGAGATTATGTTAAAATTACAAAAAAATGCAGCAGTTAGAAGAGTTAAAACTGAAGAATGCGACAGAGAGGATCATTTGAATTCTATTAGAGGGACAGTTTAAAGATAAAAAAGAAATGAAAAATTTGAAAACTAGAACCTTTTAGATTTATTATTGCTATCCACAGTCGAATTGAAACATCACTTTGAACAAACTCGAACAGCCAGATAAATTATGCCAACTAAGGCTAAAGTGGCAAGATTGAGCATCAAATAATTTCCTAAAGATTTCTTTTGCTGAAATACTACTTTTTTTTATGATAATATTCGAATAAAATTATAAAAATCATATTTTTTTTATTTCTTGAATAAAATCTGATATTATTTTATCAAACTAATCATTCATTTTATCAGATGCAATTTTCTTAATTAGATTATATTATTTTTACAATAAATAATCTATTAATTTAATATCCTGAAGTGCTTTGTCAAGATGATGCCTTAATTAGATTTCAGGACTGTAATAATTTATTTGATATTCTAAAATGATATTTTTTTAATCAACTTGATCTGATTTCCCAAATAATTTGTGAAGCTCTATAAGTTATGTACCATTTCTAACCAATTTGTTCAATTTAAGAGATTAATTAAGATTTCCTAAAAAAAGAAAAAAAGAAAATGAATCAATAATACTCATTATTAAATTCATAAGGAAAATCTGAGTATCCAAATCTTATACTTATAATTGTTTGTAAATTAATATTATTGATGATTAATTAATTGATTTGAAAATAATCGTGAAATCTTGATCCTATTAGATTAAAGTCCATTGATCTGCTTAATTAACCTAATTCGGCAAATTAGCTAACATTTGATTTGTATTTCCATCTGAGCAACTTGATTGTTGATGTATTCCCATACTCTGGTCTTGAGAATAAGTGATATTTTTTTGTTTTCTTAGTCCATCTTCCTCATTATTCTAATTGTCATTGGAATTATAAATTAATTCAGATTGTATTCTAGTTTAATCATTCATTCGAAATTCTTGAGAAAGAAGTTGTGTTAATAATAATTTTATATAAATATAATAAAAAGAAAGGATCAAGTACTAACAATAATTTTTTTCTTAGTTAATTCTGCTTTGTACTTATCAGGTATTGCTTTATCATTTAGATCCTTAAGTTTATTGTCCTTAATGGTCTCCAAAAGCCTTTTTTCTTAATTCAATTTATCCTTGATTTTCTTTCCTTCCTCAAGTCTATATTTAAAAATTATAAATACTTGTCTCTTTCCTCCTGCTTCTTTTTCTCTTCATTCTAAATAATTTATTTTCTGAGTTCTTCTGCATGTTTCTTTCTTAATGCTTCTTTATCTTATAGGATTTTCATCTCATTTTCTCTTTCTTATTTTTGTTTTTAAATAACTTTTTGGAATTCATCTCTTTCTAATTTTGCCTATTAAGATAATAATTAATAATCTACTTATTCTTAATATCTCTCGAGCTTCTCCTTTTGTTATAGCTTTCTAGCTTCTGTAACTTCATAATTTAATTTCATCTTCAACTCTAATTCTTTTCTTTCTTTCTCTCTGGCTTATCTTTCATTTTATTCCATGGCTCTTTTCGCTCTTAATAGATCTAATTCAGCTGCTCTATCTTGAGCCTTTTCCTACATCTCTCTCAATCTCTACACTTCTCTTTCTTTCTCTTCCTTAATTCTTCTTTACTCTTCTAAGAACTCAGCCTCCTTTTATGCCTTTTATAGATTGTATTATAATATTTTCTCTTCCTCATCTCTCTCTTCTTGTATTCTCTTTTCTTTGATCAAAATGGCCTTATGGTTGGCCACAAGGATCTCATCTTGCACCTTAGCTTGTTGAGTCTTTCTTAGCTAGGCCTTATGAGCCTCTTCCTATTACAATTGTTTAATTTATTTAAGCATAATCTGTCCTTCTCTTTCTTGTTCTTCCTTCTCTTTCAATCTTATCAATTCTCTTTCTTTAATTTATTCAATTATGATTTCATGCCCATGTTTTAATTATTGTTTTTATTTCTAATCCTTTTCTTCATGATATTTGATTGCTCTAAGTCTCTCTATCTCCATCATCAAGTCTTTTCGTTTTTCTTACATTTTGTATTGATCATATAACTCTTTTTTTTCTTACAGTTATTTATCTCTGATTGTAACACATTTAGCGTACATAACCATTTTATTCATCTCTTTGACATCATCAATTTGTTCATTCATTATTTCCTAAGCCTAATGACATAAATATAATTTATAAAACTCTTGATATCAAGGAATCCTTGGCAAATTTATCTTCCTGTTCTTGTTAACTCAGTGGAATAGATTTCTTCTTCTCCTCTTCAATCTATAACATTCTTTATTTTTTTGCTTAGGCATCTGCCAACTATTTCTCTTTTTATTCTTCCATCAACTTTTTGTGTTGTAATTACTCCTCTTTTGTTGTTATAACTGATAGATTCTATTTTCATTTTCTTCCAAATACCTTTATTCTCTTCAATTCGGACTCTGTCAACACTATCATGTCGGATTATGAAAGGTCTCCTTTAAAATAACTTTTAGTCATTTTCTATTTCTTGGATTGATTATTGGATGTGCCTACACTCTGTTTGGTGGATTACTCAAAAATTATATTACTGTATTACCATTCGAGGACTGCTATATAAAATTTACTAAAAAAAATAAAATTTAATATTTTAATGGACAAGCAGATACGTTTAAATTAGGAACAGATCTTGCAATGTATTAGAAATCACAGAGATTTAAATGAAATCTTATCAAAATAAAAAGACCATAGTTCATAAGAATTATTCGACGAAATTGAAAGAATTACCAACAACATGTCAAATGAAAGCAAGGAGAGTCAAGAAAGCAAGTCAAATAGTGATACAATCGACAGGGCAATTAAAATGTTTGCAGGTAATCTCAATATAATAGTTAAATTCTCTAGAACCTAAAGTGATCCTCTATAAGAAAGAAAATAGTCTAGGGTCTGATCAAATAATGGAATAGATCTCTCAAGTCTTCAACAACAAATCATTTGATTAAAAAGTGGGCTCTAATCTTTCCACTGAGATATCCAATGAACCTTGCTTATAATTAGGCTCATCTCGCCAATCCTTGTTGACTAGTGGCTCAGAAACAGAAAGGAGAAAAAGAAAGACTATTTCCGAGGAGGAATCTCATTATTTTGTTGTAAGACTCGAGGATGTCATTAATTATTCTGATGAAAGAACAACAATTATGATCAAGAACATACCAAACAAATACACAGTCTAAATGTTGTAAGATTTAATCGACCTTAAACATCACGATTCATATGATTTCTTGTATCTCCCAATAGATTTCAAGGTAGTTACATCGTAAATACTAAATTTAGAATAAATGCAACATGGGTTATGCATTCATTAATTTCATCCATCCACTTTACATTGTGTAATTTTACAAAGACTTTCATGATAATGGCTGGCCACACTTCAATAGTGAAAAAGTAAATCGCTTTTAATATGGTTAGATTTGTGAGTTGAGGTATGCCAGAATCCAAGGGCGCCAAGCCTTAGTGCAACACTTTTAATTTTCAAGTGTGATGAATCAAAAAGTAAACCTATATCACATTTTAGGATAAAAAATTAAAGCCAGTAATTGTACCATAAAGCGAATTATCCAGAATTCATTAATTAATACAAGTATATCACTGTGTTATTTTTTAAGCGACAAAAGTAATGAAATAAATGATATAATTTTTCACATTTTTTGGTGTTTTTATGCATATCAACTTATACTTATATTCATTTTTTAATATTTTATTTGAATTGAATTTTGGATATCAATTTATCTTAGAAATGGCAGATTTCAAATTTAAACAAGAATAAACAAAAACCTTCTTTTCAAAATAATTAATTAATCTATGGATATAGGAGATATATTTTTTAAAATAATTTATGATAGAATCATTTTTTTTTTGGTTACTATTTAAGACCACCTTCTGGATTGATAATCACTTCGATCTCTATTGGCGCAAAATCACCTATTGAATTTGTTGATTTATTAGAAATAACTAAGGTAAAGGAAATCACTACCATAATAATATTTGCCAGGAGGAAAATCTTCAGGGTATTCTAAATTTTCTATTCTGACCATTCCTTCCTTTGTTTCAACAGTCAAAGGTTCATTGTCTCCTTCAACAAATAATTTGACAGATAAATCTATTTGATCTGGCTCAGGTTATTTCTTTGCTTATTTCTTAGCATCCTTCTTTTTAACAGGCTATTGAGCCTATTATTCTTCTAATTGTTTTTATGCTTCAATTTCTGCTTTCAAACGTGTAACTTCTTCCCTTCTAACAGCCAATTTTTCTCTATAATCAATTCTGAATAGCTTGTCCCCTTAATCAGTTTTTTAAACTATTAATAAAATCATAAATTACTCATCTTTAATTCTAAGATTCTTCCTGATTCTTATTTGATTTGTACAGGAGGAGCAGGTATCATTCTCTTCGCTCCAAAATCAGGCATGGGTGGAGGATTTTTTTGTTTTTTGGCTTCCTTCTGCCAATTCTTAATCATTTCATCAATCTCTTATTATGTTGGCTGAACTGGATCCTCAATATCTGGTCCTTAATACACTAAGTAGAGTTCAAAATTGATAGTTTTTCCTGACTTTAATTCATGAACCAAAACCTAAGTTAAATCAATAACAGGTTCTCCCTTCTTTGCTTTTGGATCTATGGGTTCTTCTGGTTGTGGATCTAATTTAAAATTGAGTTTGTTTGTTTGCACTAAAAATAGTAAACCAAAATTCCATACATGTAGGATTATCTTAAAGAAATTCTCCAGCATAATAATAAGGATAATCTCCTTTCTTGACTAAAATGCCTGAGCCATGTTTCTTGTCATCCAAGAATTCTCCCTCATAATCCTCTAATTTGCTCTCGTACTTTCCTTTTCCTGATCTTTTACCTTTATCAAATTCTCCAATATAATTATATTCTTCTGAATAATAATTACAATGTCCATGAGGTTTGTGTTATAAAAAAGTTCCTTCAATTCTGTAAGTAGGTGTTTACAAGATCCCACTTCCTTACATGCAGTTTAAATTCCATTGTCCCTCATAAGTCATGTTGGCTGATGAAAAAACCCCTTATCCATGCTTCTCTCCTTAATGAAACTCCCCAACATACATTGATCCATTTGCATAATGAAATTCTCCATGACCTTCGATTTCTCCCTTTTCAAAATTTCCTTAATAATAACTGCCATCTTTCATCTTCAAAATTCCTTAACCTTACTTGATTCCATTTTCCCATTGCCCTTCATAAGTGAAAAAAGAATTTTCATATATATATGTTCCAAATCCATGTCTAACCTTATTCAAGGGTTGAAATTCTCCTTTGTATCTCTATTTTATAGTTTTAATTTGAGTACGTCTTTTTATGTTTAATTAGTTGATGCCATTCAAATTTTTATAATTATATTAATCATATATATATTAAGAATGAACTTAATGAAAGTATGAGTTTGATAACTTGATAATCAAAGTCCAGAGAGTGCAAATAGATAAATAAATGTATTTAAGTGATAACAAATTGAATTCAATTCTTATCTTGACCCTTTGGTCTCTTGTAGGGAACCCAATGAATACAATCTTTTTTAACAGGAAGACCTGGTCTACCTGCTTTGGAATATATGAGATCTAAATAGGCCATATCCATGCAAATGAGAGGCTAAGATTATTAATATTTTATCAAATGCTTTTATTCTAAGGTCCACCAAGCATCTGTGTCTTTGATACCAGTCTCTTTGGTTAATCCAGCAATAGTTATTTCCCCGTCTTTATTTTTTTTCAAATAATCAATTATGGATTAAGTCCACCACGAGAGATAACTCTCTCTACCTAAATCAGATAATGGTCTTTCAGGAGTTCCATATTTTCCTTCAATTAATGATAATTGATAACTCATTGATATGAGGAACTTACCATAGCCTTTCCTTTGATGAAATGGGAATGTCAGAATACAGCTTAGATTCCATCCTTGAGATGATTCCTTTTCCTTACTAAAATATCCAACTATGTGAAATCCTGTTTCATTGTATTCAGTGAGCACAAAGAATAGGAAAGGCTCTACATCGTAATAAAGATTCTTATGATCTAAAAACAATTTAGCAATATAACAGAGGTTCTCACAATATGTTGGATTTTTATGACCGTCAATCTCAAACATTGAGAGTCTCCTTTCTGTGTCTCTATACATTTCATCTCCAGGAGGATGACCTAATTTACATAAAACGCATTTCAATTGATGTCTCTGTAATTCACTTTTCCTTATATAGAAGGACAAACAAAACTCACAAATGAAAAGACAATCTATGTTATGGTATCCAGAAGGGAATGGAGAATAATACCAAGTGTCACATCGAAATTATCCAAATTCTATTTTCTCAATAGTCTTAAATTTGGTGTGCATCTCATGTGTAATCAGACTCTGATGATCCATTCCTTCATGTTCATCGTTTTCTGCTGTCACCTCTCTTTTATCACTGGGTCTAGGTCTCTTCTTTGGTTATGTGTCCTCAATTATTGGCTCGTCTGTTAACTAAATACGTTCTCTTCCAACCCATTCATCCATTCTTCTATTATAAAACTCATAATGCACGTAGTATTCATAAGATGAATCTACCTTCTTCTACTTTGGATCATAATCTACATTATTGTAAATTCTCAATACCTTTTGACAATCTACATTCAATAATCTTTGCCTTTTCCCACTTTCCATTTTTCATCTGAGCAAGCACATAATTCGAATTGTCAAGAGCACCTTCATGTATTTTGGTTGATGAGGTTGGTACCGCATTAGGCAATGTTGCAAATGCCTTCGCCTTATTTTTACCTTTAGCAGACATTTTTTCACAATTTTATGATAAATTTAATAATGAATTTATTTTCAATATTTTATCATAAAAAATATTCATAGATATATTTTTCAATGCTTTTTCATAGAAAACACTTTACAAGCTACCTAACTTATTATTAATATAGATGAATAATAAAACGTATAAGTTTACTCACAATAGTAAATAATGACTGAATATTCATTCAAATTTATGAAAATAGTTAAATCTTTCAATTATCCTCAAATATTAAGAATTTTTGGGATCTGATATCATAATCTGATTTGAGAAAAATGTTAGAAGTTATTTCTTAATTGCTTAGGAGAATTAAATTTGAATTCATATTAAAATCAAAAGAAAAATTCAAAGAAGCTAGAGAAAATTTGAAGAGATTGGAAAGCTGTTTATTACGATAATTTAACTATGGCTTTGGATAAATGAAGGAATTTTGTTGACAAAAAATGGACTATCAAATTACTATTATAACAATAAAATTAGATATATTATTTATAACTTGTTTATGGAAATATTTATAAGGGAATCAAATTGTAATAATCTAAGAGATGAATAAGGAGTTATGCCTTAGCATTATGACTGATTTTTTTAATGATATGTGAGGAACCTTATCTATGAATTAAGAATTCTGTATTTATATTTGAATAAATTGAAGCTATAAAGATAATGAAAATAACTCATTAAGTTGTAAAAAATGATGAAATAAATCATTCATTCAATTAAAAATTTTAAATGATTGCTCTATAACTGAAAAAATAAGGAAGTTCATATATAATAGATAGCATTCACCGCTTAATTAATTATGAACTTTTACTATTAAATTATATTTAGTCCACCAAATATATACTTGATCGGATAATTTAATGAAGGTCCTAGGAATTCAGATTGATTAACTATGATGTATGTGCGTCTAATTTGAATAATATTTGAATTATTTACAAGATTGATTATAGCCAAATCGTACAAAAATAAATAAATTATTATTAATTATAATGATTATTTACATTATTCAATATTTGTATTCTTTAAATCTTATTATTTAATTATTTTGTGCTTAATAAGGAATCTTAAATTAGCAAATGGTGAAGTGATGCAAATAAATTACTTATTTTGGTATTTACAATAATTTTAGCAAAGTACAGAAGTAGGTTAAGAAATACAAATATATATTAATAATCATTAAAAATAATTTTAAATTCTTGCCTCATAATAAAATTGAATGAGAAATTTTCTTCTATAAGCCAAAATCTTTTACATTCAACAGTTCCTTACTATAAAAGGATTATGGAGAAAGTCTTTTGAATTATCGACGGTGTTACTGATAATGGAAAATATTTAGTTATTTTCACTGATAACTTAATCAATAAATGTACTCAACAACGCAAATTATTTCAAGCCCATTCATTCAATATTTAATTTGTTTCGGTTTTTAATTCATGATATACAAATTTTAGGGTTTATCCACTTATAGGTGATTAGATTGAAGTGCATATTGTATATATGCTTTTAGGATTTGTGCTGACATTTTGTACATTTATGTTTTTTATGAATTTAATTGCAAACACAGGCATAATCATAAAAAAGAATTAACAAATGTTTGAAATGCCTCTCGAACTTGTAAATATCATCTTGAAAAATTTAGAATTAAACAAAATAAATTGAAAAAAACAGGAAAATAAAACAATTCATTTCCATATACTTGCAACTATATTAGCCGATAATTAGAATTCCACTCCAATACTCCCATTTTCATATTCTATTATACTATTCTATGATAAGTATAATTTTTTTTTATTAGATTCACCTACTTAGTTCATACTTTTTGTTATCATTGTGTGTGTTTTGTCGATCACACTGTAATTAATTTTTAGCTTTTTTATTGATCTGCATAGTTTTGAGTTCAAAATGAAAAAATAGGACTTCTTAGGAACATTTAATACATAAAAGGTCCATATTATTTTTGTTTTTCAGACCTTACTTATAATTCTTTTAGGTTTAGAAGTCTAATCCATCATAATTTAAGTGTTTTACATTATATTTTTGTTTGTCAATATCATAATGAGTTACAATTAGCTAATATTTGTTGAAATTCAATTTTCAAGGTTGTAATTACATATATCATGCTATATATTGTTATATGAGATTACTTTGCTGATTGCATAGTACAGACATATAGAATTTGATTTAAATCTAATAGGGTTAATGCTGCTTGGATACCCATTTGTGTCTTATATTCTCTAAATCATAATTGAAAGGTAGAAGTTAAAGTCTTTAAACTTTTCATCCTAATCTGTGGAGAAACAACTCAGAGTAATTTATTATTTGTTCAAAAAACAAATTAAATTAAAGAAGGAATAAAGATCCTTAGATCCCTTAGAAGCATTAGCTATGTATTCATTTATAACAAATCACCTGCGATATTGTTCATTGAATCGAGAAAGAAAAGTATAAAAGCAAATTAAGATGAAATTTAAATGCTTCTGTGAAGAATTCGCTGATAGAGATAATTTTAGATTTGATTCAATTGCTGAAATGAAATTGTTTGCTAAAGAATTGATTGCTTAAACCTTAGAGGATGAGATTCTTGAAACTTAGGATACTTATTTAGCCTTGATATACATTTACTTTCTTGTTTAAGTCAAGAAATTACCTACTCAAGCTATTTATGAAGTGATTCGACTTTCATTGTCAACTTAAGTAAGCTTTTTTTAATTATAATAAAGGAAATGGCTTTGAAAGAGAAGGCAATTATTTATAAGTTAAAATATGATGCATTAGAAGAATTTGATAGTCTAGTAAAGAAAAATGATCTAAAGAATTAGAAATATGTTTTCAAAAGAGTGTATTAATATGAGGAATCATTATCAGTGATTAAATAAAATATCATATTTATTGTTCGTCAATTTAAGGTAATACGATTTTTATATTTAGGAATGGTATGGATTAATCTTAACATCAACAATTGATATTGATTCATTAGTATTAATTGGATTTAATATATTAAAGAATATTAAATTTGTAGAAACCTAATTATAAAATGCATTTTAGATAAATCCACTTTCAAATGAGTGTGATTCTTTGTATAATGTATTTTAGAAATATCTTCAATTTAATAAATCTAGACCCAAATTATATAGATAGGAAGGGAAACTGGTTCAATAATTTATGCATTCTATTGAGAAGACTATCTTTGATCCTGGAAGTTGTGTGATTTAAATAACGTTATTACAACCAAGGGGAAATGTATTAAGATACACTAGATCATTCTAATAAGCAATAGGGTTTAAAGATGAAGAGATAAAGGATCAAAACATTCATAGATTCATGCCATAGATAATAGCAGATGATCATGATAAATATTTGGATAATTTTGTGGAGAGAGGCAGAATTATAGTTGTTCGATCTGAAGTCAGAGTAATCTTAGGGAAAAATAAGGGACAATTTTTGGTGCCTATAAATACAAGGTTGAGAATAGAGACCAGTCCAACAGAGTTTGGAGCTACTGCCTTAATTACTCCAGTGAATTTAACATTTGGATATATGATGTTGAATGAGAAAGGATAGATAGAAGAAATAACATAAAATATCTTTGAAGAAATGTTTCAAAAGAATTTAGGCATACAAGTAGGACAATTAAGAGGCTTAGATTGCTTATTTTTTATTCCAGATTTGGCTAAGATTTGGGATGAAATTTATGATGAAAATTTTGAGAGATTAGACAGAAAGTTTGAATGTTAGTTTATTATTCCTATGGTATCCCAATGTAGGAGTATGTCTCAATCCTAAATTTCAAAGGGGATTTCCAAAAATTATATTTAAAAGTAGATTTACAAGAATTTTGAAAATCAACCAACAGACAATGCTATCTATTAGATTTCATTGCATGTCATGAGTTTAGTCACTATAAATTTGAAGTATTATTATATAAGTAATCGATTAGGTTAGTAATCTTAGAATTACAGGATTTTAGATTGCTGCCTAATTAAAAAATTACTAGTAAATAGATAATTTAATTAAGGGGCAGAACAAATTAGTAATTTAATATTTCACAATTTCAAAATACAACCAGCTATAGAGAATAACTAAGTATACAAAATTCTCCTTGGGTAATAGATTGTGATCTAGAGTATGATCTCTTATAAGAAGAATAGAGAATGATCGATGAAGTCAAGCATCAATTAGCCACTGTCAATATTACTAACACTACAAACCATTAGCAAATATAATTAATCTAATATGCATAAGATGATGAATTCTTACTTCCAGAATAATAATTATAATAATAAGATGAATAAATCATTACTTCTGTTGTTAAATTAGATGAAGTCGAAAGACAAGGGAAGTTTCAGAATTAAAACAATATGTCAATTGGGAGTAGGTCTTCACAAAATAATCAAACATCATTGAAGAGATAAATGAAGGAATGCATTAGCGATTAGACAATTATTCATAAGAAATTGGCTATTATACTAATTATATTTTATAGCTTAATAATTAGTTCTTATGTTGTAAATTTTCTGGTCTTTTAAAAGAATTATGAACAAGTTTAACTAAATTAACTTAACTAGAACTTACCATATCAACTATCATACTTTTATAACGAATTCATTATATCACACTATTACAAAAATCATTAAAACAGTTTCCAATTCCTGGAGCTATAATAGATATGCTTAGATTTCTTTCAGTAAGAAATTAAAAATATTGACAAAACCTTACAAAATATACCAGAAATATCAAATATATTAAGCAAACCTTTAAAGTAGAAGATTGTGGAAATGATTCAATAGATGGCTAATTTAATGTAAGAAAACAGCATTGTAAATGAATCTGAGTATCTGAGCAATACTAAGGATTTCTAAGAGATTGTTCAAGTGTTGTATTAATCCGATACGACTTAGAATATAACCAATATTTAGTATATGTAAACTAATTATATTATTTATGACTATGTTTTATAGAGTTATCGCTGAAGAAATTGCGCTCGTCTTATTTATATCGTGGTATGCCTATAAGTGTGTAGAAATTATTTAGATGAAAACTAAAGTATATAAACTATTTAGCACTTTTACAACTGATGTGATCCAAGAGTAGTACATAATATTTTCTACACTCTATTCCTTAATGAATTCCTCCAAGTTTAGGAGGGGAGAAACAAACGAAGACAGCTTTGATTCTGTGATAAATAAAGCATTTATGAGGTAAAATAGCCATGCATTATTGGAAAAATATTAGAAAGTAGGAAAAAGGATTAAATAGCTCAGTATTTATATTCTTATTATTTGCTTTAGAGAATAATTCAATACAAATAATCTTTTTCTTGTTTGTTTTGATTTTGATAATAGTTTGTTCTGTTTACTTTGTTGGTAGCTATATCTTGCACAATAATACAATCAACTCCATAATCACAGAATTCAATGATAAAATCTTATTCTCCAAAGCTTATCACGAAATAACTCAAGCCTTTGCTTAAACGGTGGTATTTATAAATACGAACATTACTGCCGATAAAATTGCTATATAAAATTCAACTGTGATTAAGCTTACAGAATTGAAAAAGAAGTTGTCTCTTTATTAATAAGATCAAACAATCTATAATATAGTTACAAAGGCTGCTTGTGACATTTTCAATTACTCATTGTAACTATAAACATAAAGATGTAAGGTCCGGTTTTCAGGCTTATGATGAACTCTTTTCTTATGAACAATGTACAAGCTATTCAATTCTAATGAGGGGATTGAGTGTGACCTATGCTGACCTCTGCGATTAATAATTACGATTTTTCCAAGACATCGTTGGTAACAGTTCACAAGATTATTTGATATCCAATTATTACTAAGTCACTTCATAGATTGAGAGATTGTATGATTCAATGGGATTTTTTGTGATTGTCTCGACATTAACTAATCAAATCCAAGAACAAATTTAAAATAACATAGACATAAACATCATCATGGTAGCCTTTTCAGGACTGCTTATGACTATATCTATGATTATCATGATACTCTCCATGAGAAAGGTGAGGCACTCCTATCAATAAAGCAAAAGGCTACTAACTCTACTACCCTATGATAGACTAGTGGAAAATGCCTACATAATCAGCTTTATTTAATAAGATATTAGACTATAAAATTGATCCTATACAATATGTTTATCTTTTTTATTTGAAATAATAAATCAATATTTTCTTGTTATTAAATATTCAATGTTTCTAGCTATCTGAGGTTCCCACTTATCTCCATTTTCAAGAAGCTTAAACTTATCGTAAAATAAATCTTCGTGTTGATAAGTTGTGTATTCATAATTAGGGCCCTTGGTATTATTAATAATCAATTAATACCTCAACTATTGCATCAACAGGACAGGCTTCCTAGCAAAATCCACAATAAATGCATTTTGTCATATCAATATCGTAACGCACTGTACGTCTTAAAAGACATCAAATCATTAACATACCTCGAATTATCTGGTCTTGGTTCTGTCTCTATAGTAATAGCTCTGGCTGGACAAGCACTTTAACACAATTTACAAGCAATACATCTACGTTTGATATTTCAAGAAAATTACCTTTCCTCACCTGTTGGATATCTTCTTAATGCATGCTCTCCTCTAAAAAGTGGTGAAAGCGGACCCTTTTCATATGGATAATTAATTGTCCATTCAGGCTCGAAACAATACAAAACACCGCAAAACCAAAAGTGATATAAATATTCTGGTTATGTAAAATTTTAATATGCAGTTTCCCAAACATCAGTCCAATCCAATTCATCAGGCATGAATTTGCCTATTTGCTATTATGTTAGTTAATACCTTGGTAGTAATGCATTTACACATTGTTTTCTTGATCCTTATCAAAATCAAGAATGCTTGAATTGAACTAAGGAGTAGCAAATTTACTATTAGGGTCCTAGCTATTAGCAACATGATAGTTGACAGAATTTTTGATATAAACTACGAATTCTGCTATTAATAAGTACCACAAAATCTTGCCTGTCTTGCCTTTAAAAGCAATTTAGTCAACATTTATTATGATTATAATAATTAATTAATATATAGTAATGTATAAAGTGAGAATTAACTGCTAAAATCTTATTTGTTAGTCCGAATTACATAATATATAGAACTAGCAATATGTAGATTTAATTTTCTTGAAAACAAATTATATTCAAATAAGATATTCAATCATTATGTAAAATTTAAGATTCGCTGATTTATCAAAGATAAACATATTTATTTAAGATCTATATGTAAGACATCAAAATTTATTTGATATTTTCTCACCTTAGTTAAACAAAACAGAAAGAAAATAATTCAAAAAGATTCATTTACAATAATAAAATACAAAAGTACAATTTACATCTATTCAAACTATTGAAATATAAAATTAAGAGTGTTTCATTTTGTAATAATTGTGAGGAAATATAGAAAAAATGAGATTCACGCCCAAAAATTAATTAACTTTTTTGATAGAATAATCCAAGTTCTTTGTATCAATCAATCGTGATGAACTATAGAACTATAGATTATAATCTTCGTCGTTCGTCTTGAAACATTACTATGCGTTTTATTATAATTCTAATATTAAATAATAAATTATTCTTCAAAATCTCTTTACCTTTTTGTATATGCAAGATTTTCTAGACTTTACTGGAATAACATACAATGAAAAAAGTATGCTGTTGGATATTTCTGCTATTCCTTTAATTGAAGAGAAATTTACTGACGATTTAATAAATTAACAACTAATATTGCTAAGATCTCAAGAGATTGTTAAGGAGCCAGATAACGATAAATAATTAACTAACCAAGCTATTTTACTCAAGAAAAAAGTAATAGCTTCATTGGAAAAATACTCATAGATGCTCATCAATAAGGATAATTCTATAAGATAAGTTATTAAGCAGGATTTAATGTTAATCAATTCGGAATATCAAGTGCTAATCAATATGGTAGACCAAAGTGAGAAGGTCTCAGATGAGGTTTAATAGATAGTTAAATTGTTAGGAGAGTTTATGGAATAAATGACTATTAAATCAAATGAGAAAAAGGATATCCATTATTCCAAGACCTTATCTGATTAGTAACAAATTTACAAAAACCATACAGAATCACAACAAATAAATTCATACGAATGCTTTTAAAAATAAAGATCACTACCAACTAAACTTTATTAAAAATAAAGCAATAATTCTTTTGAATCAGATGAAAGCACAATCATATCGAATCAGACTGTTAGTGCTATTAATAACAAAATATCAAAATTAATTTCAATATTGAGATCCAATTAGGATTATTAAGTGATGATAAATTTGGCTTAAGAAATACTTAATAGCTCAGAAAACAATGATACCTTTAGAAGATTGAGACAGCTATCGAAATAATATGAAGATCCTGAAGTCAAGAAACTAGTCAAAGTTTGTTATCTGAAATAATTAGCTTAAGAATAAAGCCAAACAAATACATCGAAAAGGGAATTCTATGATTTAGTGATAAAAATCAAAAGCCAAATACCAGAAAATAATAAAATCCATAAAATGATGATAAGTTCTTTATATGATGAAGTTGTTAAGAAAGGAGTACCAAACTCAGAATGGGAATCATATATGAAACAATTATACAATTGAAATATATACTTTTACGTATGAAACTTAAACGTTAATTACTATAATTTCATTTATCAGTTAAGTATTGAATATACTTCTTTAATTCAAGATTTTCTGTTCTATATTCAGTTAATTATCTTTCAAATTATTAAATTCTCTTAACAGCTTCATCATAATCTTAAGTTAATTAAGAGCATAATATTTTTAAATTTTAATCTTCCTTATAAACTTCTGTATCACATATCGATTAAGGATAAGAATTATTTTGTTATTTAGTAGAATTTAAATGATTTTTCAATATAAGATCAACATTTTTAGACTATTATTTATACTATAACATTTATTTTGTTTAAGTGTTTAATTAGATAGTTAAATTATTATTTTGCATATCTCTCTCTTAAATGGTTTGTTTGCACTTCTAAATTTCTGCTTCCATGTGTTATATCTTTTGATTATATTATGATTTAAGTTCATTAAGTTCTAATCTCAGATTACTATTTTGAGAAATCTGATTCACTTCCTTTTCCATTATGACATTATTATAATCAACCAAAAGTGTTTGATGTTTTAATTCTAATTAGGCATAAGATTCCTAGAAGTCACTTAACTTTTTCTATAGCTATTTATTTTAATTTTCAATTTTCTCTAGTTGTTCCAAAGCTGATTCAAGTAGCTTCTTCACATTTTCATATTTATCATAATATATTCTGAATTGTTCAACTTGTTGTTCTAGTCTACAAATTTCTTACTCCTTTTTAGAATACTCCTTTTTCAAATTTTCTATTCTGGACAATTATAGTCTCAGTATTTTTTATTATTCAATATCCTGTCTATCCATATCCTCCAAATGTTGAAGATCTGTTATAATCTATGCTTTTATGATTTATAATTTTACATAGATTAGGTTTGCTGCTTTGTTTTGGATTATAATTCTTCATTTTTTTAAATTATTGCTCAAAATTATAACGATAATATAAATTAATTGAATTTCTTAAAAATATATAATAATCTTGAACACAATCTCATTGATTTTTATGCTTTTTCTTAGTTGATGTTTGCTTTTTTTAAGGGGGCTTATTCTGCTTTTCAATTTCCATTTATGCAAGGTATGGAGGAACTTCGACTTTTCTGTTAGGTATTGATTTAATCAGTTTTGCAATGGTTTATAATAGAGTATGTTCTGATATTTAGTAAAATAATACTGCATTTGACTTATGGGTTATATGGCTTTTTGTCTTCAGCATAGAGACGAACCTTAATCCTACCTTATTTGAAGATATCCCTTGGGAATCCTGCATGTTACTTAATTAGATGAATTGAGTACATCAATCACATGTCTCAGTCCAAGTGAACTTAGACATTAAGATATCTCCATCAATTAGGGATGAGGAACGCAATTCGATTTTCCTAATCTTCTGCCTAGTATGTAGATATGATGGGTCTACCTTATGCAGTAGTTAATGTTGAATCAATGTAAGGGGGATAGATGGTTTTCCAGGTTTTTGATTCCACTTTGATTTATTCTGGGGTTTGCATTATTTAATGTCGTGTTCAATTAATAAATTAAAATTAATATTATACTTATAATAATTATTCATTATATAAATTATCATGATGAGTTAGTGGCAAAACTAAAATTTTTGACTCTATTGGTCCTATTATTTTCTTGTTCATAGTCCTAATCCTAGAAGATAGCCTAAATGATAATCAATAATAGTAACTTTTCCATTATATCCTAATTCATCCCCGTCGAAATCTTATTGGTCATCATCATCATGCATTTCAGAGAAGTCAGTGATTGGAGGATTATATTTTTGTTTATAAACTATGTCCCAGTCAATTCCTTTGAAGAAGGGATCCTACTTAATTTCATCTTTGGATTTCGTTCCAATTCTTTTGTTTGGATCCCTCTCCAACATTTTCTATTCATAGATAAGATGCTAATACAGCAAGTAAGTTTTTGGCTTCGACTGACATTTTCTTTGGCCATTTCAAGGTTCCACTTTGTATGTTTTTATACATTTGTTGTATATCATCGTTATAATATGGAGATTCGCCAGTCATCATTTCATACATCACACATCCAATTCCATAGATATCACTGGGCTTTCCTGCTCCTTTTTGACTTAGAATATCAGGTGATAGATAAGCAGGAGATCCACAAAAACTCTTTGCTTTATCCTAATCAGAAACACCTTCCTTTGATAATCCAAAATCTGCTAATTTGACATGGCCCTTCATATCTAGCAATATATTTTCTGGTTTCATATCTCTATAGATTATATCTTTAGTGTGAAGATATTCAATAGCCAATAGGATTTCAGCAGCATAGAATCTGGCAGTATCTTCAGAGAACTTCCCTAAATTGGCTATGTGGTAGGATAAGTCACCTCCTTTACAATAATCTAAAACCAGATACAAATAATTTGGAGTCTGATTGATAAACTAATTTATTACTTAGAATGCATAATGTAATCCAAGAATAAATGGGTGTTTGCACATCTTTAAAACATTAGCCTCGGTAATTGCATACTTTATTTACTTTTTCAAAATTAGAGTCTTCTTTTTAAGTGCCTTCATTGCATATATTTTATCATCTGCCTTATGTTTAACTAAAAACACTTTTCCAAAGGCTCCCGATCCCAACTCTTTGATTATCTCAAATGAATCAAAATTCACCTTACTATCCTTAAGCAATTCATTTTGACTCTCCATAATTGATGATGTTAATTATTGTTGAGATTAAGATATCTATTTTGGCTATTCAATTTCTGAGTTTTTGGGAGGACTTTGACTATACCTATGAACAGGCTCTGGATTCGATAATCGTTTTTAAATTATAGAAGCTTCATCTCTTGGTAATGATATAGATTGTTCAGGTGATATCTGTTTTGGAGGAGGATCAGAGGAAGGAGCTTTTGCATTAGTGTCTTCAATTAGAACTTCAGTATTTTTATCAATTAAATTTGGATCTAGAGATCCTCTTTCATATTATAATTAATTACTCTTTCATTTTTTCTTCTAAGTATTGATAATAAACAGTTGCTTTGTAAATGTACTCCACCCACTTTTTAGCTATATGTTCGTGTTTACATGCCAGAATAATTCTAGTTGAATACAACAACTCAAAATAGTGATATCCTGATTTAGATATAAATCCCTTCTGAGTCATAAGCACACTCTTGACACTCCTCAGAGGGATGATCTCTCTTAAATCTATTAATTTCATTATATTTACAATGGTTTTAGAGGGTAATCTGAAATATTCTTAAACCTTATGAAAGTTCCTTCATCAGGATTTAATACGAAAAACCTCTCATTTAGGGTGACCAACATTTATCCTGTTTTATATATGAACCCTTTGGCGATTGGGGGTCTAGGAGGAATAAAATCATCTGCACTCCTTAATTAATCTTTCATTTGATTGCTCTTCTTCGTTTATTCAATGTACAACTTAGTTTCCTAATTGCAATAATCATAAGCTGTTCTCTCGGTTTTATCTTATAATTTGAGATCAGCATTTTTTTAAAGCAATAGATCTATTATTTTAGTTTAGCCTGATTTGCATGCCAAATTTAATGCAATTCCTTTGTCTGTTATCAAATTCACATCAATTTGAGGATGATTCAAGATTACTTTTACAATTTCAATATTGTGACGATGTACTGCTATCTATAATGGAGTCCATCCTTCCTCAGTTACCTTGTTTATATCAATATCTTTGGAAATCAAAAACTCTACAATTAATTTATATTCCAAAAAAGTTGCAAAATGAATTGGATTCCACCCTCCAAAAGTTGCTTGATTTAATAAAGAAGGAGTTATTTTTTAGCAAAGTTATTGTAGCATATCTAAATTTCCACTTTTCACTGTTTAAAATATTTTATCTTCATAATCAGATTATATAGGTTCAACATTTGTATTTGAAGATTTTTATTTTGAGGAATTGCCTTCATCATCTGAATTTTCACTAGTTTCAGATACTTCTGATAGTTTTTAAGGTTTTTCTCTTTGGTTTATGAATAATTTGTTCAAGTATTTTTCAGTTTATCTCTTTTATTCCTTTTATTTTGTATCTAACTCATTTTCCCTTACTTCAACCAAAATATTCTAATTTTCTTGTAATTCATAAAATTCTATGGGCCAACCCTCTATTATTTTTATCTAATATATTACGTAATTTTTACAGAATACTAATCTCTTTTACACTTTATGACTAATTCCTATACTAAACGCCCAACTTTAGAGGCGATTAAAGAAATCAGTTAGTCTGATGAGTCTTCGTCATTAATTTCAATCTTAAAGGTTTTTTTCTAACCAAAACCATAATATTGCTATACAATGAGTCTCATTATATAATAAATATAAATTAAAACTATATTCTCAAAATACTTTAGAATTTACCAAAATAATACAGTACTCGCCAAATTTTTCTACATGAGAATAAAACTTTGATTGTCTCAATTGTTATTTTTATCTTATACCCATCCTTAACATATTAAAAAAGAAAAATGCCTTAATTCCATAGTCAATTTCAACCAACATATTCCACATTATTTCGATCATGTGATTAAATGATGGAAAAATGCAAATAATAGACATCTTATCACGTCAAACATTTAGTTAAGCTACTTTCCTATCCAAAATTACATTATTTCTTATTTTCTTTTTTAATTTCTAATTCAATATGATATCCCTTAGATGATAGTTTCGACAAGGTTCTAATTCTTTTCAAATGATATCTTAATTACTATTCTTTTATCAATAAGTTGAACTATGAATAAGATCCTAAAATATTAATAAGATTAATTCAGTTAATTTTAGATTTTCTCCTTTTAATCGTTTCTTAAATATATAATTAGTACTATATTTTGGATAATTATTAAATTGACCAGAATGAATTTATAAACTTCTAGAATCTTAAATTATAATAATCTAATAAGGTTAAATTTAAATTACAAAATATTTATATTTAGAGAGTCATTAGTTTTGTTCGACAATCAATATGTTTAATAATTATAAATACAAAAAAAATGAAAATAGTTCATTGGAAATTATCATCAAATTGTTGAATTTAATAATTGGAACCTTTCAAAATTTCAATAAACCCTTCAATAAATTCTCTTATCCAAAATGAGTTTTTTTTAATTTCTTCTACTTCATCTCTAAATGTATTCGAAAAGAAGTTGATACTTCTGATACTTGAATTTTAATACAAATGAATTTATGCCTGGTATGGATCAGATTCCTTTAAAACATAATGTTAAATTATTACAATTTCATTGATCAGAGCATAATCATCTTTTGTTAACTCATGAATTAATTGCCTATCAAATAACATTTTGTGATCTTAATGATTCTCAACTAATTATCTAACAATGTTATTCACTAAATTATTTTCAAAATAATTTTAAGAATTTTTAAAGTATTCTCGAATAATAAATTTGTAGGTATTAACAAAGTTCTTTGATATGGATTTCATAACAACTTCTAAACCAATTTTAGTCTCTTCAGAGATGTTTTTTAATAATAATTTATCTTCGCAATTGTTGTTCTTTTCCAAAAACATATAAGTTGTGTCTGCTGGGTAATTTAGATGTTCAAGAAGTCTTGAACTTTTATTCTAGTATATTGATAATCGATTACTTTTAAATCTTTCTTAAGTTAGAGCGAGTATTTTTTTTTATCTTAATGACTATTGGAATCAAATTTCATAAATCCTTTCCTTATTTTTGAGGCTGGTATGCCTGTAACAACTTTAAATATCATGTTTCCCATTTTACATAAATATATGATCATTTTCATTGAGATATCTCTACCAAACCATAATCCAGAAAGAGCCTCGTTCATTAATTATTGACTCCATTAATGATCGTCACTGGTTTCTGTTCTTTTTGAGGGCCTTCCTGAACCCCAATTGCTATTTTTTCTTTTGGTCAAAGATTTTCTAATTTTTTTATGTTAATTTTTCTTCAGCGTATTTTATTCAGGTTAATCAGAATCTGACGATTGATTTTCTTTAAATTATTTCTCACCAGCCAATGAAGAATTTTAATTTTAAGATTTAGATTCCATATTTAATAATTAATAATCTATTAATGCACTTAATTCTAATTATATATTTTACCCTCTTTCGTATATAATTATATTTACTTTGCTGTTTAAAAATGCTTTAATTAAGACTAGTCATCACTTCATCTTCTATATAGATTTATTACAAGGGACATGTCTAAAAGGAATGTATGCCCTTATGAGAGAAATAAAATTAATAAATAGATGAGAAATTAATTTATTCTTAGAAAATTTTTGATGACCTTATATAATTCTCGGGAAAAAGAATTGGATGTGCTACTTATTTTCTAGAGATTTTCAAATAAATTCTAAAATTAGTAATAATAATTAACCAAATTTTCATTTATATCAACTATTTTTCAATAAGAAACATTAAGATTGTCAATTAAATATTTGTGTCACTTATGATAACACCATAATAACAAATAGAATTAAAGATTAGAGTTTCATCCATATTAAATTGAGGGTTGATATATTTCTGCCCTGCTTGTTTTTGGATTTGTAACTTAGCCCAATTAGAAAGATATTATAATCGTTGCAAATCAAAAAGCAATCAAAGGCATTTAATTTTCCTGGCATAACCAGCAGTAATTTAGAATGCCATAGGAAAAGAACCAATTATGAAAGGGTAGAAGAAATAATAAAGAATTAGATCTAAATGAAAATTTATGATTGATTATCTCGGCACTATAAATGTAAATTGTAATTAAAAGCCATCACAAGGATACAAAAAAAGAACAATTTTCATTAACTTTAGAAGTGAATTTTTGAGTGAAAATATTAATAATGTGCTATTGGTATTTTAATGAAATTATAGAGGAATATAACTGAAGAAAAACTACTATTTCATTAATTTGCAGATAGAAAATACAACTAATTTGATTTAAAGGATGAACAATAAAGATCAATTCATATTTGATTGATAATTAATGGTCCGATTTTCTTAACAGTAATCCTAGTTAAAACTCTTTATTGATATAAACAAGAAATTTTAATTGCCAAAGGGGAGTAAACAAAATAAATACACTTAGATTTTAATATGGATGAAAAAATGAATGAGATTCTTAAAAATCTAATGGATAATTTTGTAATTCAATTCTGAGGGTTCTAATAATTTGAGAGGGCATAAAATTCAAAGAGATTTGTCTATAGATTTGGAATAAATAATGATATTAATTTGGATTATATTTCATGAAACTGTTAATTATTTTAATAAAGTTTATATTATGAATAGACAATAATAGGAAGCTGCTCAAATTCGTATGATTGTATAATTGAAGGTTTAGTACTTAAACGAGTTCGTGATGCTTTATAAGCAAGAGGATCGAAAACAATTAGACAGTTGGGTGTTTGTTTTAGATGTCTGGATTCATATGATGGGAATAGGAAATTGGACAAAAATGAGTTGAAGGTGGGTTTGGCTGAGAATGGAGTTTAATTGTCTTGGAATGAAGTTGAAGTAATAGTATTGATATATCGTAGATCTTATTTGCTGCTATGGATAGAGATAGGAGTGGAACTATAGATTTTGATGAATTCTTAGTTTCCATAAGAGTAATGTACATTAATATTTTAGGGTTAATTGAACCCAACTAGGAAGGCTATAGTAGATCAGGCTTTCAGAAAATTTGATAAAACAGGAGATGGATACATTACAGCGGATGATTTAAAGTGAGATTTTTGAATATGTTTTAGAGGTGTTTACAATACTAAAATGCATCCTAAGGTTAAGAATGGACAGATGACAGAGAATTAGGTTTTCGAGGAATTTCTTGTTAATTTTGGAGATGTGGATAGGAATGGGTAATTGACTTATTAGGAGTGGTGTGATTATTATGCTGCAGTGTCAGCTTCAGTGGACAACGACGAACATTTTGTGTTGTTAATGAAAATGGCTTGGAAATTATGACACCGATTCATCATTGTATAATTTTTAGATTATTTTTATTATTCATTAAATCATTTAATCTTTTTACTAATCAAGAAATGGAAGATACTGTACTATTATCCCTGAAAAAAGACAGGTTTCAAAGATTTCAGGATTGAAGAGGATGTTAGATGAGTGTGGAAGGGTGCTCTAAGTGACACACAATCTCTGGCTAAAAAAAAATAGAAGAAAAATTTGACAGCAATTTACAGTGCAGAATAGGGTTTATTACTGTTAGGATGCTTTAGAGGAGGCTTTTATAATTATTAACAGTTAATAATCGAATTTTAAATCCTCGTTTCGGCAGGATTTTAAATTAAATTGATTTAATTTATAAATGAATTCTAGAGACCCTCCTAGTAAAATATTGTTATTGATCATAACTTACTTGCCTCAATCCTTCCCACTAACTAATGATTTTTTGTTTGAGACCTTTAAGTAGTATGGGGAAGTCAAGAAAATATTAATTTTCGAAAGGGGAAAAACTAACAAAGCATTTGTAGAGTACAACGAAGTTAAACATGCTATTTCAGCAAGACGTAATATGATAGGAAAATCGCTCACTCCTTAGGGAGGCAGGTAACACTTTCAGTTATATTTATACCAGATTATTGATTCATTATTCTCGCTTGAAATAGTTAGACTTAGAAGTGGTTGATCACACCAGAGGCACCGAGTATTGCTCTGATGACGAAGAAACACAACCAGAATAGAAATATCCTTTGAAATCCATGACTCTACCAAATCCAATCCCAATTTCTCCTCCCTTAATCAAGCCTCAATCCATCGAATAGATATCGAATAATGGAAATCAATTCAAAGGGGCCTAAAATATTGTCCAAGAATCGCCCACAAAAGCCATGTATTTATTTAAATGTATTTTATAGAATGGAAACTCAATTACGACAATTGGAGAGAATACTAGATGACGACTATGAATAAGAAGTAGCCAAAATTTCATTGACTCAATTGGATTCCAATGATTTTGCTATCCAAGAATTATTAAATCAATAACCTTCTAAATTTTTAAGGGTTTCCAATCTGGACGAAAGAGTCACTCCTAGGATGTTGTACAATCTATTTAACAGATTTGGACATCTGGAAGCCTTAATATTAAAAAAACATATTCGTTAATCAATTCTATAATTTGTAAACAAAGAGAATGCTATCATAGCCAAAGAATTACTCAATAATGTTGTCTTTTTTGGAAATGAGGTTAGACATCTAAATTTATTATCTTAGTTAAGAATACTTTTCTAGAATGCTCAAAATTCAACCTTGTAGACTAACAACCCCAATGAGGAATATTATTAAGGAAGTCAAACCAAATTTAAAATCGTTCCCTTGACTAGAGTACTCTCATTTTCTGGCATTCCCTAATTATTAGAAATTCAAGACATGGTTAAATTAGTTGGAAAGATTCAAGGTAACCCCATTTCTCATCATTAGAAATCAAACTTGACTCTTAAGCCATCTAAATAACTATGGTTGACATTTAAGAAGCTTTAAAAGTGATCTCAGTCTTTTCGGAGTATGATTATAAAGGAAATAAAATTAGTTTGAATTTAAAATGACTATGTATATATATTGATTAATAAAGTTTATAATTTATCACTATATAAATTTTAAGATGAATTAGCAGGAGTATACAAATATGATTGTTATGGCCTTCTAAGCTAAAGACAGTTAAACAAGAAGTAAAGCAGAGGAGTTATTGATTCAAACCTGCCAGAATGATATTGGATCTATAGACATTTTATGTGAATTATCATCTTAATAAAATGATTTACTTTTGGGGGAATAAGCTGCAATTACAATAAAAACTGCTATTAAAAAATTCATAGCCAATACCAGTAAGGCCATATTAAATTATAATTTAGAACCATATGCTGCTGAACTGAGATTACATCATGTTGATCTCTTTGTTCAAATGTTCACTAAATAGATCCCAAATAAAATCAAAGACATTGTCCAATAAGCTCTATAGTAACTAGTTTGTTATGATAAATGTAAATAGATTTATAATATTCAACTTTAGAAAATCACTTCAAAACTCGTCTTAAGTAGCATGTCATCTAATCTATTGAAACTAAGCTCGAAAATATGGTAGTGTCAGCATGCTTCATAGCTGAAACCTTGCAATTGGATAACCAATTTGAATGGTTCTAATCGATAATCAAAATAGGTAAAATAATAGATGGTTTTTCTCAATCAACTAAAATACTCTGGGCCAAAGTCCTCTTTAGTCAATTGGATCGACATCTTACAACAAATTAGATGAGGAGTGTCCCAGACCCAATTCAATAATACTTCTTATTCAATGAGGAACTGTGTTAAGTCCTCATTCTCAAAATCCAACAACTAACATTTGTAGGTGATGATTTAGAATATTGTCAATTGATTGTGGCTTCATAAAGATTGATTTATGGCTCTATCTTTACATTTTATAAGGAAGCCATTGCAAACAAGTGTCCCTTCTAAGAAATATTATGCGTCATCTGTGACACCTACATCTAAAGTCTTGTAGCATTTACTATGCAACCTAGTTTCTCTTACGAAAACCTCAATCAAAATCAATAAAAATTAATCAACGAAATCATTAAAATTTTGGCAATTACATGCAAAAGTGTTTCAGTCTATCACATCTTTGCTGAATATAGAATGGCTATTTTCGTTGACATTATTGTACCATTCTTTTCGTCAACCTATAAAGAAGTTAATGATCTCAATGAAGATCCCAATGAATTTGTACAATTAACTTAAGATCTATTAGATGAATAGAAATCAGATATCATCAAGTCATCAGTAGCTTAATTAATTATAGCCTATTGTTAACACATAGATGGATCCATATCCTTTTTTACTTCTTTCACAACACTAACTGCTTCGTATTGCATTTAAAAACTTAAGAATACTGAAATAAGTCAATAATTGGGATTGATCATGGAATTCAGGGAACATTACTTTTTGAAATCAATGAATGTTAATATTTTATTAGAGACTTCATTATTAATCCTATCAATTTTAAGCAATTTTCTCATTTCAAGAAATGAGGTTGGATTACTTTTCAAATCATTTATTGGTGAATATAACGATTACCTAATTAATTATTCAATACGTACATACATAATGTATACTTTTAGCACTCGTTAAGGCTAGACTCTGTACCTTTATTGGGGCCTTTTGCAAAACAATTCTAAATGAGAAAGATGAACTCTCTTATTAGCTACTTAATTTTTTGATGAATTAGATCAAATCTTCGTAAACTGAATTATATGCTAATTGCTATTGTGCAATAGAAGCCATCAAAAATATCATTGAAGAACCCAACCTAGAAAAACTGTTGGAACCAAATATAGGATAGATTTTACTCGTACTATGTTAATCTTTAATATAAAGTGATTTTGAGGATCATTTTGACACAATTAAACAAATTTTCAAGTATGTATTATGATTGCATTCAGCTAGAACATTTTCATTAGAACCTACTGTGTTAGACTAAGCATTAAGTTTTATAGTCTTGAAAATATAATAAGAGTAGTAACTTGTAGAATAAGGATAAACTGAGAGATAGATTTGTATCAATTAAACTTGGAACATACTTAAAGCTCTACCTGAAATTGAGAATATCATTCCTATCCATTTTACTCTTTTGGAAAAAAGGGTTTCTGTGTTATATAAATATATCATAAGTAATTAATAATTATAACTATTTTAGATCCAAATATCATCGATTTTGATGAGGATATTGTCTACTTCATTTCTTAGTTAATTTGTAAAACTAAGTTTATTAGTGATTTTCAAGCTGAAATGTTCTTTTAATGTAAAAAAGTAATTGAAAAATAAAGATTCACACTCGGATAACTATTTGAGCTCTTTAATTATTATATTTATTATGGAAAATCTTTATTTTCAAATCTCAACGCTCAGGAATTTGTATTCATCTTATATCTTAATTTAGTTAATATAAATGCTGGAAACTGTGTTTAACAATCCATAAATAGGTGAATCCTCTTAAGGCGAAGCTATTTTGCTTCTTCATCTATTACTTTAGGAATATCAATTAAATAAAGAGGTTTTAATCTACATTTATACAAAAATCCTACAAAGATCCTAATTGCTAGTAAAAAACGATTTTTTGAGAGCTCGACTAATGGGAATATACATTTCAGGGTTTATTAAAAATTGTGCCTTAACCTTAGAGTGGGTAGAATAACAATAGGGATTCATTTATGATCATATTATTGATTCAAGTAAGTACTGCTTACCTGATTATGACTGCCAGCTCTATGTGTTTGGATTTTGTTAACTATTGCTTTAAAATCCTCGATACTTAAATTTAGCTTTGCTTCAAAATTTAGTTGGAGTCTTGAAAAATTAATACAATAACGACTTAAAGAAGGCCAAAGATGATAAAGATGACAGTGAAGATATGTTTGTATTTAATGATGAACTGGAGGATGCAAAAATAATAATGGAAACCTTTTAATCAAATATAACAAAACACAACGAATTTGAATAGTTCCATTTAACTTATTAACACCTAAGAAAGACCATCAATATACCAGAATTAATATCTAATGATTCTATTTTGAAAAAAGATCTTGATGATATGCTAAAAATCAATAAATTTAATTCAGAAGCTAGAATAATTTTAAAATTGAAAAAAAGAAAAGAAACTTGAAAATTATATTGTTAATAAATATATACCATAGCTTTAAACTTAAATTGATATCTAAAATACCATTTTTCATAGATATAATCATTCTTAAGCTGCAGAGAAACCATTGAAATCACCGTTAGTTTCAATAAAATGCGATGATGGTGTTTCATAGATTCTTTTACCAAACTAATCTTTCTTAACCTATGGCTAAATTAACTATCAATATATTTATTTACATAGACATGAGTGTTTTCTAATATTGGAGATGGGATTTATAAATTATAGAGCTATTCCCAATTAATATCACGAAAGAAATTATGATCCTTAATTTCTTAAATAGATTTTGCACCAAGTCTTTATGTTGGATCTTTAGTCAATAATCTATCCACAATGTTTTTGGATGATTCACTCAAGAACTTTGGATATATAATCTAACCATTTCTGATATTATTTTCTATTGTTTTATGATTTCCTTGATCATCACAAAATGGAGTATAACCAACTAACATCTCATATATTAAAATTCCTAAACACCAAAAGTCAACCATGTGATTATGGCCTTAATTAAATAAAATCTCTGGAGCCAAATACTCAGGTGTGCCTGCAAGCTATATTTTAGTACATCTATATTACAGTAAAGAATTTAGCTTCTTCATTTTCATATTATTTGGATAGACCAAAATCAGCCAATTTTAAATGTCCTTCTTCAGTCACCATCACATTCTCTGGTTTCAAATCTCGATATATTACTCTTAGAGTGTGATGCATATATTCCAAACCTAATATTATTTCAGCTGCACAAAATTTGGTTTATTCTTCTGTAAATGTACCCTATTATCTTTTTCTTAACACTTTAGCTAATTAACCACCCTTAATAAATCTTAGCTTCATTAAAATATATTTTACTCCATCACTAAATAAAGCTTTTGCTCAGTTTAAAATGAGTATTTCAATTTCACAACAAATGGATTCTTACTTGCCCCCAGCACATTCTTTTCTAGCATTGTATGTTCCACAAGTCCATATTTTAAGATATCAGCCTTTTTAATAACTTTCATTGCATATTCCCGATTGTCTTTCCCTTTCATTTTCACTCTCAAAACCTTCCCAAATTTACCCTAGCATTTCAATCAATCATATTAATTACTCGTCCTATTTCACCTTGACTTAAAAAATCTTTCAAAGTCACTTTTGACTTTTCATTCTTTTTCTCCATTTATTATGCAAGAAAGCTGTCTACTTTCTTTATTGAAGATTTCTAATTCTTTTCTTCTTCCTGTAAGAAGCAATTTCCCATTCAGATATTTTATATTATTTATATTATCAATTATATTCTTACTTTCCTCAATAATTAATTAGCAACATAGTGTAATTAAATTTATATATGGTTTTTAGGTTTTAAAATAGTGTTTATGCATCACCACTTTATTATTCATTCCCTAATTAATATTCTTAATCTATACCTTAAAACTGTAATCCTTGTGTTAGACTAAATCTGTAGATATCGATTTATGGCAGACTTTTGGAAATAACTAAGAATTTAAGGATTTTTTTTAAATTTGTACCTTAAGTTAAACTTAGTTTGCTAGATTTTCATAGAAGAAACTCAGGACCATTTATTTAATGAAGAAATAAATTAATCTAAATTGAATAAGTTGGAAGTGCTGTTAAATGACATCTAATACTCATATAATGAAATTATTAGAATTAATAACATTTACATTTAAATTCTTATCTATATACATTTTACTAATTATAGTAAGCATCACTAAAATAATTATTCTCATTCAAATTCTATTTTATTTAATAAGATTTCAATGTTTTTCGTATATTATTCGATTTCTTTATTTTATTGAGTCACCACTTATTTTAAGTTTGCTTCAATCAAAGTTTTTATTTGATCATTTTCTGATGTAATTTTCAATTGTTCTTGTTTCATTTATTGTATTAATAGATAGTCCTATTATTCTTTCTTTACTTCCATTTATAAATCTTATAATTTGTTTTGCAAATCTATCAAGGATTGTAGACTATATTAATTTGATGAGTTGTTTTTCTCAGATTCTGATAATTTCTATGACTATAGCTGCTCTTTATTTTACTGTAATTTTTACAAGGCTAAATTTTCCTGTAGTATTTTATTGGAGGCTGTAAATATTTAATCATTTGATTTTTCAAAATTTTTATCTTCCTAAATTAAAGCCTTTTCTGATTCTTTTATTTATTCAAGCACTCTCAGAAAAATATCATAATCTAAGTATAATTATTTATATATCTTCCCAATTTTGAATGATTCAATTGATAATTCCTTCTGACATTTATCAACTTCAATTTACAAAGCTTCTACTCTTCTTAAACTGTCATTTACTTTCTTCTCTAAATTCTTTGGATCTTTAACAACCATACTAGAAATATTATTAATATAATTGCCTTTCCAATATTGTCAATTCATTTTGAGCCACCTACAATTTCTCAATCAAATTCTTAAACTTTTTTTCTGCATCCTTCAATTCATTTTAATTTTATGAAATAGAATTTTGTAATTTTAAATTTAAGTTTCTTTTAGCTAATAACTCTGACTCAGCCTTGTGTTTCATTGATTTATACTACTCAAATTTCTTATGTTTTAAATCCATATCCTTATATTTCATTTATATCAAATCTTCAAGTTCACTTTTTTATTTTCGAGTGTTTTATAAATCGAAATCCTCAAGTTAAACCTAATTCCTATGATATTGATTGAATTACAATTTCTTTGTCTCTTTTTTCCCATTTTTAACTTTATTCTCTTTTCCATATGCTATATTTGCATAACAGTGTAAGAATGTGTTTCATTCTTTTTTAATCAGGATCTGTTAAATCCATCATCTAAAAATCCGCTACTCCAACAGTCTTACACATTAATTTGCATCTATAAAAGAGTTATAATGTCGAATTTTCTAAAGTGAAATTATCATCGAAATTGATTAAATCACAAAACTAACATGAAAATAGACCTTATACTTTTTCATATATCATAACCAACTAACTATGATCAGGATTAAAGTTGTTATCAATGGAATTATAAATTTGAAGATCTTTTAACATTTGAACCAATTCTTAGTTAGAATTCATATTTACAAAATAATTATAAATTAAGTTTAACAAATTTTACTTTTTTAATTAAATTTACTAACTTTCAGTTACAATTAAGTTTATAAAAATATCAAATAAGTTGTAATATTTCAAAAAGTTCTTTTATTATTAATGGTTTAGTTAATACGTCACTCATCCCAGAATTTAGACACATATGAATATCATTCTTACTATTAAATGCTGTTAATCCTATGATATGTATTTAAGGGATTTCATGCTGATCCATCATTTATTTTAATTGCTTAGTGCATTATAACCCATTCATTATTGGCATTTGATAATCCATTAAAATTAATAAAAATAAGCTACAATTCAAATTACATTTCTGGGTATTTTTCACTACTTAAATGGCTTCTTATCCATTAAATGCCTTCAATATAATATTAAATAATACCAGAAGGATTTCAAAACCCTATTATGATAGTAAAAATTGAATTGATTTTTAGTTAAAGATTTCATCATCTACTGACAATATTTTCCTACAATTACATTTTTTCTTCTTCATAATTGCTTTTAAATTTTATTCACTCTCTTGATCTTCTTAAAGCTTTAATTATTTGTAACTAACAATTTTTGTTTGAATATGACTACTTTTTGGAGATTACTCTTATTTACTTAATTTGACTCTCTGATGAACATTTTCTGTAAATAAAAATGGTTATAAATGATGCATTTCTGATATCTAAAAATCTTAATCTAAGTTAATTATGCTATCTGAAAAATTGGAATTTTCATTTGATTTCAAAGATTTGAGTGTTACTTTTTATACAAATGGAACATTAATATTAACCTTTTGATTAGAAACAAATAGATCGCTAATTTAAATAAGGGTCCCATTTAATGATAAATGGTGAAATGAGCCTGATAGATTACTGTATTTTAGTTTACTGTTTAGCCTTATTGGTTTGTCCTTATAATGTACACTTGATGATTACCGAATTAACTTGTGATTCTTAATATAGAATGTCACTTTTGTTCCTTGCCCAATTCCACCAGATCTAATCAATAAAGATTTAAAATCGTCAGGACAAAGTTTTGATAGCAGCATAGATGAAATCAGTAAACCAAATCCATGCCATGATTAGTATTGGGAAAAGTTTTATTTTTATTCAACTTCCAAAAGCATTTAATGAATTTTAGCTAATCGAGGTTCATCTATTCCAAAGCCTTCATCTTTGACTGTAATCTTTAAGTAGTTCTATGAATATGATGTCAACTTAAGAAGAATATATCCAGAATTCGAATATTTAATTGAATTCTGTAGAACATTTACTATAATTTAGACTAGTCTCTAAAAGTCTGTACAAATGTTATTTATTTAGTTTTCCAATAAATCAACATACAAGATTAATTTTTTCATTTCTATAACAGACTTAAATAATTTGTTAATTTCATCAACTAAATCCATAATGAGAAAATCTTTGATATCTAATTCTAAATTTTTAGCACATAATGAACTAAAATCAATGATATCATTGATCAAATAAGATTATAACCTTAAGGCATTGATGGCAGGTTAGATAAAGTTATTTTTCAACTCTTCTTCAACTCCCTTATGATTAAGACAATATTGTAAGAAGTTGCATGAACTATTTAAAGGTGTCCTTAATTCATGCGAAAAGGATTGGGCTATCTAAGTAATAAAGGGAATATTTACTTAGGTTTTAAATTGGTCTTTGGTGAGTTCATCAAAATACTTATTTTATTTTGATATGTCAATCAATGTTAAAATAATTTCATCCTCATCTTAATTAAAAATAATCTACCCACTATAAGTGGAACATCTATAGTCTTCCCAAATATGTTAACAAAATAGTTCTAAAGTATTATTCATTTAATTAATAGTGTCTAATAGTCTACCTTCCTTATAGTTCTCTAGAATTTCAATTAATTTGTTAGTGTCTTTAAATTTTAGATTTATGCTTTCTACATCAGAGAAATCTTTCTTATCTTAATTACTCTTATTTGATTGATTGTTCCTCAATCTATTCTTTATGATGTGTTGATCTGTAGTAATATTTTTTTGATCTTCAAAGGTATCTAGATTTATGGTTAAGTGTAATACCTGAAATAATTGAAAAATTCAACTAATTTAGAATTAGGTTATCATATTCTGAGTCAGTTTTACAAACTGATGAGAAATGTTTATTAACAATTTGATTTTTATAGGTTAATTTTAAATCTTTTTTTGAAATCATAATGAAAAATATGGGAAGAGTTGATATTCTACCCATCCATGCATTTTCTTTATTGTAAATAGTTATTGTTTCTCGATTAATTTTATTTTAAGAAAGGCTAAATAAGTCTTGATCATTTTATTGTTTTTACTTTTTTAAAATTAATCCTAATTAGTATATATCTAATATTAAAACACTTAGCATTATAACTATGTCCATAACATTAAATTTAATGACCATTATTACAAAACATCCAATTAATATAATTATCTTTTGAACTAAGTAATGAAAGTGTTCAAAACTTGTTGAAAAGTTATTTTGCTCACATATTAATACTATTATCAATATATAATCTTATCCAATCAACAAAAGAATTAGGATTGAGCTAAGTTTTACCATAACCAAAAAAATATTAATTACAACATGAGTTAATTTTTTCCAAAATGATATTATCATGATGACCATCAAAATACTCACGGACATTTTTGGGATGATGTATTGTAATTAATGAGGAGACTGAATTAGTAAGGTAAGATCAACCAAAGTGTTCAAAATATTAAATATCACTATTTAAATGACATTTTATTCTGAAAGTAAACCTCCCCCTTTAATAAATAAAGTGTCTTAAGTCTTTTTCGATTGAGAATAGGAAGTAATTTATAGCATTATAGTTTTTATCTATTTTTAATAATAATTTGGGACATGGAACTATTCATTATCTGAAGCCAATAGCTACTAGATGAATTTTTGAAATTTTTGTCGATTAAAAATGGCCAAAGACAGAAAGACAGTTTTATAATATATTTTTAAGCATACATATCCTTTATCTTTATTGTTTAATAAGATTCAATTTTATTATTAATATATATATTAGCCATAAAATTCAAACTAGAATCAGAATTTCTTTCAATTCTTTCAAATTTAAAGGTTTTTATAAAACATCGCTCATGCCTGCTTTAATGCAATTAGAAACATCAGTAGCATTCGTAAATGCTGTTAATCCTATGATGTGAATTTTAGGGATTATATTTTAATTCATCATTTCTGTTAACCTAATAGTCGCAGTACATCCATCCATTATCGGCATCTAATAGTCCATCAATATCAGAGTGAACAATTAGCATTTTGGACTGCAAGGAACCGCTTCCTCAATAACTCTAATGGCCTCGGCTCCATTGAATGCCTTGATTGATATTTTATAATATTATACTAATATTACGTCAAATCCTAATTTGGCCAATAAAATTTGAATCGATTTCTAATTAAAAATTTCATCATCAACGGATAACAGGTTTTAACAAGTACATTTCTTCTTTCTCAAAAATGTATTTAAGAACTCTTGATCCTCCTTGACACGTGCTTCTATCATCATTTTTAGGTTTACTATTTGAAGATTATTTTAATAATTGGTCTCCTTTTTTTATTGCATTAACAACTTATCAGTAATCAATGAAGGTGACAGCGGTGAAAGTTATCCATATTTAAACTGTAAAGATTCAAATGATTGACTATCCGTATAATTAGAGTCATTTTTTTTAGATTCCTATCCCTTCACATTGAAATTAAATAACTTAGAAAAAGCGACGTTACTAAAATCTGTCGCTTAAAATATGGCACAATTTACATCTAAGTTAAATAATTATTCATCTTGAGAACTTTGAAATCTGGGAACACTAAATCGCAAAGTGTTTTATTTTGGCATTTCAATATTGTGTTAATTTTCAACTTAAAACCATACTTTGGTTCCTTATTATCTACCAGAAGAGTTAATCTATAAGTATTTATTATCTTTTGGTGCTAATTGATTAACTAGAATAGCAGAAATCAACAAGCCAAAACCTTACCAAGTTTTATTTAATTAAATATCTTTGTAATGCTCAATGTTTTAAAGAAGTGATTTCAATTCATTAAGGTTGTCACTATCTATCCCCATTCCTTAATCTGAAACACTGATTTTTAGACCTTGATTCAAAACAGATGTTATTTATAATGTCACAACGCCGTGAGATGAAAACTTTAAAGAATTGGACAAAAGATTAATAATGATTTAAATCAGTCTTACATAGTCAGATGTAAATTTTGATAATGTGCATTCTAGTAAATTAATTTTTAATTCCACTCTCTTCATTTCAAATTAGGTCTTAAACAATTAAATTATCTCATTTAGCATTTCACTTATAGAAAATTCCCTTGCGGACACTATAAAATTATTTGATGAAATTTATGATAAATCTATTATGTCACTAATAACATAGGATTGCAATTTCAAGGAGTTTATAGCTGGTTATAAATAATCTTCTTTAATGAATTCTTATACTTCATTGTCGTATTGACAAGACACAAGAAAATTGAGAGCACTATTCAAAGGCGTTCTTAATTCATGAGAGAAAGACTCAATGATCTTCATTGATAAATGATAAATACCTTCGATTTAAACTCAGAATTAGAAATCAATTCTTATAATTAGTTTTGTTTAGAAATATCAATAAGAGTCAGCAATACTTCTCCTTCTTATTCAGTAAATATTATTTAACCTGATAATTGCAGTTTTTATCTTGAAAAAGAATAGGTATAGTTAGTAATTGACTACCAACTTTGATCCGAAAATATCTCAATGTGACCATTATTATTCTACTCCTCAGATTTAATGTTGGTCAAGATTTCAAAGATTGAAAATTATGATTTAGTTTGGAATTCCAAAGAATCTCTAGAACACTCCTGTTTTTATTAAGGGGATTATTGAAGTTAAATTGAATCACTCTTATAGTTCCTCATTTGTTATTTTTTTGACAATCTTAGGTTGACTTTTGGCTTTGCATATAACTACTTTATTGTATCTATCTTATCCTGAACTATGCTAAATTGTAATTTGTGTAGGATCAATTCGTCTAGCTACTCATCATTTTCATAACAAGGTTTGAAATAATTGAAAAGATAATTATTTTTATACGCAACCTTTAGACTTGGCAGATTTATTACGATAAAACATTGTGGAATTTAATTCAAACGATAATTCCATTCTTAATCTGTGGTTCTTATTGTATTTTGATAACTACTGGTAATGTTGTATGATATTTATTTATTGTCAATAGATCTTTCTAATATGAGTTTATTTATTTCAATCAATATTGTGTATACAAGTGTTATTGTTAAAAGCAAATTGAAATCAAACATCATTATGACGAGAGTAATTAATCTGAAGAGGATCTGATCAAATTATTTAAATGCATTATTCTTTGATGATATTAAATCTAAACGCTCGAATAATGCTATTATCAAAATTGCCAAATCAGATCCGACAATAACTATTAATATTAGGCTAGCCAATTTACTCAGAAGCATACAGATTTATTAATAAATGATTGCCTTGTCTTTTGGCAATATTAATTGTTAAAGTGCAAAAAATCCATGAATGGAACAGATGACCACTGATATCAGTTCATTTTTTGCATCATAGACAACTACTAATATGCTAATGACTATTTAAAACAAAAAGAATAAAACAATAGAGTAATCCTCAGTATAGTATTGAAATTAAGTCCTATTTTTTTATTTTTCTTTTGTCTTCATTATTTCTTGAATACAATTTAATGTTTTAATATAATTTTTTAATTACACTAATGGAATATCAAGCCAAATCTTATTTAATCCACTTATGATTTGCCTATTTATTAAAGAGCCTTCAATCTATTACATTTAGAGTACACTCTAAATATTGAAGTTACAGATTGCATTAATATCAAGAAAATAATTTCAAATATATTGAATTTGAATATTCCAATATGATCAAAAATACTTTTATAGTATATTCTCAATCACTGAATAGAATTATGAAAAACTGTCAATATTAAAACTCGATGAAAATGATCCCATTTGTGGAGTATTCCAATCATGGAGTATTCCCAATAATAAATAAATTATATAAAATAGTCTAATTGTTTTTGTTCGAAATTATTCTCAATTCATTTAATTTACTATGATTAATACTATCACTTTTGGATTATTGTTACTCAACTTTTACAAAGTATCAGCAGTCCAGTTTGAATTGTTCATCTCTAAAGGATCCTTATATTCCCAAAAAAGAATTGTGAATACTAATTCTGCGAATACTACTTTTATTGTTAATTGCCTCCCTCAATATGCCAATTATTGCACCATTGATCTAAATCAAACATCCAACCAAGCAGCTGAAATAGCTTTGCTTTTCTTAGAAGGACAACCGCCCTATTTAGATGATGACGATGGTTTTATATTTGATGGAATGGATTATGACAGGTATTACTAATAAAGAACAATTCTTATAGTTATGTCTAAAATAAGAGAAACCATTTTATCTAAATACCAAGCTCAAATAGTAAAATATACTTTACTGTCTTGACCAATATACCAATTTCCTTTGACATTTATTTAACAGGATCCTCCTCAATGCTATGTCCAAATAATTGCAATGAGAATGGAGATTGCCTATAGGGTGAATGTAAATGTGACAAGGGATTCATATCTAGAGACTGTTCAATGAGAGCACTTTAATTAGAGTAAGATAAATCGATGTCTGTGAATGGATCCCACGATCCAAACTTCTATTGTTACTTTGAATACAACGGAACTTAAGATTTAAGATTAGAGATCACTGTATTATAATTGTTTATTGTAGACTGAGAATGAAGCTCAAGTTTATTTACTTGTACCTCATGTATTATATTTGCCAACACCTAACTTCTTCGATAATTCTGCTATTATTACAAGAACAACTCCCTTAAACATAACGATAAAACAGAGAACATCGGATGGCGATGATTGGAGATCTTAAATTCCTGATAAATTGATTATATTAATACAAGGGATTGAATTTGTCATTAGATTGAATCAGATTGACGATGAAAGTTAAAGTGAACAGGTGAAATCAATTATAATTGTTGTTTGTAGTGTAACAGGTTTTCTTTTAATTTGCTTTTGTATCTTTATAATTAGAAGAGCAAGATAAAGGAAATAAATAGATAAGCAAACGCCAGAAGATTTTGAAATCAAAGAAAATCAATTTATATATGGAAGATCTTTGAGTAAAAAAGAAGATGATCAATATGCCACCATAGATAATTAATTATCTCCTAGCAATCTTTAAGATAATTGTGGAATCTGCTTAGATCCTCTTTGCAATCAATAACCTATCAAAAGCACTCCATGCAAGTATTCATAATTCACATAAATAGTCACATATTTCATGTAAATTGCATTCAATAATGGCTTTAGAAGAATCAATTTTGTCCTTTCTGTAGATTTGATTTAAAAATAAATAATCTGTAGTACTAGTAACCTATAAAAGTACCAATGGCAGTATCCAATCAAATAAGAATAGTTAGAAGAAACATTTGATAAAATAATACGAGTACATATATCTATTCAATCATTTTCAGTTAATAAAGAGATAAACTCTTAATACGAGATCTTGTTATTCGTTTCTTCTTTTTTTTCCCCCAACTGAATTACTCGTTGCCAATCAGATTAAGATAAATGAGTATTATAGAAAAAGACTTTAAGTTCATTAGCAGATATTTATTTACTATGATCTCTATCTAATTTATTAAAGAAATTCGTTAGATTTTCTTCACTAAAAAGAGCTGTTTTATTACAAGAGGCAATTAAAAATTCATTGAATTCTAAAAACTAATTTTTATTGACATCCAATTACGAGAAGATTCTTTCTACTTCTTTTCTTGCCAAGTTCTCATCACCTGAACTTTCAAAGTATTATTAATACAACTCAGTTTTAGATATCTTACCATCATTATTGAGATCAATTTTGTAGAACGTTTAGGCAATTTTATCTCTTTCTTCCTTTGACATCAAATATTCTATCATTAAACTCAACAATATCAATCTTAATTCGTTTTTACTTTCAAATTCTTTTACTCTTAATAATGCACTTGTTATTTTCATTGATGATTTTCTTATAGTCTTAAAAAACTTATATTTTAAGCATTCCTTAGCACTAGGTCTCATTTTATGATCAGGATTGATCATGTCACCGATCAACTTATATGCATCATCACTAATGGAATTTAAATCTATCTCTGATTTGATGTTATTTCTTTTAATATTTTAAATAGTTAATTATCGAGTGGAATCTTAAAAGGGATGGATTCCATACATCAACTCAAATAATATAATTCCAGCTGACCAGATATCGGCAGCTTTACTATATTAATAATTCTCAGCGAAAGTCTCAGGAGCTCTATAACTAAGATTAGTATTGAAATCCTAGAAGATATAGTATAGATCATCTAATCCAATTAGTTTAATTAATAGATTAGACTTTTGTGCAACTAATACTCCATTCAATGAAATATTCTTATGTATGATGTCTTATTAATGTAAATAATTGATTGCTGACAAAACCTATTAAAAAACAAATGCCACATGTATTTTCTCTTAGCTATGCATTTCTGCGTTTAATCTTTGCGACAAATCTCCACCGTCTATATATTCTTCGACCAAGTAGATGTGCTTTTCATCATGATAAAAATCGAATAATTTTATAATATTAGGATGATCCTAAAATTTTTATGAAACTTACTATCTTTTTAAGTTATTGCAAGTATTCGATGTATTCAGCTATTTGATTACTTGTTAGGACATTTCTAGCAATCTTTGCTAATCTCTTTAGACCAGTAACTTTGTGCTCAACAACAAATATTGTTCCTTAAAATCCATTTATTAAGACTTTTTCTTCAGTAATAAAATAATCTTGTTAGAATTTCTTATTTCTGTAGATTTATTGATGTTCTGCTTAAAATAGTTCTACTATTTTGTTCTTATCTAAAGATTTCGGTTATTTGCTCTTTCTTTCTTCTGGTTTTGTGTCCACAACTATTAGTTTCTTATTTTAAAGATCAGTTGACCCATCTAGTAGACTAGGACGGTTATCCCTAGAAGTCTTACGTTGCTTTTTAGATGCTTAACAACCCATTAGTTTCTCTAATTATTTTTAAAGTATTTAAATTACTAAACAATTAAGTCATAGATAGTAAAATTTATGAATTGTAAATGATAATTATAATTTAAATTATTAATAAAATAACATATGCCTGATCACTTCTATTAATATTACGTCTAAGAATTAATTTAAAACATTATTACCTAATTTATTGTCTAGGGTTTTTTATCCTATTCAAACTTCAGTAACTCAGATTTAATGATTTCATTTTTCTTTCTAATTAGGATATTCTTTTATTGTTCCATCTTTAGCCTTTGATCATGCATAGCCTCATTGGGTATTATAGCACTTTCGTCTATTAGTTCCGAGCTCACCCTCTCAATTACTGGAGGTTTAAATGAATAATCCTTTGCTAATTAGACTTGATGAAAATCATTTTGAAAGTCCTATTGATGAACTATATGACTGCTTTAAGGCTCTTAATTAATATGATTCTGATTCTAATCGTATTTCTCCTCCTGTCTTTAGGTATAACTTGTAAATGACGGATATTTAACATTCTTGATAGACTTGAAGATTTCTGATTACTTGTATTGGGGTTATGATTTGAGTTCTGATTCTCTTTTTTGAACTATTTCCAACTTCTTTTGCAATTCACTTTAATTATTTCATAAATACAGTTACTTGAATTCTTGCAAGCTTTGCTCTAGTATTTTATTGAGGAATTCATCATTTTATATTTCCATAAGACGCTTCTGCTCATCCTCTGCTTTTTTTGATAAATCAATAGCCAATTCTAATTCTGCCTTTTCTTTTTCTATTTGCAATCGTTTTAATTCAAAATGCTAATCAAATTCTGCTGCTGGCTATCTTAAGTAATATTATATTTATGTATTACTAAATATTCAAATGTTGTTATTATTATAATTTAATTCTATCCTATTTTTCTAGTTCCTCCAATGCTTCCAACTCTAATTCTTTATTTCTCGTTATCATTTATTTTCTGAAAATTCTGTAATCATTTATTGCTATTATTTATTAGAAGATATTCTTATGTTGGGGATGTGCCAATCCTATTAAGATTTGTTTGGTCAATTGCTAATTGGTTAATCCATATTCATTCAACATATTATCAAATTATGAAGATATCAATTCCTTAAATTATTGGAATTTCTATTCTTATTCTAGCGTGTATTGTTCTTCATCATCAAAAATAATGCAATTCTCATCTACGAATTCCATAATAGCAATTTTCCAGATTGGGGATGTAAGATGTTCATAAACCAAATCATATATCCAAATCTACATATAAAATTAAATTACCTCTTCTTCATTCTGCTTATTATTAATGCCTTTGTTGTTGTTGCTAAAAAAATAGGTCAAAAACCCCATGAAAGTAAAAAATAAATTAAATATAATTATTTGAGATTCTCACTGTTTATATTAAAAATATATAAATTAATACTAAAATTAAGTTTAGAATCTTTCCATATAGCTGTCTTAAAGTTTTGCCTTGATTTTAGTATATTAAGTTATTCAATTTTAACTTATATTTAAATTCTTGCTAAATTATAATAAATACCTTCATTCTCAATTATTATATCTAAATAATATTTCAACTAAAATGTTTTTGATGATATAGAATGCTTCCTGTAAACAGAAGAGTAAATTTCAATACTAAAATGTAGATATTATTGTTAAAATGAATTAATTTTTTGACATAATTAATATTATGTTATTATGCTACTCATAATCCTAGAGATGTTTCTAAATTTTTGATGCACTTTAGACTACTAAAATCCTCAGATGATCCGTCTTCTTTGACTGCAAAGAAACATCTGGTTTCAGCATGATCTGGATGCTATCCAACAGTAAAGTGTTTCAATCCATTAAGTTTTTAATCCCTCTTATCGTGATATTACAATAAGGACACAAGCATTGAGTGATATGGTTCTTTCAATGGAACATTATTTTCAGATCTAGCTAAGATAGTTTTGAAAATGTTCTTCAATTAAGAAATATCTCTATACTAAATAAATTAATTAATGGATTACTTTTTGATTATGAAATACAATATCCTTTTTTTATTTTCTTTATTCGTATTTCTTATTGCCTCCCTTGCCAGCACCACCATGAGCAAAGGTTTCCTTGGCTCTTTTTATAATAGTCTCATAATGTTTTCCATGATGTGCCCAGAATTATGTTAAATCATCTCCATTTGTTACATGAATCTCCAATTAGTGCTCTCCAATCTTGATACCCTCTGAAGTCAAACGAACTATGTTTTCTTCAGGTGTTCTAGGTTTAGATAGAGCAAAGTTGCCTTCAGTCTTACCATATCTGACATATGGAGAACTGATATTATGTTATTTCATTAGAGCCTCTGTGATTTGAGTCCAACTGACTGAGACACCTGCTGGGGCTTTGACTGTAAATATGAGTGGTTCGAAATTATGATAGGGATTGTCAATGACTTCTTCTTAAGGTTTTTCTTCCTATTATTATTGTGCAGCCACTGCCTCACCGCTGTTAGTCTTTACTTTTTTATTGGTTTGAGTAATATTTAATTCTGGTAAAGGCTTATTGTTTGATCTTCTAACACCTAATATGTTTTGGATAAGAGAATACTTGTTTGATCTGGACCTAATTCAACTTCAGTTGATGTTTTGATTGCTTCAACAAGTTATTCTTGTGTAACTTTCATTTACTTAACCTTATTGCACTTAAGAATAAATTAGAGCTAGAGATAACCATCTTAGCTTTGACTAATCTATTTGTGGAAGAATTCGTCTTGGGATAGGTTTTTATCTGATAAATAATACTCGACTTGTCTCTTAATTTCTTCAATACTCATAATTCTTTCTCTTTTTTTATGCAATTTAATTAATTAATTTTTATATATTTTACACATTTGAATGATGAAAAAAAGAATTATATGATTATTTAAATTTAGAAATGTTATATTAATTCAATCACTTTAAAAACTGACCACCAAATCAAGTTTAATAAATATTTGAAGAATTAAAACAAAATAGAAATATGATTCAAACTATTTAAATTCACATCCGATTTCTTTCTTAAATTTCTTACAATTCTGCGGCAATCAAGTTCAAATTCTATATAATTGATGTCATATTTTTTATAAATAAAGATTTTGGACTCAATGATGAATATCTAAATATTGTATTTGAATTCATTGAAGAGGAGCAGTGAAATATTTAACTTATTATAATATTAAATATGTTAAAAATATTTAGAAACCTTTCACTAATATCAAAGGATGAATTCGACTATTCTCTTTACTAATGTACCTCAAGTGAAAATGGGGATGTTCCAAAACCAAAATACATGAAAGTACTTTTGATTCTTATATAGCCTATCATCGAATGCTTAAAAGGTTAAGATTAAAAGATTTTACCTTTGGATGCATTTAATAAATTCTACGATATCTTATGCCAGATCCAATACAACAAATGGATAAGTGCCTTAAAAATTGGCTATGTCTTGCATTACTGCTTAGAAGTATATTCAATTTTTTATGTATATTATCAAAGAAATAATGTAACATCTTTGTTGATGCGGTCTGCAACAATCATCTCTATGATAAAATCAAAAATAAGTAATAAAAGAAGCCGGAAGATCCGATTGCATAGTTGCACATCAATATCGTTTAAAACCTCTATTCATACCTTTAAATTAGATATGAGAATTATCTGTTTTTCCTAAATGCTCTTTCTGATTTTGAAGAAAAAGAAGAATATCAAAAAACCTTTATCATCCACAAAATCGTGTCTACCATTCAGGTCTTAGTCAAAATCTACAAAGATTTAGATATTTCTTTAACAAAATTTCAAAACATAGATGTTACTAAACGTGTCTGTGTACAACTCCTAAATGATCTTTATTTCTTCTATCCTAAAGTGCAAGTGTACTTACAATCTCACATCAATCAAATGCTGTAAATGGAAAGCGAACATTCAATGAAATTATATCAAGTCTATACTGAAACTCTTAGATTGGGGAGAAGTGTAACACAAATGCTAAAATTGTGTAATGAAGTTACTGCAATCCAAACCTTCCCCCAACTTACATTATTTACTGTTGAATAAAATATTAATCGACAAATTGAGTTACACTTTAAAGAATAGAAAAGGCAACCCAGCCCGATTAAATTTGATATAATTAAATTTGATGACGAAAATCTCTTTGAACAATTCAAAGAAGACCAAATCACCACTCCTAAAGTTCTTCAACAATTCTAAAAAATGGTAACCTAACTAACAGAAATCCAGGAACCTGAGCCAGATTAAATTGAGTTTCGAATCTCTCACAAACCAAAAACTGAAAGATAATTACAACAATTCAAAGTCAAAAAATCAGAATCTAATGAACAATCTATGGTACAATCTATCATTTCAACATCAGATAATGGTTCCAGCATAAGGAACATTTAATTCAGCCATCAAAATAGCTTTAGAAATGAATTTTTCACTCAATCTGAAAGTCCATTAAATTTCATTGATTTTTCTCATTAGTAATATCATCAATCAAAAAAGAAACAATGATCAATAAATTTTTGGTTATTTTTATGAAATTATTAAAAATATAACATCATCCTTATTCTCTTAGTTTGGCATAAGTAAGCACTTTCGCTGATCAATTTCTGACATTAGAAAAGAAAATGAAGCACTTTTACTGTAGTACAAATACTATTAGAAAATCTTAAATGCTATTTTCTTGTATCTTATCAAGAAAAGCAAGAAAAGAGAATTTCAAGTGCAAAAGCAGTAATTGAGAAACAATGCATGATCATAGTAGATTGAATAATAAAAATAAGTGCTCATTTATTTATTATATTTATTATTTAATTTATATTACCGTTAACTCAAATGAACTAATTTGCCAATTATTTAGAATATTACACTCAAAGAGACCTCCCATTCAGTTAGAGATCTCCGAAGGTCAAAGATGCAAAGAAGGAATGGAATTTCAGTCCTTAATTTAGTCCTCATCGATCTAGATACAACATAAATGACACATAATTAGATATTGAACCTTAAATCTCAAGGCTAGCTATGAATAACAAGATAAAATAGAGAAACAAAATAGAGGATAAGGAAAATTTAATAAATCGATAAAATGTTGTGTTAAACTAGTAGATGAAAAAATGTTAAAAAATAATGAGTCCTCGAAAAGAAAAGAAGAATTCAATAGACAGTTCGTATTTATTACCAATAGATCAAATCTTAACTATTAGTATATAGTCATCTACAGATGAGAATATTGTGTAGATTGATTCTGTCAAAAAATAATCAGATAACACAATAAACAATTACTAAGTTCAAGAATTCGATAATGATTCTTATTTCAATGATAGTATGCGTAAGTCTTTTAAAAAGATCAAAATTTAAGATGATTATTCAAGAGTAAGTTATATAATTATGAATTTCCAAGGATTACAATAAACAATTAAGGCTGGAGGATGATTTCGAATAAATTAATAGTTTTAGATAACATATCCAAACGCCAAGATAATAATAGATGAAGAACATCAGTTTTGTAATGTATAAGAAACAAGTGGAGGGAAGATTTTGAATGTATTTAGTTAAATTATTAAATTTCTTTGATTCATTCACTATAGTATTCATTTTGGATCCTCTTCTCCTTTCTACTCCTCAATTCCTAGATTCTTAATACAAGATATTTCATATCAATTAAACTTTTTGAATGGGTTTTATCTAAATCTTTTAATTTATCTAGAATATCCTTGATAACTAATTTTCTATATTTTAGAACACTTTCAACTGATTTAGAATATTGTTCTAGCAAGGAATCATACAAATTCAATTTGTCTTAAGCTCCACAATTAATTAGTTCATCCAGTCTTAATTGATATTCATTGGTTTATTACAATCGAATTTATAGTTCCTGAAAAGTAGTTCGAAATTTATATACTTTATAGTTTTTAGCAAAATTAACAAGGAACAGAGATGGGGCAAACTGATTTTTGAATTTCTCTTTTTGTGTTTTAGATGGTTCAATAGTTTCAAGCATGCTTTAGACTTCTGGTTTTGTGAATAATTGTTTTTCATCCCATTATTTTATTAAGTCTTTGACTTATGATTTTAGTTCTTGAGTCCAATTGTAATCTTAGAGTAAACCTAAGGCTTTGATAATTTATTTTTTTAATGCATCACTCATTGAAGTGTCTGAAAATATGATTAAAATTTACATGATCCTTGGAATCTGATGACAGATTCCACTACTCTTTGTGCCATGTAGAGTAAGGATACGATAACTTTATCTCCATCCACATTTCCTTTAGCAAAGTGAAAATGGTTGGACCACTCTTCGCAAAGAGAATATTAAGAGTTTTGATCATTGCTATGTCTAATGTAGAAGCGGGCTGCTTCATCAATGTGAGATTGTGACAAGTGGATGTTATTCAGAAGTTGACTGAGAGAGACTATGTTGATGGTATTGATCATTTTGAAGTGGGATAATTTAATATTAAGAAATTGAAGAGATATGGGGGGTTAGATTAAACATATATATTTTATTGATATAAATTTAATAACAGATAAATTTTATTAACAAATTTACTTGTTTTTCAATGAATGATTAAACACCCATTAAGGAAGTCGATCTCAACAAATAGTCATGGACCAGTCCAAAAGACAAGAGCGATCGTGTATAGATTTGATTTGTAATTGTAGTTTATTCCTCGTAATGTGTAATCGAATCTGTATCAGTTATTCATGAGTGAAGAGAATAGTTAAGGCACACTTTACAACAATTTGCTTCAATCCTCCATTCTAGGAAAATCACCTGCAGTTAATTAAAAGCTTTTCAATTATAAAACAGAAAACAAATAGAACGAAATGAATAAAATAATTAATAATGGATTAAAGTATTCAGCAACTCCGACAAAGGTTGAACCTGAAAAACCACCAAGGAAAATCAACAAACGTCCTTATAAAATCTTGGAGGCTGAGAATCTATAGGATGACTTTTATCTAAACCTCTTGGATTGGTCACCTTTTAATGCTTTGGCAGTGGGACTAGAAAATTCTGTATTGATTTGGTCAGGTCATACTTCCAAGGTATCTCGCCTATGCACTCTTGAAGATCCAGACATGGTTTGTAGTGTGGCTTGGTCATAACGTAATCAACATCTTTCAGTAGGAAATAGCATGGGAGAAGTTGAAGTCTGGGATGTTGTAAAATAGAAAGTCATCAGAAAGTGGAATGGACATCAAGGAAGAATTGGGTCATTGGCATGGAACAATTATTTATTGGCTACTGGAAGCAGAGATCGTAATATCTTGGTTAGAGATGTCAGAAGTCCAAATGAATCAATTCAAAAATATGTTGGACATAAGTAAGAAATCTGTGGTTTGAAGTGGTCATTTGATGAACAACTATTGGCATCTGGTGGCAATGACAATAAGTTGTATATATGGTCATTAAAAAATCAAGGTGAATTCACTCATTTCTCATAACATTAGGCAGCAGTGAAAGCTATAGGATGGTCACCTCATCAACACAATATTGTGGCTTCAGGAGGAGGTACTGCCGATAGATGCATTAGATTCTTTAATACTTAAACCTTAGAACAAGTCGATTGTATTGACACTGGATCGTAAGTGTGTAATTTAATGTTCTCTAAGAATTCTAATGAATTAGTTTCAACTCACGGATATTCTTTAAATTAAATAATTGTTTGGAATTATAATAATATGTCTAAAGTAACTACCCTGACAGGCCACACCCAAAGAGTTCTCTATTTGAGCGGTTCACCATGTGGTTAAAACATAGTAACAGGAGCAGGAGATGAGACTCTTCGATTTTGGAATGTATTTCCTTAATCTGCTTCTAAAAACGATCATGGAATCACTAGAGCAGAGACAATCGATTTACGTTGATAATACTATTCCTATATTACTTTTTTAAGTTATTAAATCTTTAAATTATAATGTCCGTCAAAGTGGCAGTCAGAGTAAGGCCTTACAATGCTCGTGAACTTGAGCTGAATTGCTAATTGTGTGTGGCTATGAATGGTCCAACCACAATATTGTTAGGTATAGAATTTATGTAAGACCAAAAGATATCGAGGATCCAAAGAAAAATAGAGATTTTGCTTTTGATTATTCTTTCTGGTCTCATGATTCCTTTGAGAATGATGAAAACGGATACAGCAGAGCTATTCCAGGAACTAAGTACGCCGACTAACAAATGGTGTTTGACACAGTTGGTTAAGAGATTTTAAATAATGCTTGGTAAGGTTATCATTGTTGTCTATTCGCATATGGTTAAACAGGAGTAAGAATCATTTTAATAATTAAGGCTGGTAAATCCTATTCGATGGTTGGTTATGGAGCAAATAAAGGTATCGTGCCTATCTCATGTGAAGAGATCTTTAAACGTATTAAAAAAAATCCTGATTCTCAGTTAAGTATTCTGATTTGATTATCTCACCATTAGCTTATGAAGTGTAAGTCAGTATGCTTGAAATTTACAATGAAAAGGTCCAGGATCTACTTGTACCAGTTCCAAAAAGACCAACTGGAGGTCTCAAAGTTCGAGAACACAAAGTTTATGGAGTGTATGTAGAAGGACTTACCAAATACCCTGTTGATTCCTACGAAGCCATCGAAGCTAAAATGGATGAGGGAAGCAAGCATAGGACTGTTGCTGCAACTTAAATGAATGCCTCGTATATTATTCCATATTATCCAATAGATCTTCGAGAGCACACACTATCATATAGATTGAGTTTAAGGAAATTAAGAATGTTGATGGAAGAAAATCAGAGAAGCTGTCCGTTATCAATTTGGTTGATCTTGCAGGTTCCGAAAAAGTAGGGAAAACAGGAGCTTAGGGAGATCGTTTGAAAGAAGGTAAGCTTTGGTTATAATGGTTTATATAGCTGGTAATATTAACAAATCATTATCTGTTTTGGGATAAGTTATTGCAGCTTTGGCAGACAAGGCTATGGGCAAAGGGAAAAATGCAGTCGTTCCTTATAGAGATTCACAATTAACCAGAATCTTATAAAACGCCTTGGGAGGTAACTCTAAGACTCTGATGATTTGTGCTGTGAGTCCTGCCACCGACAACTACGAAGAAACCTTGAGTACTTTGAGATATGCAGATCAAGCCAAAAAGATTAAAAATTGTGCAGTTGTCAATGAAAGTGATGTCGATAAGAAGTTAAGGGAATAACAAGAAGAAATACATTCACTAAAATAATAGTTGATGATGTTACAACAACAATTAAAAGGAGGTGTAATTAATCCAGAGATGTTGAAACAATTGTCTTAAATCCAAGACGATATTGAAACCAACGAGACTATTATGTAAGAGAATTCTGAGTCATTCCAGTCCAAATTGTAGAAGTAAAAATAGAAGGATGAGGAAGAAGATGATGAGGATATATAGAATGAAGGAATCAAAGAGCATCCTCATTTAGTAAATTTGAATGAAGATCCCTTACTCAATAGAAAGATATTGAAATCATTAAATTAAGAGGAAACTCACGTCGGAAGACCCAATGGAAATCCAACTCCTTAGATTGTTGTCAATGCTATGTGTGTACAGCCTAATCATGCTGTTATCAGAAATAAGGATGGGGTTATTGAAATAAGTCCAATCACTAAAGAATGTGGGGATTTTATTTTTGTCAATGGTTCTCCTATCACAGGGCCAACTTTGCTTAATCATAATGACAGAATTATTTTCGGTACTACTACAACATTTTTGGTTCAAATACCAGGATCTGAATAAGTTGAATAGGGACCTGAAATCGATTGGGAATTAGCTTAGTAGGAAATGCAAAAGAAGGAGGAAGAAAAGAGATAGGAATAATAGAAATTAGCAGAAAAGCAAGTACACGAAGAAATGCAAAGGAAGAAATAAGAACTAGAAGAGTAAAGAAAGGAGGAATAAAGATTATATGAAGAGCAAATGAAGAAGCAATAGGAAGATTTTGATAAAAAGATGAAGGCTTTGGAAGAACAAAACAAAGATATGTTGAATAGAGCTTTAATGGCTGAAGAAGAAAGAAAATTAATAGAAGAGAGGAAGAAATTAGAAGAAGAAACATTACAAAAATAATTATAAAGAGAAAAGGCTAGGAAGTAATATGAAGATGAGGAAACTATGAAAAAATACAGAATTAAGGAAAAGAATTTTATTGAAAATAAATTATAAAAGTATCTGCCTAAAGTATTAGAAGTCAATTTGATTGCTAAAGAACTTAAACGTAATGTTACATTGGAGGCAAGATTGAAATATGTTTATGCAGATGACCAAGAATATTCTTAATTTACAGAAGAAAACGCATAAAAAGGATAAATATAAATATAGGTTAACAACAAAGAGGAAGGATAAATATACTATTGGGATTTACATAAGTTTTCGAATAGATATTATATAATAAAAGATTTATTGGAGAGATACTTCGAATCCAATCAATTATTATAATTGCCTAAAGATTAAGATCCTTTTTGGGATCCCCCTGAAGCAAGAGTAATTGGCTCTGGTTTCCTTAAATTATAAGCTTTAGCTTATTTAATGGACAATCCTTGCGATTTGACCCTTGTAGGAGAACACTTCTAATGCGGAACTCTGAAAGTCAATTTAATACCAACAGATGAAACTGGATAAAGAAATTTATCAGAAGATATTGAAGATGGAATAGAACCTCCTGTGGAAGATCCCTCAGAGTTGGTTGGTAGAAGATTTGACTTTAGAGTTTCAATCGAAAGTGCACGATTACCTGAGAATCTATGCAAAGATACATATGTTGAATATTCTATCTAAGTTGAAGAGAAAAAGAAAGAATCATTCAAAACAAAAACAGTATGAATTTATTCTTATATATTTAAGTTGGCTGGTGCTCATCCAAATCCAATTTATAATTATGACTAGTAGCATACATTTGATTAACTATCGGAGACTTAGTTGAACTATTTGATTAATGGAACAGTAATAATTTATTTTTCTATTTCAGATATGCTTCAAAGTCTATGGATATGATGAAAATAAAAATAAAGATGTGAAAAAAAGGGAAATACCAGTTGAAAATCTAATCCCTTAGTAATAGACTACCTAACAACAGCAATAAATTTAATAATAATCACAACAGCCAACTTAATAGGTAGATTAAGTTAAAAAGCAAGAAGAGCACATTGACATTTTGACCAAAACAATTAATTAGACCAAAAACATCTAATAATAATAATAGGTCTCATAACAGCAACCTACTAAATAACCAACACAAACTAGCTAAGTTAAACCACCAATAGAAAGTAAACTAATTATCTAAATTTTATTAGAATTCACTTAAAATTAACCTGTAACACAACCTATTAGCAGGTAATCCATTAAAGAATTTGAAGATCATACTTCAGAACAATAACAAATGAAGGCTAAGTTATAATAGTAACAAATGAATGCTCAAAAGCCAAGAAGTTCATCCCAAGATAGAACACCTGCAATGATGTCAAAAGGAAAACCTGATCCAAAGAAAGGAACTAAAAAAGACGATGGATGCAATATATTCTGATAAATACATAAATTCAATATTATCAGTAATCTTCATAATTATTATTATTTATGAAATATTCCATTAGTTCGATCTCGGTCTAGAGGCACATATAATCATTTCCTATCGGTTAATACTTCCATTCTTCATAAACAAGAATTATGTAGCTGATTCCTCGTTTGGCCATAAATTTCCACATTAACAATTTCATCTTTAACTTCCCTTTTCTCCATGAACGCAATTTTAGACTCTAGAAGTTGATATATCTCAATAGAATAATAAAATAAATAATCTTTTAAATATTATTTTTATATGATGCTAATTTATCAACTACTTTGTTGCATTTAAATTTAAAAGCCTACTTCAAAATCCTTCTCTGTCTTATGAGTTGCTTTTTAGCTTAGGATAAATTTGTTTTAAATCATATTCATAATCTTTAATGAGATTTTTCAACTCTAATAAGAAATTACTGTATTTTGCATCTTTAATTTATTTCCCTGAACTGATATTTTTGGCATAGAAATCCAAACAGTGATAAAAATAGATTTAATGAATATCCATGATTTTTAAGATTTCCCATAAAATAGGTCCTTAGCTCCCCTTATGATAATACATATTTTTACTAAAACTAATGCTGTGTAAAATGTCAATTTTCTCGTGTCATCAACGTACACATTTGTTGGCATTCTTTCTTTTTGTATCGAATTAACAAAATAGGCAATGTCATCAGCAGTATCAATGTTAAAAACGACTTCTGGAATACTGGTTTTAACCAAATAGCAATTCTTTTCTTCTAACAATTCAATTTTGTATTATATTATAAATTTCTTTACATCCTTTTCCGTTAACACACCTGATTAAGTTATCGCCATGTATATCAGATTTTGTGGGTTAATCCAAGAAGCCCACTTTATTTCAAATATTTCAGAGTTGTTCTAATCTTAATTTGATGAATTTGGTGCAGTTCTAATTTACTAATCGTGACCTTATTAGTTAGGTACAGATTTAGATTACTAATCTTGAATTTATAAAGAAGCTGCAGTTCTAATTTATGAATTTTAATTTTATTATTAATTCTATTCCTACCCTTTTTAGTTGTGTAGAACGTCTAATTCATGTTTAGTGGTGATTTTTTTCCAATTTCTCCTAACTGCAATTTAAACTCCGTTTAATTTTTTTGCTAAAGCACTTAAAAATGGTGTATAGATATCTAAGCTAATTCCTTAAATTGGTTTGATGGCTTTTAAATCATTAAAGAATTTCAAAGTATTTTGAGTTAACTTGTACCTTGTAGAAATTAGTTGCGGTTCCTCCATTTATATCTTAAATTCAGATATTTCTGTTGATTCATCTTAGAGTGGCTTATTTCTGATTGGTATTAACAGAAGTTCATTTTCCAGAAATTTCAATATCATAGTTCTTAAAATTTCATTTTAATTTAACTAATACAAGAATTAGGTTTGCTTCAAACCATACCTAATCATTTTTTTCTTAACTAAATCTTCAGCATAGAGAAAATCCACTCCATAACATGATTCAGTGAGTGACAGCGGATCGATTGATTCCAAGGATTAATTGAAAGTAAATTTTTCCCTAATTTTCTTATATAAATTGATATCCTCATCTTATTATTTGATTAAATCAAAAAACCAATTAAGCAAGCGCAGCAAAAAGATAAATGTCTAAAGAACTTTAAAAAAAAATATTACTAAGTTTTAATATGCCTAGTTTCTAAACTCATCAAATACTTTTAATGATGGTTCTTTTTCCTTTTGGTCAGCTAAACTTTAAGCTATGTAAGTGAAACTAGGAATGTATACATAAAAATCGGTCTCAGTTTCTTTATAAAGTAGATTTTCAATTTGTGGATCCAAGAACAACCTTATTTTAATTTAAATGATACCCAAAGTTGGCTGACCAATGGAAAGTTTCAATTAAAGATTGAAAGACTGATTTGATTCCAAGCACATCTATTTTGCTTTTATCTATATACTTGTCTTCTGAGACCAGAAAACGAGCAAATTATTATTGACCATAAGTTATTTGCAATTTATTGCCATAAAGTCCATCGTAATAAAATTTAACAAACAACTCATTTCCTCTCATTTCAATATTACTAATTTTTGCTACTCTGAAATGATAACCAATTGGTAATCTATCTATTTAAAATTACATTGTACTTCAAACTCACCACATTTTGAATCTTTTGATAAGCACTAAAAAATTCTTCCAATCTTTATAAGGAATTTTCTCTTATAGGGTTGAACCTGAAGGCTTTCTAACTTTCAACATATTCATAGCTGTGATGTTTCATTTAAGGAAATCGTTATTCTATAACAAAATAAAAATATAAAAATTATTCATTTATTAATTTATTCAGAGTATAATTCTAAATGTAGTTGCCTTCGTAGTTCCCTTTCTACCCAACAAGGAGTATCAGGGATTGAAACATCTAATATGTATTTGATTAATAATAATATATGTTCTACGGCAGCTAAAAAAAAAGCACTATACAATGCATCCTGATTTCCAATGATACCTCTAAATTGTTCTTTATTTACAGTCCCAATAACGATACAATTCATGAAGGTAGAAGAATAATTCATTATTTCAAATATATATAACCAAATACCAATTGAATCGGCTGCCTAAGCTCTCTCTCTTTTTAAAATGTGCTAATAATTGTATATTGATGATCTTAAATTGATGTAACAATTTATCATGAAAAATAAGGGGGCTGCTGGGAATGTTGGAGCAAACATTGTGGTGTATCCAAATTATATAGCAATATTTGTGTATTCATCATATAATACTTTTTAAGGGCCTTTTATCCTACTCATTTCTAACTCTTACAAGAAAAATAGTTATTAATCATGTGTTAGTTTCTCTGATGAAAATACTTAGTTACAGATTTTTGGTATATTCTTTTTTTCTTATATTTTTCTTGAGAATATTAATTTGAACTCAGAAAATAATTTTATAAATGATCGCTTTTCCAATTTAAAAATGGCAAAGGGTATTAAATTACTTTTTACATTTGAAATTACTCCTCTTGTTATGATAATACTTGCGACTGATACACTTAACGAGTTTGCATCACTTTCAAATATTGCCACATATACAACCGAAACGTAAGATATTAGAAATTCAAACAGAAAAACTTTCAAAATGTAGGAGTATTCCTATTCTGTTTCATACATATGATTTTCCCAAGTCACCAATGATTTGCATAGTCTCTTATATAAATCACAAAAAACAATCATAGATACTCCATTCAAAGAATTAATAACTACGGTCATGAAAGGATCATTTGAGTTTTCTTTTAACCAAATATTAAAAGCATAGAAACTCAATACGATTATTGCAATCCCTATTAAAATCACAGGCCCCTCTGCTATTAATCTCCTTTTAAAAGTAGTGAAATAATCATAGATTTGAATTTTATTGGTTGCTTCGTCAATAATATATTATCCTGTATACATAACCCTTTATGGTTGAGTCTGTTTGAATTTATGCATGTCCCAACAAAACTTCAATTCTGACTCCCTATTCTTCCACTTCTCCATAAACAACGTCTACCATAGAGTCATTAACAATGCATAGAACGGCACGATGGATGAACTTATATACTTTCAATTTTTACTTTACTTATTCAATAATTATTATATAAATTCCCAAAGCTGCTCCAAAAAGAGAAGGAATCATCAACCAACCTATGATTTGAACATTCAATGCAATATACCAAGCGATTACTGGACCAAAATATGATGATATTGCATGCAATGGCCTTAAAGCTATTTATTATGTTTCGTATCTTAAAGAATCGCGAATGCAATTATTTTGCTGTTCATTCCAAAATTGAGTAATTTTTTCACATTTTTTTTTATCTTCTAATGGAAAATGAGATATAATTAACTATTCCAATACGAATTTTTCAACATCAAATTCATCGTTCAAAGTTTTTAAAATCAACATTTACACTTGTAAGTCTTTAGGAAATTCAAAAAACCTGCTCTTTTCATATTTGAATTAACATATACACTAATTAAATCTTGATAGAATTTACTTTTGTTTGAAAATTATAACAAGATATCTAATAGAGATCTGCCAATCTGTAAATTGAATCTGGAGGTAATTTCAATACATAGAAATGATATAATGGTTGAACTCTTTTATTATGCACATTTTCTTTATACAATTCCAATTCATCCAGATTAGGAGCATGAAAAATCAAGAATTCGAAACTCCACCCTCTTTCTTTAAAGGTTTATCCAATATTTTGTAATTGCAAAAACACTATATCCTATCCCACACTTGAAGTTCCTTTGGTCTAAATTACATATTAATATCCTAGTTCTGCCAAACTTTTTATTTGTTACTTAACTTAGATATTTTCTTCGTAGAATTCCATAAATTTAGAATTATAAGTTAATTCAAATGGTTTTAAGCACCTACTATTGACGGCATCCACTGATATTCCATGAGATATTAATGTTTTCATGCAATGATATTTTTCTTATTCAATAGCTAGATGAAGAGCATTAGATGGATTTTAATCAGTGAGTATGTTGATGCATTCTCTCTTAGACTAATAGCTTAAAATTTATTACTTTATTAAATTTCATATTTTTGAGTTTCTTTTTAGCTTTACTGCTTGTTCCTTCTGAACTATCATAATATTCGTAGTCATTTTCTAGAATCGTTTTTATCATTTTTGGTTTTCCTTTGTATGCTGCAATGTGTAAACAGTTGAATCCTTAATATATATTGAGAAAAGGATTGCATTTTCTTTTGAGAAAATAAATAAAGAAGTCTTGTATCCCTTATCTGGATGACCAATATTAGAGTCTACATTCATATTTTTAATTAATAGTCAAAACAGCTTTACTATTGTGTATGAAATACTTTTCCCTTGATCCATTTTCTAAATCATCATCATTATTAAATATGATTGTAGTTTTCTATTTTTTACCTTTGTGATGTTTTCGTTTTGGTTGAGGCAAGTCAAAATTTGGTTCTATCAATGTTGGTTGATTATTATTAGAAGTGTATTGCTGAACATGAAGTAAGTCATCTTAATTTGCTTCTGTGAATATTTTACTATTATTAGTATTCCTAGAATTAAATACTCTTATTTCAGGTATCTTTTCTTCCTCTGGTTCCTTCATTTCATTTTGAGAATCATCAAATAATGGAATGTCAGCAATCTCTTCTAAAAACTTCTATTAAATTCTTTAACATCCAGTTCTTGGTTAAGATTTTAAGACTAATTAATTATTAGGCGTTTTTTAAAGGCTTTTAAAATTTGTATTTTTAGATATCTATGAAATTGAAGCATAACTTCTATTAATATTTGAGATATTTAAACAAGGTATTTCATATCTAGATGGTTCTGATTCAGGAGATGATTCCTCCTCATCATCTTTATTCACTTATATCAATGGAATTTAGGATGCGATTGTCGTTTGTGCTTTACGCTATTTTCTTTTTTTTAACTTCCTCTTTAGCTCTTCTTTTGAAGTTACCTATGCATAATTAATGACAACGTTTTAGAAGATATCCCAAACGTCTTTCCTAAATTATCCATAAAATTATCATACTTATATGACTCTGGTTTATTGTCTAAGAACAAATAATCTATAGGAAAATTTCCTTATTACTCTGTTTCCAATTACAAATTGAAATTTTCTGCGATCAAAAAATCCACTAATTCTTTATTGCCGTAATAACAAGCCCAATGCAGTGGATTTGGCTTATAACTACATTAAGAGGGTATTTATGCTCCATTTTCGACCAGCAACCTTATTGTTTTCTCTTGATTTTCCAAATTGTATTCTCCAGAATATCTAAGGAATAAACTTGATCGCATACCCTTTGATACTAGCTAGTTCCAGTGGAGTATATAAATGTAAATCACCCTTATTCAAATCAATAAGCTCTTTATATTCCTTACACCACCATTTCAGCAATTTATATTAGCCTAAATAAGCTGCCCAATGAACCACACTTCTATTCTAATCATCAACCATTTTAAAAAATCCAGACAATTTTTAATGTGCAAACTTCAGTTAGTCTTCAAAATGTTTCTTCAAAGTATTAATATCTCCATCCTTAACCCATTCTAATAACTGGGTTTAAGTAATTTACATTTTTTTTAAATATTAGAATAAAAATTATAATCAATTCAATTCTGAAATCTATAATTTGTATCGATTATTAAATTATGAAATCGATAATATTAAACTCGTATCAAATTATAGGAAATAAGTCAAACTAATAATATTATTATACAATTTCAATTAATACTGTAATCAAAACTACTTTAACCTTGCAAGTTCTACTCCTAAATCTACAAAGGTTAAATCAGAATTATTAAATTTATTGTTTATTCTTTTTAATTTGCTAAAACTTTTATGTATATCTTTTATATAGAACCTCATATATCATTTAATTGTTTTCTCATTAATATAGCCTTTTAAATATATAATTATGATGATCCAAATTTGGCTTTATTTTGCTAATAAACATTTTTATATATTATAAAATTATCTGATTAACATTGATAAAACTTATTATTTAATTATCAAAAGATATAAATGATATTAATAGAAACATTTCTGAAAATTTAAACTAATGACTTTAGATTTTAACTTAGCTAAGAAAGTCTATGGGATTAGATGAAAAATTTTAATAGCTGGATTAATAAGTCAAAATTAAAAAAAAAACTTTTTTGGATTTTAGTCTATATATTTCTAGTGATGGCTTTGTTTTTAACAAATTGTATTTTTCTTTGCCAAATCATTTCAATCTCTAGACTTTTTGAAATATTGATATTAGAATTCAAGATTGTAATTGAAAATCAATAAAAAAATACAAAAATGAATATAAGATAGTTTGTCAAATTCAAAATTTAAAATTAGTTTGCAGATCGTAGATAATATTTTTGAAATCTGCATTGTTAACAATATTTTTAGAGTTCTCGCAATTGATCTAGCAGTAAAATATTTCTAATTGTTCTATTCTAAATAATTTTAAATCAATTTTTATGTCATTAAGATTAAATATGAACCCATTTTAGAAGTTCTATTTATAACAAACTAAATTTACTTATATTTGTATTAATTAATATCTCTCTTCTAGGTATTTTTGGATTCCTTTCAAAAATAATTAAGGATGCTTCGTTGTAATAAAAGAAGTATTGTATGGACCATAATAATTTTCTATTCCTTTAACATCTTGAACACCTTACTTTTATGGTTATTTTAATGAGGAAGGAATACTAATATTATTGAGTCTGGATGTAAATTTTTCGACCATGAGCTTAATATTTTCAAGGGGTGGTTTTGGATTATCATTAAATTATATAATAGAATTATCTTCGACAGTGGATTATTAAGTATGAAATGATTGTCTTTCCATTTAGAGGCTAGCTGCTTATTTTTAATGAAGCGATCTTTTAGTTGAATTGATTTAAGGAGGAGTTTATTTAATAGGTGTTTTTTATATGGATTATGGTTTGCTAGAATTAACCTATTATTTTTGTTATTAAATTTATTGTTATTATTATTATTATTATTATTATTATTATTATTATTATTACTACTGTTATTATTGCTAGATTTGTTATTATTTAGTTTACGCGGGTTAAGTTTTCAGAGAATGAGACTTTTCCTTATTTTCTTTTAGTTATTCTTAAATTACACTCAATTTCACTGGAGGTATTGAATTCTTTTTTGGGATATCAGTTTTCAATTGATGACTTACAATTGAAGAATTATGAGTGGGATTTGATGAGTTGATGGTAGAATTATTTTACTATTTATTGCTTGGAGTATTTGGTTACTTAGCTAATTTAGCTTCAAAATTTGGAGGTTCATGCAAGGATTTTGAAGGCACCGTTTTTGCTATTGGTTTCTTTTATGATAATTATTGTTATTGCTATTGAGTTAAGACAGGTTTTTTTGGTATAACCTTGTTAATTTGAGGGGGAATCTATTATTTATATGGAATAGATTGTCTAGTTGTGGTAGTCAGATTTTATTACTTTAATGGAGAATCGATTTATGTATGAAGATGAGTTATTGATTGAATTGATTGACTTGATTTCTACCTGGTTAACGATCGCATAGATTATTAGAATTCATAATGGTCTTCAGCATTAGTAAATTATTGAACTTAATCTTCGGTTTCTTTTTCAAGTGGAGGGTTTTCTTAGATTATATCTTTAATATTGGACTTGTTAATAAAATCTTCCTTGTCTGTGAATTGTATATCTATAGATTGCTGAGCAGTGTCACAACAAGTTTTCACATCTTCTGAAATATTCCTTTCAATATTTTTTTTCACACATGATTTATATATACTGTTTGGCATAAGTGTACAAGAGATCTTACTAAAAGATGCTTTGAAGGGTGTCATTTAGACATTCTAAATAAATTAAAATTGATACATCTGACTTCGAGAGTTGCCACCACTTGTGCTATTTGATTTATTCAATAGTAAACCTTTTCGTAGGATCAACAGTGAGTATATTTTTAATCAAGTCTTTGCCATCTAATGAAACATACCTAGGTATATGGAAATCAGCATTTAAAATTTTCTTATAGAGAACTTAGGTATTGTTGTCTTCGAAAGGGAGATACCCACATAACATGGCATAGAGGATGACACCACAACTCCAGAGATCAGTTTATAATCCATAATAAGGTTTGCCTTATATCATTTCAGGAGCTGCATAACAAGGACTTCCACAAGCTGTCTTTAGAGTGTCCTCATAGGTGTTACTGAGTCCGAAATCAACAACCAGGATATTCTTTTGAGCAGTTAAAAGTAGATTTTCAGGCTTCAGGTCTCTATGCACTATTCTCAACTAATGAATGTATTAGATGGCTGAAATGATTTCATGTAGGAATTTGCATGCTTCAACCTCGTTGATCCTAATCAGATTACTTCAAGAGTACCTCTTCTTTAAATCGATATAATCAAACAATTCTCCACCGTCTGCATACTCCATAAATAAATAAATATGTGAGTCAGTTTCAATCATCTAATCATAATTACATAAGTAACCTCATAGAGTTACACAACGTTTGGATGATGCAACATCTGCAATATGCTTATTTCTCGCTTTACTCTTTCAATATCTAATTCATCATTGATTCTCTTCTTTTCTAAAATCTTCACAGCCACATCATGTCCTAATACTTGATGTTTGGCATGACAAACTTTTCCAAATGTTCCTTCTCCTATTGTTTTACCTGAAATGATAATTCACTTTATAATAAATACCTATCAGATAATTTCCTAATTCAGTCATAATAAATATTAATTTATTCAAATTCAAATATTATGGACACAGATTCTCTGCAACAACAACTACAACTCATATACTAAACATTTAGTCTAGATTAATCAACATTCAAATTAATGTAGGAAATGACAAATAACTATATTTTAAATAATAAAACGAATGATTATATAGTCATTCCAAGATTAGCTTTGTGGTTGGCTTCAAAATAATAGCAGATAGTTGCAATAGACGGTTCTATAGTCTATGGTTCAGGGATATCCTTAAATTCCATTATAAATGATTGTTAAAATAAAGGAATCACTAATATCGATCAATTGATTGATGTGGCTATTAACATGGTTACGGAATTAAAAGTCGATTAAACATGCTAAAAGACATTAACTCTCCTGAAACATAACAACTAAATCTTAAATATGTTTTATTAAAAAATGGAGGCACTTTTACTCCATTTCAAAATGAACGATTAAAACATTCTCATCAAAAATATCACTTGGCTCCTATTTTTGATTACAAAAAGTAAATATCAGCAATATTCAAATAGAATCTTTAAATTTGCAAGACGTCGTCCAATCTACATGCATTCTGATATCAATTCTAACAACTATACTTAGTTAATTATTGAATATTTTCACAACTACAAATAAAATACTCTCAGAAATCAAGAAGTCAGCTGCAGGAGAAGATGAACAATAATTACAAATACAACAATTTCTAATCAATTAATTCAAAATCTAAGACTTAGATCTATTCTCTTCGATCAACTTGCAAGCCAAATAGCAATATGCTGAATTGATAAAATAGAATGTCGTTAAGCAATTAAAGAGTAACTCTGGGTTTTCAATTTTCATGGTTAGCATTATCAATTCAAATTAATACAAGTTGGATCAATAATATAAGCAACTCCTCAAATCAGATGAATTTGATGAAAGATTGCTCATTCCTGATAGATAAAAAAATTTGACACCCAAGAAACTAACTCCAAATCTTAATACTCTCAAATCCAACAATATTAAATAATTGGCCATGCAATCCAAGTATGATTAAAGTAGAGAATAATAAACAACTTCATAATAACAGTAATAAAATAGATATCAAAAATTGTTGAATTATGAATTAGATACGAAAATTACTCTTACAACTAATTTGAGAGAAATTAAGTTACCATAAACTGTCTTAATGTCTCCTTATGCGTAATAATCAATTGTGGCCACTCCAATGACTGAAGCTATGGAAATGTACAATTGGATGCATGAAAAATAATAGCCTTTTAAAAAGTTATTTAAGAATGGAACCTTGAATATTAANAAATATTAATTTATTCAAATTCAAATATTATGGACACAGATTCTCTGCAACAACAACTACAACTCATATACTAAACATTTAGTCTAGATTAATCAACATTCAAATTAATGTAGGAAATGACAAATAACTATATTTTAAATAATAAAACGAATGATTATATAGTCATTCCAAGATTAGCTTTGTGGTTGGCTTCAAAATAATAGCAGATAGTTGCAATAGACGGTTCTATAGTCTATGGTTCAGGGATATCCTTAAATTCCATTATAAATGATTGTTAAAATAAAGGAATCACTAATATCGATCAATTGATTGATGTGGCTATTAACATGGTTACGGAATTAAAAGTCGATTAAACATGCTAAAAGACATTAACTCTCCTGAAACATAACAACTAAATCTTAAATATGTTTTATTAAAAAATGGAGGCACTTTTACTCCATTTCAAAATGAACGATTAAAACATTCTCATCAAAAATATCACTTGGCTCCTATTTTTGATTACAAAAAGTAAATATCAGCAATATTCAAATAGAATCTTTAAATTTGCAAGACGTCGTCCAATCTACATGCATTCTGATATCAATTCTAACAACTATACTTAGTTAATTATTGAATATTTTCACAACTACAAATAAAATACTCTCAGAAATCAAGAAGTCAGCTGCAGGAGAAGATGAACAATAATTACAAATACAACAATTTCTAATCAATTAATTCAAAATCTAAGACTTAGATCTATTCTCTTCGATCAACTTGCAAGCCAAATAGCAATATGCTGAATTGATAAAATAGAATGTCGTTAAGCAATTAAAGAGTAACTCTGGGTTTTCAATTTTCATGGTTAGCATTATCAATTCAAATTAATACAAGTTGGATCAATAATATAAGCAACTCCTCAAATCAGATGAATTTGATGAAAGATTGCTCATTCCTGATAGATAAAAAAATTTGACACCCAAGAAACTAACTCCAAATCTTAATACTCTCAAATCCAACAATATTAAATAATTGGCCATGCAATCCAAGTATGATTAAAGTAGAGAATAATAAACAACTTCATAATAACAGTAATAAAATAGATATCAAAAATTGTTGAATTATGAATTAGATACGAAAATTACTCTTACAACTAATTTGAGAGAAATTAAGTTACCATAAACTGTCTTAATGTCTCCTTATGCGTAATAATCAATTGTGGCCACTCCAATGACTGAAGCTATGGAAATGTACAATTGGATGCATGAAAAATAATAGCCTTTTAAAAAGTTATTTAAGAATGGAACCTTGAATATTAATTAGTTATTATCTCAGAATCCTCAATTATTCTAAAACCTTTAAAGCTAAGGGAAGCACTTTGATTTGATTGACAAAACATTTCATGAATACATATAATATTGTTAAGAGAGCAATCTAATTGATGAAAATAAATCAAAAACTAATTAATACTGGACTCTATATGTGTTAATGTTAGAGAAATCCAATTTCTAAATTGATGAATAAATGCTCAAAAGTTTAATTTGTTTTTGTATTGAATGTGTTTATTTTGTTTTGAACAAATAATCATAACTCTTAGATCAATTGATGTAGAAATGTGAAATTTAACATTACTAACTTTGGAAATGGTTAGATTTCTTTTTAAATTAATTTGACACTAAAGTACCACATTAACTTAAAGAACACATACTAGATATTGAAGTTAAATTTGTATCTTATTCGATTTGGTCTTGCGATAGTCAATCTGAATTGATAAAATTTCTCAATGAAATTCATATAAGTAGATACTAATAAAATAATAATTAAATGAATCGATTATTCAAAAGAGTATTACATTATTGTGCATTTCAAATTTAAGTCATTTGCAGCAATATTAAAATATAGGAATAATTATAAGAATACATTTGGATTACCATTAAATATATTATCAGCGAAAAGACTGACCATCTAAGACATCATTCATTAGATCAAATTGTTTTGGCTGGTATTTATGCTGTAACAAAGCTAACTGGAAACTAACTAAAATTTTAATAAATTATTAACGCCTATGAACTCACTAATACATGGTATTCTAAGTAGTTTATCAAAAAGATTGTTTGCAATACATATATATCAAATGACAGCATGGGTATGTATTTAATTGACATTCTTAGGTGATATTGTTTCCTATTATAACTAGAGTTTTATCCCTTAAATTAAATCATTTATGTTGCAAATGTCACATGAAATCAAATCAAACAGTGTCCCACAATCTCCAATGAACAATAAAAATCCTGCTTTGAATAATAAGATATTAGATTCACCTCTTAGGGATATTCTACCAAGATAATAGAATTTTGCATCAAATTTACAATCCTAACACGCTGGTTTAATGACTCCTGCAACTTAATTGCTATATGCATATTAGGAATCTCCTCTCTTAAAATAATAGGTTAAGCAGCAAGCATTGCCAGTCTCAAAAGAAAATGTTTATAACAATTCGAATATTAATACTAAAATTGATTATAGTTAGGAGACTTAAGATTTCATCTTAAAAAAATGTAATAAGTAATTTTATATTTTTAGTTGAACAATTAAAGAATAATAAGAGCAAGCAAATCAATAGCAAAACTAGTTTTTCAATTTTATAATAGGGAACCCCTAAAATTCTAAATAGTAGTAGAACAAATAATAGCGCAATGTTACAGCATAATCAAACCCAGAATAGTCAATAATCAAATGAACAAAACTCAACGTTTTGCAAACTTTTAAACTTTGAATAATAATGATATATATAATAATAATTTTAATAAATATAAAGATATACAATAAATATCTTAATTCGCTTAAGAATATTAAAGCAATTTCGATTTTCAATGAAAAATTTAAAGGAATTCATACTAAATTAAGGATTGAATAAGGCTATGAGGATCCTTAAATTATTATTTATGAAAACCCACAAAATCTGTTTAAAATGTTCTAATAACTTTAGAATCCAAAGAATATATAATAATCAAAGTTCTGAAAAGATTATGAATAAATGAAGATTCCTATATCAATAAATTTGGAATATTTAATTGGGTTCTCATATTTTTAAAAATCTATTATGAAACTATTCTCATGATAATGAATTTAAAATAATTAAATAATTTATAAATAATTATGAATATAATTAAGGTTGGTCTCAAGTTTAGTTCAATTAAATACCCTTCGCTTGATATTCATAATTATTAATTGTATAAGTATCATTCTGATTATGGAAATCTGCTAAAAGGCTTAAAGATAGGTACATCCTTATTACCCAATCAATATGAAATTGTTCCATCTAAACTTAAAGGATTTCTAATTGATTAATTAAAACAGGATCAATAAATGCTAAAAAAGCCAAAAGAAGTGTTATTTGTTGGAAGATCAAATGTTGGAAAATCAAGTCTGATTAATGCAATATTAGGATAAAAAGTAGCTGAAACATCAAGTAGAACTGTAAGAAATATTGCATGATATGTAGGGCAGCACTTTAAGATTATAATTTCACAATATTCAAACAATTAATGGTTTTGTAGTGGATAGTCCTGGATATGGTTATTCTTAAATAAATGTGGATGCATAGAAATACATGTAAGGAATGATGTACACATACACTAAACTATCATCAAGATTGGCTAGAATCTATGTGCTTATTGACATTGAACATGGTATTAAAGACAAAGATAAAGTCATGCTAAATATGTTATAGGAGTAAAATGTTAACATATAAATTGTGTTAACCAAATGTGATAAAATCAAAGAGAGAATGCTTTATGATAGATAATTGTATTTAGCTAGGGAGATTAAGTAATTCAAAAATATTCATCCCATCATTCATACTGTAAGCACTAAAGATAATTTTGGAATTAATGACATTCAATATTCTCTTATTGATTCATTTTTGATTCATCAAAGCAGGCAGTTGTTCAATATGGAAGATCGATTAATCAAACTCATTTAAGCGAGAAATAGACCATAAAAGCTTGATTTAAATAAATTAACTAAACAATTCAAAAAAGGTTTACAGTTACCAACAAACTAAAATAGTCTAGTTCACAGTAAAAAGCCCAAACACTAACTTTCTTGAATTGATTGAAGTATTCTAATGCATAAATATCACTTTGTTCTCATTTATTTTCTTAAACGACCTCTTTAATTTTTTAATTACTGTGATTAAACAAAAATGTTCTTGTGATATTTTTTTAATATAAATCAATTATTTGATAAAAAGGAAATGTAGATATTGGAATTGATAATACAGATTTAATAAATTTTTAAATTAAATAAATATCTAGTCTAATACATATTTTATATTCACTATTTATTCTTCAACTTGCTATTAATCTAATAATTGCTCTCTAATATGCCTATTCTTCTTCAGGACATTAGAATGAGCTATTATTGATATTACTCTTTTTATTAAATAAAAGTTTTTCTATCCTATTCTGTTTTTCCTTAGAAATGGGTTTAGAGTTGTTAATTGAAGGAGCTCTTACCCTGCAGGATAACGGTGATTTAGTCATTTGAAATTTTGATTACTCCTCACTTTAAATTTGTTAAGTTTAACTAAGTTACAAGGCTTGTTTTTAGGTACTCTTTAATTATTCGCTCTTTGAAGCAACACAACCCATTATTTAATAAATATAAAAAATATTTTCGGAATTTAAAGAGTTCTATAGATTAATAATCAACAAAGTCACAAATAGCAATTCTTGTTTATTTTAAATATAAAAACAATAATATCCATATAATATATTATTTGTCCCCCATAATATTATTAGATTAAAGCATACATTATTAAGAAAATTTAAAGACAAATAAGAATAAAATACATTAAAGGAAGACATTTTGCAAAAGAAACAAAAATGATTATATTTTATTAAATTATTCTGTCTGAGAATAACAACTTATATTATTGATTTTAATCTATCACTTTGTCCCACTCTATAGTATCCCAAAAAAATTAGTGTCGTTTGGTTTTGAAGTCTTAAATAAACATTAAAAAATACTTTTAAATTTTTTTTGTTTTTTTTCTTCTTCTTATTTTTATTTGGAGTTTTATTTTCTTCAACTTACTCTTGACCTTACTCAGTTTCGCTATCAATTTGAATATCCTCATTCTAATCTTCATTCACATTTGTCTCAGAAATTGGTTAATTCAGATTTTAAGGAATTTGAGCTTATCTTTCGAAATTATCAGAATTTTTTGTGGTTACATTATCTGTTACTTCATCATAATTAGATTTTTATTTCTCTTCATAAATGACATATTAATCATTTTTTTGCTTATTGTTTCCTTTGAATTATCTTTTTGCATTGTAGTGATAGTTGTTATTTGCATTATTGTAATTTTGATAATTTTAATTATTCCTATAATCCTTGTGTTGTTCCTTCTCTTGATAAGGAGCTTTGTTATTATCAGATGTTGCCTTTTCAGTATATTTATAATTATCATTCTAGAAATATTTTTATTGTTGATAGAATTCTTTTGGTTGATGTTATTCATTTCTATATTTATTAGATTTATAATTGGGTTGCTTATCATCTTTAAATTCTCTGTAATCCTCTTCGTACTCTTCTTAATCGTTGTTATATTTTCTATTTTTGTAATTTGTTTATTTATTAAAATCTCTCTTTTCATATTTTGGTTTATTTTGGAGATTGCTTTATTCATATTGCTAATCTTCGATGTTATCTTTTGTCTTATATACTTAAGGTTGATCAATTTCAACTTTGTCAAAGTTATTTATATCTTATTTACTACTATTCTCAGATTTTTCATTGCAATCATATTAATCATTTGTTTTAGAACTGACTGCATTTCTTTGAAATACAGGAGCGGGTTATATTTGTTTCTTTTCCTTTTCAAGATATCTCTTCTTTGCATAATAATCTGACAATGGTTCATTAGGGAACTATGGATAGTGAATTGTTAAAGCAGAATCACCAATATGGGTCTTAAGTTATAAGAAATGATACTTTAAATCTATGATCATCCAATATATACAATCCAATTTTGGGGGATGTCAATAGATCAACCTGATTTATGTCGTTTCTTGGAAATGCCTTTATATTCTAATATTGTTTTTCAAAATATTCCTTAACAGCCTCTAAGTTTTCATTCCTATTTAGAGGCTTGACCTTTAGAAGGATTTCCTAATTTGTGGTTTCGAACAAGGCATTGTAAACTTCGTCATAATTACCTATACCTTTAGATCTTTATTACTTTTAGTTTATCTATTTTGTTTATTGTTTCCTTTGTTAAAATGTGAATTATTTTGTCTATAATTTTTTAGACCACCACTATCAATGTCTCTTTATTTGTGAATTTTTTGTTTGTCGTTTCTTGTCTTTGGCTAAAATTCTGATGTAGATTTCGTCAAAGCAGGTTGCTGGGGAATCTCATTTTTGTCTAGAGTTTCCGAATTAGTCGTAAATTAAGCATTTTCAATTTCATCATCCTCTTCCTCAGCTAATTCAGCCCAGGTTTTCTTGCTAGCACTTAATTATTCTGTTGTCATTATTGATTAAACTTATTTTATGTAAAATATATAGAATAAACAATCTAACTTAAATAAACCTGATTGATTAGAGATTTTGTGTTTTATAGATGTTTAAAGAGGAATAAAATTGATAAGAAATTTGTATATAATTTGAATAACATATAATTGACAAAATCAGATTGATCTTCGTCAAAATTGGTTGACATTTCTCTCTAATTAAGAGGCAACTTCTTCCTCAAATCTAGAGTAATTTTTGTTCCAAGAATTCAGTAAGGTTGTAGATTGAGTAGTCAATTTACTTTATTAACTGATAAATTGGATGTCTTCATTTCGGATGTCATCGGAAATATTATCCATAGTGTAGGCCAACAAAATGTCTTTGATTGTCAGTCCAACCTCAGGTGTAGTTATTTCAACTATGACTTTGTTTCCTTTATTATACCATTTTGGATAATCTATATGATTAGTTTAAATAGCTTACGTTCCATTTTCTCAGAGATATCAGACACAGAACTCATAAAAGCGAAGCTCTCCTTGAAAGTAGGGAACTCAAATTCTCTCTTAATGACAGTCAATGAAGGATTAAACTGCCATTCGTCTGATAGTTGTTGGATGTCTTTCAGTGAATTTATATGTTCTAAGTTGAATTTTGAGGTTGCTAACTTTGGAACATCTCTAAAGTCTTTTATAAAGACTTTTATTTAATCCATGATTAAATGATTTTAAGTAAATGATGAAATATATCTATACATGTTAATATTTTGCTATTTTAATTATTAGAATTTCAAGGATTTCTAGAGACATATAAACCTAGAAAAATGCGTGTTAATTAAAATCTTATGAATTATGATGTGATTTAATATTATTTTAATTTAACTGTTAAAATCTGAAAATAAAAAAATGATTAAAAAAAAGTATTCTCATATGAACCCTATGAATTTAAGTAGGTATTATGTATTAATAGATATATATATATGTTTTCAAAGTTAAACTATATTCTTTTGGAAACCTTAGAACAACTCTTCGGTTTTAGTAAAATTTGAATTCCAATTGTTCAACAATTGATTTGTCGATACCTTAATGGTATCACAGACATTTTCAACTGTTTGATTTTCAACATCATTTGCAATGCTTTCCATAGTATAAGCCAATAAAATATCCTTGACTGAGATTCCTCTACAATCCTAGGTTGTCATTTCGACTGTCACTTTGTTTCCTTTTTAAACCCATTTTGGGAAATCTAATTATAGAATAAAGAATTACGTTGCATTTAATCAGCAACTTAAGAGACTGATCCCATGAAAACAAAAGTTTATTTGAAATTAGTGAATGTAAATTCTTTTATAAGTTTAGTAGAATCTTTGCTTTATTGCCATGATAATGAATGAATTTCCAAAGCTTAGCTAATTTCTTCTGTATTTAATCTCGAAACAGAAATTGAAGGAACATCTGAGAAATCTCTGACGAAAATTTTAATGGAATTGATCAAAGCGGGTGTTCTGAAGCCAAGCTCACTTGAGACGTATCTGTACATGACAATTAGATAATTTAATTAATATATTTCGGAGGTTATTCCATCTAACTTATCAAATTCTGAAAAGTACGAACCATTTTAATTCCAACGTAATAATTATGAAGAATTAATATTTCGGTTATTTTTTAATAAAAATGTATTAAATCATTTTTGTATAAAAAATAACAATATCCAAAGTCAAATCAAAATCATCTAATACATCAAAGTAATACTCAAAAATATGAAATGAATTGATATTTACAAAAATAGAAAACAAATAAAATAAATTTGTCTAAAATTCACTAAAAGGGAATTCATCATTTTTATTACATTTCAGATGTAAGTGTTTTATTCCTCTATTTCCATCTAAATTTCAAGAGGAATGATGACAAATTTTCTCAATTTATTTTTTGATTGTTTGAATTTCTAAATAATTTTGTCTAAATATTCAAAGCATATCAATTATTAAAAATGGGTTATGGGGAACTAAAAAGAAAGACCTGAGCCTAATAAAACAAGAAAATTGAGCTTTTATTAAACGTCATTATATATAGTATTCTAATTAAAAGTATATATATTTTATTAGTTATTAAATACAATTGAGAGTATTAAGCCCAATGACGCATTTTTATATCTTTAATATTTAAAATATTTTAAAAAGAAATGGACAAGTTGTATATTGGAATAAGAGCTGAAGATAAGTCATATTGGGAAAGGAGAACTCCCATTCCTCCCCATGATTGCAAATATATTATGGAAAAAGTAATAACATTATGTATAATCTCAGCATCCTTAAATTCAAATGGTTGTACAACCATCAACAAAAAGAATTTTCACAGATGAACAATATTTAGAAGTTGGATGCTTAGTTTAAGAAGACTTATCTTAATGCAAAGGCATTGTTTGCATTAAAGAAATCCCACTTGATAAATATATTGAAGGAATGACTTATTTGCATTGGTCTCATACAATAAAGGCTTAGCCACATAACATGCCTGCATTGGATATGATGTTGAAGAAAAATATTAGACATTTGGATTATGAAAGAATTTATGATGAAAAAGTAATCTATAACAATAACAACATTAGGGTGTTAATACTACTGCATTTCCATACGCAGGCATAGCAGGAATAATCACATTCTTGAATGAATACGGAAAGTATTTACTCAAAAGAGACATTGCCACTCCATTCCTCTAAATAGGTCCAACTTATTAATATTTTAATAAAAAAGATGCTTATTAAGCATTGAGTGTGGCAGGATAAGCTATCTAAGAAAGAGGATTACCAAAGGAAGCTGGATTACCAATTATTATTGGTGTTTTGGGTTCAACAGGATTGTGTGGTAAAGGTTCAATGGAAGCCTTATCAAATCTCCATGTTACACTAGTTAAGCCTTCAGAGTTAAAAGAATTAGTGAATACTCCAAATGATCCTAAACACAGAAAAACAGTATATGTGTGTCCTTTCAAAACCACTGATTTAGTTAGACATCAAGAAGACTACGATAAGGAATTTACTTCATCGGATTACTACAACCATCCAAATTAATACACACCCGTTTTCCACACAAAATATTTACCATATTTAACAATTATTGTTAATGACATATATTGGGATCACAAATTCCCTAGATACATTACAAATTCATAGATGAGAGTAAATACAAAATTTTATAATTTTAGGATTTAGTTCAATCAGGAAAAAGTAGATTGTAAGCTGTATGTGATGTTACTTGCGACATGGAAGGATCTATTCAATTCTTAAAGAAATATACAACACCCGATAACCCTGTTTATTTTTATGAACCAATTTCAGAATCAATTCATGATGAATTTGATGCAAAATCACCAAAAGACATTATGTACATGTCAATAGACTTTTTACCATCTCAATTACCTTATGACGCTAGCATTGATTTTGGTATTGCTCTTAGAGATATTGTACCTCATCTTGCATATTCAGATTCAAATAAACCATTAGAAGAAAGTGGTTTACCAGTGTTTTTATAAAATGCTACCATCACACTACATGGATAATTAACTCATAAATTTTAATATATTACTCATTTAAGAAACATAAATGATTAATTAAAGGAAGCTGAAAGTTTCTAACCTAAAAAGGCCCTAAAGAAGATTCCTTCCTATTTGGCTATCAGATTAACAGGACATTTATTCGACACAGGTGCTATCAATAAAATCTTATCAGTAGTTTAATCGTAATTATTATGCTTATAATCTTAGTGGATGTAAATTCAACATTGTAGATATTCAAGCAGGCCAATCTGATAATTAACAAACTTCTTGTTTGCTCTAATTGTACAGTAAAAATAAAGGATAATTAATGGATGAAGTTGATAAAGTCATTTAATTATGCGAGACCCTAGATATCTAAGTTGAGACAGAATGACTAATATAATTCATTTTATATGATGCAAATAAAAATTAAAAATAATTATTTATTTATAGCAATCTACATGGAAAATTGTAGAATGGAAAATTATTGCATATTTATAATAATCATTAATTTTCTTCATTTTTTTGTAAAATATTTACCGTCACCTTTCAAACAGTTACTTTACTAACAATTGCATGAACGTGCTTTTATCTCTCGACCAAAGGAACTAAATTTTTTCTAACCTACTTCTTTGTTACAACTTTCTACATATTTAAAATATTTCTGTACATTATTAACAGTCCTTTTTGTAAGAAGATTTGGAAGAACATCTATCCTCTTATTTTTTGAATTGTTTCGAAACTGTTTCAATTTATTTTGGTTATGGTTTGTGTTCACGATATTCATCGTCATTTTTTGGTTCTTGACTGCTATCTTTTTATTAATATGCTTATTCATAAAGTGAAAACCCTCTTTCCTAATCATTAGAGGCATGTATGAAATTTATAAAACAATTTTCCACTTCTTTAGGATATTCCTCAGAAGATTTACATTGTTTAATTGATTCCACACTTGAACTATCATTTAAATTTGATTACATAATAAACAAATAATAATTATATTATTACTGCTCAGAATTCCGAAACTACCTAAAAATGCGTACTTGTTAAAAGATCTTTAGAAATTAAATTAAATTAATTAATAATTATCTTCAACTTAAATTCAACCATGAAGCCAACAAAGAATGATTTAGCATTATATTAAATAAACTGTTTTAAATTAATGTTCACTTTTTCTTTTTTCCCTTTTGTTCTCTCAACTTTCTATCTTGTCTTTGTTAGATTTCCAGTTTTTCTTTCCACTCTTAGGATTAATCAAAATCTCTCAACTTCCACCATAACAAATCCATTCTGAAATTTGCATCTGAGGGAATTGGGTATTATGCTAATTACATCTTAACTGGAAAGTCGTTGTGAATAGAAATTAACTTTTAATTATCAATCTGTAAATATTATGAATACATACTTTGATCTCATTGACCCATATTCCTTTGATCTTATGTCTTATCTACTTGATGTCTGATTTGAGATCCAAGCCTTTATATTTACGATATCCTTCTTTGTGATACTTTTAAATGGCTGCATCAGTAACATCACAAATTGCACCACACAAATAATCCAATTGATTTAAATATTCGACATCAAAAAACTGACAATATTTTTTATCTGGATTAAAGGTGACTTCAGCAATTATTTTATTTTTTAAATCAATTATGAATTACTTTTCAAGATAATTCATAACTTTATCTCCATAGGTTGTTCCATTCAAACTGCCTGGAGCTAAAGTGATCAACACAACTTAATGAGGATTTTCAAATGTGATCTTTACTGTTCCAACATTTCTGCCAACTACTGAATTTGAATTAAAGTTAGCAATCAATTCCAATTAAGCATCAATTCTAATAGGGATTATTAATTAAATTCTACCTATATTGTCTACCATACATTTATACGGCACAAATAGGAGGATGATGACTAATTTATTCACAATAAATAGGACAATTATCATAGAACCCTTAAAAGGTTTCTCCTAAAATGGGATTGAAGGGCTTTGATAGAAAAATTGAATACTTTTTCACAAGATAGATACATAAATATAAATCCAAATTAAAATGCAGCACATTATTTAATCCTGTAATAAATATCTTAAGATTAAGCAGCATCTTCCAAATAAATTGGTGCAAACCCCATACTACTACACACTCTTTCAGTATTCGATCTCGCCTCAAAAATAGTGACTGGCATCGATATGCTAGTAATTGATTTGCCCAACATAAGAGAAGCTCCAATTCTAGTTAATAGGAATTTTATGACAGCTTTTTAAGCAGCCAACTTTTCCTCATTTATCACTTTCAATCCTCCATTCTTTTCTTCTCTTATGAAATCCTTCTTGAAGATATAGTGTCCACCTTCTTATTAAGTTAAGAGCTAACGTTATAAGGGATCGTATTCTTTGGGTTATAATTAATGTAAGATTTTGATAGACAAGGAGTTATAATTCCCAGATAACACTAACTTCATCTTTTTATCAACCCAATCTTGAATATTATCTAATGCATCTACTTATTAAGGAAGAATAGTTTATTTTCTTACATTTTATTCATAAACGTCCCTAGCAACTTCATCTTTATTGGAATTACTTTCAGCCATAAATAATTTATCATTCATGGCATCCAACTCCTCACAATCAAAGAATTAATCATTATCTTCTTTATTATTTGTTTCTGTAGTTTTTTATTCCTGTTATAATTGCTATTTGTCCTAAAATTAAATTTCATTGGACTTATTTTAGAGATTGATATTTTAAGTTATAGAATTAAATTGCTTCAAATTAATTATTTGTGCTAAATACTGCTAAATAAGATAAGCATCTTCATCAGAGTACGATAAACCTAACATGGATTGTTCAGAAAAGTAATACACTTTGGTTTATTTCTCACTAAAGTTTGAAAGATATTTATTACCTTGCTTAGATAGCCCATACACCATATTTGAGACTTCCTTAATAATTTTTTGTGTATGATTTTTGATCGATTTATTTTTAAACAATAAAATGGAGATTATCAATTTTTAAATGATGTTACAAATATTGAAACTCTCTTTTGAAAATGAATAGATTTGACAATTCTCGAACTTCGCATATCAAAAAAGATTTGTCCTCATGTAATTCCTTAATCATTTTGCTTTCCACTACGGAAATGTATGCATTCCACTAATTAATTTTATTATAATCTGTTAAATTCTGAATGATTGCGTCCTAACCTATGTAATTGGAATAAATTATATAAATTTTACAATTTCCGTCAAATTCCACGAAAACTTTAAATTAATGATGATTGTTTTCATTTCTGTAGATTTAGGAATTATTTTCAGCTACTAATTTAAAATTCTCCAAATTGTATAACCCTTTTCTAATGTTAGCGATACTACTTTAATACAAATATTACCTCTCCCGAATTTCACCAATATCAAAAAAGCTTGGAATTTCATAATCAATTGTATTTATCACCTTTTCTGGCTAATATTTATTAAAATGGTACAATGTTGATTATTGTTGATGTTATCTTATTTATTCTTTTAAATAATCTCAACTTGATTAGGTTTTACGTCAATTCTCGAACATAAATTTTAAAGCACACTGATTATCTCATCGGCTGTCTACTCGTCATCCGTTCCAAGAGTCAAACACTTTCCTCCAGTTTTCGAAGTTAGATCGAATGTTATTTTATCTTTTTTCCTCTCCTTATTCTCCACCTGAAAGTTAGAATCGCTGGAATATACCTAATACTCTGATAGAAAATAAGGTTTCAGCCTTGTTTTTCCTTTAGAACTCCTAAGAGCAAAAACTTTCTTTTCTTCATCAATAATAAATTTTTTAGATTCCCATCTACCAAATGTTTTTCCTTTCACCAAAATCTCACCTTCACTTATCTCCATTGAAGGTTGATACTAAACAGGATGTGAATCCATCACAGTATTGACGCATTCCTGAATAAAATTAGAAATATTCATAATTATTAACCAAATTTATTCATACTCAATAATCATTGCATACTATTTAGTATTATCAAATATCTACGATTCTGTTGATTCTCAAGCATAAATATCCAAAAATAATTTAAGATACTACTTTTGCTTTCTTAATATCCAAATCTAACGGGTTTGAAACCGAGTACTGATTATCGATATCAATTGCTAATCTAGTTTATTTTAAAGATAAACAAATATACATCTTTATAGCATCAAAAAATCACATACTCATTAAATTCCCTACTATTACTTTAATCAACCGCAAATAAATATAAATAATATTTTGTGGATTTATAATATCTAGAATTTTAAGAATACACATGCTGCAAATCAATTTATAATTAATCATTTTTAACACAAGCAAAGCATTGTTTGATCAATTACTTATAAATTAACTTCTTCAATCTTGTTTCAAAGCAATCTTTTTTAATTTATATTCTAATTATTTTTAATTTATAAATGTATGTAAATTTAAATTTTCTTAATTCAGTATCTAATTATAGGATTCGGACATTTTTACCAGACTTTATTGTTAAGATCGAACATAAAAGCTTTCCTTTTTAGCCTAGAAATAAAACATATAATTTACTGTCAATTTCATTATGAATCTTCAATACATGTTTAAATATAGAGTAATAATTTAATCACAAAATATTTTCTGTCCATTAGTAAATTTTATCTCAACATACTCTTCTTGTATCGGTTGCACCCAATTTTACTAAGATCTATATATTAATCTCAACATCCTCTTGGAATTAAAAATGTTTCAGATCTTTTAAAAAATGAATTTATTTTCTCTCTTAATTTGAAGAAAAATAAAGGATCCTTTTGATAAAGAGATTATTAGATCTTAGATTATAATCCAAATTTAAATTAAATGATTAAAACAATTAGGATAATTATTTTTTTACAGAAATTATTTTCTTTATTTTATATTAGTTATGTAATTATTTTATTTCATTTTAGGTCTAATTAAGCATTCAAATGCTAATTCAAATTCTAAGGCAATTAAGATTACCAATAATTCATAGTAGATGCAATTTAATAAGATGGGATCTTAGGCAATATTTTTAATGAATCTGAAGGTCATTAACAAGAATTTAATCAATATATTATATAGAAATTGACAAATCGCAATAACTTAGAGGAACTACTTTAAAAAGTGAATACTGAATTTGAAACTAATAATATTATCAAATTAAAAAGAGTTGACGTGTTTACTTTACTTTTGATGATGTTCTTCAATCTGATAGACAAAAAGTTCAAATGTGGTAATTTCTACATTATAAATATGGAGGAGTTGAAAGTTTCTAATGTAGAAGTCACCTAAGAAAAATTGAGGTGCATTACTAATTATCTTAAATTGTTTTTTTCGAATAGAGATCAGATTGAATCAGAAGAAATTCATTATGTAAAAAATAGCATAAATGAATAATAATATTTAAACAGATCATTGATTCTGAAATCGAACTAGTCTTTAAACTTTAGGTTTACAAGATAAAAGAATGAAGACCAACGTTAATCAACAGTAGTTGATTTTGCAAATGAAAACATTGGGGGTTAGGCCTTACATTATAAAAGCTGTACTCAAGAAGATGTATAACGTATTTATAAAACATTTAGATATTAATGCTCATATATCCTGAGGCTCTAATTAGTATGCTATTTGTGCAACCAATGAAGGCAAATGAAGCTGTTTTAATCCAAAATCTTATAAAGTATAATAATTATACGGGATACGAAAACACATTCAAACAGAGGAACTTGGAATAGTTTAGATGGGAGGAGAAATACAATCTACTAGTAAGAAGGCTATGTAAATACTTTATAGGCTATCGATGCTGAGGTGTTCTTCGATGATGAGGATTAATTCAGCTAAAAAAATATCAATAGGGAACTAATCAAATGCTATTGTGGATTTGAAATAGCTTTGTTGAGAGAACCAAAATATGCAATTTCGACTGGAAAGTGGGGTTGTGGCATATTCAAGGGGAATCCATATTTAAAGACTCTAATATAGTTAGTTTGCTATGGTTAGGCATGTAGTGCAGCAAAAGATCCAACTAATAATGAGATAATATTTAATGTTAGCAGTGATGTTGAACTTTACAGTTTTGGCTAAGAGTTGCTGAGGAGGAAAGAGTTCATCACCTTGAATAGTTTGGAAGTAACCTTAAGGAGGATAAAAGACTACAAGTTCAATAGTAATGAGGAGTTGAGAATGAAAATATTGAATGAATTATAAAAAAAGTAAAGTTCAGTGAGACACCCTTTGAGAAATGCTTTATTGGGTTGTGTTTTGATAAGTTTTGCTGGTTTTTTATGGAATTGGCAGATGAAGTGAGTGTTGAGAAGTATTGTGTGATTTAAAAAATATAATTAATAATCCAAATAAAAATGAGATAGTAACTAAGAATTTATTTCAGCTTAAGATTGGTTGAATATTTCTTCCTGTTCATTTCTGCAACGTTTCCGCAGTTCAAATCTTTGTCAAGTATTAATATTACAGTCATACTCTAAAGGAGGAGTTTCGAAGGGGAGAAAAGCCTTTAATAACCTGAAGGTGTTAGGAGTGTCAAGAACTACAATGTTTGGATATCTTTAATCTGTTTATTTGGTTGTGGATTAGATTTGTTTTATTTAATACGTTAGCGGATACACCATGTTACCTATGGATAAGTTATGTAAAACTTTATGGACAAGCGTTGCGATTCTGAAACCCATCAATTAGAAAACTCGTTCTTTGATAGGAATCGTTTTGATGGGGAAGCTTTTCGATGGTCTGATCGGGTTTTCGTCTTCGTATATTGTCTTGTTTGAAATTCCAGTGTCTATAGCAGGATTGTTAGGAGTTGGTTCGAGCTTGATTTAATTATATTTAATATGAAAGTTAATAAAAGTCATTAAAGCAATGTGTTTTAATTGGCTGCATAGAGCTCTGAGAGAATCTAAAAGTATATCAATTCAAATCATAACTCAAGTTTTTTAAAGAGTATAATAATGAATATTCAATTACAGGTATAAAAAGTGGGAGCATACCTTTGCTTAATCCTGATTTGCATGAATTCGTGGATCGGACTCACGAAAGAACTCCAGTTCGATATAAAACTCAAAGAATGAGAGCATAGGAAGCTCAAGATGAGTTTCTGAGAGGCCATTTGAAGGCAGGACCATATACAAAATTACCATTGAATATGAGGAATGAGATTTTGGCAAAAGAGAAGATGCCTCTGAGATTCGGTAAGAATCCAAGGACTGAGAATCAGAGACTGTAAGAGGAGTTGGATCACTCAAATTATGTCGATCATACATCAAGGGATCTGACAATGGCATACAGACCAAATTGGAAACCAACTTAAAGAGAGAAATGGGTGAGTGACAGCGATTTCAAATAGGCTGGAGGTAAATTTACAGAAAAAACAGCATGGCAACAAATACCGTTTCGTAATCCTGATGACAATTATATATATATGGAATAAGAGAATTCTCTGATTGAATTTAAGAGAATGAGATCAGAAGGATTAGAAAAGATGGGCAAGTTGCCTTTTAATCCTGTGATCAAAAAGAACCCTTATACTCAATATTCAACAAGCATACGAACATTCAAATAGGATTAGGCATTTGGAATAGAAAACAAGACTCTATTTTCTTAGAATTCCCAACTGAAAAATTACAAGAGTGCATTGATTTCAACTAAATCGATGGATCATATTATGCCATATAATCATAGCAATAATAAGTAATAGATAACGAATTTATTTCCAAATGTAGATAAACAATATTTAAAATCAAGTGTTTAATTGGGAGGAGAATTAAAAGAGATCAAATTGAAGACTCCAAATGAAGATATTGACGAATTTCCAAAGAGTTCAAAGGGATAGCCATCGCCTATTAGGGAGTATCCATTAAGCGATGATTTCAATAACACAAACTTTGAGAAAACAAATACAAATATGAGGAGAGGGTTCTAGCCTTTTAAAGTGTATGATGAAGAAGAAACAAAATAAATAATTTAGAAGTATTTTTAGAAAGGGAATTTTTGAAGTTCAGATATATGATTATCTTATATAATGATAGCATCATTCAAGTTGGATTCCTGCATGTTGAAGTGATCTAATAACTAAGTCTTCATATTCTTCAAGTGAGACTTGACCGTCATCATTAAGGTCAGTCATTCTCATCCATGATTTCACATCTTCTTAAGTGGGATTATACTGAATACCCATGGACTTGTAAGTCTCGATTAATAATTAAGGAACCTAAAGGATATTAGGAATCAATTTACTTCATTTTCAGTGATGAATCCAGAACCATCTTAATCGAATTTACGAAAGAGTCTCCTTGCAACATCAAGACGCTCTTCGACGAATTTGGAGTACTGTTTCTTGGGTCTTTTTGGAGACTCTCCAGTAATGCCAACCAAATATTTGATGGCTAAAGCTTCGATGTCTTGGATGGTGATTTTGCCGTCTCCATTTCTATCGAGGATTCTCAAGTAGGTGTCAATATCGGATTTGCTTGGATTGAACCCTTTGGACATTCCTTTGTAGGCATCTACCATCATGGGAGCCACTTCTCCTTGATCTAAGATTCCGTTTCTGTCTCGATCGTAAGATTCAAAGAGTCGTCTTGCAACGTGTTTTGCAGACTCGACATCACATATTCCTCCTAAGGGAATTTGAGAACGAAGAACTGATGAAGCCATTGAAATTTCAAATTTATAACGATTAAAAATAAAAATGATTTTTTATTAAACCATTTCTAGGAATCATGATGTTATTTTGCAATTAAAATATTTATGTAAATGTGTAAGAGAGAGAGAGAAGAACTCTACAGGCCTTAGTTAACCCTATATGAAAAGCGAGAACTCTGGCACACAATCCTAGAAAATAGAGGCAACGTGGGTTTGGTGGCATAGAGAATGGGAAAACCTCAGGAGACAATCGAGTAAGATATACTGGAGATCTTCGTGGAATGTCTACTAATAGTTAATGACCATTTGGGATAAAGCAAGAATGAAGCAATTATTTAAAAGCTGAAAGCAGAAAATGTAGTGTCTGTAATTTAATTGGCATCCAGAAATAATTCCTATTACACTAGTGTCAAGAATCTCAACTTATTATTGAATATGATTCAATGTGCATTGTAGCAGGATGATTTGGATAAAAATTTGAGAGATTTATAAAAATAATCTAAATTTGAATGTCTGTTTTTTGAGATCAAATGTTTATTTTGGGATCAAATAAATGATTTATCAGATGACGAATAACCACAAATGGTCATTGTGAATAATGATCCATAAACCAATGGCACATTCAGAGATATGTATATAGAATTGGAGTTGCCAGAAGATGAATCAAGCAAATAGGAAAAGAAGAACATGATATCAGATAAGCAATTTCTAACACATTTGAATAAAATAATGGCAGAAAAGTAGATTCCATACTGGGAATAAGTAGTAGTAAGGTGGAATCTTATGTAAAATATATTTAATAATTGATTTCTATGAATTTTAAATTTTACTTAATAATATGTTTTTGCTTTCAACTTACAAAAATATTATTATTATAATATTTAAATAGATAACACCTAATACAATAGAAGATCCACCCGATATTCTTAGATGAATATGTAAATGGCGAGATCATAATTTGATTTAACAATTATCATTTATTATAATTCAACGATTTTGTAAGTGCCTATAGAAATGTTGTGACAGTATCCAACTCTTCCTTTCTCTAAGCTGCTTTCTTTTGTTCTGTCATCTTTTTTGCTGCTGAACAATATTATTTATTTTGGAATTCCAAATCAAAAACAGTATTTTAATTCTCAAATCTATAGGTCACATGAAGCATTTTTAAATTGAGTCTCTCTACCATTTCATCCGTATACTTCAAACTGTATGAAAAAATGCATTTAGCTGCACTCTAACCTTGTGTCAAGTCCAACAATACTAAATTTTGAGAATCCTCCAGAATGCAACAATCAATGTTTTGATATTTGCACTGATGTTAAGCAAATTAACAATATTATTCTTCTTACAAATTATAGACATTTCCTGGCTAGTATTTCAAAGTAGGACCATCTCCAAATGGTTTTGGATTATCAAGTATTTTTTGCTCTTCTTCCTCAAATCCAATTAGAACTGATGCTGTGTATTTCAAAATCAACAAAATCATCATGTCTTTCCTAACCTTGTCCTATTGATTTGCAGGCTCCATAAAATAAACACTCTCGTTATGTTTGATATCAATTTGGCATACTCCTTTTGGAGTCATTTCATACAACAATTATATATGTGTCTATGGCCAGATGGATATAGATGTCTTGCTATAATGATAAATAACTAGTGTTACTTTAGGACTTTATATTCGTTATAGAAGAATTCAATAACATAATGAGCTTCTAATGGGTTTTTAATGTATTCATTAATCTTATGTATATGAGATAGCACAATTTCTTTAAATCTATCTTTGTAGCGTAGATCGTAACTCTCAAGATCTGTTCTGCAAAAGTCAATTAACATTTAAATTGATAAGATGTAGGTTCCTAATCTAAAAGGTGGTAATCCAGTTTACAAAATACCCAACAGTTTGTCTTGCATAAAAAAGGAAGTTTCGGAGCAATTTCTATACAATTCTATGTTTTTATCTGGAGTAATCATGCCCACCTATTCTAAAACAGAATGAGAAATATTCTTTGAGTGTCTCAGAGTCTTTATGAATATCAACACCATAAATACAACAGTGTCATCATTACTTTCTAAATGTTTCATCAAAGCATAAAAGGGTGTTTTAGTATTGATTGTATTCCCAGTTACTTTATTTTATTCATTCCTCTCCAAGAAACTCAAAGCAGATTTTTTACTCTTATTTTATGATTTTACTATCGTTATATCACACATGTCAGTAATACTCAGTAGATCCTCATACCTTTTAGAATCATTTATTAATGATTTAAAGTGTTCACAATTCACTTTTTAATATAATCATATAACTATACATTCTCTCTTTACTGATTAGGTTTAGTATGATGAAACCCCTTTCAACAAATCCTCTTTGTCATTTATATTGGTATCTTCACTTATTTCACAATCTTTGTAAATGAATTAAGAATATGCCTGAATGAATGTTTTCTCCTTTATTACCCAAGTCTCACTCATGCTTACATCCTTTTCATATGAATTTAACTTGGAATTAGAATCTAACATTAATGTGAACTTGTACTTAATTAAGTTATGAAATCAACGATCTCTGGATCCTTTCCCAGTATGAATAGAGTTAACAAATCCAAAAACTAGCTGAAACTAAAACTCTTGTAGATTTGGATTAAAATGAAAAGACAAAACTTAATATCAATAACCTATTATTATTATTAGTTGTTTGTTTATTGCAATGATGAAAATATGTTAGTAAATGTGAAATTACCTAATGATTGTCCACGATTGTGTTGGTACTTTTGAGATTACTGATGATTCATTGATTATCTCTATGGCTACTGATTGAATTTAATGGATTGCTAACCACTCTTAATAACTCCCATTATTATAGTTGGAACAAATCCATAGACCATTATTGAATTCACAATGATTGGCAAAGCATCCACATTAGTTTTTAGAAGGTCCTCCAAAAAGTACAATATGTCCAATTAATCATCCAATAACAACTTGATTATCTTGTGTGACTCTTGTCTCCCCTCCTGAATGAGACCGCCAATATAAAAGAGAGCATCTCTCATGTAACAACTGAATTGGACGTAAAACATAGTGAAAGGGAACGAACTCACGTATCTACGCAATGGTGGTAGGTTTATTTTGGTGATTCCTAAAACTATGTTTCTCACACTAGTTCTAATTAAGTTTTCCTTATGTTTGTAGAAACAGATGGCCTTCATTAACATTGGAAATGTGCTAAATTTCTATGGAGATTGGAATTACATACCAAATTATAGAACAATTGCAAACTCTGCTCGTCAATCCTGATTGAAACACATTTTAACAAATTTATGTAATAAGCTATGATTTCATCATCCCTAAAGTTGTAATCTGCTATGATTATGCCATTCAATGCACTGTGACTTAATATATAATTTATGCTAACTGGTCTTTATATATTTTGCAATAGCATCGTAATTGCTTTAATTACTGCCACTACAACTTCCCTTTACCCAGTATGCACCAAATCTAAGTACAATGACATAGTTTTCTGATCGCAAAAGTAACTAGATTGTTTTTAGATGGATGCTTACTCAAAAAATGTGTCATTGTTCTTATCTCCCCACATAACACTTTAACAAATCTATCCAATTTGATCTACTACATCATAGTCATTATGTGACATTTTGCATTGCAATTACTCGTACGCCTCGCTATAATAAACTCGATAACTAAGTACACTAATGAATCTGGGTCAGATTATAAAGGTGCCTATTTCGACATAATAATATATATATTTAATAATTTTATTCAATTTTATTTCTGAAAATCCACCTCCAAAACATCACCGTTCCATAAAACCACATATTGAAATATCCCTGGTCTTAAATAAACTGTGAATACAATAAGCAAACACGCAAAGTAATATACCGTATAATAAATGTTCGCATCTAGATTTTATAGCATTATACTCTTAAATTAATTGGTTGACCCATATTGGAGAATGAAATATGGTCTTGACCCCTTTTAAACTGATATTCATCCAAATTCTATATAATAATTCTAAATATAGTTGCTCAGCATAAAGTTGATTTTTCAACTAAATTCATACTCAATTTAAATTGGGCTATTCTGATGAAGAAACTAAATGCTGATATATTAAAACTTTATTGCTTTTAATTTATTAGTATAATTTTATTTATATATTCATAATTTCTATTACCTATATATAAGTTATTCTCACTATTAGCATTTTTTTAATATAGCGATTCTTTAGATTGGAATATTAAACTTAAAATAAAAATATCTAATTAATAGATATGCAATTATACGAAGAACATCTGAAGTCTTTTAATGTAAGTCCTATTTTTCAAAAACTTCTTTCAGAAAAAATAGGCAGCGAAGAAGTCGTCCTCACAACAAAATGCCAATTTTCGAAGCTTCAAATAAAGATTCCAGTTAGACATTCTCCTATCAGTTACGTGCACTGTGTTTTCGATTTAGAGTCTTGGTTGGAGCACTTCAAAAATATGTAAAATAAGGTTGAACCCACGTAAAGAATATTTTATATTAATAGGGGATTTGCTTGTCCAGGATGCAGAAAGTACACTAATTTTAAGGATTATGGAGTGGATTACTCTTTCTATCATGTGCTAGAAGAATTAAAATTTTTCAAACAAAGGAATCCTTATCTCTAACTAAATGAGTCATAATTGATCTATTAGTAAAGCAGAAATATATACACTGTCGAAACCAAAGTGAACAATAGGTTGACCTCTTCCTTGAATCCCAAGATAAAATTGGTGCCTCAAAGATTCTAATTACCAGGCAGCGCTGCAATCTTAGGTGTTTCTAGAAGGTTGAAGGAAATAAACAATGAGCATTAAAATGAGGAGCAAAAAAGAATACTCGATGAAATGAGTTAAACCATAGTCAAATTGCAACAACTCCTGTTCAGCATGCTATATAAAGTGTTCAAAAAAAACTAAAACTTTACCTTTAAAGCCTTACACGACTAAGTGACAGCAAAAAAGCAATAATTTAAATAAGCACTAACTCAATCCTTAAAATTAATCTCTCTAGGAAAGAAATCATTGAATGATGACTACGTGTTCGCTCTGAAAAAGATCTACTCCAGCAGCCAAGTCTATTCGATTGTACTCATTCATAATTATCCCTTAGCTTATTGTCTACTTGATCCAATACGGCATTTGGTATGAGTATCCACTCACATTCAAGGGCCAACCTTACGTTTAATTGGAACAAGCCTTGTACATCAAAGGAGAAAGCAATCAGACCCAGAACACAATCTACATAATCGGGGGTCAAAAGGCAGAAAGATTCAGTCAATCGAACTAATGTTTGTAGATAACATTTCCAAAAAACCCATTTTAAAAGGGCGAGGAGAGCGCTCAGATCACTCAATTACCTGATTTCCCATTTGAGGGGTATAATTTTATGGGGACAAGTTATAAAGGGTATAATCATTTTTGTAAATCTTAGAAATCTTTATGTATTTTATGGATAGAAGTAAATAAGAAACAATGATAATCAAATTAGGGCTCAATTGTTGAATAGTCAGTATGTTTTGAAGGATGTCGCATACAATAGAAGATGGGAATAAATGAAGAACAATTTAGTTGAAAGATTTGATGGCAGTTTCTTCACGATAACACATTAATAATTTGATAAGTTGATCATATTCTTTGGTGGTGTAACCAAGGAACCAGATGGTCTCACTAATCATAGATGCCAACAATAACATTCAGGATAGATCTTTATTTGCAAGGATGAAAAGTTTTTGGGGAGTGTAAAATAGGATTTCCAAATTCAATTCAATGGGGATGAAGCATATCACAGATCAGTTCTAGGATCTCCAGTTTTTAGTTGTCCCTATTACGGGACTAACCAATTGATCTTGTCTGGAGAGTGTTTGAAATACAAAAATACTGAGCAAAGGGAGATTTACACATTTGATTGGGGAAATGCCATAGTCAAATAAAATGATCTATTCTCCTTGGAACCTCCTGAATTCATCTTAACTCCCTAAAAAAGAAGAACAGTATAATAAGATATATTCTCTCCAGTGTAAGATCCCCAGGGCGGAATATCTTATGGATTCTTTTATGTAATTCATCAATACGAGATCGAGCAAAATTATAATGAAAAACAGCCAAAAGTAATGACATAATTGCTGAAAATCAATTTGGCAAATGGATTATGTATTTATTTTATCATAATTGTAGTTTTCGCAATACCCTATCAAGACTCCCAAACATCAAAACAGTTGGCTCTCTAAAGTTTAGAAAGATTAGCCGACAGGCCCAATTAGTACCTGTGATGAGAATAATTTTATTTTATTGATGGTGCAAGAATATTTAATAGTAAATCTTTTGTAATTTCTTGATCTTAATATGCTTGCATTGTCATTCTCCATAATGGAATTAGATGATTCTGACTTGATAAATTGGTTGCTTTTTGTGGCATTGGCAATATTATATTAAATAATAGTAAAAATAATGCAATAGATTTGTGATTTCCATTTGAGATATATCAAATTCATTTGTGTTGATAACACATGCAACAACAAATTGCTTTGTGATGATTGCTCCAGAACCTCGAATGAACACAGCAATCATAAAATAGTGGATGCTGCTGCATTTTTATAATAAGCGGAGACCTTCCTAAAAGGTGGAAAGTAATTGTTTAATCGATTATCAGTCCTGACTTTGCTCTCTATGGAAGTGATCTTGGCAATAAAACCAAGATCTTTCTCTCCAATAATGGAAACATCAGACATGAAATCAGAATGAATTATTTAAGAAAATTAGAGGACTCCATTGAAAAATACTTACACCAAATGATCGACAGTCTCCAATCCTCAAAAAAGATGGTAGTTGATTTTATTAATCAATCAATTGAGGATTGTTTCTCAGCATAAGTTTTAAAGTAAGTTTCACAAATTACAAATAGTAATCGAGAAACTGGCCACATGATAGTTTAAACAGTCATGAGTGCTTTGAATGCTAAAATATCCACCAAGGAAGCCAACATCCTCCTATACCGCTTGCATACAGGAGACTTAGAAAGAGAATACTACGAGAAGAAAGTATAGAATATTCATATCAATAGATACAAGCCTTGGTTGAATTGTTTCATTAAAATGTGAAGTTATTATTGGAACCCATGGCCAATTAAGTCCATAAATATCTGAAGTAATTTCATCAAGAGATGGAAAGAATTCGAAATCAAATCAAGGAAGAGCATTTCCAAATCAATAAGATCAACATGTTGCCCAAGACTTTCAAAATCAAAGACGTCACAAGCAATCCCAATTTATAATTAAAAGTGCCCCCAACATCATTTACTAAATATCAAGCCACTCAAAATACTCAATAATAAGTCTACACATTAGCCACTGATTACGACTAAGACGATTTGGATTAACTATCAAGATGGAAAATGAACAAACTAACCAAGTCGAGAAAACTTGAATTGCTCAAGAGTTTGGATTACACACACCATACAATGAAGACAGAACAGTCTTAATCTATTGTGAAATAGCAGGTCCCCATCACGGCTCCATATGATTCTACTGGAACTGAATTTAAGAGAATCATCCAAGTCAACACATAACATACTTACCTATTGAAAATTATCAATATCTAAAAAAATGTCTGTTTGACAGCAGGCAAGGAAGGCACTCTGAACATCATAACGATAGAGATCGAGCAGAGTGATCTATCTATTGTCAATTAACACCAACTGAAACCTCATCAAGAATTGAAGGATGTGGAATTGTGTCAGACTCCAGGGATGTTTCTGACCACAGGCAGGAATATCAAGATCTTGAATGACAAATACATTGATCTAGGGTTTACAGTCAAATTATTTTTGTATTAGGATATGAAATAAATTGAACAACTCACAGAATTCAGAGATTTGCATTAACAACCCATTGAACAATTAAAGTTTATTAATGAAAAGTATTTGAGATAAACTGTTGAGTATTCTAAATACAGCAACGAGTTGGATTTTGCAACCATTTGTGCGGATTTCATTAAGGTGTGGAAGTTCTGCTTTGATAGTTCAAAAATATATGAAGGAGAAATGCTGGAGCAATATAAAGTAGAGTTGAAACCCTCTATAATTAAGAGTGTGGACTTCTCAGATACTTTAACAATTGCTTCAGAGAAATCTACAACCTATCTATTCCACGATTCTTAATTGTTTAAGCAAATAAAGAATGTGACTGGAAAAGATCAAGTTCTCAGATCAAAGTTAATTTCGAATCACAGACTCTTGATTATGACTCAGCAGGGTGTGCTTACAATTATAGATTTAAAAAAAATACAATTGCCACCTCACTTAACTAACTCGAAGGACAACAAACCATATGAGCCATAGAAAATTGTAATAAAATATATAAATGATTTCTTTAGAATGTCAAAAAGTATTTACGTTAGATATTGTTCGAAAAGGAAGACAAGGAGTTGGAATTGATTGATGTAATTCAAGTGAGGAAGAAATTTCTTTGTCTTCTTCACAGTTCTTAGTTTGATCACTATTTGATTCTGAACGAATAATTTGAAGTAAAACAATGTAATTATCCTTAAAGCTTGAAAATAAATATAGAATAGCGCCTTCTGAAACCAGATACCTCAAATTTTTAGAGATTTAGACACACGATTTAATGATAGCTATAGAAGGCAAAAGCGATTACAGCATTTGGGATGTCAGCAAATGATTTTACAATTATTTTTGTTATTTTGTAATTCAAAAAGGTTATTCATATAGATGAATGAAGAAACTATAAAGTAAATAAGCTAATTATTGTTATCTTAATGCATGAAAATTTAATGATTTATTAGTCATTGGAAGATTCCCTTCTTTGGAATACTACTTAAAAGAGTTGGTTCTGGTTGTTCATCAATGAATTAAATAGCTTCTCCTTCAGCTAAAATATAATTATGGAAATTAATTACCATAACTGGTATCGATTCCTTTGGACTCTTAGAAGGGATTAATCTTAAAGACTCCAGTTCCCTTCAATGGGATAACGAATAAAGCAATTAACAATCCCCATCCTAAGAATGCCAAGACACCTACAAGTTATAATCCAAATTATTTGAATCCATGTCCAGTTACGAATCCATTGCTGAGTGTCAACACTCCAACTAAAAGAGTACCCAATAATCCTGGTCCCTATTGATTGATAAATTATATATATTACTAGATGAGTAGCCAAAGTATAAGCAGGATCATCAACATGAGATCTTTTGATGACAAGAATAAGTACAATATACACTAATCCAGCGAGGGTTCCAGTCAATGCAGATTCCCAAATTCTAACATCGTTGGCAATTGCTGAGATGGCAACAATACCAGCAACACTTCCTCTTGCAATAGCAATCAAACTTGTTTTGTGTGTTTTCAAATATTAAGCAATGAAACTTGTCAAGGCTGAGAAGGTAGCTGCAATCAATGTGTTAACTGCTATCAATCCTTGTTCATATTTATCTGATTTGCCCTCTTGATTTGCACCGTTAATGAAAATGAGTGTGGCAACACTTAAGATTATTGATCCATAACCAATGTTGATTGGAGAATGATGAGGGAAGATGCCTGGATGAACATTTCCTGCTTAATCTCTTCTTTCCTTCAAGAAGATTGATACAACCAAGGCTGTCACTCCACCGAAAAAGTGGATATAACTGGATCCAGCAAAATCAATGAATCCAAATTTACTTAACCAGCCTGTTGGTTAAATCCAATGCAATGCAGTTGGATATAAGAAGCCTGAAATAACAGCCAAACAAACACTGACTGAGAAAAATCTGGATCTTTCCAATGTTCCCAATCCAAACAATGATGAAACTATTATTGCTCCAACACTCTAGAAAACTAATTAAATAAATAGTGACTATTAGCTTACTTAAATTTGTGTAATCATCTCTTGATGCATCCACTCCATATCCAGCTCCAGCAAATCTACTCAAACCAATGAACTTATTTCCTTTGTCATCTCCAAATGCAAATCCATATCCTAACTAATCAAAATGTATTTTTAGATTTTCTTACAAGCCAGAAAAATAATATGGTAATCACTGCTCCCAATAAGACTGTGATAACTGCCGATTGCACAGACTTGTATCTCACTGCTCCTGAACTGATGAAGGCGAATCCCAATATTGTTAATAAAGCACTAAAGGATGTAATCAACACCCATGTGGAATCAATGTTTGATGGGACTGGAGTACTAGCACTGGCTGCATTAAGAACAGCGTCAACTCCTGTAAGATGATTCATTTTAATTTATTTATTTTGGGATATATATTTTCAAAATTCATTTATATCATCAAAAATAAATACAAATAAAAATTAAACCAAGCATTTTTCAATAATAATATTCATAATATGTAAACTCTAGTGGGTACCAAAAAAGGATAAATTTATCATCTTGAAATCAATAGACCCAAACAATTGTACATCTCCCCTAAAATATCCTAGGAACGCCATGTCTGGTCAACTCTTCCAAGATTTCAAGGCAGCTGTCGATATCATCAATTAGACTGACGATGTCCGAGTTGTGGTGCTGACTGGAAGAGGAAAGCACTTCTGTGCCGGTCTCGATCTCAAAGAAGCTCCACAAATGTTCCAAGTATTCTCCTCATTTCCATATTCCCAAGTTTCCAGACGAATTGGATTAAGCAAGAAGATCAATTAGAATCTATGATCTGATCAAGGATTGGCAATTTGCAATGACTTCCTTATCCAGAATCAGAGTACCAGTAATCGTAGGCATTCAAGGATACTGTTTGGGTGGTGGCATTGACCTTATTACCTCTGCTGATATCAGATATTGTTCGGAAGATGCAAATTTCTCAATCAAAGAAATTGACATTGGAATGTATATTCACATCCATTACATTTATAGGGCTGCTGATATCGGAACTCTGTAAAGATTGGGCGTACAGAATGCCAACACATCTCTCTTCAGGGAATTAGCATACACAGGCAGAATGTTTAATGCTCAAGAAGCTTTACAATTGGGTTTAGTTAGCAAAGTAGTTAGGAGTGATTAGTTAAATGATGAAATCTTCAAGCTTGCTGAGACCATTGCTTCCAAATCTCCAGTAGGATGCTATACAATTAAAAGCATTGTGACTAGAGAACAAAACTTAGATTCACACTTAGATGTTATGGCCAGAACAAATATGGCCATGCTTTTCACAAATGACATGGCTACTGCTATTACAGCTTCAATGACAAAAGGGAAAGCAGAATTCCCGAAATTATGAGTAACAAATATTAAGTTCAACAAAAACAATAATAAATACATTATATGTAATAATTCTAGAGTACAATTATATCATTAATTTATATTGATAAAGTATTAGTACACATTCTATGTGTACATACTTTATAATTTATAATTAATATGATAAAATATTGAACTATTTAATTTTAGAGATTAACTGAATTTTTAAATCAAAAAAATGGCTCTTATTATTTTATTTCAATGAACTCTGCTGTTGATTCTTTTGATTTAGATATTCTTCAGATGTATTAGATAGCCTTTTAAAGAATACTACTAAATAAATGTAGTTAAATTTTAATGAGAAAAATATAATAATTCACAGTCTTTAAACATATTTGGAAATTAAAGCAAATATTTTTGTGTAATCTAGGGGACCATCTCTTAGATATGACCATAATTCAATATTTTTTGTTTCTTAATACAAGACTACGGAAATGTTTTTTGATGAATGATGTATTTAACTTTTGATTATGTTAACTTTGAATTCCCTCAGTATTTCCATTGCTAGATTCCGAGCTTCGATGACAAATTTTGGTTCACTTGTACAATATGAAATTTGAATAGTTGGAGCTTAAATTTTTTTTTTCCTTTAATAACATGGTTGAGAGGCTGGATAGTTAATTGAATCCAGTTATTATCTTTCGTATTCTTTTTGTTGCTTCGTAAGAAGAAAATCAAAAATTTGAAAATAAATTTGTTCATTCCCATTGATTTGTTTTGAATCGTTTTCTCTCTTGTATTGTTCCCACATTTCTGATATCTCTATCATCATTTCTTCTCTTGAAATATCAACTTTGTTTTTTTGATATTCTATGCATTTTGCTTTAAAAAACACTTAGTATTCATCCATTTTATAATTAATTAATAAATATATTCAAATTCAATTTCCTCATTCTCCTAATCAACTAAAAACAACCTATTTTTTCAGAACCATCTCAATTCTTCATGTCTATTAATCACTCAACTAAATGTCATATTTTAATATTGTAATATATTTCTATTTTTTGAATTATACTTAGTTCAAAATATTGGTTAGTAATGTGAAAATTGAAAAACACAATATGATAAATAAAAGATATGAAATGTATTAAACAATATTATTCTGGATATAATTTAATTTGCTTAAATTAATTTTCAATGATAGGATTTAAATATTAATTCAGAGTTTTTTCGGGCCAGCTCTTGAGAAATACTTCTTCAGACAGAATCCAATAGTTACCAAAGATGATGCTACACCCACACATATGTAGGCAACAGACAAAAATTCGTTTTTACCTCCAAATTAATTGGTTGTTGAAAATACTAGATATTTCTTGCCTCCATATTGACTTGAATCATAATCTATATTAATAATATGGATTACTATTTGTAATTACTATGGAATAACGACCTTGTGGAAGATCTTAGTTGATCACTCCCCAAAGCTTTCTAAAATTTGGCATTGCTGCCACTCTCATCCAAACAATGAACCTTTCGTCGGTTACATTGTACCATTATTAACTGACATCTGTGTTCTGGTAAACTTCAAGATCAGTTGGCCAAGCAATGCCTTGGCTTGACACAGGAACTTAAACCAAGGTGCCATTGTTTAATTCGTAGGAGATATCAAATGTATCATTAAATAGACTTTGAGCAATCAAACCACACGGAATGGCTGGATCAGTGGGTGTTAAAGGTGTGCCATCTATCGCTACAGTCTTATTCATCTAAGCATTGGTGATGACGGGATAACATGAACTTAAATCATCTACTCCTAATCCTTTAGTTCCAGACAACTATTCTACTGATTTTGATGTGATGTATCTAAACAATAAATCTCGAGAATCACTACCTTCTTTGATTCTGATAGAAGTTATCCAACTAATAATATATATAGACTGGAGCTGTGTAGTTGGTGTCCAAAGCTATCGTAAAATCGCATATTGGATATCCCTAACAAAAGGCATCATATCTGAAACTTTATTAGTTAATTTTCCCAGAATACACATTTAGTACAATACCCATGCTTAGAAAATAAACACTCAAAATGCCAAACAAAATAATGGTGGAGTTAAGAGTAGGAACGGGTTGCCAAGCCTTCAAGACCTATTATTTAATTGCTTGTCCAATGCTTGAAGGTTATTTTTAATCTTATTGTTACTATGAGTCCATATTAATTAAAAGTAAAATATATATAATTCAAATGCTTAGAATTTAATCAAAATTTCTAATTCCCTAATTTTATGAGTTTTTTCTTGAGGTCTCCTCTTCATCCTGGACCTTGCTTTTTGGCATAATCTGCAATTCCTGAAATACAATCTGAGAATTACTCTCATTAACATTGCTCTTCCTCCTCATCTCTCTTTCTTTTAAATGTTATACTCAAATATACCTTTCTCTATAATCTTCTTTCCTTCCAAGCTCATTCCTGATATCCTCTCCTACTGAGCATATTACCCCAGACCTATCGTCCTCATCAACTTATCACCAATATTGAATAAATTGAAAAAGCACATAATCAACAACATCAAGGGCAGTATGGTTTTGTAACTCTATACAAAAAGAGATTCAGCCAGATTCCCGACTGTCTCACTGAAAGAAGTGGCCTAATCCTCCAATATGTCTGTAATTTGTATGAAATTGAAACACAAGGGGAAACTTACTCTGGCAAAGTTACTCACAAATATGAAATATAAATACATAGAACCAAACATCAAACTAGGTGCATCTGTGTGATGATGTTTATTAAATGAGATCAATCCAGAGATTTTCATTGCAAACAAGCCATAATAGGTGCAAAACATCATATAAAGCAAAGGCAGGAGCAAAACAAGTTCTGTCAAATAATACCTATTGATGGAGGACAATAACAAATAATAGGGGTTTAAATTCTTGTTTGTTTTGGCCACAAAAGTAATTAATTCGCAAAATAGGATTAATAAACTAAGAAGGGCATAGGTTATGGCCAAAAACACACAGTAATATTTTCTGAGCTTTAGATTCCAAATAATAGAAATCTTGTATATCATTTTAGACCATTTGGTTTCAAATTGTGTCTCGTCATCTGCTAAGTCTTTCCTTTCAAACTTCAATGCCTTCTAATTAACAATATTGAGTTTAGTTTGAATTCTTTGTAAATCAAACATAATGCATTTCACATACTTGTGTATGGAAGCCAATATCTCCAGATTCAATGGTTTATATTTATCTGGTATGTTGGATGCATTGTACTTTTATAAGGTGTGTCTGATGCTCTTTTGAAATTCCTAAGGGATGTGTTGCAGAATGATCATCAAATATCGACTGAATTCGCTGTCGGAGTATTCATTCTGCAATAATTGAAGGGTCTATGTATTTTACATTATATTACAACCCTACAAATGTCTTCCAGTTCATAGGTTTTATCAGTTCTTTATTCATCTAATAGCACAGCCTATTGATAGCACTATTCCAAGACTTCTTCCTCCTTATGTTCCCTGTAGTATAGTTTTGGAATTGCCACTAATCCTTATCCCAAAAGAATGACAACGAGGAGTAAACCACTAAATGATTAATTAGATCGATTACAAGAAATTGCTCACTCCTATGAGAACCCCTTCCACGTGAGCTGAATCAAAATTATCCTTGATCAATAAATAGATGGCTAATCCGATAATTATTACGGTTCCCACTCCATATATTGTTAAATTCTTCTTCAAAGAGTACTTAATCTTTCCTTTTATATCGAAATCTCCCGAGCCTTCATAATCTTAAAAAAAGGGTAAGACCAACCTGTATAATATGAATTTGTACCAAGCCAAAAAGAAGTTTCCCCAATACATAATTCTCCACAATACTTTGATGTTCCCCATAGTTTCTAATTATTAGGTCTCATCAAGCTATTTGGTTGACTAATATTAACAATGGAATAATAAACATTAGCAATGTCAATTGGTAGGACCAATACAATCGAAAAGGTTAGGGTCCAAGATATAAAGGTTAAAATCTTAATATATAAGGGCACATCCTTTGCTGAGTATTCCCATATCAGGTATAAGACATAAAGGAATAGGATTGTAGTAGCGATAGAATAGAATATGATATCTTAGGTGAGCATTAAAATAATAAAATTATGGAATGCTTATTTCTCTTTAATATTTCATTTATGAGATTTATAGGGTTGATAAATATCGAAAATAATATAACATAATTTATCAAATTTCAAAGGCCTTTTATAATAGAGTCTAAAATTCTTTCTCATGTAACTGATGAAAACCAGTAGCTGGCGATCCACTTGGTCTTCTGCCAATGTATTAAATAGGGGAATTAGAAACATTTGTAGTTTTGGCCAATACACTTTGAATTCTTGGTCTAACAAATGCCCAAGGTCCATAATTCATGTGCTCTTCTTAGACCCAAACAAATTCTGCTTTGTTGTACTTGCCAATAATTTTTTATAAGAACTCGTAAGGAAATGGAGCCAACTATTCTATTCTCAGGATTGCCACATTCTACAATATTATTAAAGTAAGCATTACATTCTATTTGAGGTCTTCTCTTTTCTTGAGAAGATCATAATACACTTGTCCAGAACACAAAATAACTCTCTTAACTTGATTTGGTTCGACAAGGAATTCAGGAAAGGCTTCATCGTAAACCTAATTGAATTGAGTAGTAAGTTCAGTAAGCTTAGATTTGGCAGCTTGCAATCTCAAGAGTCTTTTGGATGTCATAGCAATTAATGGTTTTCTGAAATCTCTTCTTAATTATCTTCTGAGAGCATGGAAATAATTTGCAGGAGTGGTGCATTGAACAATTTACATATTGGAATTTCTCATCTATCTAGTTAATCTGACTATAAAACATTTAGATGATTAAATTACCTCCAAGATTTTTTTCAAAAACTGCAGGATCATCATCACTCAACTACAAAAATCTTTCAACTCTTCCTGAACTGTGTTCTGGTCCCTGGCCATCCATACCATTTGGTAACAACATAACCAATCCACTATCAACATCCCATTTGGATTCTGCACTAGCAATATAATTATCGATAATAATTTATGCTCCATTTGCAAAATCACCAAATTATGCCTCCCATAACACCAAGGTATTTGGATTTGTGATCGAGTACCCATAATCGAATCCTAGAACTCCGTATTCAGACAAATGAGAGTTATAAATACTGAGTCTATGTTCTTAACCCTTTGGAATAACAGAATTCAAAGGCACATAATCCTAACCATTAGGATCCTTTTGATCATGTACAACAGCATGTCTGTGAGAGAATGTAGCCCTTTAAACGTCTTCTCCGGATAATCTAATATTGAATCCTTCATGAAGAAGAGTTCCAAATGCCAGGGCTTCAGCAGTGGCGAAATCAATAGGCTAATCCTTTTGAATCCATGACAGTCTTTCCTCATAGAATTTTTTGATTTATGGATGAGCATTGAATTCACTTGGAATCTTATTAATTTTTTCTCCTAATGTTTTTAATACATTCAAAGGAACACCAGTGTCTTTGATTCTTCCCCAAAGGACTGGGACTTTAATCATTTCCCAAGGCACAGGTTGCCAATCTTTGAGATTGTAATCCATTTATCTTGACTTTTGATAAGCTAGTTCCAAGTTCTCTTCATGAGTCTTCATCAATTTGTCCACTTATTCTTTTGTGACAATGCCTTAGGCAACCAACTTGTCACTATATTTAATAAAGACAGGAGGAGCCTTATCAATCTTCTCATACATAATAGGTTGAGTGAATTTAGGTTGATCTTATTCATTATGTCCATATCTTCTATATCCAACCAAATCAATAAAGATATCTCTCTTGAACTTGTATCTGTATTCAGTGGCAATCTTAAACACTTTGTCAACTAATTCAGGTTCATCAGCATTGACGTGAATGACTGGTGCTTGAATAGCATGAGCTATATCTGTGCAATACAATCCTGATCTGCTGTCCTTAGGAACAGTAGTGAACCCAATTTAATTGTTGGATACCACATGAATGATACCACCTGATTTGTAACCTTCTAAATCTGCCATTTGTAAAGACTCATAAACGATTCCTTAACCAGAAACTGCTGCATCTCCATGAATCAATACTCCAAATGCCTTTTCTCTCTTTTCATCTTGGAAATAATCTTAAATAGCCCTGACTTTTCCATAGACACAAGGATCCACAGTTTCTAAATGAGATGGATTAGGCAACATTTCCAATCTCAATTTCTTATCTCCAAATAACACATTATGAACTGAACCCAAATGATATTTCACATCTCCAGAATTACCCCAAATATCTTCATTAAATGTACTCTTCAAATCCTAGAATTCAACCATGATTTCCTCTGCTGATTTCTAGAATACATTGTATAGTGTATTTAATCTTCCTCTATGTGCCATTCCAAATACAACATGTTCTGCTCCTGCACTTGCTGCTTCGTCAATCAAAGATTACAACCCAGAAATCATAGAATCGCATCCTTCTATGCCAAATCTCTTTGATGTATTGAATTTCTTTTGCAAAAATGTACTAAATGCATGTTCCTATCCCAATCTATTTTTTTATCATGTTAATTCATACCTCTCAAAGGTTTTCAATTTCTGCTCTTTGCTAGGCATGAATTCATCATATTTCTCAATTTGATGTCTAAACCAATCTCTTTCCTCGTTTGATTGGATATGCATGTATTCATATGATATTTTTCCACAATAGGCCTTTTCTAAGTAATTTATCAAGTCTCTCAATTTCATCACTAATTACTATTAAAATCTCTTACTCTATTTGTCCCTTGTGATTCCAGTGCTTCCGATGGCATGTATATAAAATTCTCTGTCCAAATCCTCTTCTGTGAAATATTCACTATAATCCAATTTTGTATATCCTTTCACTTTGCCTATTTGTTAAATATGCTCCAAGTCCAAAGGGTCCACCTATGACTTCTCATGTCCTCTATGCCTATATTTGTTTATGAGCAACAACACTCTGAAATGATCACTCAATAATTTCCTTACACCCGATTGCCCCTAATTTCATATAGATTATCATACATCCAATTGAAGAGAAAGTGCTTATCCCTTTGATGGCTCAGGAGTGAAATCAAAATTGTTCGATTCCAAGACTTGTCTAAAATATGAATCCCAAGTGGCAGGGACTGATTTGTTATCCAAGTACCATTAGTCGAATAGATTTTCCAAATATTCTGCATTTCCAGAACCAAGAAAAGAGACTCCAAACTTTTACAATTCGGAAAATTTATAAACATTATTGAGATTTCTGGCTACAAATCTAAGCATATTTAATTTATTTATAGATTTAGAATGATTATTTTTAACATAAATTTATAATAATAATCAATATCCTGTCATAAAAACTAGCATTATTATTTTTAATATGCTTTAACATATATAAATTAAAAATTAATTGTCTATTAAAACTCACTCCAAAGCAGTCTCGAACTCACCCCCACTCTCATTTTAACTATCATTCCTAAATAAAATGGGTATCTACCACGTATCAAATGCTTCCTATTGAGATTCCCATTTCATAATCTGTTTTGCATACACTAATTCAACTAAACTCAATGTTTTCAAACTAATACCTTATAAATTTTCAAGGAAACACAAGAGAAGTTACCCTAAAAGAAACGACATTCCCAATCAATTAATTTAATCACTTGCATAAATTAGCCTAGTCTTTAGTTTCCATTAGATAAAAATACAAGCAGAAGTAAAGTCTTGTAAAGGATGATTTAATCATTAATTCAAACCAATTAAGAACTGTATTGAGTCTCGATAGAATGTGAATAGTGGTACTAATAAAAATTATTAGTAATTAATAAAGTATTATGAAATGTTAACTCATTACAAGAGTTTATAAAACAATATTATATAATAATCAATGATGATTATATATATATAAAAATAAAACCAAACGAGTATTTTTATTGATGAAAAATTTAAGAGCGAAAAGCAAGAAAATAGTGATATTATTTTGACTGAAAAACTGTTGAATTTAAATAAATTAATGTATCATAATAATTTATGATGTTGCTTTAAATATGAAATTTATTTTTCATTCAGTTTTATCATTTGCCCTTTATCAAGCAAGTAGTTATTTTACGAGTCCATCAGGTATCCTTTCTAGTCCACATGGTAGGTTTCATTAATAGTATCGGTTGGACTGGTTTTTTCTTTTAAGAGACTCAACTCATTTGCTTTTTGTTATGTCTATAAATACCTAATTAGTTGATTGAATTATAAATATCTTCGAATTCCATCTTGGATTCAAAGAATATCTTCATTCTGTTTTCAAAAGAGACTTGGATTGATCGCACTTTTTCTTCCAATGACATCTGCTTGGTTTCATAATCTACTTTCTTGTAATTAATTAAAATTTAATATACCATTTCAGAAAACTTGTTTCCCAATTACATGATTTCTTGTTTTATTTTTTTTTGATCATCGACTGCTCTTCTATCAAGGTTATTGGAATTTGGAAAAGTAGGAGAGGCAGCCATTTTTAATTTTTCCATTAATTCTGAGTTTATCTCCTTCATTTTCTCCAGGTCTGTTTTAATTTAAGTAATTGTTTCATTTTATTGGTTTATTCTGGAATCTAACTAAATGACAAGCTTTTTGAGTGTTTGGATTTCATTTTATTGAGAAACATTTAAATTATTATTCTGATTTTTCGGGGATTAAACATCCTCGACCTTGGAGTATTAAGGAATGTAGGTTTGCCCTCTTGTTTTGTCGCGATCGACACTTGCAAAGTTCGATATTGGTACCTTATTTGGACTGGCGGATGTCAAAGGTCTCATATATTTTTATTACATTATAAGTTAAAGAAATAATTCCTTTCAATACGCTTATAAATAACACTTTAAAACAATTCTGTAGAAATATATCAACGCTTCAATGATATTTTTTTCTTAATTAATGAGCTTTTTATTAATTCATTTCTACAAGTAAATCAAGCCTTAATAAATTGTCAACACCTAACTTTGAAATGGTAGAGTTTTCACTTGAAGTATCACGAAGTAATTTTGTGAGTTTATCTTTCTCTCTCTATTTCTTAATCAACAACAAAGGTTGATCGTCAGGTACATTGTCAGGTATGATGGGAGCAGGTTATTTACGAAGAGTGTCGAAATTGATATCTAAATTAAGAAATGAGTTTAAAACCATTAAAAAAAGGATGTCTTTTGGCTTCTTGGAGAGTCAGCCTAGTTCTATAATTAGGATCCAGTAATCTCTCAATAAAGTCCTTGGCCTTTGGACTCAATTGGTTTTCTCCATCTCCAATTTCTGGCCATGTAATGTTTCTTTGTAAAATATTTTCAAAAATCTTTTCTGGCGTGTCATCATTAAAAGGAGGGATGCCCACCAAGAATTCGTAAGTGATCACCCCTAAACTCCATTGATCAAGGGATTCGTTGCTTATAGACTCTCCACTAATGACCTCAGGAGCAATATAATCTGGAGTGCCAACAACTCTATGTTTATTATGATTGCTGGCCTTAATCGAAATGCAATGATCAAACCTTGGAGACTTTGGTTCACTGCTTACCAAATCCTTAATTTTATTATCCAACTATTGTTACAACTTAAGTGCTTAACTAGGTTCAGATTGTTTCATATATAATTTCATTCCTATTTCCGATAATCCAAAATCCGTTAACTTTAAATGGCCTTTGCCATCAATCAAGATGTTTTGTGGTTTCAAATCCCTGTGAATGATTTGTTTTTTGTGTAGAGCCTCTATTGCCAACAGTAATTCTCCGAGGTAAAACTTAGCTATGGGTTCATCCAAAGCTCCATATTTTCTTAAAATTTTATCAAAATCACCTCCCTTTACATATTCAAGGACATAAAACAAACAATCCGAATGACTGAAGGAATAGTAAGCTTTTGCCACGAAATCCCCTTCAAGAACTGAAAATATAGTACTTTCAGCTTTTAGAGTTTCAAAAAAGTTTTGACTCGATTACTGTTGAGTATCAATCACTTTCATTGCATAAACATCATTTGTTTTTAATTTTCTTACTTTCCAAACTGCTCCATATGCTCCCACACCCAATACTTCTTAGAATTCAAAATCTTTTAATCCCACTGTCATTCTAGAATTAATGATATTATAACATATATTACATCTTTTGATTATATTGTGGAATTCTCAATGTGATTCCAGAATCAGAATAATACCCTCTAATGAACAGATTCTATTGAACATCATCACTATCATCATCTTCTTATTGGGAGTAAATGTGAATGTTTATTAATTGTTATGTATTCTGATTTGCATTCTCTTCAGAAGGAGAGAATGTAATGTATTCTAAAGAATCTATTTTCTATTCTTAAACTGGAGTTTATTGAATTTGATATTAGCATTCTTCCTGATCCTCCTTATACTATCTTTGATTGAATTTAGATGGTTTGACTAAATCCATAATCCTAACCTTTCCTCCACTATGTCCTCCTTTTTTGTTTCGACTATTTAATGAGGTTCCTGCTTATTTATAAGAATTTGATAATCCTTTTTGGAATATTTTCTTTAATTTTTCAATTGATCCACATTGCAATTGCTATTATGCTGCATCAATCTTATTGGCTTACTTATTTAATGCAAGTCGCTATGTAATCAAACTCAAAGATCTCTTCATTAACTCACTTACATCATTCAAATGGTTAATCTCAGGCAACCCCAATTTGATCAATGATTGAAATTTGGCATCAATGTCCAAAACAAATGAGTTATCTTATTTTAATATTTTTTAGCAATATTATTGAGTGACTTTCAGTAAAGATATAGCACATTTTATTTACTTTTGACTATCTGGACTCATGCTCATAGATGACTCTAAACGAGTGAAATTCCTACCTGGTTTTCTTTAATGGAATGTTGGAAATTCACTTATGCTATTGTCTTCTGATATGTTTATTGTTTTTGCTCTCTACAACCCTCTTTATCTCTGATCACTTTATTGAGCAAACTTCGAAAGTGTAATTTATTATTTGCTTCTGTTCATTACTGGACTGTTTTAATGACTTAAATTTTTCTCTGACATCCTTTATTTGGTATACAAATTTATTTTGGTTATGAGTTCAATTTCCTTATTGTTAATTTCCTCTGATAACTCCTGGATCTTATCCTGTATTGCATAAATGTCCTAATTAAGCATGTGTTTTTTCAAGCATAATTGTGAATGTTCCTCTACAATGCTGAGCAATATTTCTTTTTCACATATGCAGCACACCATTTTTTGAGGATGCAACCTGAACATTAATTCAGAATAGAGCACTATTTTATATCGCTTCCCTTCTATCTATTGAATAGCCTATAAATTCAATTAGGGAAATCTTGAAATTCGATTATTGATTATTTTTTGATAATAGTTTTCATATTTACTTTTGGTTATCTATTGTTATGATAATTTGGGCCACATTCTAGTCAAATTTCTATACCCATAACATTGTCGAATTATAGTGTGCAATGTTTATTATAAAAAGTCTTCGGTGTCAAAAATTCTTGCCCTAGATATGTCATATAGTGGATAAGTCTCTTAAGAATCACTATCATTAGGATATACAGACAAAATTTCTAATTTATTCTAATTTTTCATATTTTTAATATATGAATTTTATATTACATACTCATCATCTATTGCTAATATTTTTTTGTACTAATCATGACCAAACCATTTGATATCAATTATTGTAAACGAGATATGTATTATTTCAGTTTAAAGGTTCTAAATTTATATATAAATTTGTATCCTTAATTTTATACGGTAGCCATAAAACATAATATATATAATAATTGATAAAGTGTAGATAGAATCGATCAATTTATTAATGTACTCAATAAAAGCCCAGTGTATTTTTAAGAATATAAATTTAATATTATCTAAACAGTGTTAAATTATTCATTTTGTTTATAATTCAAAATCTTATGTCTTCCTTTTTTCGATTTATAATAATTCATATGGTTTTGGTGGTTTCCTTACAAGCAAATAGATTAAAACTAACCCAGCCCATGAAAGTAATGCTATAACAAACACATTATAATCAAAGAACCAAGTAAAGAAATACAAATATTAAATCTAGCCCAAGAACATCAATGCGATTTGCGAATTTTAAGTATATTCTGAAAAAGCTTATATGCTGAATTGAGTAACAGCAACAGAAGTAATAAGTAATAGGTTTGCGTTGAAAAGGAAACTGTTCATAAAGGTCTCATTTACTTTCATCGGATAGATTGTGAATAGGAAAGGAATTCTGAGTCCAAACTTCAAGTTGCCCTTGTAGGTACAACCCAATAAATATAAGGTAAAGAGAGCTAACAAAATGGTTCCAATGAATGACATCACTGTTCCCTCCAAATAGATGAACATCTTGTTCAAAAAACTATAGGCAGGAAATCCGTTGATTTTGATGAGCATATACAACAATCTAATATGAATAAAAAGATGCAATACATTTATAAAATCCATAACAATGACAAAATTATGAATATAATACCTAAGATTAGTTTGAAGATCCAAACAACAGGATTGAGCTTCTAGTATTCTAATTCCATTTTAAATATTTCATGTTCATTTTCAAGTGCTTCAGTTGCAGCCTAAAACTTTTTCGCTTTTTATTTAATTTAATTTTTGACTTTTCGTTCAGCCAAAAATCCGTTTACTAAGGCCAACTCTTTTTCTTCCTCCTTGATTTATTAACCAAATTATATCAAATCAACTGCTTATTTCTTTAATCTCATCTTTTTTTCCATTGCCTCCGATGATTTCATCATTTTAGGTTTGTTGATGTATTCCTAAATCAAATCTATAGGCAGTGCAGAAAGACCAACTCCACCAAACAACACTAACAAAAACCAGCCAATGAATGCCAAGAATCCCATCAAAAACACAGGAAAGGATACTGAAATCTCTACATTAGTATCACTTTCAATCTAATTGTAATGCATTTGATACCTAATTGAAAGCATAATTGTTCAACACAATGGGAAATGTAGCTGAAATCTAACTGTCAAAGGTTTAAGTGATTGTATGAACAGGTATCCTTGCAGTTCCAAGATAGGTGAATCCAACCAATAATAAAGTTAATAGCACACCCAATAATATGAATTCGTAGCACATAACTTCGAGCAATCGTTTCATTATTGGCTTATCCTCATCACTTTCATAATAAAATTGAGCGCATGGAATTAGAAATGCTACCATTCCCAAGATCGTGCAATATATGACATACCACACAATCATCATGGAATCCCCTTCAGTAGTAAAAACACCCCTAAATCATTTATCATAATACTTAGATGCCGAGATGTCTGCTGATACTAGTAGGATTTGTCCCCAAGCTAAAGTGAAACCAAGTACTACTAATATTTTACAAAATAGAGACGCTCCAAATCCAGAATCAGATGCTAAATGTATATCACATTAATGATATACGATGACAATATAGGGCTAGTATATAAATGTTGATTCCCAGCAGCAGAACGGCTATTATACAAGAGATTATTATTAAAAATACGTCCATTCTTATTCTATATTTTAATTAATTTATTTTATAACATGTATTACAAATATGGGTCATCAAACAAAAAGTGTATGACTCCTCTCTCTTCATTTTATCGTATTCATTTGGAATTCAAATTCTTCAGAATTCCTCAATTTGAAAATTGGATAATTCCTATAAAAATTATTATATAAATTTTAAGCAAACAATTATCAAGTTAATATTAATATATTTTCTTTATAAGTATTAAAATCCAATAAGTTATAATTTATTAGTTAGTCATTATAGAGAATAATTAATTCTCAAGTTCCATCAATTTAAGTTAAATAATTTAGTTACCAAGTATTTAATAATGATAAAGGATCTTAATCCCAGGTAACTGTATTTCTCAAACATTCCTTAGTTCTGAATACAAACACAGTAAGTCATTCTTCTAAATCGCCTATTCTACAATGCAATGGACCAAATCTCCAATTCCTATAGCCACTACAAACCAAATCATTTCTGATGAAGTTAAGCTTATTAATCAGCAAGGAGTGGTCAGATCCAAAACACTTAGAAGTGTTGAAAACTATCTATTTTATGAAACTAAAACGGTAGAGCATTTCACCTTATCATTTTAGGGTAAAACCAAATGGATTGACATAGAAAATGCTATAATAGAACTATTTTATCATTCCAAATATGGCTCAGGTTTGAGACTAATAAAATGTTTCGATGTTGTTGAAATCTATTGTGATGCCAAATCATGGCTTAGCTATCTCAAACGCTTTACTATACAATGCGATTTTAATGCTACATATTTGATAAAAAAGAAAATCGGAAAAGGATAATTTTCAGATGTAAAAATTTTTCACTATTCTCATTTAGGTGTATAAATGCATGAACAAATATGATGGAAACGAATATGCTGTCAAAATTTATAATAAATAAAGTTTTATTTATGAGACCGATAGAGCTGCTTTATTAAAAAGAACTTCGGTTCACAGAAGACTTTAATCTGAATTTGCACTTAAGTTTTATGAGATCTTTGAAAACAGTGAATAGGTGATTATTGTCTTAGAGTTAATTAATGGTGGTAGTCTTATGGATTATATTGCCAGAAATAACTGTTTTCAAGAAGATCAGGCTGCTAAAATCATTTTCAGATTAGTCAAGACTATAAGCTATTTACATTCAAAGAATATTATCCATAGAGACATAAAACCCGAAAACATTGGTTTTAGAATTTTAGATAACGTTGAGACACTTTATTTAATAAAATTTTAATTGGCTGATTTCTATGATCCAGAAACAAACTACGATTATGTTTATTGCGGTACCCCTGATTTCGTTGCACCAGAAATCTTACTTCATCACAATTAGGATTTAAAAGTGGATGTATTTAGTATTGGAGTAATTTTATACATTTTAATGACTGGAACAACTTCATTTGATGGTGACACAAGATTACAGTAAAATGTTGAGGGTGATGTTGATTTCAGTTCAATTAACCTAAGTCCACTTGGCCTTGATTTTCTTACTGGCACATTTTAACCAAACCCCGAAGAAAGATATACCTCTCATCAGTGTCTTAATCATTAGTGGTTTATATAGGAACAATTGGCTAAATTATAGTAAGCTCAAATGAGAAAACCTAATTTGTTCTAAAACCAACAGATTGCTAGAAGAATTAAATAGTCCAAAACATTGACTTTTAGTACTTCCTCTCCTAGAAGTCCACTCTCTATTTAGAGTCCAAGAAATCCTGATTTGCAATAGAATTAAAAATCTCCTTTCAAACTAACTTAATACAATACTGAAAAATCAATTGGACCCTCTGTTCATACCAAAGACTTAACTAGTAATGAAAAACTCTAAACTTAAATTCACGATGACAACTAAAATTAAGAATAAAATAATCTAAAAGCATCCATCTATAGCTAAGCAAGATTATCAATAAAAAAGACTTAATCTTTTGTGATTAAATCGAATTCATCAGCAAAATAATTAAACATTATTAAATCAAAGTAAAAATGATGATATTTCTATAAGTTTTATAATTAATTTTAAGTAATTTCACAAATCTTTAACTACTATTCTTTAGTAGATTTTACCATTAAATTTTATATATAATGTAAAATTAGAATATTAGATCTAAATGCAATTAGAATAACATTATAAGTGCCAATATTTAAAAACTTATTGACAAATAATTTATTACGCTTGCATGTCTTTAAATCTATCGTATTGCATGTTGTTCCTAATTAGGGTTATAAAGAATTATAGTTTTTAATGTGGAATTCTAGAAATTTTAAATTATAAAGAGATTAAAATTTTTAATAGAAATATTAAGTTTTCTAAGATAGGTGCATCATTATTATATTTATATAATAAATTCAGTACTTTTTGGTTGATCTGTCTACCCATTCACCATTATTTAATACTCGACATTTCCCTTTGAATGGATTATTATTTTCATAATGCTTTTCGTGATCTAAATCAGTCAAAGCAACATCGCATTACGCACAAAAAGTATTTCTTCCTTAGCATTCTAGTGAATGACACCTTATGTAATTACATCCATTTTCAGCCCTATGAAATATTTACTCACACCAAGGACATCTACAAAGATTAAGTTTGTTTTTATTATTAATATAAAACTTTATCATCTCCTTTCTTTGCTTTTAAAATTAAAATTTTTCATTCTTCTATTCATGATATCGTTCTTAATGCAATTGATCAATAATTTGTAAGATTTAATCGACATCTGTGCTTTTTTAACAAAGAGGACATCTAAATTCATCTATTAATCTTTCATCAATTTTTGATTCAAAGTATTCCTTAGCACAAACCTTGCAAAACTCATGTTAGCAGTCTGTAATTCGGAAAGGTTCATTTAAAGTTTCCATACAAATCTTACATGTTCTATCTTAATCTTAGCAAAATTCTTGCATAATAGAAAAGCAATAATAAATAAATAATAAATGTATATTTATTATTTGATTGTTGTAAATCATTAGAAAATCCTTTTGGTATTGATAATATAATGGATTATATAAACTAAAAATTGAAATTCTATATGAATTGTTGAAAATAAATTTTCTCTTTTTATAGAATTTCACATTCAATATGATTTTAGGATTATAGGGTTTCATTAATTTCTAAACCAAGCATCCATATATTATTTCTCTTGACTAAACTCTTATTTAGCATACCTTTATAGACTCATTTCTTTTTCTTGGTTCATTAAAAAGTGTAGAGTTTCCATTCTCTATTTGTAGACGCTTAATGCTAATATTTATAAAATTTATTAGTTTTCTGAATTTTCTATTAATGGATATTAGCTTTCATCCAACATTTCTATAGTAGATTTAGCTTACTCATTGTTTTTATTTACAATAATATAAATTAATTTCTAATCTTTTTATTTCTGAGCAGGATTTTTCAAATAGCAGGCTCCTGAAAGTTTTAAAGCTTTAGATAATTCAGAATCAAAAAATAGATCTTATTGTTTTATTTCTTCTTCACATTGAATGCATTTGAATATATCATTATCTTTATCATATTTCTTTAGTATGACCTAGATGACTTCTTACTCATAAACGCATTTTAATGTCTTACACTATGTGCTTCTGATAGGGATCTTTAAAGGGTTTAAAGTGAAGGCACATTTTTTAGATATTTTTCTTTTGACTTCCCACGCAAATTTGGCTTAGCTATTTATTATTTATGTATAGAAATTTTAAGATTTCTAAGTATGACCAACATATGCATCCTACATTTTCTTTTGTTTTAAATATTAATAATAATAAAATAATATAAATATATATCTCCAAGTATTTAAGAATGGTATTTTATTCTAATAGAGCAACAATAATCAATTCTTAAGTAATTAAAGGGAATAAAATGATATATAATATAGGGATATTCAACTATTAAAGGATCTGCTCAATCCTAAAAATCAGTATGAGGATTAAATTTTAAAATTTCCTAAATACCTTCCTATTCCATTAACCAATTTCTCCAATCATCATAACTTAAAACGTTTTGTTTGGATGCATGATTCTAATAGATTTCATTGACAATTTCCTCCAATGCAAGCTCAATCTATCTGTCATGCGATTCACTTATTCTTTATTTTAAATCATTCAAATCTTAATTCTCATAGTTGATAGACATCATGCCCTAATGAATTATTTCATGAATTACTTCTAAAAACATCATCATTAAATTATACATCTCATCTTTTTCTATACTCCCTTCTAAGTTCATATCAAACATGGAATACAAAAATCTTAATCTCCCCTCATCGTTTTATTAAGACAGCATCGATATAGCTTTTAGAAACTTGGCATAATCTAAGAATGGTCTAAATCACATCTATACTAATTAATATACCCTGTTTTTTTCTGAGAGAATGTTGATTTAACACATTAAAAAATCCTATTTCCAAGTCTTTTATTATCTAGTTCTGCCATCCCAAAATATTCAAGCAACTTTTTTCTGCTCATTTTATTCTCTTTGGAATAGGACTCAAAGTCTTCCCGAACTCTTTGCAATTTCTCTTTCGAAAAAACTGTTTCTTCTAAAAAGATAATTTCCTTTTGAATATTCTCTACATTATGTTAGTCTTCCTTGAATTATTATAACTTATTTCGTCCTCCTTAATTGTCATCATCTAGATCTTCTCCTTCATTTGCATTTTTCAAATATGCCTTCAATTTACTTTCCACAGCTAAAGTTGTTCCTTCTCTATAAGGAGCAATAACATTCGATTAACTTTAATCTTTTTTAAATTATTTATCATTAGTTGTCATTTGTCTCTGAAATTTACTCTAATTCACTGAGGGTTTATTTCCCATATTATTAATTAACTATATTATAAAATTATTTCATTGAAACTTTTATATTCTCAAACTAAAATTCAAATTTTTAGTAAATTACATATTATTTTGATTGTTGTATTCTTAGGACTTGTAATTTTAAAAAAAGTAACTAAGTATTATAATAATTAATTAACAATTTACTTTATAATGGATGATTCTTTTGAAATAAATCACGAATCGGAGGAATTATCAGAAGAATCAGTCAGAGATGAAGATAACTTTATAGAAAGAGTGAATCAGTTAAAGAAGATTGTGCCAAATAAATAGGATGACTTTGCAATTATGGAAGAAGGATTGCCAGATGATTTATTGGAATTACAAGAAAAAATATAAAGAAAGTAATAAAAAAAGATTGAACAAAAACCAAAAAAGCAAAGCTATGTTCCTGTTAACCAAATACGAACCACTCTTATTATCCATTTATTTAAGTTATTTCGAGATCATAAAACTATGAACAATTAAACTGAATTCGCATTCAAATTATCTAATTTTTTATATCCCACCATAGAAATGATTGAAACAAAACTAAATTAAGCCAAAAATTTATAAGAACAAGTTTCTGCTCTTTACTAAGGTTTTGCGTTGACTTTCTAATTGAAAAACCAATTCTCCAAAATTACACAAATTTGCAATTTGAGCCCTTCAGAATATATCATAACTTTTGCATAATTATGTAAGTATTATGGACTGAATGTAAGGTTGGTAAGAGCATTTGATCTTGGATTTTTGGGCTTGGAACTAAAATTTAAGATTCGTACAATAAAGAAAACAGACTAAGAGAGTGAGGAGACAGAGCAGAATAGCAAAACAATATTTGATCTAAACTCTTAATTTATGACTTAATCAGACAATATTGAGTCTTTAAATAAGTTTATTTTTTAAAAATCCAATAAGAAAGATAAAACATTAATAGTATCATAAGAATTATAACAATAATAACAATAATAAAACGAGGGTAAAAGTTAACTAGATCTCTAGTAATTAAAAAAGTCTAAAAAGAAGGATAATAAAAAATAACTAAATGAAAGATAAATCAATTAGGATATCTAAACATTTAATTAGAATATTTGGCTTGAGTTTTATGATTCTAATTCTAACTCATGGATCCCATTTGATCCAATATCAGATAAATTTGTGTTGATGGATATAAACATCTTAAAAACAAAGCTTCAAAATAGTTTCAGTCATTTTATTATTGCTGCTTAAGATTTAACATTTAAAGACCCTAATTTTCACATAAATAGATTATTTGACAATACTCATTTCGTGGACGTCACATTAAAGTATTCTTACAATTTTTTTGTACAAAGATGTCAATTGTCACTTGAGAGATGGTTCAATTAATTAGCTTACAATTCAAGTATTTGAATTATATATTTTAGAATTAATCTACAAAGGACTTTAATAATTAGTGAATGAACCTGTTAGTGCCAATATAATAGTGCCATCTCCAGATAGTTATACTAATGAAAAGGAATTTAAATATAGTTAATTTTATGCTCTAGCATCATAACTTTCACAATATTAGATGATACATCCAGATGCAAAACCAATCGGAGTTAAATTCAAAGATGAAGACATTTATTCATAAAGTGATGCAATCATTCTTCATTCCAGAGATAAATGGAGAGAATATTTAAGAGAAGTTAAGCCTGATTCATAACCAATCAAAGAGGTCAGTTAAAAATTTGATAAAACTAAAACTACAGCTCTATTTGCCATTTGGTAGACTAATGATATCAAAGTAAGTTTGGAAGAAAATGATGGAAATTTGCCATTTAATGCTTATGGGAACTATGAAGTATAAAATCCTAATTTATTAGACTTTTTCTTTTCCTCCTCCTAGAGGTACTAGACTTGTTAGATTGCAAGGAATCAAGCATTTACTATCGAAGAATAATATCAAGTTTGTTGAAGCAGTGGATGGGTTTGATTCATAGAATGGCAAAATGTTTGCTCAAAAATGTGGTTATTTAATTTTTAATGAGGATTACGAGAGGATTATTGCCCTTTATGAGTAATTCAAAATTGAAATAAATGAAAAGAACAAAATTAATAAAAAAAAAGAATTACTTAAATAATGGAGCGATCTATTTAAAACTATTCTATTAAAAAGAGATTTACAAGCAAAGTACTAATAAATAAATTGACAAAATTTATGTGTGATGATATTTTATTGCATTTTCTTAAGTCATATAATTTGCTTAAACATTAAGCCGATGAAGGAATTTTGCAAATTTTATAAATATTGTACAAACACTAATATATCAACATCATTAATTTTCCTCTTCTTCCTCTAAGCTCTCATCTCCACCTTCCTCTTCATCTAATTCTTATTGTTGCATCTCAGCAATATACTCATGGTCTTCCTTCAACAATACATCTAATAAAATCTCTAAACATTCTGTTGTAAATTCAAGTGATTTGCAACACTAATTAACAGCATCTCTCAAGAATTCTAAAACATATTAATTCTATAATGTTACATGGAGATTTAGTTAACAGTTAAATAAAAACCTCAGTTAGGACAACTTTTGCCTTCTCTGGATTAGTCTTTACTTTCTTTTTTATTTATGGTTCTTCATCTTGAATGTCACCTGCGATGTGTTGGAACTCTTCCAAAATTTATAATCCTTCTTCTTCATTGAGAAATGAAAACATAAGGATTGAATTGACTAAATGCTTGATACACTCTTTAGGTTATTTGCCAGTAATCAATTTATATTATTTAATTAAATCTGATTTTTTAAGTTATTTTAATAAGGACTTTGTCAACTCATCAAAATCTTTCACGTTCTACTTATCATATAAAATAGTTACAGCAGCAACTTTTCCAACAAGTGAATAAAAGAAACTCTAACATTAATCTAAAAACTTTTTCTTTATCTCTTCAAATTGGTATGCTTGCTTAGACTCGTCATCTAATTGCTCGTAAATCTATTCAAAATTTATGCAACCAATTTCATAAATATACTTTATCATAGATGTCAAGACTTTAATGTTTGTATTACTTACAGTGGCAAGGACATATATTTCATTTAAATAATAGAGTTTATTTATTGGATCAGTAGAGGATTGCTCTTGTTATTTCATGTTCTCAAAATATTGATCTATTTCCTCTTCTGTGAATTTTGCTAATATTTTTTATGCAATTCCATTCTTAGGATGAATTCGATAACCATAAATACTTCTAAGGTAAACTACATCCTCAAAAGTGGTCTCTCTTTAAGTCAAGTATTATTCAATCTTATTTGCTAGTCTTTTCATAACGGAATTTGAATTTCCAAATTATCTGTACCATAATTCAACTAATTATTAATTTCTCATAAGAGATAGGGGAACAGAAGTTGATTTTAGGAAATATTTAAAAACCGATAGAATGATGTAGTTTAACTTTCTTAAGTCTTCTTGTTAGAAAAGGTATTCCCAGAATTCAGCAAAGATTTTTGAATTTTCAGAAGATTGGCTAAACTATAATTATAAGCCAGATATCATACTTTTCCCAAATAGATAGCTAAGTATTAATAGAAAAGCTATTTCTTTGGAAATAGGTCATTGGCCTATTCTAAGAGTTTATGGAATTTCTATCTATCGAAAATTTATTCCTAAAGATATTTATCCCATTGGAACTATCCTTTTTGACTCAATTGTTGAAGTTTGACTAAGATACAAAAAACTCTTGGTGTCAAATTTTAAAGTTCATTTTTTATTGAATTGCTAACTTATTTGACATTTTCAGGTTTACTAAGTAATTTAATAATTAATACAGATGCTTCAATAAGACATAGGTTAGGTATTCTGAATCCTCAGTTTTTCTATCTTCAAGTATAATATTTAATAAGTTCTAAAAATCTAGGTATGAATAGACCAAATATTTGGTTAGCATAAAATGCTTAAACTCACTTTTACCATATGAGTTCTTTTTGCTCAAAGTTTATTAGAGCTGATCGAAAATGGCTTTAGGTTGCAATTTTTGATGTTTAGATGAGTACTTCTAAATTAGTTGCTTTAATAGTAAGGCATAATTGATAGTAGTGTCATAATCTGTTGATTGCAAACAATTCATAATTTTGGATAATACAAAGGTTATATCATCTTCTTTTACTCTTTCTAAAATTTATTCACTTGTCTAGAACACTAATTTTGGATCATTAAGTTTAGAGTATTTTTCGAAAAGCTGAATAATTTATTTGTCTTACATTATAATTTTATTTATTAAAAATATTTGGTATAAACAATGAATATTTGTATATTTTATATATATTTCCTAGAAAACCATCTCATTTCTTCTTATTTTAGACAGTGTTACTAGGTTTCTTTATTGATACAGATTGTTGAGGAATTTAAGCTTGTGATGGCATTTTCTCATTAACTATGTCAGCAGTTTTTGCGATATTAAAATCAGCAAGAGCTTTAAAAAATAGAACAACATTTAATACCATCAGTAATTGCTGTTTTGCCAGCTGATAATATTCCTTTGGGTAATCTTTTATCAGGACAAGCACCTTTTAATTTCATAATGCTTTCACTTTGTTCTCTTAGTGTTTTTTACATCTTCATCATTGTTGCTACAAACTTTAATTTGTTTTTTAATTTCTCAGTGCCTTGTATTAAAAACACACATACTTTTTCCTGTGCTTCCCGTAGATTATTGCTTGTTGAATTATTTGTTTTGCTAGGTTAATATTTTAAAATGTTCAATATCTTCTTAATTGATATCCTCATCATCATCTCCTTAATCCCCTGCTTAAATTAAATTATATAACATTTCTGTGATTTTTTCAGCTACAAAAGGAATGGACCAAGTAAAAATATCCATAAAATTTGGTAGCAAATATGGGTGAGGAGTATACTAAAATTGTTGAATATTCAAAGTATTATTCTAAATTTAATTAAATCAGATTTACTTCAAATTTAATAACAGCACCTCTATTATTATAAACATCGCAATAATTTGGAGCACTAAATATTGTAATAACGACTGGAAAATCTTGTCCTCCATTCCATCTGTGCATCTTGTAGCCATCAAGTTGTGCCTACAAGTTTAAGATTTTATTGAACCTCATGAGCTCTTATTATACTTATTAGATTGTTTCTTTATAGAAATTTATTGCTAGCTTCATTTCCAAAAAACCAACTGCATCCTCTGACTTCGTTTCCTTTCCATTATCCATCCAAATTGCCTTAATCTTAATCTACAGGATCACTCCACAGAATATCACAAAATAAACCACTTCTAGGCGGTTCATGATATCTGTCTAATTTTTTTAAGTCTTCTATCTTTTATGTTGGTAAAATGAGTTACAGATTTTAAATCAGGTGATATACCACCATGAACAGCTATGAATTTCGAATTTATGATGCATGATAATGGAAACAAATCAAAAGAATCCATAAGCATCTCATAAGTTTCTTAATCATATTTATACAAACCTAAAGCTTACATTAAATGTACATTCATCTTTGAAATTGAAAAACGCTGTCAGTTATCTGCATTCATGATTTCCACGTAAAAAGTATACAGTATTTGGATAATTTATTTTTATTGCATAAAGTAAAATCACTACTTCGATTGAATATGATCCTCTATCAACAAAATCTCCGAGAAATAAATATCTTAATTAATGAAAACATTCTTTTACTTTGTCGTTTCAGGATTTCCTCCAACCTTAGGTTCAAGTAATTTTAACAAATCATAATATTGACTTCATTTAATACTATAAATACCCATGAATATCGCCTACAACAGTAAGTGGATCTTACAAATAAATTACATTTCCTTCATTTTCTAATAATCATTTTATCAATTTACTCAATAATTTATTGCAATCTGCTACCAATTTGAATAATTCCTCCTTTGCAACTCTTCCCTCCTTTTAAAGATGATCCTTTAACAACTTCCAATCAGGTTTATCTAATTATTTTTACTTTATTGTCATACTCTTTAATTTATCAGGAAACATCAAATTTTTAGCCAATGGACGATGAGGAGGTGGCTTCAGTGTTTTTACTTATCTGTCATTTGCGGGATCCTTTAGACTGTCCATGTTTTTATTAATAATATATTTATTATTTTATTGTTTATTCTTAATCAAATGCTCAACTTCTGCAACTCTGATCTCAATTTATTAACTCTTGACAATAATGAACAATCCAAGAATTTGTTGCCAGAATACATTTATAAACCTCCCAAAATGGATGGGTCAACTTTATATTAAACAGAGAATTGAACATTAGGACTCGATTCCTTCAAGGCTCCAACAACTTAGGCTCTACATCATCAGCATAAATGCATACCTTTATTCTTCAGATAATGTTTCTGCTGATATTATTGTAATATTTTCTTCTTTGTTAAAGATTCTATAATATTCGATATATTTCTCAGCAGTCTTAGTCAAATATGAAATTCTTTGACTGTCAATCATCGTATTTAATAAATTTATTGTGACCTCGTGGAAGCCTTCCTACACATATATCAAAATCTCTTTACTTTTGTTAATGCTTAAATTACATTTCTTTATTGATTTCTCTTATATGCAGAGTTTAATAAGAAGCCTGCGAATACTGGACTCTTTTCAGCTAAATCCTTGAAGTACTTCATATCCTAAAGCACTAAATGAAGAGCTTCCCTTTAGGATGCAGTAGAGAAAAGCACTCCAGCATATTTTCCTTAGACAGTATCTTCGAAAGAGGGTGGCTTATGTCCTAGACCTTTCAATGCTAAATACCTGCTACTGATTTTATTTCTGCCTCAGCCTTGCTGCTAGCAACTGCATATCTGAAGCAAGCTCTTTGAATTAATTTAAACATATTTAATTATGATTTTTATATAAAGGATTCATGAATTTTAGGATGGATGAATTAAACTATTTCTAAAAGGCATTCTTTTTGAGTTTTTAAAAGTATCTATGCTTTTCTCTCAAAATTAATCAAAAACTACTTACTATTACTTACATATAAATATATAATTAATTCTTCACATGTTTTTTATATAAATGAAATTCACATTGTATTATATATTATCTATTTAATTAATTCACAATAAATAAAGTATAAAAAGCACCGCAAAAAACAACACAAATCAGAAAGCAAAGTATTCTATCTGAATGATGAAACTAGAATTTTAAATAGCAATTATACTCCAAACCAATTTTATTGTCTGTTTTACTATATCGCTAAATTTGTCATAATCATTATTGAATCCGTTTCATTCTTGAGATAAGCGTTTATGTTTAGGGCGGAATGTTTTTACTTTTGTACTTAATCTAGCAACTTATCTTATTTTACAATGTTTTCGACTTCCAAATTCTCTTAGAGAATATTGTTATTTTTTTTTGTAAAATTATTATAATAACACGTATATTTATACTTAATTTTTTACAATGAAATCAAATAAATATTTAATTAAATGAAGTTAAATGCAGAATAGTTATCCGAAATTAAATAGGAACTCAAGAAATTTTCTTCAGCCCAAATTTCAAAATCATATAAATTAATTGCTTAGATTTATAAGAGTGATATTGAGACTTAAGCATTAATTGATAGTGAGATAACAAAAAGCATTGTACGCATAGGATAGAAAAAATACACAGAAGAAGATGAGGAGAAATACGCTAAGGCAATTAAAATATGTAGAAAATTAGTGAAATCTTGGAAACAATTAATATTAACAAATGATCAAGCTGTCACAGATGATATCAGAAAACGCGAGTCTAAGAAAGAAGGGCAGAATAATGAATAAAAATAAAAACATATCAAACCAGAAGAACCTATTATCTAAAAAAAAGTGAGATAAGAACAAGAGAAAAAGGAAATTAAACCAATTTAGCATAAAAATGGAACCTCCCATAGTACCAAATAATAAAACAATGATAGTTAAAATGGGAATGGTGAATCTGTTGATGATGATAAAAGAAAAAAGGCAGTTGAAGGATTAAAGAAATATTTCTTACAGTAGACCGGAAAAGAAGAGGTGGAATGGTCAAAAAAGATTGAACAAACCATTTATGACCTTAACAAAAAATCAGTTTAGAACTATATGGATAAGGTTAAATCAGCTGTTAAATAGATTGATAGAAATGCTGAATTCAGAAATAGATTGCTGAATGGTGAATATGATCTTGTGTCTGAAATCAATAATTTAAAATGAAAAACAAGAAAGAGTATAAAATTTATTTTGTTATTTTTAAAACATTGCCCTAAGTGTATTTTTCACTTTATGAACATCATTGTTATTATAAATAAGACTGATTATTTTGAACTCTCTTTAGATAATTAATATCTTTAGATAGTCATATTTTTGGGTTTGTTTTCGTTTCTTTTAATTTAATCTATTAGATGTAGCATGATAATCCCATCATGAATTTAATTATTTAAAATATATTCCAGAGATAAATCGGAATATTTACCATATGTCCAACCTTTATCATTAAAATGCAAATAATAAAATCATTTTTAAAGTTTAGCTTTCCCGCTTAGAATATATTGAAGATAAGTTTTCTTATTCAAGAATTTGTCATGTTGACTTTCATGCTTGGGTAATTTTGATTGAGACTTGATGGTTTATATTTTTTATGGATCCTTAAAGGTATTTTAACTAACTATTTTTTATATTTTGGATTTTGCAGCTGGACTTGGAACTAATAATTCCTAAAAATTCAACAAAATAAAATACACAAGAAGCTTCTTTCTTTTTTAAACTTTCAGCCCTTGTTATATTGACTGATTTATTGCCATATTATAGTTTGGAACTATTTTATACTGTAATTTAGCCATTACTTGTACCTAATTTAGCTTTTTACATTTTAATCATATTTTCTATCGATTTAAATTTTTCGAAAGCACTCATCTTCTAATTTTGATTATCCTCACTTACCTTTTTCTTGACTTCCTGCTTTATGATTTATTATTTGTTTTCCGAATTATTATTAGAACCTTCAATGGAATCCCCCTTTTTGTTTCTTTTTTCTAAAGCACTTGTAGGAGTAGTTGATTACTAAATTGCACTTGAAGGCTTCATAGCATTTGTAGGAGATTAATGTGAACTAAACCAATTTTATTGTTAAATTTATTGTGTGTTTTTTTGATTGATGTGCTAATAAAGTGCTGTCATATATTCTTCTATACTATATTATACATTGTCATCCATAAAGGTTTGAATTGGAAAATCTAGTACAAATTTGTTAAATAATTTACCTATTACAGTTTCTTCCTCTGAACCTGCAAATTCTGCAATATAGGGATGAGCTAATGCCTATTGCACAGTCAATCTTTTTTAAGGATTAAAGACTAACAAATTTTTAAGGAAACTTAAAGTGTCATCACTCTCTTAACTAAATACAGTCTTAAAGTTCTTTGGCTTCACATATTGAAAGTCATCTAAGATATGCTTTGCCAAAGGGGCTGCAATCGATTTGATATCTTCCTCTGTTGGAGTACCCAATATTTCTAAGATCATTTCAACTTGATTCGTTGTTGAAGTTCCTGGAAATATTGCCTTCCCTAGAATCATCTCTCCCAATATACATCCTATACTCCACATGTCTACCGCTTTTGAGTATTTTTGAGAACCTAAAAGTATTTCTGGTGCTCTATACCATCTAGTAGCCACATATTCGGTTAATATGGGAACTTGTAAAAATTCTAATTTTATATTTACCATCATCTTCGCTTGATGCATTCACTGTTCTCGCCAATCCAAAGTCTGCTAACTTTACTATACAATCAGCATTAATTAATAAATTTGCTGGTTTTAGATCTCTATGAATAATGTCACCCGAATGCAAAAATTTAATTGCCTTTAATAATTAATAGACAACAAATTTTTTGTGGATTGGTTATAGTATATTTGCTCTTATAACCTAATTTTATTGAGACTAAATACTTTATGCAGGTCTGTTTCCATGTATTCAAAGACCATGTACAAGTCCCTATTATTTTATGCTTTTATCACTTAAAGCAATTTAATGATATTCGCATTTTTTGATACTTGTTCCAAAAAGATTACTTCTCTAAATGTTCTTTATGAGTCAGTTTTATTGTGAAACGCATCAAATACCTAAGCGATATCATTATTTAAACACTTTTTTTAAAGCAACTATTGATTTAGTTTATTTATCATGTGCTTTCCAAACCACTCCATATGCACCTTTACCCTTAAATTCTAGAAGTGTAAATCTCTATAAAATATGATCTTCAAATTAAGATTATTTATCATTCTCCATTTCGTTATTTTTAAATATTATAGACAATAAATTGAGAAAATATGACAATATTATTCAAACGAATCAAAAGAAAAGATTCAATTGTATACTCTAAATCAATTTGATATTAAAATATCATTTTATTTCGATTGTTGTTCTTGCTGAGCAAATTCCTTATGATAACGATAGTAAATTTTACTTTTACTAATGAATTAAGTTCCTCCTTAAGCAACTCTACTTTCGCATGTGTTTCCATTCTTCTATTGTCACTGTTGTCAAGATAGGATCTATATATTCATAAATTTATCACTTTAAAAGTTATCGAAGTCTTTTATTTTCCTCCTTTACTTTTTTAAGCTTTTTTGTTTGATATTTTATTTTTTCAGATTCTGATTGAATCAGGGGATCATTTACTATTTTTTCAAATTCACAGTTTAGAGTTTACAAGCATTCTTTACATTTTTGATAAGATGCATGAAGTTATTTATTTTCTTCTATTAATTCTTCAATATCTCGAAGATTTAATGCTAATTTATTTTGCAGATAATATTACAATTTTATATCAATTTAACTCCAAATTCCTTGCCAAATTTAGATGGTATTTCAAATATTTCATATGATTAAGAGGAGATGCAAAGTATTTAATTTAAGACTTAATTCTTTGTCAAATAGTAGGTATAAATACAATTTAATTTTCGTGTTTCACTACAAAAGCAGGCAACATAATAGAGACAAATATTCCCTCTGACATTATTATAATATATGAGTTAATGGAAAAATAATTAATCTAATAATAAAAATTAATATATGAATTCTAGTGAATCAGAAGACCAAGATGTTAATATTGAAGAAGAAGAATTGAGCAAGCCAATCATACTTGCATAGGCTACCAAAGGAATGGAAATTCAAGTACTTATTAATTATATCTATGTAAAACAGGAAAATTCAGATCCATTCAATGGAACCTTTGTGTTTTTTGATGAAGATCACACACTCGGAAATTCCTTACGTTACATTTTAGCAAATTAACCAAACGTTGAATTTTGTGGATACAGTTTACCTCATCCCAGCGAAAATAAGATGAATATGAGATTGTAGACAGTAAATGAGACAAAAGAGAAAGTCATGAATGATGGATTAAAATGCTTATCACAAATTTGCGACATAATTGAAGATAAATTCAAACAAGCTTTGGAAAAGAAATGATTTTCTTATCTTAGTGTTTTTGCTATCTATGTAATAAGAATGGAATTTGCATTATTATTATATATAGTAAATTATCTTCTTTAACTCATTGATTCAAGTCCTAAATCGGCATGACTTTTAGGTGTTCTCTAGTTCAGATTGCAATCTCCCTTTAGCCTATAATAATTTGCCTATTAAAAATTTAATCTCATTATTGATATGCACACTTTTCGGAGGGTATTGATTCTCTTTATTCTACTGCTATTAAAAATATTACATTTTTTGTAGTGACAGAATCATTTTATAGGGAATCCTCCTAGCCATTATACCTTGCTTTAATAGACTCAATATGATTGCTATGTGAGTCATTATTCCTTAGAGTTGTCCATGGTTATTGATATAAGCTGTGTTTCAAATTATTCAATTAACTTTAAGTAAATGCAGGCACTTTAAAATGTGAGAATGATGTATTATTATGAGTCTTCTATTGAGTTGATAGCTAAGTGCCTTACTTTAAATTACAATAATCATGTTATCCTAACATTTTACTAAGATTAGCTGCTGATTATAAAGGGTTTTTAGTGATTCCTTATTATGAATATGATCTCATTTATTCTAAATCATTGCTGTATCTTGTAGTCAATTAATGCGACATCTTATGCTTGATAAACTCATCTCCATTCTCCATTTCATCTTAAAAGATACAAGCCTCTTACAAATACTGGTTTATATTATTATTTTGTTGTAATGAATTAGTGGACTAAGATTTCGATTTTTTGGTCATTTTATTATTATATTCATCAATTGATATTGGTATAGTATCTTAATTATTAGGCTTAATTTTTTCAAAAGACAAGTTATTTTTAAAAATTTACTATTTTTACTTTTCATTTGATTTGTTGAAAGTGTTTGTTTAGATCTTTGGTTACTATATTGTCGACTTGCTTTCAGGTTAGGGAATATGAATGCTCTTGCATTAAATAGGACTGTCTTGAGAAATCATAGTATTTCTTAATTTTACGACTTCAACACTTTTCTTTTTTGAATTAGCATCACAATTATTTTAAGTGCTAATATTATAAATAGTAACTTTACTTTATTTGATCTTCCAATTATTTTTTCAAAACACTTCTTTCTTATTAAAACGATATCTGTTATTCCTCAATCTACTATTTTAATTAAGCTATTTCTTCTTCATATTTTTATTGCATTTACTAATTCTCTTAGTTAGATTCGATATGATCTTAGTATTTTTTAATTGTATTTTAACTTTTTAATAGCCTTTGCTGTAATTGATCCTTTTCTTTTTCATACAGCTAAGCCAACTATTGATATCTTTAATCATAGTCTGATTGCTTCTCCTACATATCTTTAAAGGAACCATCTTTAATTTTTTATATCTCCTACTCGCACTGTAATTTTAGTAGTTACTCTTTGGATTTGTAGTTTTCTTCTAGTTTTTACAATTGCTCTTTTAATGTATTAACTTCCTAATTCAAGTACTATTTGTCCTGCTCTAAAGTTTGGATTTTGTGTTCATTCATAATTTGCTATTTTTATTATAATATTTCAAGATCTTTTAATTAATTTTCTTTATCATTTAATTATTCATTTAAACATCTAAGCTAGACAATATAAATAAGGTTTACTTTCTCTTCTAATTTGGTGACGCACTCTTAATATTTTTTATTGTTGGAAAATTATACTTCCATTGATTTTTGAAATTCAGAATAACTTTTTTGCTTTAATATTTAATGATGAAATCATACTTAAGTTTTACCAGATATATCTATTGCCTAAGTTATAGTATCATTCAGCTTCTTTTAATTTATTTCTCTTGTTTTGTAATCTTCTAATTGTAATTCCAATAATTATATCTTTTATTCATACAGAGCTTTATCTTTTTTCCATTCATGTTCCTTAATAAGAAACTAATGATATTTCCAATGAATTTACATTTTTCTTTAACTAAATACAATCTTCTTATTCATTATTTTCCATTCAAATTTAACGATTAATTAAGAAAAATATAATAGAAAATATTTTACTTAATTAATTCTTAACTTATTGGATTATCTAAATTCACTCTACTAAGCAATTTTGTGTATATAATAAATATGTTTGATAGGAAACTAAATATAACAGGAAATTAATGTCTATGAGAAAATATAACACAGCGAGAATTATATTATTTAAAAAGTTCTTATAAATTAGTTTCAATTAGAATTTGGCTTATTCTTTGAACTAGATAGGGAACAAAAATTAGAGATGAGACTTAAATTAAATTTGATCATAAATCATATAATTTAATAATATTAATATGGGAAATTGTAAAAGTTAATGTGATTAAATGAGTCTAAGTTCATCAGATAATGTTGATTGCACAAGATTAGTAATTCTAGTAAAAACTTGGCAGAAGGACGCCTATTCATTGTTCGATTACGAGAATGCAGCAAATGTACAGGAGTAAAAATTTGCAGTATAATTATAAATTACTCTTTTAGATTAGCAACGAAGGTTATTTAGTTATTCAAAATGATATAGAATGGATAGAGACCAAATCACTAGTTAAGAATCAACTTTGTAAAATAAAGAAAAGAAATGAAAATTATTTTTTAGTAAATCCAAATTTTAACAAAAATTGCAAGAAGTAAGCAATCTAAAAAAATGAAGAGACTAATATGATTATAAACAAGTAATAATAATATAAATTCGAAGAACTGGACTTGAGAAATTTGGGAAGAAGTTTTGGAATGTGATTCATGAGGATGGGATACAGTTGTAGGAAGGAGATGTTATTAAATTAGGAAGAGTGAAATTTTCTATACGCTAGATTGCATTAGAGGTTAAAACATAAGAGTAAAGATGTGATAATGAATCATCGTATTCAATTACATCAGATTAAATTACTTGTAGAATTTGTTGTTCCTCTTAAAATAGTTCCAACAACCCTCTTTTGAATCCCTGCATGTGCAGCGGATCAATTAAGTATGTACATTTGGAATGCTTAAAAATTTGGTTAAGAATGAAGCTAGAAAGTCGATAAAGCGATAATTGCTTAGTTTATTTATGGAAGAACTTGGAGTGCGAGTTATGCAAATATAATTATCCTTCAAAGTTTAAGAGTGATGATACATATTACGATTTAGCAGAATTATGTAAACCGAATGATTCTCCTTATTTAATGATGGAATTTACAAAAAAATAAGTATTTAAATCCTATAACTATTAATAGGGATAATAGTTAGATTGGAACAACAATTCTGGAATTTATATTTGGAAGTTTTAAAATGTATCAGAATTAAGAATTGGAAGGTCAAACGATACTGACATAAGAGTAAATGATATATCAGTCAGTAGAAAACATGCTAAATTAGTTATTAATGATAATAAAGTGTATCTTTTTGATAATCACTCAAAATTTGGTACCTTGAATTTAATAAGATCTGAAAGGATATTAATATAGAGAGGAATGGAAATTTAGATGGGAAGAAGTCTAATTTCATTTTAATGATTTTTTAATTAGTGTTGAAACTTTTTCAAACTTTAAAAGTAGTTTATAAATTGATGATTATCTGATAAACTCAAAGAATTTGATGATTCAATAATAGTAAATGAGTTACTATTTTTTTTTAATTTTTGGTTCTGACCTTTAAGCTTTCTTGTTAAATATGGCATTACATAGGTTCTAAAATTAGATTTATTGAATTCAAAGATAAGTATAAATACTTATCAATTATTAGATTTTATTATTTAAATGTTATTTATATCCCATCATAGTAGTTGATTGATTCTTACAAGTATTGAGAAACATAAAAAAATTACATTTGTGTTGATTGAATAAAATGGCAGATATTTTAAGAATCTCCCATTTTCAATTGAAATCAATGTTATTAGGAGTCCATTACAAACTATATGATAAAATTGGTCTTCAGTATGGAAGAAACTAATTTATAATGCTTTAACCAATTCCAATTTATGAAATCAAGATAAGCATATTATATATTTTATATTAATAATGCAAAACTTTGGATCTAATGTATTACTTATCTAAACTAGAATGACTTGGATGAGAAAGGACATGTCATGACTGATTAACCTAAGATCAAAGTGAAATTTGAACCTAAACCTAAACCTTCAAAATGTCCCATTTGCACAATTGAATTCTATTAGCAATTCTTTAATATTGAATAAAGGGATGTTTACATGAGAGTTCGCTGTTCTATTTTATCTTGGAAACCTGAATTTCATGAATGCGTTGGCAAAAATTCTGATTTGTGGGGACCTTTATGGATTTCAACTACAATTATATTCATCCTATTTGCCGGAGGAAATCTATCTCGCTTTCTATTGGAAGAGGATAAGAGACATTTTAAATACGAATATAATTATATGTATGTTGCTGTGTTTTTAGTATATGCTATGGCATTTATAATACCAATAATATTAGGAGTGATTATAAAATATATTCTAAAAAGTGAATTGGGAGTCTTTGATATAGTCTGTATGTACGGATATTCATTGAGTGTTTATATATTTGTCCTAATTTTATGCATAATTCCGTATAATGAAGCCTAATGGTTCTTTTTGATGTGTGGACTTGCAAACAGCACTATATTCTTGCTGGTTAATTTAAGGGAGTAATATAATTAATTCTATTAATAGTTTTATGAAAAAGAATAAGTAAACTTTGCTAATAGCTGTTCCAATTATAACATTCAACGTAGCTTTAATTCTTTGTTTTAAATTCTACTTTTTCAGACTAATATACGCTGTAGATGATTGAATTATATTATTTATTATTTTAATACATAATTATAAAAGAATAAAATGAGGCGATAGATGAAAAAACTTATGGAGCAAAATGAACCTAAAGAAGTTGTGGATGAATAATTGGTTAAACAAGTTCATCAGGTAGAACAATAGAAAAAATAAAAATAAGTATTTTAAATGATGGAAATGTCAGATTCAGAAGATGAATAGCAACCTGAATAAAAAAATGAAGAAACCCAAACCCAAGAATCGAACTAAACAACATAGCAATAAAACGATCAATCTAACAATAATTAAAAGAAAAAGAAAAATAAAAATAAAAAGAAGAAAGAAAAAAAATAGCAATAAGAAGCAATTTAATAGCCATAACAAAATCAAGATGATGATTTTGAATTTCTTGATAAAATCTAAGCAGAATTAACTCAACAACAACAATAATAATAATTAACATAATTTTAAGAATCATAAGAAAATGGACCTCTGGCTATTAATATCAACAGATTAAACTACAACAAAGAATTGTAATAACACTTTAAAAATGCTAAAATTGCAGGCGGTCAATAAAAGAAAGGACACAAAAATGTCAAACAATCCTACCTCACATATAATCCAGATATCAATATTCCATTGCCTGATAAATTTAGTGTCAAATTTGGAAATTTAAATGAGTAAGGTTTACAACTATTTACTTTGGTTGCATCTCAATAATACGAAAGACTTTAGTAGGATTACACAATTGTTAAAGGTTATTATGATCCATAAGCTATTTTTAATTTCTTATAAATGAATCCCTCTCATTGTGAGGCCTAATTCGATGTTAGTGAATACTTTAGATTAAAAGGAGACTATAAATAAGCTAATGAACTTCTAGAGAGATTGCTTTATATCTATGAAAGCAGTTTAGGTTATGGATTCAATAAATTCTTTGAGGATGCTTCAATCAATCTCGAAATTGAAGACAACATTCACAGCAAAGTATTTCTTATGTCCTTATTTAAATTTACAGACGTATTGACAAGAAAAGGATGTTATAAAGCAGCTTTAGAGTAATCTATATATTTTTATTCAGGTTTTCTAAAATATTACTGAAATTTTGTCCAACAAGAGATCCATGTGGTGCACTATTTCTTCTGGATTGTAATGCACTAAAAGCTTAATAATATGAATACTTGATAAATTTTACTTCCAATTTTGTTAAAAGCGCATATAAAACCAATAGATCTTCTATTGTTTTTATGCCTAATCTGATCTATAATTGCGCATTGGCTAAATTTTTAGAAAAAGGAGAAAATCATCATTATTCTTTTAATGATTAAAATATCACTGAAGCTATTAATAATTTTGGTCCTAATCCTTTATAAGCATCCCATCAAGTCCTTATTATTTAAGCAATTCTTTTATACCCAATTGTTCTTAAATAAATGGCAGAAGCTAATGAATTTATCAAATAAAATGTTGGAAATCTAGACAGCTTTGTAGATAATTAAAGAAAGCCATTTAAAGAATTATTGACTGAGGAATTCTTGTAAAGAGAAACTTATTTACATTGGTTCTTACAACTTGATTCTGAAGATGATAGTGAAGGATTTCTAAAATCAATAAGCATTTTTATTGAAAAAAGCAAATCTCAATGGAAATCGAATGAAATTCTTAAATGGATCAAAGGGTAACTAAATTATAGCTAATATTTAGTGCCTTGGGACTGATTGTTAACCATATAAAAAGGCAAAAGCTAGACCTTAGTTCTTTTTACGAAGATCTCACGGTTGTTAAGGAAGGAACACCAATCTATAATGAAATTCCCTTCCAATATAGAAGATATAAGGAATTATCTAAAAGTCATTTCTTGGAAAATCCAGAAAGGTACTTATTAAATTCATATAGACTCGATTTCAATAATATTTTTGCTGAAAATATTGGTGCCCAATAATAATAGCCCCAGCAATAACTTCCAGCCAATTTCAACCCACTTAATGGAAATCATGGGTTGTTGCAAGCTGTTTTTGGAACATTATTGCCTTGGGTTCATCATCCTAATGCTTAAATGTGATTTATATATAAATGAGGGGTAGATATTTATATTAAATAATCACCTGCAAAAGATTGCAAGGCGAGTCTAAATTGTCTTCTCTAAAAAATTTTAATTCATATAATGATAGATAAAATAGTTATCCAATTTCAAATCTAAAATAACACTATATAAATAATAATTAAAACTACATTTATTGGCTTGATAAATCAAACTTTCAAATACAACGTAACTACTCAAATCAATTAATTAACCATCCTATTTTCTTGGAATGTGACTTGTTTATTAAGTGAAGTATATTTGCACACATTAATACTTATATATACTTAGATTTTATCATTCATAAGATGAATTAGTAAGATTTGGAATCTTACTTCAAATAAATTATAATGTACCTGTTACTTAGGCTCCTTCAAATTAGCTAGAATTTAGCCAGAGCTGGTTGGAAATTTCAAAAAATTAATTGAAGATTTGCGTTAAAATATAATTTTTGGATGTTTTAGAGATAATGGAAAATAAAATAGAATTTTTACAAGAATCATACAAAAATTATACCTAACCTAATTTTCTTTTATGGGTATATTGTTTAAGAAAGTCCTATAAATTATATATAGAATTTTCATAATATCATAATAATGCTAAATCAATAACATAGATTTAAGGTTAAGTGCCTGTTGAGTTTTCAATTTGGATCAAAGAGTTTAATAAATTCTCTTTGGAATCATATTTGCTGTATTGAAAATTCTCATGATGTTGAATGGATTTGAGTAATTCAGATTCTTGAGTAACTTGTGCTTCCCAATTATTTTCCAATTCTCTTATAGTGATTTAATTTTAACTAAACAGGTCTTGAATTTTGATGACTCTATTTTATGCAAATGCTCTTTAAAAGTATGTTAAACCTAACGAATTGGTTTCATTAACCTCTTTCATGTCTTCTAAAATATCTGGAACTGATACTGATTTTTAGTTTAGTTTTAAATTTATTTACTTCATTAAATTGCTAGGTTGTTTTTCTTGAACCTATCTATTCGATTTCATTGAAGAACTATTGTTATTGATTGTACTATAGTCGTTCTCTTTGTTTTCATGATTCTAAGTTTTTATTTTTGTTTTGGTTGAAGGAGTTTTTTGCCTAAATATTCTTGTCTTCTCTGGGGTCTTATAAATTGTTGTGACTATATGTGCTTAAGAGGAATTAGGTCGTGTGGTTGTTAAAGGGTGAGAGTGTTTTCTTCTAGAAATGACGTTGTTATCAGAAGTAGTTAAAATGTTGTTCTTCATAGAGGACTAAAATTTAATTAATAAAACACATTCATTAATTTAAATGAATTATAATGAATTTTACATCTTTTCTTAGAATGAATATTAAACCTAGAATTAACCTTGCATATCATAATGAAAAAGAATAGATTATACGAAGTTAGAAAATATATTTAATAAATAGAAATTATCATTAATGCTAAAATATATATTAAGATTTTCTGTGCCTCTTTAATATGGATTGATAATAAACCTTCTAAATTTATTAGAATGGAATGTGAATGAATTTGTTGTTTTAATGAAATNCTACTCAAATCAATTAATTAACCATCCTATTTTCTTGGAATGTGACTTGTTTATTAAGTGAAGTATATTTGCACACATTAATACTTATATATACTTAGATTTTATCATTCATAAGATGAATTAGTAAGATTTGGAATCTTACTTCAAATAAATTATAATGTACCTGTTACTTAGGCTCCTTCAAATTAGCTAGAATTTAGCCAGAGCTGGTTGGAAATTTCAAAAAATTAATTGAAGATTTGCGTTAAAATATAATTTTTGGATGTTTTAGAGATAATGGAAAATAAAATAGAATTTTTACAAGAATCATACAAAAATTATACCTAACCTAATTTTCTTTTATGGGTATATTGTTTAAGAAAGTCCTATAAATTATATATAGAATTTTCATAATATCATAATAATGCTAAATCAATAACATAGATTTAAGGTTAAGTGCCTGTTGAGTTTTCAATTTGGATCAAAGAGTTTAATAAATTCTCTTTGGAATCATATTTGCTGTATTGAAAATTCTCATGATGTTGAATGGATTTGAGTAATTCAGATTCTTGAGTAACTTGTGCTTCCCAATTATTTTCCAATTCTCTTATAGTGATTTAATTTTAACTAAACAGGTCTTGAATTTTGATGACTCTATTTTATGCAAATGCTCTTTAAAAGTATGTTAAACCTAACGAATTGGTTTCATTAACCTCTTTCATGTCTTCTAAAATATCTGGAACTGATACTGATTTTTAGTTTAGTTTTAAATTTATTTACTTCATTAAATTGCTAGGTTGTTTTTCTTGAACCTATCTATTCGATTTCATTGAAGAACTATTGTTATTGATTGTACTATAGTCGTTCTCTTTGTTTTCATGATTCTAAGTTTTTATTTTTGTTTTGGTTGAAGGAGTTTTTTGCCTAAATATTCTTGTCTTCTCTGGGGTCTTATAAATTGTTGTGACTATATGTGCTTAAGAGGAATTAGGTCGTGTGGTTGTTAAAGGGTGAGAGTGTTTTCTTCTAGAAATGACGTTGTTATCAGAAGTAGTTAAAATGTTGTTCTTCATAGAGGACTAAAATTTAATTAATAAAACACATTCATTAATTTAAATGAATTATAATGAATTTTACATCTTTTCTTAGAATGAATATTAAACCTAGAATTAACCTTGCATATCATAATGAAAAAGAATAGATTATACGAAGTTAGAAAATATATTTAATAAATAGAAATTATCATTAATGCTAAAATATATATTAAGATTTTCTGTGCCTCTTTAATATGGATTGATAATAAACCTTCTAAATTTATTAGAATGGAATGTGAATGAATTTGTTGTTTTAATGAAATATTGGTTTATTTATAAATTAATCTCTTATGGGCAATTTATTCGAGAAACTAAAATCCTTTTTTTCGACATCCAAACTTGAAGTATGCATGGTTGGATTGGAAAATGTAGGAAAGACAACAATGCTTAATTAACTATCAATGGGTGATCCTTCGTTCACAGTGCCTACAGTGGGATTGAATGTTAGGACTGTGAAAAAAGGAGGAGTGACAATGAAAGTATGAATAAAAACGATTAAAAGATATGGGATATTGGAGGATAAGTTTAATATCGACCAGAATGGGGTAATTATGCTCAGGGTTGTGATGCAATAATATTTCTTGTTGATACTTCTAATGTAAGTATTATATACTACAGATAAAGCAAGCAACACTCGGAACATCAAAGAAAGAATTGCATAATTTACTCGATAATAAATCCCTGCGTAATATTCCACTTTTAGTGATTGGAAATAAAATAGATGTAAATCCACATTTGAATGAAAAGCAATTGATAGAAGGTACTTTATTGGTTAGATTAAAAGGTTTGAACTTGGATTACATAACATCTAATGCATGGGCAGTTGCTATGTGCAGCGCTTTGACTGGAAACAATATAACGTAAGTGGTCGATTGGTTAATAGCGAAGTCTAAGAGGCTATGAGTTATTTTAAATATATATCTATGTAAATAATTTATATTCATATATCAGAATGTCCAGAGCAACTTCCACAATCCCTTTAAGTATATTTGAAATTCGGATGCCCCTAATTTCGATTCTCCAAAGATTCTTTCTACAAAAACAATTGGTACCTTTGATTATTTACTTTAAATACATACTTCCTCTACTGTGTATCCATATTGTCTTGCTCTGATGATTATTTCCATTTGAAATGCGTATCCTCTAGAAACTACATCTTTAATAACCTTCTCTAAAACTTCCCTTTTGTAGAGTCTGAAACTTCCTGTTAGATCAGAACACTTGACTCCCAACATTGTGGATGCTAAGAAATTGGCACCTCTGGATGTAAGTTTTCTATCAAATCCCCAATTCATAACACCTCCTTTATTAATGTATCTTGATCCTGTCACAATATCACAATTAGTTGTTTTCTATTTTTGGATGAAATCCACCAAATATTTTGGATGGTGTGATAAATCTGCATCCATAATGACAATAAAATTGCCATGACAAAGTTTGATCCCATCCATATAAGCAGATCCTAAACCCAACTTTTTCTCTCTAAAATGGATGATCAATTTATCCCCATATACTTTCTTCAACTCTTATGCTACTTGTAGAGTACCATCAGGAGAGTTGTCCTCAATTATGATGATCTCAAAATCTAAATTGCTTTTGTAAAATTCACAATTACTTCTTTTTAGCCATTTCAAAGATCAAGTAAGTGATGATAGGTAGATTCTCTCTTTCATTGTAAGTGGGCAGAATTACAGAGTATTTAGACATTATTAATTTTATTAAAAAATAGTTTACCTTTTTTGAATTCAATCTAGAAAACAATATAATCGTGTCATTTTATTACACAAATTTGATTTCTATATAGTAAAGTAGTCTTTTTGTTATTAAAAAAGAATGGATAAAACATGATAAATTAATATAATAATAAATCAATGTAGAGCTATGGCTCCCACATAGATTACTCAGATGATTCAAGTTAAGTGACTGGAATTCAGTCCTATATAACTTAGAATTTTTATATTTAAATTAAATTACTGAATTACTCAAACATGAAAATTTGTGTTGAAATGACAATTATGGCATGGTCAGATTTGTTATTTGATACTACTCCATTCTATATATTTGATTAATAAGCTCTTGAATTCATAATTACTAAATTTATCAAAAAAAGAAGAAAAGTAAGTACTTAACTTTGAATTGAGTATAATATAAAACTATTAACAACATTTTATTAAAGCCCAATTTACACTTTTAAATTGATCTCTTAAGGTCCTCTTGCTAAAACCTGTTATCAGAGATATCAATGTTCTTAAAAAAATTCTATTTAAATTAATGAATTAATTATTAATTTTAATTACAATAGAGATATAGTTTAGTATCTAACTATGGTTTATTAACTTGTATTGATATATGTTACGATGCTCTCTCAAATATATTGAGTAACAAGAAGCATTCACTAAATTAGGTCAAGTTATAAATCTTAACTTTAAAAATAAATGCTTTATTAAATTAAGCATGAAGATCAATTACAAGATAATCTTATTGATTTACTTAATTAAATGTACATAGGGACCACTAGGAAATTAGATAACAAGAAGAAGGAAAAAAAGAGGGTCGTAAATCAAAAAAAAGAAAGTGTACTCTATTTAGAAGGAGAAGGACAAAAAAGAAATAGATGTTAGCTAAGAAAGAAATGGCTAAATAAAGGGATTGTTTAAGAAGGTTTAGGATGAATTACAAAAACATAAGGGGATATGGATAAAAAGACCTTGGCTAAAAATGTAACATATTTATAATAATATTTAAGAAGGGTTAAATTCTTTAACAATATTTTATATCTATTTTAAAGTACTCAAATTACCTCGTGTATTAAAATATTATGAATCTGCTTGAAATGGTATTTTATAATATACCCATTTGATAAACATCTAATTGATACAAGAAATATATCAATACTTATTATCGTAAACCAACAAACTTAGATAGAAAAAGGATAAATTGTTGAAATTTATTAATACAAGATTAAAGACCATACTGTTTTGTGATCAATGTTTGCTGGATCAGCATCATTTTTTTTGGAGAAATGACTAAGAAATAATGTAAAGATTTGATGTTTGTTTATTGGACATCTGGACCAACAAAAAATAAAAATAACTGAAGATGAAGAGTTTTTGATTTTGAGAGTATTGGTCAGTGCATTCATGAGGAAAAGACATTTTTCGTAAGAAGTTACAGGTTCATTTGTAAAAATACTTATTTAACTGGCTAATAATCCAGAAATTATAAAATTCGCATATGGATTATGTTACTGCATTAAATTAGTGATATAGAAGTATTAGAAAACATAAAAGATGTTGAAAGAGGATGATAACGGTTTAGGGATGAATTCTTATAATGTGAAATGCGATGATCCAATATATGCAAATGCTTTAAATTTTTCGATTTTGAGGAAGTAGAGGAGGCGAAGAATGTGTATTGGTTGATATTTAAGATTATAAATACAACAATACGAAAAAATTGATAACCATTGAATCAAAACTACTAAAAAATGAGCCAGTGCCTAAGCATATGCTGAACAAAAGTGGTTATGATGTATATATATTATGATATTGATTAATCACATGTTAGTAAAATAGTCTCCAATTTCTTCTCCTTCAAAATTATCATCTCCGAAGGCATCAAACCTGATTGAGAATATTGATTTTCTAGTTTGGCTGATATTTTCTTAATTGATCATTAATGGGGAACTCTGAGGAGTATGGGACGGAGTTCTACGAGATTTAATTGAATTTGAGGAGATTTCCAATTACTTAATACTGGAAACATCGAACTGTGCTGTGTTGGACTTAATGAATTACTGTTTTCTTTTTGAGTGGAAAAGTTCTTATTTGATTGTAGGATCAGTTTTCATTTTGATTCCAAGGGATCTGAGATAGTTGACAATCTCTATCTCTTATAAGAGAAATGAGTTGTTAGGATTTTGTTTACACAATATATCTAACTCGAAAGAATCGTCCATGAAATAATTAAAATGCTGTAAAAAAGAATTTAATAATGTTTTGGTTAAATTGTAAAGTAGTAGATTTAAAAGGCAGAATCTCTTAAACAGATGTTGGACCCGAAGTTAGAGAAACCGATGATTGTGACTGAGTAAGACAAAGATCATAAATATGTCTAAGATTACACGAAATCACCATCCAAAATGGAATTTGTGGAAGAAGACCCTTTATCGAATGTAATCACGGCCAAAATAGTGAATGAAGATGGCAAAGAGATCACCTACACAACAAATACAAAAACAACTATTGAAATGAAACATAATCCTCTTGCACTTAAGGCGATGACAGAAAGTTAGGTAGCTATCGATTAAGTGAATGTTGTTACCATGAAATCTAATGTAATAGGATAGCAATTCAGATAAGCAGATTTAGGAAGTGTTTTTGTGATGCCAGAAAACACAGTTCACATTAGCGAAGTTGATGTTAATAATATACCAGCAGATAAAGACATTCAATTAGATAGAGAAGAGAAAGTGCTCTACGCTATAGGTACAAAGAGCAATGAAGCAAGTTATTCAGATAAACTAGCATTAAATAATACAATCATCGAAGATGTCACTTTTTAAGAATATAAAGATAAGTACCTCTATAAAATTGAACAACCTTTTGCTTATTTGAGCAGAACCAAAGCTCTCAAAAAATTTGTTAGATGGTTGCCTATCTACTTTGTAATGTTCTGTTTTTTAGAAACATGGTGGGAAATGCACCATCTCAAAAAGTATATTTACAGTCTTGAGGTTTAGGAATTGGATCAAACTAAAGAAGTCTTACATGCGAGGTAAATCGAATTGCTGCTCAATGATCCTTTATTTAAGAGATTCTGAATATTATTTAGATATATATTAAATTAAGGACAAATCAAATATATATATATTGTAAGGATTATGCAGATTAATAAATAATAATATCTGTTGTCGAAATAGTATATTTTTGTAAGAGTGTTATATTTATCATCTTTGAACTTCTAATACATAGATACAAATTGTAAATGTCGTCAAAAACCATTTTAAATTATGAAATTTTTTAAACATGAATTAAAATAAATACAATTAAGTATATATCTATTAATGTTCAATACATATAACTATAATTAACAAACTTTTATTTTCATTTATTAAATTAATCTATCATTTAAGTAGTAGAAACAACTTTAAATAAATCTCCATATCTGTCTTCCAAATCAACCTTCAAAATGTATTCAATTTTCTAATTTATTATTAATATTTATAATTACATTTCTGCATAAATAGCAAAGCATTTTCTATTTCCAAATGTCAACAGCACATTGATAACATGTACCTCCATGACCACAATTCATAAAAACTGCGTTAGGCCCTCTTTCGTAACACACAATACAGATGTTGCTGGTTTGACTCAAACTCATTTCTTGATTCTTATTTTAAATGCTTTCCTCATGGCCAATCTAAGACAATATTATTATAACTTACTGTTACTAATTGAGAATTACATCTCTTTTTATCAATTTAAAGTTTTGCTTCATTATTAGGATTTTTATTTTATGTATTAGACTGTTACTTATCAATAACAATTTAATCCATTTCTTAAAACATCTAAGAAGCTACTCCTTGACTAGAAAATGCTCGTTTATGTCCTTTAGATGGTTTCTTTAGTACAGGAGAACCACTGATTGAATCTTAATCACCTTCCTTCTTGACTCTAGTGGGAATTCCAAAATATGTTTTGGATATCTTTTACACAACTTAAGGAATCTAAGTTCTCGAGGATGTTGGATTGATTTATTACAAAGTTTGATTGCTTCCTTGCATATTAACAGAAAATTATTATTAGTTGACTGGTTCATCATCTTAGAGAGTTATGTATATTTATTCGCAGATATCAATACGAAAATATATGGAATAAATGAAAATAATGAAGAACTCAGCAATTATGAAATATTGTTGCACAACGAAATTGTGAGAATAATTTGCTTGATTTTCTAAATACTCTAAATAACCAAAAGAACTTAATGATATGGAAACACTCCCAAATATGAACAGTTGAGTTAACCAGATGTAGGAAATTACTAATAATTGTTATAGCAATACATTCTGATCTCTATAGATTTTATCTGTCAAACAGATATTATATTATCTTGCTAAATGTGACTATTAGAGAGCCTGCACTTATGCCAATAAAACAAATTAAACCGACCCAAACACCCCATAATGTTGGAGTCCAATTCCAAATTATGATATTATCAATTTTCAAAGTTATAAATAGTGAACATATTGCTACGTAAATCCTGATCAATAAGGATAATTTATTTAACATTTTGAGTGACTCCAATTAAGCTCTATCCTGATAGAGGGAGTAAAAGTTCATTAGAATCGCAATTACTAAAAATACATTACTGTAAACAAAATATTGGTAACCCACTTTTGTTAGCAGCAATAAGCATATTAAATAAAAGAAATCAAATATTGTGGCTCCAAGATAGCACAATAACTTTTTCTTCTTGCTGTATAAATTAAGAATGTTTACAATCGTATCTACAATTTTTTCATTTTCAAATGATAGTAAAAGGCATTCAAAAAATCAATGAGATGGTACGCTAAAAAAAGCACAAAAATGGAAATAACATCCAGGTGATATTAGATCTGGAGACTGAGCAGTAAAAATATCAGTACGGCAAAGAAGAATTTAATAATTGTAGACATGAACAATTTTTTCGATCTGATGCGATTCCTGAGACTATTTATTATTAGGAAATTACTTGGGTTCTTAATGTGGATTAGTTAAATTCTGTTATGTTTGATTGGCATGATTAGACATGTTGTTATAATTATATATTTATTGTTAATAATAAATCAATGATGTTCATCAATACGATAAAATCCGTACGTCCAATCTACTTATAGAGATGTAAAGTACCATAAATTGCCAAACAAGCTAAACCAAAAATTATGGGTTTGATGGGTCTAGTGGATTTCAAGACTAATCAAATTCATAATATTTTATACAATTTGATTTGTCCAAAGTGTTGAATCTCCATCTATTGACTCTTGTCAGAAACAGCTTCTATTCATTTTACTATTGAATGCTTTTATCGATGTAGTATCTGAATAATTTCCTCTAACTCATCTACTTTATAAATTAAAATTAATATCAAAATGGGAGCAAAATGTTGTGCTCAACAACCAATACTGAGTAATCAAGTTATCAGCAATTCTCAAACTCCTGCATATATTGAATAGTTACAATATGTTACTTCAGACAATTAAAAAATACTAGCCTAAGAAGTTTGTGCTGAAATAACAGATGAAAAGAAGCAGGAGTTGGACTAAAGGAAAAGTGACGATGATCCAAATATTTTCAAATCCCTCTAATAACAATCACAAAAACAAGACGTTTAATAACCAACTGAGGTTCCTCAGCAACTTCAACATCCTGATTTGAAGCTGTTTGAATAAACAATTGAAATTACTAATAATAACATCAAGAGAACTCTAGAAAGAATTGGAAAATATATTCCCATCTAATAAATGTAAATTGGTGGTTAAGCTCAACCTCCGTATTAAATAAAGGGAGAAGTCATATACATAGGAACTTGGGAGGGCTTAAAGAGAGAAGGTTACGGTAAATAATTTTGGTAGGACGGGTCCATTTATGAAGGCTAATGGTAAAATGACATGATATGTGGACATGGTAGAATAATTTACGCAGATGGAGATGCATATGAAGGGTTTTGGATGAATGGAAATGCTAAAGGATTTGGAATATATTATCATTTCGATGGAGCTAGATATGAGGGATAATGGTTTGATAATTTACAAGATGGTGAAGGCAAGGAGTATTGGCCAGATAATTCATATTTTGAAGGATAATATAAATAAGGTAAAAAGAACGGAAATGGTACTTTTACTTGGAGTGATGGTGCCAAATATCAAGGATAATTTCTTGATAACTAAATTCATGGGTAAGGAGAATACACTTGGGCTGATAAAAGAAGATATCAAGGAGAGTGGAAGGAAAATAAAATGGATGGAAAAGGTACTTTTGTTTGGCCTGATGGTAAGAAATATCTAGGTATGTAGATTTTATTACCATTTTTAGGAGATTATAAAGAGGATAAAAAGTGTGGATATGGTGAATTTTATTGGCAAGATGGAAAAATATATAAAGGTTATTGGAAGGATGGAAAGCAACATGGTAGAGGTGAAGTGATCGATCCAAGTGGTAATAAATAAACAGGAGAGTGGTAGGATGGCAAGAAAATTTGAATTTATTATGTTTTTAAATCATGTTTTAGTATTTTAACATTAATTTATGAAATCCAAGATTACGACAGCAACGATATTTGAATTTACTTTTATCTAACTTATAATTACTATTGCATTATATAATAATTTATTTTTCTATCTAATAGAATTAATCTAATATTCTGTCTTATTTCAAATACAATGAAAGAATTTGCATTAATATCCATAACATCATAACAAAATGTATGTAATGAGCATTTAATGTTAGATAAAAATCAAGATTTTCCAAATAATTAGATTTTTAACATAGCGTTTTCTTACTTCTTTTAAGAAAGTTCATGACGAATGAAGTAACACCGATATCAGTATAAATATTACGATATATTTCATCGAAAAGCAGATTCAACAAAGTAATTATTTCCTGTTTCTTAAAGAATTTCGTGAAATAAAAAAATTATTATTAAAATAATGCTATATGATAAAATGCTATAATCAACTCAAATTATTTTTTCGCAATTTAATAATTGCTAATAGAAATAGTTGTATTTAGCTCTAATCTTTTCAATTTTATTGGGAGTCTTAATTCTGTTTCTCTACTATTATTCAAAAAAAAAGAGGATTTATAGAAAAAAATTAATCTTGATCGGACAACCAGGAGGTGGAAAAACAATACTTTTTAATATTGCAACAGAAAAGAAAATTAAGAGATAATAATGTAAGTCAGATGTAGATTAGATTTATGAATTTCCTATAAATGATAATTATGATTTAGTGGATACGCCTTCCATAGAATTTGATGATTCATTAGACAAAAGAGAAGCTATTATAAAATAATTCAATAAATATTTCAAATTACATTCCTATCATATAGAAAGATTTTACTTAATTGTTAATTTTGAAAGAACAGACATAATGAAATCAAGCTGTTTGAAAACTTATAAATACTTTAAAAAGTTTGATAGTATTATTGATATAGTTATTACCAACTTTTAATTAAGTGAGGATGAAATTGCAGACAAAGAGCATTTATTGTAGGCATTTTACATCTACACTTAGGATAAACAGAAAATTCATTTTGTTAGAAATGATATTCAAAGTGAAGAACTCAAGTAGATGTTCATTCAAAGCGCAAATCGAGTTGATTTATAAGATGATTATTTGGAGATGGGTGAAGAAAAAGAAATTAAGAATAGCTAATAAAAATAACCAAAATAAATATTTAATGGAAAATAATATTAATATATTGAAGAAGGTAATGACTCCTGAATATAAAATTTTATTCATATTATAATTGTTCTAATATTATTATAAAAATGTTAATTTTGTGATTTTGGTAGTGCTGTAAATTTAACTTTCTACCCCTTAACAGTTACCTATGTTGACTACTCCTATTATTTCCAAATCTTTTCCATCTCTGTTTGGACCTTCAGATGTAAATAAAGCAGTTAATCACTGTAGGATATCTAATATTTTTAGAATATCATACAGTTTGCACGGCATGAACTGAGAATTGTGCATTTTGAAATTAGAATAGAATTATAGAGAAAATCTTTATAAATTTGATATTGTTTCATCTCCTTTGTTTCATTGTGAAATAATAAATTAATTATAAATTCTTGTGAAATTCTAATTAGATATTGGAAACACAAGAAAATTCTTAGAAAGACTAATTGTACTAGAATAAATTAGTTACAGCCTTTGAATTGAATAAGTAGATATAAATTTGTTCAAGATTTTTCGGATTGCTGAGATTTATAGGAAGGTTTTAATAAACTTTAGAAATTGATTTAATTGAAAATAATAGAGGAATGTTTTATCAAAGCATGTTTTAAGTAATTCCTCAAAGTTCTAAAATATTGATAGAGATAGTTAATGGACATTTTTTCTCAACTACTATTTGGGTATTCCATTTGATTGTACCAAGCCATCAAGAATTTTTATTTCTAAATTTAAAACAACTACTTGATATTTTCTTAAAGTTGATTAACTTATCTAATGACATAAATTGATATTCGAACTTAAGTGTGTATTTACATAGATTTTATAATTGAAGTTCTCAACCTTAAATAGAGATTTAAAGCAATTGAGAATATTGAACAATCTCCTAATTTTATATTTTAATCTTTATTCTACATTTGAACACTTATTCAACTTTATTTTCAAACCAATGTAAGAATTAGAATGACCATTATTAGAATTAAGTAGCAATGGGGCCTTGTCGTCGGGGATTTTGATAAACTATTAGAGCTCTTTTCATTAGATTCGTAATTTTAATAAATTATGATATTATATGGTTGTTATCTTTTAATTCTATGAGTCCAAATTAGTGTTTGTATTTCAAATCAAGAGACTTTCAATTTCACAATCCACCAAAATAGACTTTTTTACACGATTTGATCTTATTGAATCTAGGAGAAGCTCATAGCAACTAAAACAAGGTTGAGAAGAATTAGGTATTGAATTTTAATTTTGAACCATATTCTTCCTCTTAAGGAATTGAGATTTGTTGATAATTGCATTGCATTATATATAATTTTTAATGGAATCAACCAACTTTGAATCTAAATCGCTGAAGCATAGAGGGAAGGATGAGAAGATGACGATTAAAATGAATCAAAATCAAATTATCGTAGTGCTTGAGCCATCAGATTTATAGCAAGCTATGAAATTATAGATCGAATAGATTAAGGACAAGGCAGCTAAAAAAAATTATAATTGGGAAATCTTTGATATAAAGCAGGTAAAATGGGTAACATAACTAAGGAAATCGGAGCAGGTACATTTGGGTAAGTATTTGCGTCATTGGATTAAAAGACAGGAAAGAAATACGCTCTAAAATTTATTGGTTATGACGATGAAAGTGATTAGGATCAGGAATTCATGGCAGCTGTCAGAGAAATTGTTATTATGCAGACATTATCTTAAACTAATTGTTAGGGGTTGCTTAAGATTTATGATATCTATCCTTGCATAAAGGATGATAATAAGTTTCTAGTGATTGTTATGGAATTGTATAATTCAAGGTAAGGATAGAAGAGAATAAAACCAAATGGACTGATGAAGAGTTGTTGTATATCTTATATTAGTTGGTTAAAGGTTTTTCAATTATGAAGAAACACAACGTCACTCATCGTGATATAAAACCTTAAAATATCCTATATTGCGAAGCAGACAAATCTTACAAAAATGCTGATTTGGGAGGTGCTAAATTTCTGAAACCAAAATAAACTTAATTAAATACAGTTCGTGGGTCTCCAGCTTATTGGGCTCGTATTTAATAATTAATAATTTCATTTAGCTGAGATTTATTTTTTTTGTGATTTGCAAAAGGACAAGGATGGTTGTTTCTTTGTAGGTAAATAACATTTAAACTATGATCCTTATACTTCTGATGTCTACTCGGTTGGAATAACCTTTTTATTAATGCGTAAATTAGTTCCAGGATTAGATAGAGAATCTCTAAGATTTGAAGTTGAAATACTTAGGAAATTGAAATCACCATCTATTTTTGAATAGATACTGATTAAAATGTTAGAATATGATGATCAAAAGCGCGTTTCTTTTGACGACTTATTATAACTCATTTCCTCTTATAAAGATCTATTCAAGAAACCTAATGAAGATGTATTCGTTAACTGCTTGAAAACATAATAGGATAAAAAAGTAAATCATACTAAAAATGTTAGAATTTGAGTGTTTAAGATTTAATGATGAGAGAGGTCAAATTAGGTGAATCATATAAAAATTGAATTTGCCTGAACATGCTAAATCTCACAATGAATTAGCATTGAAACATGCTATCAAATTATCCAAGGATAGTGCCAAGGCTGATATTATGAATAGTTTAGGAACAGTCAATTGCGATCTGGATCAATACGATGAGGCTGAGAAGAACTTTTGTGAATCAGTTGCTCTATACAAAAAGCTGAATGGAGATAAACATTCTTCAGTGGCAGATAAGTATAATAATTTGGGAATTGTTAAACGAAAAAAAGGAGAATTTGAAAAGGCCATTAAGCATTATGAATCAGCATATCAAATCAAAGAATAGATATTTGGAGAAAATAATTTAGGAGGCGCAGTCATTTTATAAAACATAGCCATTGCACATAAGAAATTGAAGAATATGATCAAGCTATCAAATATTTTAAAAGTGCATTGCAAATCAAAAAACTATTATGTGGAGATCGCAGTCCAATCCTTTGTTCAACTTATGATAATTTGGCGAGAATTTATTATGAAAAATAGCAGTTTGATATGGCAATCTCATTCTATTCAATTACTGCTGAAATCTATAGGAACACTAATAGTCTAATTAATAGAGATTATCTGATACTCTATTTGAAATAGCCTTATGTTTCTAGAAAATAGGTAGATCTGCAGAAACAATAAAAGCAGCTCAAGAATCTTATAATTTGAGGAAACAAATATATGGATAATATGCGAAACAAACTGTGAAAAGCCAAGAATTACTATCTCAAAGCTTTCTAGAAGAAGGTAGGTATGAAGAGGCACTGTAACACTACACTTAACTGAAATAACTGTATTTTGAGAATTTAGTCAAATGCACTGTCGATGAGAGATTCGATAGCATGGCAGATATTCTTAAGAACTTAGGAGCCTCCTATATGGGAGTGCAGATATACGATAAAGCTTTGGAGCATTATAAAGAAGGAATAGAGTTCCTTATGAAGAGAAATGATAATGAAAGTACAAGAATGGCAAAAATATATTACAATATGGGATTAGTTTACAGAAAGATGAAGGATTTTAAATCTGCTGAGTAGTATTATTAGACAGCAGCAAGTGTAATTGCCACTAGTAAATCGGCTTCGGATCTGATTACTTTAGGAGATATTTACAACAATTTCGGAGTGTTGTTTGGAACTTAAGACAAATTTGCTTAGGCAAAGAAATACTTTTAAATGTCATTGGAATATTATCAAAAGGTTTTAGGACCCAATCATAGTATATGCAAAGAAGTTTAAATAAACATCAAGGAATTAGAAAAGTGGTTATCTATATGAGTGTTTTTATATTTAATTATAAATATTTGTCTATAAATATTGAATTTACATTATGATCAAATTTAAACTTTTCATTATATTAAATAAAATCTTTAATGCAAATAAATTATATAAATGTAACGTCGTATACTCTTTTAAGTTAATGTTATATTTGAGAATTGAGAGAATACCATCTTTCTTTTTTGTCACCACCATCAAAGCCAATCTTGGAATATTTGAGATATTTTTGTTGACAAAGCAGATTTGGTGGCTAAATTAATCATCAATGTGATTCTCAAATGGCAACATCTGTTATTTGCATTAGAAATATACAGGTGTAGCCGTTTCTCATTGATTCTATCTTAAGGACTGAAGTTTATTGGGCATCATAAATTATATTTTTATGAGAAAGAAGTAACAATTGATAACAATGGAAAAAGAGAATGATTCTTCTTTACCTACAACAGCAATTGCATCTTAAAAAAGTAAAGATATCAGGCAATTATTTTGAAAGAGTTTCCCAATAAGGAATTGGAGAATGACCTACTTGAGTACAAAGCCAAAATGATCAACCATATTGAGAATAGAATTTTGCAATCATAAAAGAAGTTAGAAGACTCCATACGAGAGGAAATGGAGCAATTTGAATAATAGATTTCAAAAACTATTCATGATTTAAGAGATGATCAATATGACCACAAAGTAAGTTCAATAAATCATGAGGAAAAATAAATGGAAAAAGTGTTTAGGTATGAATTGAATCAAAATTAAATAGATATAAACCTTCTCTTTTGTCTGAAATGATGAAATAGTCTGATTATAAAACTCTTTACCATATGATGATGGCTAGTATGTTTATTTTGATGGGAAACCTATGGATATAAGACTATCTGGAGAGAGGCATCATATTTGACATGGATACATTCTTTTGGTGCTTTTAGACTCCATTGTTAGTAGCAGAAATTTGGTTTGCTTTAGTTTTATCCAGTTACTTTACTGTGTATTGGGTGATCCACTGTTACTAAAATAAGATAAAGCCATTCACAGCTATTCTTGTATTCAGTCTACAATAGGTGATAAGCATTATGGCAGCTTGTTATATGACAACTGCTTGGGTGGTAATGAAACTAAATTAAAATAGAATGGGTTTGGATCAAGGATGATTGTGATGTGTGAAGCAGTCAGAATGATGATGAAAAACTATTCTTATGCTCGTAATAAAATGCTTTATTGTACAGAGAATAAATATAAATATTTTATTCTTTAATCTTTCGGAAATAAAGGAATCACTAAACAAAATGCTTTGCTTCCCGACATCAATATACAATCCCTTACTTACGAACTCAAGAGGTACACTTATTTCTTCTTGGCTCCAACCTTGTTATACCGAGACTATTACGTGAAAGCTCCCAACTACTCAAGGAAAAAAGTGATCATAGAATTCGCCAATTTCTTTTTGTGTATTTATTATGGGTTTATTCTATTCAGATCATTCTGCAAAGAGCCAATACTTTAATTGAGGTATTGTATTAAATAATCAGTAGAGAAAACTTGACTTTGATGAATTTTATTGTAACTTTGTACAAATTGATGATGCCGTCTACTTTTTCACTCGTTCTGGTCTTCTTTGGATTACTTCACAGTTGGTTTAATGGATGGGCAGAACTATTGAGATTTCCAGACAGAACATTCTATCATGATTGGTGGACAGCCTCTGAATTTGGATAGTATTATAGAAAATGGAATGTCATAGTTCATGAATTCCTCTACTATTACGTTTATTTGGATAGCGAGAAATTGAGTTAAGGAAAGAGAAGCAGACTCTTTAGGTAATTGATCACTTTTGGTTGCTCTGCAGTCATACATGAGATCATTCTTACTTTTGCCTTAGGTTTTTTCTACCCTATATGTTTTCTTTTATTTACTGGGCCAGGTATTTTATTCATTTAGGCTAAGGGAATCTTTAAATAGGTATTTCTCATCATTATAAAAGGGTTGGTTTAACATTTTATTTTGGGTTTTGATGTATATTGGAACTTCTGTTATGATCACCTTGTACTTGACTGAATATTATGCGAGGATTCTCATTAATGAAAGTTTAGTTGAGTAAAGATGGGGAATTATCTAATATCTGATTCCTAGAACATTTTATTTAATCACAGGAAATTGATAGGTTTTATAGCAATTTTAGTAAAATTATTATTAATTAAATGTAAAAACTCTTTCAACACTATGAGCAATTCAAAAGAAAGACTTATTAAGTGCAATATTCATCCTTAATTTCAGCTGCATTTCAGGAAAGGCGAGGTCATCAAGCTTGACGGATACTGTACTTATTCCAATCTCATTAATAGAACACCTTCCATTTTGTCTATTGTTGTATTTGCTCCTTTTAGAATTGCTAGGAATAACATCATATATATTACTCTGTCTTTAATTTCTTTGATTTTACTTGCTTCTATTTGGTCAATGTAATTATAATTATATTGTAGAGACTCGCCACAATATGAATTTTATTTCATCTTCTCCTTTTAAATATTTGCCCATATAAGTGTTGAGTTGTTTAATAAATTCAAAATTAATGGACTAGACATTAAACTTAAATAAAATATTGAAATAGTGGGATGAATGTATTAGCAATAAAGAGATATTAAAGCGAATCAAATAGAAGGCATCATAAAAACCTAAGAATGAAGAAATTAAAGAAAAGGACAGTATTATTCAAATCATAAATGATCAGTTACAACGTCAGTTGAGTTGGAAAAGCAGATCTTCTGGAAGTATTAATTTTATCCTTATTTCCTTAATAGTTCAATCTCAGTTTTCTAGACAATCAATCAATTAAGGTAGACCTGCAGGATCTCCAAGATAGGATAGAATGGATAGGATGGGATCAAGGGTATCAATGATGAGTCCACTCATTCATGAAGACATGATTATTAAAAATGAATTAAAAATCAAATTTGTATAGATCCAGCAATTAGAAAGTTCATGCAATAAGTACCATATATTTTTGAGAGAAATACTTCAAGTTCAAAAAAAAAAAGATTATAGATTTGAAAACTACGAATACTGCTGATAAAATAGATCTCATTAAGTCTATCTAAGATGAAAACAAACTAAGCTAAAAGTAGTCAATCAATTTTTTTAATTAAGTAGATTTAGAGTAACCTCATTAAATTCATTACTACTCATGCCTCCTTAATCATGAAGATGCTGCATATTATGTTAATTAATAATAGCTCTAAAATTAGAACACTTACGAAAGTGAAGAACTTATTTATAGTTATTTGGAACCCTTTTTGCAATTCAATATCACTTTAGGCTTTAAATATAACTTAAAACCTAAAGCTTAAGAATTCATAAAAAAAAATTAGAGTAATCATTAATCTTTGATACAGAGTAACACTTTTCTTATGCTTACTCCACTATTCAATCGACAGATGTATAGAATTAAATTAATTTTTGATCAAGAGAACGATAATGATTTAAAAGCTTACTAAAAGAAGTCTTTATCCTAATTTATATAATTATTCAATGACAAAAATTATGTATCAACATCTTAAGTGCAATCGTTTAATAAACTAGTCAACCCCATATCCTCTTAACTTTCAAACAAGAAAGTTTAGGAAGATCTTCATACAATGACTCCAATTACGATAATGCTGAACAGTTAGGCTTGTAAAATTATTGAAAATAGCATCCTTATAGCGAACCATATCAGATTACTTTTTTCCTTGTCAAAAGTAATTCTCTTGTATGATGCAAATAATAAATCTTTGATTATTATATAAAACTTGGTTGATGAACCAAAATTTGATTTTTGAAAATCAAACTTTATTAAAATGCCATTTAGGATAACATTTATAAATTGCACTGTTACAAGAATTCAGCTACTTTCAAAAAAAAGTAAAGTATGAAATTATAAATAAACAAACCTTCTTCCAAAATATGATACAATCCCTGAAAGTTAGATTAATTTATGATAGATGTAATAAATGTGGACAATATATTTAGGTCTCTTTAATGAATTATTAATTTATCATAATTCTGATGCAATATTACAAGGATATAATGAACTAAATGACCTCCTGTTTTATTAAGTCCCTTTATTAAACATGTTAACAAAGTATTAGTTTTTGATTGCTTTTCAGAGAACAATTATTTATCATCATTTTCTATTATTGCTATAGCATGTAATTTATTAAATAGTAAGGTCTAAATACTAAAAGAGACCAATATCAATTGAAAAATATCAAGGCGTATTGACTTAACTAATATTTATCTATTAAAGTGAAACCTAGTCAGTTGATGTTGGTATTGTTTATTGTTTATTGTTTTCTTTCAATAACACTTAATGATTTAATAAGCCAGCTAATTTAGATCAGTTATTAATTAAAAGTTGCTGTCTTTATAATTTACAGTTTATCATATTTAGCTTATTTATTAGTTCATTTTAACATTGTAGCTCCAAATATAGAGTTTAAATTTGAAATTGCAAACCTGTTTGAAATATTACTAGTAATATTTATATTTTAAGTAAGTGATTATTTTTTTAACATCATTTTGTTTTATAATTACCTGAAATGATAGGATTATTTCAAATAATAGCAAATTCTATAACTCATCAAAAAGAATCTATCAACAATAAACAAACATAAATATTAAATTTGTAAAGGGAAATAAATAAAATCTTTGAGAATATTGAATAGGTGGATATTAATCTATAAAAGCGTAATTAATTATGATAACTTTTAAGTCTTATTAAGTTAAGAGTAATTGTTTTAGAACTTAGGTTAATGGTAATCCTAAATATTTCAAAAAGCTCAATCAATTAATGAAATGGAAAAATAAATCGACAATCTAAGGATTATAATTAATTTTCTTTCAATCCTAGTTGCTCATTGTTATTTATTCTTAGTTTGCTACTAGTTACTATTTTCTCATCACCTACATAGTTTACTAAATATTTTTAATAGTGATATTTGTTTTTAATTGCTATATCATTTGAATTCAAGATAGATGCAATATTTAGAATTAGTTAAATACATGATGTCAGGAATAGCAACATTAATAGCAGTTTTGGGATTATAAGTAACTGAAATGTCATTGTATTATACATTTTCTGAAATCATAGATACTTTTCAAATATCAAGTAAACTACATCCAATTTATGATAACAGATTTAATCACAATAGTAATTTAATTAATTGCATATTTTTTCATGTAACATCAGTATTATTATTTTTAGATTTTTATTGAATGTTTATATAAGTCCTTACTTTGTTATAATCAAAATATCCATAATTTTATTCTTTTCAATTCAATAATACTTAATCAAAAGCTATGTAATTAATATAAATATATAGTTTATTTTACTTGAAGAGGATTAGCCTACAAACTAAATAAATTTTATAGAAGAAATCAATAAAATAAATGATATTTTGGGAATTTTATTGCCTAAATTTGTAAGTCATAGTCTAAATGTAAGTAAATTAATTTAAAATTGTTTTAGCTGAATAATATAACATCCATAAAAACCAGGGAAATGTAGCCATTGTATTTTGCGATATTTGTAAATTTGATTAAATTATAATGGAAGAGTAAGAAAATATAATATCATTCTTGGATGACTTGTTTCAACCTTTTGATAAATATTGTGAAATATGTGGTGTTTATAAAATTGAAACTGTTGTCAAAACATATATGGCAGCAGCTGGACTTAAGGCTTGTGAATCAGAATTAGCATATCTATCAGAAATTCAACCTGTTTAAAGAGCATTAAACTTAGCCGAAATGATGATTACTTACATTAGATCAAAACTGTATTTTTAAATAGTTATTATATTAGATGGGGCCATTAAAGTTAGCCTTTAATTGGTAAGATTGGGATTCATTATGGAAGAGCAATTTCTGGTGTTATAGGATTTCACAAACCTTAATTTTCATTAATTGGAGATACAGTTAACACTAGCATGTTCAACAGGCTAAGAAGATAAAATCACTTTGTCTGAGAGGGCCATTGAATAATTAAAGAATGAGAAACTAGAGTTTAAAGTGAGATATGTTGAAATGAAAGGATTAGGATAAAGACCTACCTATGTTTACATCTAGAAAGGGAGTACAAAATCATTTCAGAAAGGAGGCTTAAAAAAGAGATCAATTGCAATCCAAGATACTTTAAATCAACGCTCATAATAATTATTATCTTGAAACTTCCAACAATAAAATGCTTAATAAAATTCTAAATCATTGTCTGAAGAAAATAGCATTAAAAATGGATTATAGAATTCCTTATCCTCATCCAATAATAATCTTAATCATTTATAACAAAACCATGATCATGAAGATAGATTGAGTAGGAATACCAAAAAACCAGAACTTATTCAACAATTAGCATGTGAATTTCATCAAAAATTTCACTTAGAAGAATATTAACCAGAAGTAGACCACTATATTGATTACGATTAATTATTAGTAATAATAATATCATTATTTTAGAATGTGATTTTGCTAAAGAATGAGAATGGATTAGAAGAAACCCTAATTCTTTAAACTCGTTTTTATCTTTGCTAAAAAGATCATTTAATTCAAATTAATACACTTATTTGGAATATCATGAACAAAAAAAAAATGGCATATCATAAATATATTTATAAGTAATCAGAATAAGTGACTAATAGAATAATTTAAATTTACTCATTCTATTACTTTATCAAACAGTTTTCTTTGATTGGAGAATATAATAATATTTCATTACCATTAATAATACTGTAATGGATTGGATATGCACTAAATAATTTTATCGTTAATGATGTACAAGAAAGAATGATAAGTTATTAGGTGTAATTGATTTATATAGGCTTATTTTTTTAGCTTATCATTGCTGGTATTTTTGTGATTGTCGATATGTCTTTATTTTTAAGATATTCTCATATCATAGAAATGATATTTATTCAATCATTTTTAACAATAATTATTGCATTTTTGGGTTAAAAAAATTTTGTTCTGCATTTGCTTCTTTATTTTTGAAGCCTTTATCTTAATTGTTTTGAGTGAAAATTATATTTCACTATTTTTTGCCTTTATAGTGATGACTTATAATATTAATTATTGCTACTGTTTGGAGGAGTAGTTTGTGGCTTGTTTCAATTTGAAAAATATCTTTTCAAGTTAAGCTAAGGAATCACAATTATTATATATCTATTTCCTAAACATGTAAATTTATAATTAAGTTTGATAGATTTTATAAAAATTTCATGATGATTATAATAGAACAAGATGTTTAAGTGATAAAATAGAGAATGTTACAATTTTATTTGCTGATATTGCTGGGTTCACTGAATATTCGAGTTAGGTTACACCTGAAGAAGTCTTGCTTATGCTTAAAAATCTGTTTGTTGAATTTGATCGAAAATGTTATGAATTAAATGTTTATAAATTATATACAATTGGCGATTGCTATGTGGCATTCGGCATGATTGATTACAATGAAAGAAATCCAACAGAAGAAGCCAAAAATATTGTCGACTTAGCATATGAAATCATAAGAATTATAGAAATTGTAAGGAAACAAATTAATTTGATGGGCTTGATATGAGGATAGGGATTCATACAGGGTGTGTTTTTGGAGGGATGATGGGAACTGATATAGTGAGATATGATATCTATGGACCGGATGTATTAATTGCAAATAAAATGGAATCCTATGGCGAAAAGTGACAGGTTCATGATAGCGAAGTTACTAAATAATTGCTTTAGTAAGATTATGAAGATATTTATTCTTTTACCTTAAATACCAAAGTTACGCTTAATGCAATTAATAAGAGTATAGATGGCTACATCATTGAAAATTTGGCAATAGATGATTTTCCATCAAATTAGATTAATTCTTAATAAATTGATTTATTGATATTATTTTAAATTATCTTAATTTTACTCTATATTAACAAATCAGAAGCAAAATTAATGAATTTATTGTTAATTACAATTTTTGATATTTTAAAAAATAATTGAAAAAAACTTCTAACAACACTAACCAACAAATACAAAATAATTCAAAAAAATTATCAGAAAGTACTCTATTTTAACAGCCAAAGAGTTGATTTAAGATGTGATAATAAACTATTAACAAAATTAGTAGAGTAGAATGTTTGGACTTTTTTATTTTTTGCTGTGCAAAATTGTAACTTTCACAAGATTTCATCTGGAACTAAATTTTAACCTAATAAAATGTTATTCGAAAAAAATTTTGTTTTTACCCTCTAGATATATTATAATATCGACTTTCCATTTTATTTAAAATTAAATCATTCAAAGAATAAATTAATAAATTAAATTCTAAATCCAGTAGAATGCTTATAGTATGGTAAAATTTCCATAAGTTCGTGATCCTTATTAGGCTAAGATAGGTAGTACATATGAGTGCAAAATGAAATAGAATCTAATACAGTTGTATATTGTAATATAATTATTATTCATTTGATTCATTCAATAAAAACTGAAGTTTTTTAATTCATGGGATGAAGTGAAATTATGCCTCCTTCAGTATATTTTGGCTTAGTGAAGTTAATTATGCTTTCCTTAACTCTTTTGGTGATTATTTTCTTCTTTATTCATAAACAGAATTATATTAATTTTTCTTTTAAATTTGTTCTTCAGCCTTTCCATTCTTATAAATTCTCTATCCTCTCCAGCATAAAATTTCTGACTTTCAATCTTTTTAATAGGTATAAATAAAAATGAAAGTTGAGCACTTTTAGAAAGAAGTTTTTTTTTAAGCTAGTTTTGATCATTAATCATTAAAATTTTTCTTCTGCATTGTATTGGGACTTGCTTAAGCATTTCTTAATGAAGAATTTTAATGCCAATTATTATTGTGACATATTTATGGCAATGTATTGGCCTTGTAATTGTAAAAGGGATTAATGATTATTGATGATCCAACTTTAGAATCTATTTGATATTTATCAAAATTTTTGAAGTTACTTGACACTCTTAAAATCTCTTAACTTAATCCTGGATAGGTATGCTTAGTTGTTGAAATAAATATCCTTAAAAAAAACATAATACAATAAAAATTTAAAGTCATTATCACAGCCAAACTTTGAGTAGTATCAAGACATATTTTTAAAAAAATCAAAGTACTTTTATGTATGGCATAAAGGACCGTTGTTATAATATTTCCTCTTGAGCATTGTAAATGATAATTTAGCAACAATGATCACCTGCATATTACAGCATTTTGGGGTACAAGAAGACATACGTTAAATATAACTTCAATATTCATAAAGTCCAAATAATTCTTCTAATAATTTTATTAGGTTTGATTTAAATAATAGCATGTTGCAATAAATCTATCGATAATAGTTCTTATATGGTATTTATTAATTATACACATTTGTTTTAATGGGTTGTGGAATAATGTTCACATATATATTAATGTATATTTATTATTAATTTTCTACAGATGTGGATTTATTTATCTCAAATGTCATAAATGGAATCTAATTTGCGTGGGGGTGGTTGTGGAACTTCAATAAGAAACCCACTATATTCAGAAATCTCAAAGNAATTTTAACCTAATAAAATGTTATTCGAAAAAAATTTTGTTTTTACCCTCTAGATATATTATAATATCGACTTTCCATTTTATTTAAAATTAAATCATTCAAAGAATAAATTAATAAATTAAATTCTAAATCCAGTAGAATGCTTATAGTATGGTAAAATTTCCATAAGTTCGTGATCCTTATTAGGCTAAGATAGGTAGTACATATGAGTGCAAAATGAAATAGAATCTAATACAGTTGTATATTGTAATATAATTATTATTCATTTGATTCATTCAATAAAAACTGAAGTTTTTTAATTCATGGGATGAAGTGAAATTATGCCTCCTTCAGTATATTTTGGCTTAGTGAAGTTAATTATGCTTTCCTTAACTCTTTTGGTGATTATTTTCTTCTTTATTCATAAACAGAATTATATTAATTTTTCTTTTAAATTTGTTCTTCAGCCTTTCCATTCTTATAAATTCTCTATCCTCTCCAGCATAAAATTTCTGACTTTCAATCTTTTTAATAGGTATAAATAAAAATGAAAGTTGAGCACTTTTAGAAAGAAGTTTTTTTTTAAGCTAGTTTTGATCATTAATCATTAAAATTTTTCTTCTGCATTGTATTGGGACTTGCTTAAGCATTTCTTAATGAAGAATTTTAATGCCAATTATTATTGTGACATATTTATGGCAATGTATTGGCCTTGTAATTGTAAAAGGGATTAATGATTATTGATGATCCAACTTTAGAATCTATTTGATATTTATCAAAATTTTTGAAGTTACTTGACACTCTTAAAATCTCTTAACTTAATCCTGGATAGGTATGCTTAGTTGTTGAAATAAATATCCTTAAAAAAAACATAATACAATAAAAATTTAAAGTCATTATCACAGCCAAACTTTGAGTAGTATCAAGACATATTTTTAAAAAAATCAAAGTACTTTTATGTATGGCATAAAGGACCGTTGTTATAATATTTCCTCTTGAGCATTGTAAATGATAATTTAGCAACAATGATCACCTGCATATTACAGCATTTTGGGGTACAAGAAGACATACGTTAAATATAACTTCAATATTCATAAAGTCCAAATAATTCTTCTAATAATTTTATTAGGTTTGATTTAAATAATAGCATGTTGCAATAAATCTATCGATAATAGTTCTTATATGGTATTTATTAATTATACACATTTGTTTTAATGGGTTGTGGAATAATGTTCACATATATATTAATGTATATTTATTATTAATTTTCTACAGATGTGGATTTATTTATCTCAAATGTCATAAATGGAATCTAATTTGCGTGGGGGTGGTTGTGGAACTTCAATAAGAAACCCACTATATTCAGAAATCTCAAAGTTTGCTAAGGCTGTAGTTGCTGCTGATAACTCAGAATCTTAAGAAATTATGATAGCTCTGTAATGGTTTATTTTTTAAGAAGAAAATATTTACAATCTCACTAAGAATGCTTAAAGTGTAGCGAAATGTTAAAATTTAATTTTAGAGGGAATCAGAAAGTTATTAAAAGGCTGTTTGATCTACATTAGAACAGATTCCTTTAAATGTTTATATATCTTAGACAACAGCATCTCTATCTAAAGTCATATTTAGCTTCCATTTACTAAATAAGGAAAGTTTTATGAAATGTGATTTATAACAGGAATTTTTGGAAATCTCTGATGAACTAAGATAACAAATGGAAATAGAGAAGAATGATTTGATTCAAAATTAAATGGAACTCTATCTTTTCTTAACAAAAACCTCTTTCGAGATTATACCAAATAATAGTAATGAAAGGGAAGAAATCTTATAAGGATGTTTAAGTGGTATTATTCGCTCGATAATTGATATGAAGCCAAATGAAAAATTGCTTGAATCATTGTTTTAGGGAGCCTGTCATCTTTACAATTTGTATGCTGTAACCAAGAATAGAAAATAATTTGAAGTTTATTTTTAAATAGATATGTTGTATGGGAGATTATAAGCTTTTAAGAATGAAAAATTCTAAAATTTAGACGAAATAATTTTACATGTTTAGGAAATACATGATAAAATTGTGAAATATTCAAATGTATGGAAATACCATTATCTATGGGTGTAAATGATCGGAAAATTCTTATAATATAATCCTCTATTAACAAAAGAGAAATTATCTCAGATGACTAAGGATTAAAGCCAGATTAAATTTGGAATGAATATCTGAGAAAAGGAATATTAATCTAAATGAATAATAGAAATGACTAAGCAGTCATCTAACTTCACTAATTTTAGAATAATTAATTAAGTTAAATTGATAGAAAAAAATTAGAAACATGTTTTAAAGAATGGGAAATCTTCTTAATATTTAAAGATTTTCTCATAAATGAATAATATTAAAATATTCCATATACATTTGGATCATATTTAAATAGCAAATGAGCTATTGAAAGAAAAGAACTTTAAAAAAATGTAAATATAATTGCAATAAATAATATAAAAAAGATTTTAGGGTTTATGATTCCCAATAATTTACTAACTTTAATAAAATAAAATGATGAGAAACTTGAAGAAGTAATAAAAATTTTTAGGAATTTTACAAAAGATAAGCTATTTAATGAGAGTATGACATTAAAAATTCATAATAGTAAATAATAAAGATTATATAAAATTTAGAGGATTACTTCTAAAATGTCGAAAATATAATAAAAATTATGAGGCTGAATTGGCAAATTAAAACAGAGAAATGAAAGTAAAAATTTTTAGAATATTGATAAGCTGTTGAGTATATAAGAGATATTAGAATTATATTATCTTGAAATTGAAAGATGCCAAAATATTACAATGATGTAATTTAGAAGATCAGAAGATTAATTTTAGAATTTGAATTTGAATAACATAAATTATCATTTCTTAAACTTCCTTAATAAAATACAAACAAAATTGTAAAGGAAGCCGAAAAGTTCGATCGAGATTAATGAAAGAAATTTAAAATTTAGAAATAAATTTGCTTCAAAATAACTTATCTCAATATTTTTAGAATTTAGTTAATAATCTTTGTAATATTAGGAAAATAAGAGTAATGAAATTTAAAGCACTTTTTCTGAATTCAATTTATTCCTTAAAGAAATTATGATTTTAATGTATTAAATTATGGGAGTTCCATAAATTAATGAACTTAAAAATATAAAAAAAAGCTCTTGCTGATATGCATTTCCTTAAATTTATGGATAACTTAAGACATAACAATCTGAAGCTTAAGTTAAAATTGATTTCTTCAAAGAAGTCTATTTCATTCATATTAGAAAAAACTAAATTAAAAGAATTAGAAAAATTGTCAGAGGTTGTAAATCTTGACAAGTTTCTGCTCAACATAATTGAAGATTTTCCAAAAAGTAGGACGAGAGAAAACGTAAATTTTAACGCATTACTTAATGAATTATAAAATATTGAAATCACAGATTTAGACTTTGAAAATAACTTATCCAAGTAAAAAGGAATACTTAAATATCACATATTTAAATAAGGTTGGAATGAAAAACTGATCGAATAAGAAGAAAAAGATTTAGAGTTAATTGAGAATGGATTTGGAGAATTATTCACCAAAGAATCTGCTCCCAAATAAATTTCTGTGGAAAATATTAAGAAAATATTTGAAGATGGTTCCTATAAAAAGGATTTAAGGAGTTGCTCATTAGTTTAATAAAAAGGCATAAACTTTTAATTTGTTCATACGTCTATCTAAGAGTTCTTTGTAGCGGCTAATTTATATGGCATATTAGTTTTATTTAAAGATTTTCGAAGCCTAATATTCAATTAGATACTAATCTAACATCTAAAAGAAAACAATTATGATCAAAATTTTTTAGAATATCTATAAAATCAAATAAATTAATAAAATCTAATTATAGGTGAAGTTTCAATTAGGAATGATAAAAAAAATATTGAATAAACTCTTGATCATTTGAGAGCTTTGAAAAAACATAAATTTTTGCCAAGAAAATTATTCTACTGAAACATATGGAGAGACAAGAAATTACTTGATACAAAAAATAAAGAAATAACCTTCGATAATAGAACTTTTAAAATTTCTTATATTTTAACAGTGATTGATAAAAGTTTTATTTAAGGGGGGTGAACTCACTAGATGTACGTTGATCTAAAAAGTCATGATTTTAAAAAAATAAGAATCAGAGATACTTCCTTAATAGGAGGAAATTTTGCAAAATGTAATTTAAGCTTATCTGAATTTAATAATGTGAATATAAATGGAATTAATATTAATAGAGCAATAATGATTGGCTGCATCTGGAGAGATCTGAAGATTAATGAGTTGCATACATTAGATGGTCATTCAGATAATGTAAGTACAATTTGTTACTCTCCTGACAGTACTACGTTAGCATTTGGTAGTGAAGATAACTCTATCCGTTTATGGGATGTTAAAACAGGAGAAGAAAAAGCCAAATTAGATGGTCATGAATTTGGTATTAATTGATGGTACTATATTAGCATCTCGTAGATGACTAAAATTTAGGTTAAAAAAGAGAGATATCATTTAAATAAGCTTTAACTAGAAGTGATTTCTAATAATTTTAAATGGCTCCCAATCTCGTTCTGTTTGTGCCATAACATTAGAACTTTTAAGAGAAAATATAACATTTATGGAATATAAATCAATTTAAGTTAATTTTAAAAATTTATTGTTTAGTAGGGTTAACTTCGTAGTTATAAGGAAGAACAATTTTGTTATTTCTTAATATTCTCAATTATGTTTATGAAATCCAATCTTGGGTAATTTTGTCATTTTATACACAATTAATAAAATTGAATTAGTTGACGTATTATTGTTTTGTAGATATTAATTAATTTCTAAAAAAATTCAGGTTGAGGTAAAATTAAATAGTTCTGATCTGAGTGATTAATAACTGTTCATTATAGGCAAAATTATTATTGAAAGGAGCTTCTTTGGATGTAATTCATATAGAGATTATTGTTAAGGATGGATATAATTATGATCTCTAAATCTTATTAGAGGTTAGAATACTTATTGATGATTAATATATCTTTTCAGTCCTTTATTATATCTAATAATTTTAATATCAATTGAAATTAATAAATAACAGGTTACGAAAATAGTAATTTTTAAAATCATTCAATCCAGATATTAGTAAGATAAATTTTATTTTTTAAATTCTTCAAATGTATCTTTCTTCTTATCTTTGTTATTAATTGTATCATTACCTTTTTCTAAACTAAATTTACTAAAGTATTAATAATCTTTATTACGACTAAACCTGTTTACTCTGTTATATTATAAATTTAATAGTGTATTGAATTAATAACCGTTGTTTCTAACATCTCAATATTAACAAATATTTAAAAGTAACAAAAATACCAATTAATTGAAAAAGTTATAAAAAAATGATTAAAATTATAATTGTAATGTTTTTAATGAATATTCAAATTCACTTTTGCTTTTGTTTTAAGTCCTCTAAAAAGCAACTTCCTTT